CAACAATCTATAGGAAATAATAGAAAGTAGTAAGAGTTATTTATAATAACTTACTAGATTAATTAGGGATAGTAGAGAAACTCTACTAGTAAATAGTACTAGGAATTCTATAATATTATTATAAGACTTTAACTCTAAAGTAGTACTCTATAAAATAGAAATAAATAAGTATAATTATTAGGTTATAAAATTTAGAAAATTAAAAGATTAAGTCTAATATACTATTTTCTTAAAAATTTATTATTTTTACTACAAGCTAATAGAAACCTTAGAAAAGTAATATCTTAAATTAAAAGAGTATATAATAATTAACTAGAAATAAATTTAAAATATAGCCTATAATACTTATATAAAGATAATCTAACTCCTGAAAGGTAATATAATTAATTAATTAAATAACTAGGAATTTACTATTTAATAAATAATTAAAGTAAACCTTAAAATTATAATATTATTACTAGACTAGGTAGAAGACTTCTTAAATATAATATATTATCTAGCTCTATCCTAGACTATATCTTATTAGTTAGACTATAAGAAGGAGATACTAGCAAGAATACTATTATTTTATACTATAGTAAATAACTTTTATAATATTATTAATATATTCCTATAGTAATATAATAAGACTAGTAAAGGGGCTTTTAAACTAATATTTATTACTAAAAATATAATAAATATAACTAGTAATAAAGAAATATCCCTATTATAGAATAAGGGAATAAAATATAAGTATAGATATAATAATATAGAAAGAATAAACTCTAAAAGAAGTACTTTTAAGGACTTATATTAGTTATATAATATATATTTTTAAAGGTATAAATAAATATAATACTTTTATTTATTCCTAAAAAAGATGCCTAAGGACTTTAAGAAAAGAAATATAATAAGAAAGCTAGTTAATATATAACTTAAAATAAATAAGGCCCTAGCTAGAAAAATAGTAAAAGAGTAAAAGTAAAATAAGCAAGATTAGGAATAACTAGAAAAAAAAAGTAACTAGATAGTAATTTAAATAAAAGGTATAAATAAAGGTAAAGTTAAAACTTTATTTAATATTTAATTTAAAATTATACTATACTTATTATAGTACTCTATTATTTTTAATTTAGGATTATTAATTTATATATTTAATAATTTATATTAATTTAAGTAATATATAGAATTAATATAAGATAACTATATATAAATAAAAGACTTAAAAGTATTTATTATAAGATATAGAGATATTAGTATATAGGTTATAACTTAAAAAAATAAAAATATAAAATATAGCTATATAATTCTTAAAAATATAGCTTATTATAAAGAAATAATATATAATCTAGTATTATTTATATTACTAAATTAAATAAATATTTATTTTAAGAATAATTCTAATTTTAATCTATTTTATATTTTTAAAGGTATAGTAGCAGCCTATCTTAATAAAAAATATAGCTAATTTATAATAGAATATAATAGTAAATTATATAATATAATAAACTAAGTAATATTCTAAACTATTACTAATATTAGAGATATAAAATAGTAATATTTATATCTTAAATATTTAGGACTATAGGTATTAGATTACCTAATTAAGAATATTAAGGAGGTAAGGATTAGAGGACCTATTATAATAGAATATAATACTTATAGTATAGTAAAAATAAAGTAAAGAATTAATTAAAAGGACTATATTATTATAAAAGAACTAGATTTATAATTAATAATTAACTTTTATAATTTTAAAATAGAAATAAATAATTACTAAGTTCTATTATTAATTATAGATAAATAATTAGATTTTATATTAAATTACTATCTCTTAAATTAATATATAAAGATAATTAAAAATACCCTACTTAATTTATTTACCCTTTTAGAAAGATAATATAATATTAAACCTTAAATAATTAAATTAGATAATAAAATAAAGAGATAATTAAAAGACTTTATATAATTTAAAGGAATAAGACTTAATTACTTTACTCTATATATATTAGCCTAAAATAGAGGTATAGAGTACTTAAGGAATATAATAAAAGAAAAGATATATATAATAAAATAGGGAGTAAAACTACTTATATTTCTATAGCCTAAATATATTTATATAATAATATACTTATATAACTAAATATCTAAATATTAGGTAAGATAAAAAATACTAATTAATTAATTCTATACCTATATTACTTATTAAGATAGAGTAGTAATAGAATATAAGAAATCTTAAGAAGCTTATTTAAAGATATATAATTATAAGGTATTTATAATAATTAAATTATAAGTAATTATAATAATAAAGTATAAAAAGTAATTTAATTTAAAAGTATTTATAAAATATATAATAAGATATAAATTTACTAATATTTATTAAATATAAAATTTAAGGAAAGAAAGGAAGATTATTTATATAAAAAATATTATATTTAATAAAAAAGAATTCTTTTTAGAAAATAAAAATATATTTATTTAAATAATAAAGAATAACTTCCTAATAATTAAAATTAATAAATTTAAATAAATAATTAAGGATATTAAAGTTAAAACTTATATTTTAATCTAAGAAGTATTAAATATAGATTACCCTATAATAAAGAATATTTTAAAAAATAATTTTAACTTATTTAATTATCTAGTTTAAATATTAAGATTAGTACTTAAAGCTATAGATAAGGATAAAAATATTAATATAAATAAGTAAATAGCCTATCTAATACTACTAGATAGTAGCCTAGAATAATTAGCAGCAATATTAGTAGGTACTTACTAATATAAGATAGCTAAAATTAAAGAAAAAACTAAGCTAAATAGAAGCTACTAAATTATATAGAAATTAGTATTTATAGCAGGGAGATTAATATAACTAACCTAATAAGATAGAATATTAATCTCTAAGGTAAAAATATAAAAATAAAATAGGTAATTAAAAAGTCTAATTAAGACTTATTTAGATTAGCTACTAACCTTTCTAAAGATATACTACTAAGTTAAAAACTACTTACTATCTAAAGAATTTATAAAAGTAGAACAGGACTATCTAGCTAGCTATAAAATAATAAAAATATAGGTAGAAATAAATAAACCTAAGTATATAAAAGTACTAGAATATAAATAGATATATATATATAAAAGTAATTAAAATAATAACTTAATTAAATATAAAGCATGCCTAGTAATAAGAGAAGATTAATAAAAGAATTTAATAAAGAATTTATATACTATAACTCTAGTAATAAGATTTTTTTAAACCTTCCTAGTAATAGTAGCCTGATTTAATCTAGAATTAAAGTAATATAATATTATAAATATATTTATTAATATAAATAATAATAAGAAAATATATATAAAAATATCTCTAGAATATTAAAAATTAGATAAAATATTAAAATTAAAGAAAGTATTATATAAACTTAAATAATCCCCTTATTTATAGTAAATAATTCTTTAAAAAATCTTAAAATTACTAGAATATAAATCTATTTTATATAAATTATATTATATTACTAGAAATAGGATTTTAATATTCTTTTATATAAATAATATTATATTTACCTATTATTAAAAATTATTAATATAAATATAGACCATTATATAAGAGCTTTAAGATTAATTTAAAATAATAGGAGGAAATAATTTATAATAATTCCTAAAAATAAAAATTATTTAAGATAAAAAGAATAAGCTTATCTAGCTAGATTAATTAATATATATTAACAAGATTACTAATCTAGTAAATAAAAAGAAAAGTCTAAATATTACTCTTATATTAATAAAAATAATACTTTAAAAAAATTAAGATAGAGTATCTTACCTATATATCTAATAATATTAATAAAAGGTAGGATCTATAATATATATAATAATTATAATATAACTAGATATTATATTTATAATATTCTAGTTATCCTAGTATCTTATAAATTCTAGTAAAAAATACTATACTAAAGTAGATTAATACCTATAATATTTAAAAAAAATAAATAAACTTATCCTATAACTTAAAGGTTTAGATAACTATCTATTATATAATAATATCTTATTTATAAATAATTAGGACTAGAGAAGCTTGCAGGGGTATATTATAAAATTATTTAAAGATATAATAAGATAGAAAATTAATAAATAAGTAATTATAATAATCTCTATAATTAAAGTAGAATTATTAGTATTATTATATATAATAAAGAAAGAAATCTTTACTAAATATTTATTAGATAAAATTTAAATAGAATTAGAAAATCTAATTATTAATATTTAATATAATAATATATAAATTATTTAACTAGTAAATAAAGAAATTAACTACCTAAATATAAGACTATACTATATAAATATCTATAACTACTAGATTAGATAAAAAGCCTAAAAGGGAAGAATAAAAGTATTATATTATCTTATTATTAAGATAATTATAGATAGGTTAATTAAGGTACTACCTTACTAAAGCTTTAAGGCATTTATAAAGGATTTAAGAATAATAGAGAGACTAAAATTAATAAATAACCTATTACTAGATATAGTTTAAACCTATCTAGGATAAGAATAATATCTTAAATTATATAATTATAGGTTTAAATTAGATAAAATCTTTTAAATCTGAGGAAGTATATTAAATTAAAGGGATATCCTGTAATGTACTTAATAAGTAAAGGAGGGTTAAAACCCTATATTAAGATCTTAGTCAAGCACACAACCCCCCAACAAAAAACACACATCAATACATCTGATCACCTGCTTCCATTGAGCTACCCCTAGGATCATTATAAATCCGACATCCAACCACAATCTAGTACTGGTGTAAGCTTTTGTGGACCAATATAATACTGTATCAGCTACTGTCTTGACCCCTTTTTAGCTGAACGGTAAAGCCGACAGTTTTTCATGACAGTTAGGGCATACTTACTGCGGTTCTCTCTTTCCATGATGGTTCCTATTACTTCTGCCTACAAAACCTATGTACACAGCACCCTTAATGAGCATAAACAAGATGAAGTTGCTACCTTCAATGTCACAGTGTAAGAGCATGCGATTCGGGCAACATGTCTAAACCACTGGACCAAAAGGTCACTATGATCAGACCTGATGGTCTGATCCGCCCGAATCCCGCCTTATATACCCTACTAGTCAATTGTCACGCAATGCGCCGTGGAATCCCACCCCGTGACTATGGCTACCACATATACAGATGACTGCCCCTGAGGCTTTGTTGATGAAGATCTCGTCATCGAGCATTACGAATACTACCCGTTCAGCTTTTGAAACCTACAAAACGAGAGTATTTCCCCACGATTGAAATTTCCGATGTTTCGTGACAGAGATACTCCTGCCGCGCGCAACGTCTATCCACTAATCCAACCGGCGCTCCTCATGTCGCGAATCATAATTAAACGCTGGCAATCTTTCGGCGTCTTCGTCCGGCGTCGACACCTAGGCCTCCAAGCCGTATGGCTCGACGCCGATATAGAGCTGGAATAATCAAAGGATGAGACTATTGGACGCATCAAAAAAGCCATCCCTGACATTGATTTTGATCCTGATATGCATCCAAATTCTTCCCCATTTGCAGATATGAATCTGTATCCCAAGGCGATATCAGATCTGATAACTTTGGACTACAATATTATTCGACTCTTGGAGGATTCCACTTCGACCCACAGTCAGAAATTAGCAGGTCTAGTCTTTCTGGCAGTTTTATTGGGGCATGATTAGCCCATGTGTTGGAGTCATGTAGCATTCGAGCCGGTCAACTACGCTCCGATGATGAGCCATTTGAAACACCTCCTGGTATAACTCGCCGCGAGGCCGAGTTTATCCAACCTATCAAGTCGAGAATTATTTACTGGGCATTCGAGGCCTGTGCATCAAAAAGCAGTGCATGGAATTTTGAGATGATGAAAATGAATGAGACTTGGATTTTCGCCAACTTTTCACTGAGCCATATTGGACTATTGCGCAACAACCCCTGCGGCCTCCAGTTGACAAATATGCACGGTATGCTATTCTTGAAAACGAGCTAATTGATGAGTGGCGTGGCCTGCCAATGAAGAGCAAAGTGCGTGAAAGGGACGTACATGTTGAAACAGGGAGTCTTAGCAAGAAGCACAGGTCGATTATACCCGTCAATATCTGTGGGGGCAAAAAGGTGCGAATGGGCTTCCTGAAAAGGGCTTCAGCATACCCGAACACCCAACCTAGAATCCTAAGTAAGATAATCCTACAGTGTAGCTCTGATACCTCTATAACATGTGGAAATTTGCCATTTGCTAAAGCCAATGATAGTATAAGTTAGATATTTCCCCTCCTAATGATCACAACTTTAAATATCTTCAGGTGATTTTGGTGGCATAGTCGCATGTTGGATAGCTTCAAAATGTACCTATTGAGCATGTCGGTTCCGGCGATCAAGGGCGGTCCATGGGGTATCGCGTTATCGTCCAGTCTATCAGTACTCTGTAATAGAAGGCTATCAAAACTTGAGGTATTTCTGTTGCTATAGTTTTGGGCTTTCTCTTACACTGCCTTTTAAAAAAAAAAGCGGTAAGAACAATAATCTCAATGTGTCACGAAAGGTAAGCACCTAGGAATATACGTATTCAGTGTGTGTTTATATATATATATATTTCGGCCATGGGCTTTCCCCTCACTTTCGATTTCTTGACGATGGCAAGATGTTCCAAGTTGAAGTCCACGGCCCTGCAAATTACTAAAATAGAACATAGCCGTGTTGCGCCGCATAGTTAGTTATCTATATAGATCTATGACAAATCATGGTCCCCGAAGCCCAAGAAAAAGTAGTCGATTATCAAAGTTGAATATTATATTTTATTAATACTAAATCAATATACAGAATGGAAAAAAAAAAGGCTGCCCGCCTCTATAAAATGGGGACAGGAATGTGGGCAAAAAAAACATGGACCATTACTATATTATTCATGTCGGCGTCGACGCCATCCTCAAACCAGGAGCCGTTAGCGAAGTAAAAACCAGCCAAGGTCTTCTTCCAGATCATTGTGCCTTCTTAGAACCACTGCTAACTTTGTGCTGCCTCCTGCGCTTGATCGCCTCTGGGGTGTATTCAGTGTCGAGGAGGAAATCCCACCACCTGAAGCTGCTTGAATAGTTGCCGACAAATTTTTCATGGTGAAGGTCGTGATGATCAGCGCCGGCCCAGAATGGAAGGAAGTGATGAAGACTCCAGGGAAACTCGTAGCCACTGTGCGCGTCGATAGCTTGGAATAGTCGCAACACAATCCAGACGTACATGGTGAAGATATGTAGGTCCCCAGTCATGGCACACCAAAGAATTGGACACCCAACGGTACCAAAGCCAAGGATCATGACTTCAATAGGTGACGCATATTCAGCTGCCATGCCAAATGGGGCGGAATACTGGTGGTGAATTTTATGTATCCCCTTATAGAGAGGGCCCCAATGGAGGGCACGATGCGAAAAGTAATGCCACGTGTCTTCCAAAACGAAGAAAATTGCGATCTGGTAAGCCATGGTCCACATGGAAGGGAAAGGAACGGAAGTCGAAAGGCCGAAGAACTGAGCCATGGGGTGAAATAGCCTGGTAAGGGGCATCGCATTAGCTCAATACTCAAGGTGCAAAAAGGCGCGAATACTGACCAGATCTGTGGCAACTCAACGGTAAAGTGGCTCAGGAGAACGTACTTGGCGCAATCCCACTGCTCTCGCAAAGAAGGTATTTTGTTCTAATTGAATCAGTAACCAAAGCTACTATGAGGTTGGCGCCATCGGGCCGGGGAGAGGGTACTCACACTCTGGATTTTATAATTTTTAAACAAGCCCAGGCTATCTATGAAGATCCACGGCAGGGAGCGTCCGAAATAAACCAGTTCATGCATAGCAAACGACATAATACCGGTCGCAAGAACATCATTCTGCATCCAGGCGTACCAAGCTGCCCAAAGGCGCTCAAGAACGTTGAGGTGGGCATTGTAACCGGAGATGTCTTCAAAATGACCCCAATAGGTCTCCGGAGTAGGAGATGAGAAAGTTGAATTCCTGGTTCTAGTAAGTAATTATGTACGCTTGGTGGTAGCAATGGACAGAACACCTCTGCCTTTGCTTGGGGAATCGAGGAGGGATAAATTACTCACAATAAACTCATGATGTTTTGTCTCTCTTTCAGGAATTGCGGGTACAATTACACAAGGAAAGCACACAAATTCAAATGCTCATGAAATCAGCATCGACTCCGGCTGCGTGGAACTTGAGAGACTGGGGGAGAGATAGAGGGAGAGGAGAAGGTGTGGGAGGGTGGTTGTAGGTATTAATTATTTTATGGACGGAAAATCCCTAGTAATAAGAAGTTTCAACGGTGAATGATTTAACAGAGTTGAGATTGGTTCCCGGGTGGCGAGACCTCATTCCCCCTGGGAGCCTCTCTCTGCGCTGGTTGATTCTGGCACCACCGCCTTGCCGGTCAGGACCGATAAACCCAGCCCACTTAGTTCGGGTTCTATGTGGTTTGGTTGGTTGAGATGGTGCTGGGATGATGCACTATCCAAGCCTGTTTAGGAGATACGTACCCCCTTTCTTTGCGCTCCTAAGTACTAACTAGTACTCTCTGGGATTGGTATCGTTGGGTTCTATCAGTCGCTGGTAGAATAACTATGGCTTCTCATAAAAGGCTCTTCTAGATCAGTAAATCATTTATTATTATTACTTAGGGACATTAAAATTCTGATAATGACTGAATAGTTAGGTATTTAGGTACGGAGTAGGTAAAGATACCTACCTATACTTAAGTTCACTAGTAGCTATAACCTCCCTTGTTCTGCGGCCAAATCTGTTGCCGAGTTTGCATGTTTTGCTTCCGCCTGCAAACAGCAATGACGCCATGGATTTACAAAAGTAATTAATTATTCATCATCCAGACAACAACAAAAAGTTCCTGGCCTGGGGAAAGATAATGTCTGCACTTGACAGGTAGGTTAAAAAATCCAGATTTAAATAATCAGTGGAGGAATGGAGCTGAAGTGTACTCCAGCAGGATTTATCGCTTACAGGCACACCTGGGCGAGTTTCACCAGCAAATAAATGATCAGATCGGATCCAACTTCCACCAGGAAGCTGACCAAAAGAGCTCAATTGAATACTTAACGAAACTCGAAAAGATTCTCGATTCTCTCTCCATCAAATCCAAAACCCAGCCGGTCCGGCCCATCGACAAACTTGTGGATTTGCTCTCCAATTTTCGCCATGACCTTACCGTATTAGAGGACCAGGGCTCGAACCTAGACCCTTATGTGTATGAGCTTTTATGGCTTGTGGCAGCGAAGGCCTCGACGCAGACACTGGCCATAATCTGGACGACCCTTTCCGAAAACCTGCTTTCCGTCAACGACGAAATTAGATATTGGGACGGTATTCTGGAGTTTGATTGGTATATTGGGCTTTATATTTTACAGACATCCCCCCTTCGGTTATGGCGTGGATTACTGAAAGCCGGTCTCTTTGCTATATCTCCTCAAACTCACGAGGACAACTCTAATACAGGAGAAAACACATTTATTCCTGTTTCTACTCTGTGGGTACAGTTTTATACCTCAGTACAACGGTGCATTTATCCGTCGGGGCTGTCATCGTTCCGCCCTGGGATATTCTCGCCGCTAGTCCGATCGAAGCTAGAAATACAGCGGAAACGGAGGTATCTCAAATCCCGGAGAGATTTTAACGCCAGCAGCATTGGACTCCTCATGGAAGAGTGTATGTGTCTTGGACCGAAGACATCGCTGGCAGATGGAAAAGACCCCGTGCTCGCCAATTGCACTTTGCATAGAATTGTATCAAAAAGCGTTTGCTTAATGACATCGATCCTACAATATGGGAGCAATGATGAGGTTCTAGAGCTCACGAAGGCCTTTACTGCAGATAACGACTTGGGATCTTACGTAAATAAGAACAAGGGAAAGGCCGCTCTCAAGGACGTTCAAGATGTTGTCGAGCAGCTTCTTTATATTCTGAACGATCTTCTTCCGAAGTACCAGAGATTCTCGACCAAAGCCATCAGCGAAATTGGGCGACCTCCAATCACGGTTCGATACTGGCTACCCCTTTCCCTTGCGTTCCTCTCGGCAGGTACATCGTTCACACTTCTAAAAAGTTTGGGGCCTGCGCTTGTTGACTGGGTTGTCAATGCCGGATCAACTGCCTTTGAATTTTGGACCAATTGGGTTGTAGAACCGACCTGGAGGTTGATCCGGACAATTCGGCATGATGAAACAAGCGAAATCGCATTAATGAGTAAGAATAGCCTTGAAGCTGACCGAGCAAGCTTGGAGAGGATGGTTGTCGACTTTGTTCTCGATCGCGGGGGAAAAAGAGAGCCCTTGTTATCCGCCAACACCATCGCGGACAAGGTTAGGGAAGGTGACCTAACGCCGGTACTTATGGCCTACGAAAAAGATTTACGGAGTCCTTTTATAGGCACGGTCCGAGGTGACCTAGTCCGCGCCCTTTTGATTCAGATCCAGAAGACCAAGGTCGACGTTGAAATAGCAATGAGCGGGATCGACGCTCTCTTAAAAAGCCAGGAACTCGTTTTTGGGTATGTGCTAGCCTTCGAAATTTTCGTAACAGAAACCTGATAGGTCGCAGATTCGTTGGTTTGACTCCAGGGATTCTTGTCTCATACGCCTTCATTCGTTGGTTTTGGGGTCTGCTTGGTAGTAGAAAGGGATTTCAAGTTGGTAGACGACAGAATGATTTGAGATACGCCTTGAGGTAGGGTCATCTAAAGACAACAAATTTAGTCACTGATTCTAACTCTTTCCCCCTAGGAATATTCACCGAATTCTTACCTTGTCTGTTCCTACCGCCAATGGTCTTCTCACGTACAGAAACCACGGCCTTTTGATAAGCAATGCGGATACCCTCCTACGGAAAGCAGAAATAGTCCTTAAGGGCGAGGATTTCTATACATTCCAAGAAGATATCAGTGATTTAATCAACGAGAATCGGGCTGATCTGCAGCTAAAGATTATTGAACGGATGACATGGACTTATTCGAAGTGGACTTAACCCACGACCTACCGTGGTTATATATGAATGTATCTTTAGTGGATGGCGAGGGTCTAGAATACACTGTTTATTGGAAGTTATCAGCAACTTTTCCATTCTCAGATACACATAGATAGTATCAGGAACCCATGGATTCTGCGTTCCTGTATATTGCATTCTAACCCCCACCCCCTCGCGCACCCCTTTCTCCTCTTGAGTAGTAAAGTGCGGACCGCCTATATTGGTGTTACAGGATACCGAGCTTTGGGGTACGTAAGTAGATATCCGTGATGATGAGATTTGCCCCACCATCCACAACTCCGACATTGTTGCCGGCGCATCATTTGGAGGGTGGTTTTGTGCCGGAAAGGTACTACTAGTACTTGACTCAACCCGCTTCCCCCAAGAAACGGGATTCTCGTGACATTTATTTGAGACACAGGGCATTATTACGTGAAGAAGGTGCTTTGTATGAACCGACAGATATTATATATATACCGAGTACGTAGTAACTACTCAAAGTTGCCTATGGGTGGGGGTGGTTCAGTAATACTAGTCCCTCCTCGGCGGTTACAGATATGGAACCCCGTGCACAGGCGTTTTTTATAATTGCTGCATCCCTAGCTTACACCTTAGTCAACGTCCCCATTATCATCGTTTCGTTTCCTCAGGCACCATTCCAGCGCACTTCCTCTTTCTGAATAGGCAGTTGTCAACTGCATGCACGCTTGCTTGGCCTTCCATCAGAACTTGACGATTTCCTCGTATACTATCCACGTATCGACTTGGATTACTCCCTATTCGATTCTCATCCTTGCACTATCCTTCCGGCCGCGACGCAACACCTGTCCGTCCCCTGGCCTACTCCATCACCCTCTCCACCTGATCTCTCCCAGACCACGGCTCAAAATCATCGATACATTCTCCTCATACCCTTCGGCTAACGTGATTTCATGAAAATATAAACTCCTTATAGAGTAAAGAGCGTGTCGTAAGACAACATAGGGAACCCCCTGAGGATAACAAGGAAGCGGGAAAAGAGGGGAAGCAATATTACGGGCTCATTCCGCCATCCCCCAAGTTCCTGGAAGTTGTCTGCACTTACTCCTACGCTCTTTCCCTTCTCATAGCTTGAAATAGAGCCCATTAGCATCATGGCTGGTACCAGAAATTATGATTTTTTGGTAAGTTATTCCTGCGCGCCTACTACGTCACCGAACTAAAACTTTTTGTCACAGATCAAATTGTTGTTGATTGGGGACTCTGGTGTGGGGAAATCATGCTGTCTTCTACGCTTCAGTGAAGACTCTTTTACTCCGTCATTCATCACCACTATCGGAATCGACTTCAAGATTCGCACGATCGAGCTGGATGGTAAACGGGTGAAGCTTCAAATATGGGACACGGCTGGGCAAGAACGATTTAGAACCATCACAACAGCATATTACAGAGGAGCGATGGGTATTCTTTTGGTTTACGATGTCACAGACGAACGCTCGTTTCAAAGTAATTGCTTCTTTCGCTCCTACCAGCATATTAGACATATCAGACGCTAACCCTTGGATATTTTCCCTCTTTAGATATCCGAACGTGGTTTTCGAATGTCGAACAACACGCAAGCGAGGGCGTCCATAAGATTCTCATCGGGAATAAATGCGATTGGGAAGAAAAGAGGGCTGTGACAACGGAACAAGGCCAACAACTGGCTAACGAACTTGGGATACCTTTCCTTGAGGTTTCTGCCAAGAACAACATCAACATCGAAAAGGCCTTCTACAACCTTGCCTCTGATATCAAAAAGGGCATGGACACCTCGAAATCTGAACAACCTGGCTCCCAGGGTGTTAGCATAGACCACCAAGGTTCGGGGTTGAGTGGAAATACCGGAGGAAAGTGTTGCTGAGCGTATCCTTGTTTTGCCTCTTCCCTGTTGCTTTGTCTTTACCAGCACTTACCCCTACACCCGGCTTGCTAGGGTTTCTTGTCGGTGCTTGATTACATCGGTACTTTTCCCTATTTCTGTGATATGGGTTTATTACATCTGTATGTCTATAATTATTCCAGGTTCACTATTTTTATTTATAGCTCTCTTGAAATTTCATGGTGGCGTTGATGATAGTTTTTTTATCTTCTTATTCGGTACGCCCTCGTAGGCTATAATACCCTGGCCACGGTATCAGATCCTCCTATCTAGGGTGCTGATGCAGGCGTGGATATGGAGGATCTACACTTGTCTCGGAAAACACCCTGTATTCCTGCGGATTTATTTCAGGAGCCGGTCGACTGATGGATGTGTGCAGATGACAATAGTCGCCCACCAAAGCATGTCCGATACGTAAAACTGGGGCGATGCTTGATAAACATAGATATCGGGATAAAGTGCAAAATAAGCAGCTTGGTTGATTTTCCTTCACACCTTAATTGCGAAGGAATAATAAAAACAACCCCTCAGTCAAGGAGAGAAAGAGGGTCGGATAGTTAACTACTAATAATGTATTGGTCATGCCTTGATTTTACCATGAGCTTCTTTTGGTGTCCCCGCACTTAAGATTTTTTTTTTTCTTCTTTGGCTCGTCCTCTTTTCTCCACCGACAGAGTATATATATTCTTTTTTAAGTAATGCGATTCCACGAAATATTCACGGAATCTAAGCGAATAGCCTGCGCAGCTCCTGCCTTGATATCATTCTAGAACCCATAGCACACGCTATGATATGATGACCCGACCTTGCTCCTAGATATTTCTGGCACACCTACTGCTCCCCGCACATTCCTTGTCCACCCCGAGATGTCCGATAACAATTTAAATTTTACGGTACGGCCCTTGTCAAAACAAGTAAGAAACGACCATCGAGATGCCTTCCGAGTATATTTATCGTCGTCATCGTCGGCTCTCCTCAAACTTCGAGCCGGAGATGTTTGTTGCCTAACACTCCCCGACGGATCCTCGAAGAATGCCATTGCTTGGAACGCAGCCGAGAAAATCCAGCCTTCTGTCGTACAAACATCTCGAACACTTCAGGATTGCTATGGAATCAAGCTTGGGGAGGTAGTGTCGATCACTAGAGTGGATGAGGCCCTGGAAGAAATCGATTCAATCTCTTTAGAGGATTGCTCAGACGCTGACCGGATTGAGAAATATGGTCCTATTCCAGTTTCCGATAGGCTGCACTGGGCCTGGTCCTTGGAGCTTCCTCTCTCAAAATGCGAGGCCCTTGCCATTGGCCTTGCCTTCGACCTAGAGCTTAGGGGCCAGCGGAGAACTTTCAGGATTGCGAATGTGCGGGCAATGACTCAGGCTTATAATGGAACTCTATTCCGGTTCACCGAGAAAGCAAAAATCATGATTGACGAAGACTTGGGAGGCGTACAAGAGAATTCAACCTTCCCCCTCCATGTTCGATCTGTTGGTTTAGGTGGAATGGGCCGTCAGATCCAGAGCATCAATGAGAGCCTTGCCGATTTCAACCTAGGTTCAGAGATACCCACGATGCCTTCATTCTATGAACATAGCAGAGGCATGCTTATTTACGGGCCGAAGGGAACCGGAAAGTCATCACTTCTCGGCCAGGTTCGGTCAGCGGGGTGGAGAAAAACATTTGATGTCGGCTCCTCTACATTTAGCAAAAATGTTGGCGATGGTGAAGCTAGGTTGCGCCATATATTTCATGAAGCCATCCGTTGCCAGCCTAGTGTTGTGATTATTGATCAGCTTGAATTTATCGCACCGAAAAAGGCATCATTTGACGCACAGTCTCTCGCACCAGTATTATGTGAATGCATGGATTTAGCAAAGGGTGCCCGCGTCCTAGTTGTCGCTGCAACTCGGCATCCTAACGATGTGGATGATGCCCTAAGAACACCCCATCGACTGGCCATTGAGATTGAATTACAGATTCCTACCGCGCATGATCGAGCCGAAATATTGAGTGCTATTTGTGGCGGCCCGTCCTTCGCTTTAAACAAACACCTCATAGACATTATGGCAGAGAAAACTCATGGTTATGTTGGCGCCGATCTTTTCGCTTTGTTACAACTCGTGTGCCGTAAAGCTCGACAAAGGCAGATTGTGCAGGATAGGCTGGCAGACGATTTGTTGAACCGTGGACATGCCGCTAGTAGCGGCTCAGAAGTGTGCCATGCTCTGCCGGAAACGACTATCAGCCTGAAAGTTGAGGAAGACGATGTTTCCTCAGCCCTCCAAGAGACTCGTCCGACCGCAATGAGAGAAGTCTTCCTAGAGACGCCCAAAGTAAGATGGTCGGATATTGGTGGCCAGCATGAAATCAAGCGACGACTCCAAAAGGCTGTCCAGCGGCCCTTGAAGGTGAGTTTGGCTCTTAGGGGGTTGCTAAACTGGGGATCAGTGTGCTAACTGATCTAGCATCCTGAACGTATGAAAAGGCTCAATGTAAATAGCAAGAAGGGAATTCTCCTCTATGGACCTCCGGGCTGTTCTAAAACATTGACCGTCAAGGCCCTAGCGACAGAAGCAGGCCTGAATTTCATGGCCGTGAAGGGTGCGGAGATTCTGAGTATGTATGTTGGAGAGTCCGAAAGAGCTCTTCGCGAAATCTTCAGAAAAGCACGCTCTGCCAGGCCCAGCATTATTTTCTTCGATGAAATTGACGCCATTGCCTCGAAGCGCGGAAATACATCTCAGGGAGGTGTTAACGTGCTTACAACTCTGCTCAACGAAATGGATGGAATCGAGGAGCTCAAGAGCGTCTTGGTTGTTGCAGCAACAAATAAGCCTGATGTAATTGACCCAGCCCTGATGCGCCCAGGCCGCCTTGATAATATTCTCTACATTGGACCTCCCGATATTGAGGCACGAGAGGAAATATTGAACATATGGTTTAGAAAGTCGGCAGTCCATCCGGAAGTAGATGTGAGGGACTTGGCTTCCAGAACAGAAGGTTATTCCGGCGCAGAGATCGTGAGCATCTGCGAGACTGCAGGAGACGCTGCACTGGACGAAGAGGATGAGACTGGCAAAGAACAGGATATTTGTTGGCGACATTTTGAATACGCCCTGAAGCAGGTTCAGAAGCAGATCACAGAAGAAGTGATCGAAGAATACGAGCGATGGGGTAACACTGTGGATCCCAAATAATAGATATATTTACACGATGATATATAAGATCATACGAGGTTATTCTACGGAGTACACCCACCGTCACATTGATCCTCAGATTTGGACTATCGGAGTATACAAGGAGGTATCTAAGCCTAGTAAGGAGTAGAGTAGAGAAACTAGGCACACTGGCACAGTGCAGTAGGGCTCAGCCTAACCTGCTTGGAGTTAGCTCGTAACCTGACAATTGCTCCAACCAAAAAGCTTCCAAGCACCAAACCAGCTCTCCTTGCTTCATCTCTCTTCCTCCCACCTACCCTACTGATCAATTGTTGCAGTTTCTGAGAGCTCATCACTGTGCATGCAAAATCGCGAAGTTGTTTGTCCCCCCCCGAATACACCCCTCTCACTTGCCCGTCCAATTAATCGATTCGCATCCAGATAGCTAAAGGTCAAATTCCAACTACCTGCACGTTCTCCTCCCAACACAGAGTACGGATAATTTGGCATCACGCGCTCCAAACTTCCTTGTTGTCGCATAACCGACCATTCAAAGCACGAAATCGATCATTTTCAAATATCGCCATGGCGCGTTCTGTATCCCCTCGGCCAGAGTCAAGGGCCCGGAGGTCTTCTCGTAGCCCGCTGCGTGAAAACAGTCTTGATAATCGCAATGGACACCGACTAGAAAGCCGATCTAGGTCTCGCTCGCGATCTAGACGTTTGTCAGTAAGCCGGAGTCGGAGCCGGAGCCGGAGTGTGGCCTCTCGATCTTACAGGGATAGAAGCTATACTCGAAGTCTGAGTCCACCGGGTGCTTCAAGAAGTTCAAAGGTTTGACCCCTTGCTACTATTGGAGACGTTTCATGAGGCTCATAAAATGAAAAGATTGTCATTGAAAAATTGACTAAAAATGTCACGGAGGCTCATCTTCACGAAATATTTGGGGGGTTCGGAGAGATCCAAAGTCTTGATCTTCCCATGAACAATGCTTGTATGTTTGTTTTCCTTTTTTTTTTTTTTTTTTTTTTTTCCCCTGAGCGTCTTATGGCTGATGCATATGGCCTTCCACTAGTTATGACAAATAGAGGTACGGCCTACATCGTCTACCACGACCCTGCAGACGCGGAGGCGGCCATTGCGCATATGCATGAAGCTCAACTGGATGGAGCTGTGTTGAGCGTTTCAATTGTGCTTCCCAAGAGAGCCTTTTCCCGCTCGCCACCACCGCCATCCAATATAAGAGGAGGCTATGGTCGTCAGAGGCACCCCCGAGGCCCACCTGTGGACAGCCGCTCTTCTCGCCATTCCCCACACCCACCTAGGTCCCCTCCCTCGAGAAGGTATCGCAGGTCTCGCCCCATGGAAAGGCATGATCTTTACCGGCCGCGGTCTCTTTCCCAGTCTAGATCTCGATCGCCTCGTCGCTCTCGATCGGTTTCTTCTCGATCCCCGTCTGCATCTCCAAGGAGAAGGTCACGAGCACATGACGGAAGTCCTCGTCAAAGCAGACGGCGTAGCCCTAGCTACAGTAGCTACGGGTATAGCAGCCGTAGCAGGAGCAGAACCCCAAGTCGAGAAAAAGGCCGCAATCGGTATGGACCTTCATCCAAGCGGTAGATATGATTCAACGACAAGAGATTCCCTTGCGCAGTGCCTTGCGAGTTTTCTAACGCCATCATGGCTAACAAATTCAATTCACGTATCCCATCTAATCAGATTGCAGCGGGGTTTTGGAAGATTAATGTAACCGATATAATAGCTTTATTCTGATGATTCACTCGATTATTTTCCTACACAGGAAATAGCCTTATTTCGAAGAACATCGGAAGATATGCCAGGTTTAAATTCCACCCTAGAAGAAAGCGAACCAACCGATGTACATCGCCGCTAGGTTTTTAATATCGGTTGCTTGTATGATCAATTCATCTACATGGCCATCCACCGATAATGGGACTGATTCGCCAGGAAGGAGACCGCGGAGTTTATTACGGACATTTTCTAAAACGCCCGCGGGGGTCTCGGGGACATTTGCGTGTGTGCGGCGCTGGAAGGAGGGAAATGGAAATATAAGCGTCTTGATCACATATCTGCAGCTGGATGCTCACCTTTTTGCCAATGAAGTCTGTTGTTGGATCATGCAAGAATGTCTCCAAGATTGTCATAAGCGCGTCCTCATTCTGGCGCAGCAGATCAAGGCTGAGTTCACATGTCTTTCGAAAAGGGCCTATTGACTATTAGAAATCAAACCAAATTCAACATCTAAATCCAAATCTAAGAGAGAAAAAAAAAAGCTAAAAGCTTTATGCGCTCAACGACACAGGGGACAGACCGTTATATCCGTAGGCACCAAACGCATCCACCATATTTTGGGTGAGGCGGAATGGCACCAACTCAGGTTTATCGAATGTTAAACCCTAGGGACTGTCAGCTCGGGAGGGTGCATGGTCTTTTGAATATCAACTTACTTTGTCAAATAGACAGTTAAAATCAACATGCAGAACACCCCCGGTACCTTCTTCGAATAAAATGTTTTCACCGTGGCGATCTCCAAGTCTACATACAAAGCTCATCATGTTAAAAAAGGGTTGGCTAGGTGTGATTTGGCATCACCTACCCGAGGACATATCCAACCATGGACATTACAGCACACGACCGCGTGTAGCGAAGTCTTGCTGCAAACCAAGCGCCAGCCTCAGGGAACATCTCTACAAACCACTCGTGCAAAACTGGAGGAAACCTACGCCAGAATTAGTAAAGGGATTCTTCAATTGTAACACACAATATTATTATATATCAGTGGACTCACATTGCCAGAATCTTATCTGTGAACAGCGGGAGCTTAGATACATCCGAACACGCTTCATTGAGATAATGTTTGATTTGATCGTACTAAAGATAGGTTAGTCCCAAAGCGAATCAGACGATATCTTAAGCAAGACTGCAATCCTGCATCTGTGGATCTTACATTCAATGTGACTCCTCTCTCTTTCAACAGCTTAGTGATGAGGTCCCTCAGTGTTCTGAGGTTATCCACCCATTCAATAAGCCCACATTCTTCATTCAACGGAGTAACGGCATATGTTTTGATATCTTCTACCCGTTAGCTTAAAAAGAGGAGGAAACAAGCTTAGGAAGTATACTCACACATGCGCCGTTTGCTTGACTCAACATCCTTTTTCAAGAATCGATTGATCATGTTGTTAAATTCCATTAGACGCTGGTCCTTACGAAGGTCATCCTTTGGCTTGCATAGGATATTGTAGATCTTGCCATCTGATCCTCGGATGCTGATTTTCCGGGGCTTCTGGAGCGAGTTCAGAATCTGGGCGTCATCAAGAATAGCTGCATATGGTCAGAAACGTTGTCCCATTGAATATACTACCATTACACACCTTCGATAGTCGTAGGGTCTCGTGGGAAAGCCCGGAACCCCTTTAGGTACTCAGAGTCATGGCTAGCAGGTAAGCTCGGGGTAAGCATCGCTTGGAATGGTACGACTAGTCGGCATGGAGCCACCTTGTGGTTGAATCCAAGCTGTCGAGCAAGATTGATTCTGGATGTCTTCTTATTCTCGATTCGGGCCACACATAGCCTTAACATTTCTTCTGAAAACTTCTGGCCTTGGTTGATCATTCCGCGGATGTCGGAGGTTCCATCTGTCTTCGTTTTCTTGTTCATATCCTACAATAATTTTAGTCTGGGTTGTTTGAGCGCAAGCTCCTCAACATACCATGATCTTTTGGAGACACGTAAAGCCTCTCGATGCTCGATCTTTTGAAGATGATTTGACCACAGCAAGCACCGTCCATAACCCTTGTTGGGGGAAAGAATTTACTGATTTCGCTACAATTTTCGTCAGGAGGTTATACACCGTGACGTTAGGATGGCATATTCGGGCCACGACTTGAGGAAGAATGGTGAAGAGCTGAAAGACATTAATGCATGATCCGATATATATTAAGATGGAAACTAACCAGCGCTGATGGCATTCTGTTTACATATTTCTTCAACTGTGAATGCATGTCGTCAAGGCTCTTTTTTCTTTGATTCAATGTGTGCGCTTGGAAGTCCCTTTGGTTGGTCAGTAGGCAACATAAAAGGATGACACTAGAAAGGCATAAGCCGAGTCACATACTCATTATCACCCCTTTTCGGGTCAAACGGCTGTTCAACAGTCGAGGCATGCTCCAGCCAAAGCGTCAAGACCTTCGGCAATGACTGGAACACGTATTTATTTCCATGAGCTAATGAGCGCAGGTAGTTATCAATGACTAGCTTCGATGCCTCGCCACTCAAACTGGGGACGTTACTATCAGTCTTAGAATTTACTCCATGGTACTTACTAAATCTGTGCTTCCTTGCCTAATGGCTTGGACTTTTCTGAATCCAATATTTTGTTGTAATGCTTCCCGAGATAATAGTGGGCCTTTTCCCATCTGCAAAATGTTAGACAAAGCCAGCATTTGATATGCATGACTAGTTACCTGGAATGGAGCTTGATGGCTTCTCGATATCTCTGCACTATCATATCTGACTGAGTCTGCCCAGCTCTGTCTGTCCATTTTGCCAACAGTAAATGTGCCTATATAATTAGCTAAATGACGCTGGAAGGAACTCATATGAGACGTACTCGTGCTGCAAGTAAGTTTTGGTGCTTTTCACGGGTTGAAGTTGGCGCAGAATTTGGGCCAATGGATGCGGATGACGTCGATGAAAACTCATTAGCAGCTATCGCACCCTCTAGTATTTGGATGGCTTTCCGATGATGACCATCTTTCCAGAGAAGTCGGGCATGCTCGATTGTAGCAGACCGATCCTTCAGGTTGGCGGCATTAAGCATTGACTGGTACGCTTGGTTGCCAAAGTTACCTTTCCTTGACAAACGCGTGGTAGTCAACCAGGCTGCCGCTATGTCAGAGTCTGCGAAACAGCCACTAGATATGGGATTAGCATAAACTTCACTCTGGAAAATTCGTAAGAATATAACGTACGTCAGTTCCATTGTGGCTCTCCTTAGACCAAGAAGATACTGCTTGTCAGAGATATACCCTCCCAGAACATCTAATCGACGGTCCAAGGAATCCTGTAATTCTGAACGCGAGTCGTTGTTTTTGCTTGCATCTATTTCCACTAAAGCGACAGATTCTACCTCTGTCAGAGCATGTAGCTTCAGCATGTTATCATGACATGATTGCAAAGATGTAACGGAATTCGTGGTGAGAGACTTGGTAACGCTGAGTCTTAAGTTGTTAATGATCTCACCAAATTCCTTTTTGTGGCCACAGCGGAAAGCATCAAGAGCTGATCCAACCCCAATATTGAAATCCGCTGTACGCTTCTGTGTACAAAGGTCGAGATAACTGTGCATTTTCTCCCATTTACCTGTCATCCAAGATGCCTCCACTGCGAAAGGAAGGAATTTAGAAACAGACGTTGGTGTTTTCAGGATTTCAAAGCGGGTCAGGATTGCATCTAAAGGCTGTGAATATATTGATGGGTAAAGAGAGCCTCGGTTGAAGTATTACCTTGCTGCCCTGATTCCTTGAGGCACGTAAACAAATTGCATTGGGCGTCGATGTTTTCGGGTTCTTTCTCAAGTTGCAACTCGTACCAACTTTGCGCTGTTGCCCATCTTCCTGCTTTTCGGTGTTCAAGAACCTGTTGATCGATGTCAAGCACATGCAAGTGGGTTGAAATGCCCTCTATGCCATCCGGCTCATCTATTTGGCTGTAGATATTCTGAAGATGCTGGTAAAGGGATTCGATGCTGCCGTGTTGCTGCTTTTCGGGTTGCATTTTATATTGACGAATGTATTGTTCCCAATGGAACAGCGCCCTGGAAAAGGACTTGCACTCCACTGCTCTCTTGGAAATAACTTCGGGTGGGATACCGCTCAAAAGACCCTCCACGGCTTTAATTTGTGATGAATACGTGTCTAGGAGTAAATCCCTGGAGCTTTCCTTGGAAACTCTATGCGAGCCCTGACCATGATTTCTAAGGCTATTGAGCTGCTTTTTCTTCCCCTGCAACCACCTCGAAAGGTAGTCCAGAACTTCAAAAACACTCTAGTATAGGTAGTTAGATATAGGAAAGTCCAAGTCCGAAGGGTAGGCATGGCTTACCTGGCTACACAAGAGGACGGCTTCGTGTACCTGATTACTGGTTTCAGGAAGGGGGTAAGAAAGAATATTGACCAACTCACACTGCAAATCCTCTTTCTCTTTCTGGGTTCCTCCCACCACGCGGTTTAATACGGCAAATGGCAGGAGAAATGACGCTATTGATATGTCCTGTCCCTTGATTATGCGACTGCAAACACTAAACACGGACTTTGCGTTATCGCCATTCCCACTCTGTAGAAGGTCTTGGACAAAGCCTCTTAACCAATCGGCATGAGTTAGCTCGGCCGAAAATAAAGGATAGCTGCCGTTAGAGCTAACGGTGCCAACGGTAACAGTATATTTTGATGTTAGGAAAGGTGTTAGAGTGTTGCGAACAGCCTCAGGAAGTTCTAGCCACCGTTGATATTTCTCGTCTGTCTGAATCGTACGAGAGCGTTGCGTGACGGTGGGGTTCAGATTGCAAAATTTAAGCAAGTTTTGCATAGCATAGGCAAGAAATCCCTGGGCCCTAGTATTAGAGGCGGACAGGAAGGCGTCAACTAAAACGTGTTGAAGGAAAAAGAGCACAAATTCGAAGGTCTCCTCCATTTTATCAAAGTTTGACAAAACCAGAATTTCCTTCTTCTCTTTGATTGTGTCCACTCGGTTTGGATCCAGGCAGCCGATATGACCCAGGCATCGAGCTGAAAGAAGAGTAATGGACTCCGAGGTAGTATTGAACTTCACACAGCAGTCAAGCAGGGAGCGTACTAATTGCGCTACTGCTGGGTCAGGCTGCTCGCTCAAGACGGATCGATGAACGAACTCTTCGTGCTTTGAGAGGTAGAGAACAAGCTCAGCAAGGGCTTGTTCAACAACTGTAGCGTTCTCACTCAAGCAACGGCGGGCAAATGCCAAAAAATGGCTTCGGACGTCCATCCTCTCCTTCATCTCATTTATCTTGTCCTCGAATTTAGACATCACAGGTATTGAAGCTAGCGAGGGCATTGTGCTGAAAATATCTTGCATTAGTTCACTGTACGATCCCAGGATATGATCCACAATTTCATAAGCAAATTGTCTGGCCTCTTTAGTGAAATTTTCCCAGTGTCTAATCAAGATGGACAGCGTTTGATCAAGTAGAGGCTCAACTTCCTCTTCGTGCAAGGAGCTGATCAGAATTCCCCAGACCGTGAAGGCATTACTGCAAAGTTCCCTGATTTCCAAAGCAGCCCGCAGGCAGGCACATATCTGTATTTTTCTTAAGTCTCTCTCATCCATTTCTTCAGTTAGGACGGCATATTTAGAACGCACCTGAGGCAAAGCACTGCTGATATGACCCGGGGCAACTTTGATCATTGCTCCAATGGCTATGAGGTTTCTTTTCTTTTCAACAATAGGCTGACGTATTTGGAAATCATTAATGGCATGAGCGAACTGCGTTATTATTCCAAGAACATGCTCTTCGACGAAGTGACCTATCAAATTTGATTTTTTGGGTGCATGGGTGGACTTTCGAGGCACCAGAGATGCAAGAATATGCAACGCTCGATGAAACTACACTCGTTAGCATTTTATTTTCTCATGGGTAAAGGAATAGCGTACATACCCTTGCTCCTTTTTCTTCCCCCATATCCCCAAGGCCTTTCAGGAGGTCGCACGCAATTAAAATAGGTTCAATTCTCACCAATTCTGCTAGAGTGCGCCCTTCGAAGGCCGGGTCCACGGCGGATAAGGTCGACATGATCATTTTTTCTGAATCTGAAGAGGGCTGAGATAATAAAAAGGCTAGTATGGCTGCGAGATTATTCTTCTCTGAGCATATATCAAAGGGAGTTTTGACATCTTTGTAGGTCCCTCCAATTCTAGCAATGATATCATGTTTTCGTGAAACCACCAAATGAGGAAGAACATAAACTTCTGTAAGTCGGAGAAAATCATCTACTTTCATCCCGAGTAAGTCACAAAGTTGCTCTGCCATATAAGGGCGAGACTGCAGGGTTTTTGCAACTGTAACGGAGAGGGTTCTCCAAAAAGGCCGAAACAACCCTGCGGGAGTGACAGAAAACTGCTGCGCCAGCTTTGATAACTAACACGTCGTTAATTAATTCTGAAGGGGAATTAAAGGAGGTATAAACCATAGAGTTTCGTAATTAGAAGGTTGGTGTGTATACATACTTCAGTGTATGCTACTGCACAGACGAAAGGATTTGGGTGCCCGAGATACTCAATAAGACGAAGCAGGATAATGTTCATTTCCTCATCATTTGAAAACCTAAGGTTTCGAGGTTAGTGACCCAAGATTAAAACATTGGAGAAAAACTGGGATGTACTTGGCAAGTCGGCACATGGTCATAATACAAGTCTCATGCAACGACGCTTCTTGCTTTTCAGAAAGGCTCTTCAACCACTCCAGGATGACAACAAAATTGCTCCGCTGAGTTTCATCCTCTAAGCTCTTACGTACGAAACAAATTACCGAATGTCTGAGGTCCATTTAGCATGAAAGATCTGATGGCTCGTGGGAAGGTCCATACCCAGTGATAACTCGAAGCTCTCGCACTGAACTTCTTAGCGAACTTAGAAAGAAATCACCAAAAGCTGAAGAAGACAGTTGCAGATGGGTTAAGCTTGCAGTGTGCATTAGGGTTCGTTTCAATGTTGCCATCGCGGTTACTCTAAGGGCAGGGGAGCGGGATAGTCTCGGGATTATAAATGATAAGATTTTGCATAAAGCATCGCCGTCGTGTGTTTGCCAATTCAGTCCAGAATCGTGATCATACGGCTCACAATCGCAAGCAAGACAGGGTTGCGCGCCTCTTATGACATTTTCAACAAGCCCAGTTAAGCTGCCGGCCATGGCGCAAGGAAGCCGGCTCAAAGTACCTAGAAATTCACATTTTGCTGGCTCGGAGAGCGCAAAAAAGTTTTCACTTTATTTGGTATTCCGCATTAGCATCTGCCTGTTCTGAGCATATAGTTTGACTCACGAGATTGCCAAGTTTAGGCTGTCTAAGTTTTCGGGTCCGTCAAAGCGGAGCATCTTCAGCAAAACAGAGATGAATTGCTGAGCTATATTTAACTCATCTTGTGCATTCTCCAGCCGTGGGAGGCAACGACGTTTGGATGCTTGTGCGATCTCATCACTTTCAGATGTCCGGTCTGGCAGCGCAAATCTTTGTACGCAAGTGAAATTGTCTAGCATGGGTTTATCACTAATATTCCTGGGTGAACTCTTCACAGGCTCCGGCTTTGAACGAATCTGGACGAGTCTCTTTAGAAATCCCTGTACGGTGGCCTTGCTTCCAATCAGTCTTACGGTCAAACATCTGGAATTACAATAGGACTGACTACCTGGAGATGTGGGTCAAGCGATTGGAAACTAGGTCTCTTCGCAGCATCACCTAGAGAGGTTAAGAGTGTTCTAATGGACCTCAGGCGCTTCTCTGTATAGTCGGAAAAATTAGCTAACTCATCAATGCACTGGCTCAAAGTTAGTTGAAGGGAGGAAAAATCGCTCAAATTTTCCCATTCCAGTATATCGCCTATTATCTGGAGGAAATCGGGTGCAATCTCTATTTCAGATGATGATCCGAAAGGGCAACTTGAGCGAACGGAGATCAGGAATTGTGAACAGACTTGAGCTTTAGTCTCAACATTATCTGTACTCGGATTTTGAAGCCAACTAAAAATGACTTTCCACAGGCGTAGATAGCCATTTAGGACCCAGGCGAGGTTTTGGCGAACGGAAGGAGATTTGTTAGCACATGGGAAACCGACACTCTGGCGCGGCAGGAAAGAGTCAAATAGACTGAGCGATACAATAGCAGCGCTCGGAAATGTCCTGAATTTGAGTTTCTTCTCGAATAGTCCATGAGGGAGGCCAAGTTTGCCTAATGCTACAGAAAGAGGACCATCAGATAGGGGTATAAATAGCCTAGACAGAGAGCCATCCCGCCGTCCTCGAAAATTGAGCTCTTCTAGGGAGAGTAGAATATCTAAAGTGGATCAGTTCACATCTCGAACTCGCTCCTAGATCTGACGAACCGGTTGCGCAACCCCGCAAAAATGCGGAGATCGCATGGCAAGACGACCACAGCCTGGTATGTTTATATTGAGCGCGGATGATACTCGAGTAGACCCCAATTATTTTCTCCCCAATGCTACCGTTGCTGTTCCGAGCACTGAGCAGGTGAAGAAGCCGAACCACTAACCAAGCGTATAGCGGAGCATAGGCCTTTTCCCCAATTATTTCTGGATCCGGGATATCCAGTAACGTTCGAGGCGCTTTCTCGACGGTTGTTTGAATGATGTCTAAACAGTCGAAGAGTTGCCCACTCCACTCCTCGTTGTCCGGGTTCTCATCCTTTATACAAGGTTCCAAACCGGCCTTTATCACAATACAAATCAATTTGCTAACATCGGTAACACTGTCGTCGAGGCGGAGTTGACTGTATTTTCCTTCCACAAGCTCTTGACGGAGCTCTGAAAACGCTTCTCTTGTTAAACTATGTACTTGGGTTCCTTCGGAAGAGAGGCGAGGGGCAAGCTGGGCTGCGAAAGTAGACGAAACTGGTTCTGCAGATGTCCAATCGACCATACTTATCGTTGGATAAGAACGCGCCTTGAGGTCATCTGCAGCCATCTGGAATGCATTAAATCATGATAACCAAAGTGGATTAGAGGTTGATGAATAGCATAAAAGCGTAGGCCGTTGATGTTTTGCTTCAGTAACCAGAAAATTGATAAACGCGATAAAGTCAGTTGTTGCTTGTGGTACGGAGTACTGGTAAAACATAAAGGCTAGCGGTCATATATCCGTATTACGAATACGGGATAAGACCCCTCGGAAATTATCTAATCTTCGATACATTTCATGGCCGTCACTACTCAATCATCGCCTGAAATATCAAGTCCTTTCTTCTTCTCTGACTTTAAATATTCAGCGCTTTTAGCTCCTGTATAATTCTCTACTCAAGCACGTATCACTCCCGAGCAGGCCTTTTTTTTTTGCGACACGAGAACTCGTTTGGTCAATGCTCACCAATTAGCTTGTCCAAAGCTACCCAGCTTTTGATATTGATTGTGTTTAAGCTGCTTTCTGGCTCACAGTTTCACTCAAGCATCATTTCGAGGAAAACCTCTGGAATCCTAAGCATTGGTGATATGGAGCAAGTGAACGTTATGCATGGCCCGGAGGCATCCCAGATGCAGCCAGCGACCTCCAGACAGGCCTACTTTATGGAGCAAGCTTTTGAAATGGTATTTCCCCTTCTGGTTGACAGATTAAAGGCCATACTTCTCACTATTCTACAGGCTAGAAAAGCGCTTGATACCGGCGAAACACCGGTAGGGTGTGTCCTGGTGTATGAAGATCAAATAGTTGGATCCGGTATGAACGATACAAACAGGTCCATGAATGTAGGTGATTCAACATATGAAACTCGGAAAGACGTGCTGTAGTGTTTAAAAATATCCTCTTGCACGTTCTGCAGCTTTGCTGATAAAGCTCTCAATTTGCTTTCTCCATAGCAAACACTACCAAAGGCTAGATGGGGATCTGACATGTTATGGGTAGGGAACGAGACACGCTGAATTTCTTGCCATTCAGGAGATGCTTCGCAAATATCCGCGATCGGCACTCCATTTAACGGATTTGTATGTGACTGTTGAGCCCTGCGTCATGTGTGCCTCGGCCTTGCGGCAGTATCGAATACGAAGCGTGTATTTTGGCTGTGGCAATGAGAGGTTTGGGGGGACGGGCAGCATCTTGTCATTGCATTCTGAGTTTGTTTCCCTCTAGCTAATAAGGCAATTGGTTGATCTTACGGCTTATCCTCCCCAGTCTTTCGATCGATCCGCCTTATCCTGTCTACGGCGGCTTGAAACACAAGGAAGCCATAATGTTACTACGACGCTTCTACATCCAAGAGAATGACAAAGGTATACAATCGAATCTTTCTGGGAAATTTTGATATTTGTTTTTGACTTTTTCATAGCGCCAAAACCTCGTCCCAAAAAGAATCGCGAGTTGAATACAAAATTTGACAATGATATCGAAAGCGTTGACAATACGTCAGTGGAAAAGTGAAAATACAGCACCGATTGAACTAGCCACCAGTCCTAACTGACAAAAAATAACTATACAATTCCGTTCGCCTTGGCCACACGCACCAGTGGGTGGGAAGAGGGGTTGCGTCACATTTATGTTTAAGTATACAGCTCCCTCAGTGAACGGCCGAGCTCAAGTGGTAAGACAATCCATTCCTCTCTGCGTCAATCGAAACTTTAGGAGGATCCGGCCTTTGCCAAGCGCTCTGCTTCAAGCTCCCGCTCCGCCTGTTGATAGTATTTGGCTGTATCGACACCGTGCTTGTGCCATAGTCAGTATATGGATAGCGGAATTAAAAGGAAGATGCGGGGTCGGAAGGAAATTGTCTAGGCATCAAGAACCTACCTGGTCATGGTTGACAATGTTGAACCACGGAAGAACATGAATAAAGAGTTCTGAGTAACGCGAGTTTCTGGCGGCCACCCCTTGCAAGTAAGAGGAGACGGTTGAGGTACCATACAAAGCCTCACCCTTCTTAACCTTGCCGACCATTTCCTTCATATCCATCTCAACTTCCCTCGAGTTCTCTGTAAAGCCGTAAAAGCGGTCTGCGATGGTATGAGCGAACAATTCTAGCCAAGGCACACAAAACGACCGGGACTTCGGGGAATGACGTACTGCAAGATCTCTGGTAAAGCACATGTAGACCTCCGACGAGACCAATTGCTGTAGCTAGGCGCATCACAGGGGCAAATCCTCCCCTACCGACATGAGATGGGCTCACTCGTTCCATAATCCAGAAGGCGAGCGGAGAAGCCGCAGCCATTCCACCACCAACGGCATAATCGGAGGGTCTGGCGTATCCGAAAACTCGTCGCAGATGCCTATAATAAATCAAAAAAAAAAAAAAATCAAACATTAGTGTTCGGTTCAATTCCCCTCCTGACGTCCATTTATTTCCAAATATGCAAACATTCTGGTGATCCATACGGGTCAGAGTCAATGAGCTGTTAAACACTCGCATGTTAGCAATAGGCCTTTTTCTAACGACGTGAACAGCGGAGTTGGCGGAGGAAATAATCGCACCGGATAATCGGTCCTGGCCCGCTTGGGCGGCACGACCATTGTCTTGGGATCAGCTGCCATCGTGACCAAGCTGTATAATATGGGATTGTGTCAGCGACAAGTTTGTGTTGTTCGGAATGGCTCGAAGTTGAATGGGGTTGGAACTTGGAGGACGGAAGGAAGTTGGTGCCAAGCTCGATTTTTCCGAATTCAGATTAGTTAACTAGCTGGGGGGAATCCGACATGACTAAGAGTGTATGTATGTGTTGGTAATAACGGCGATATCATTCGAACAGAACATACGAATACCGTACTGTAATTTAGTTCAATTAGTTCAATATGGGTTCGCGGAATTACTTGATTAGCTATTGATTCCCCATGAGATTGGAATAGAACCTAGCTCAGTTTGAACTTCTAATGAACTCGTGTTCTGAATTCCAGATATCAAATTATCAAGCCCCCAAATTCTTTTTTTTCCCCCCTTTTTACCGATGTTCCCGGGTTAATTGGGGGTTTGAAGAGAAATTTCAAGTCGCGCGTTCTTGACGCGTCCTGGCTTGCTTATCGATTCTCTCACACTCGTTATCGGCATCCTGTGGATGCCACCAGCTTTTTTTTTTTTTGGCGACAACCCAGCATTGATTTATTTCCCTCTACAGTTTCTACAGGTCAACAAACAGTTTATCTCGAAAATCGTTATATCCCAATGGCAAATGAGGGCAATTCCACAACAACCCAACCAGCACCATCCGCAGACGACATCGACGATCTATTCGACTACGATGTTGGCTTAGATGGGATTCTGCAAGAAATCCAGACCAACTCAAGTAACATCAATGCACCAAACCCAAACCCACCGGCTGCCCAGGACAACTCGGGAGTAGTCCTAGGACTGGATGAGGAGGTCAAAGTTGCCAAAAAGCGCCAGCCCGTTGCGAAACTCGATGAAAGCAGGTAAGTTGCTGCTATAACAGACCAACCGGGGTCCGCTTCATCTTTACATTTACGCCTGTTATTGTCGCTAACATTGCTATTCTCTCTCTCTCTCTCTCTCTCTCTCTCTCTCTCCAAGATTACTCTCACAGGCCGGGATCCCCAAATTGCGCCGCTCTGCAAAACAAAAGTTAAAGTTCAAGGGAAAAGGCCACGAGGTGAGACCGCGCACCCCCCCCTGGTATGGAACTGAACCGAGCTGAGGCTTGTTATCCCTGGCCAGTTCTCCGACCTAGCGCGGCTACTCAACTTCTACCAACTGTGGCTTGACGACCTGTTTCCTCGCGCCAAGTTCGCCGATGGCCTAACCATCCTCGAAAGACTCGGTCATTCCAAACGGATACAGATAATGCGACGGGAATGGATCGACGAGGAAAAGCCCAAGATGGGAGATGGCGAGATCCCGGATCGCTCGCGATTCGGCCAGCAAAGCAACAACAACAACAACAACAACAACAACGATAATGATAATGACCTTACAACCCACGACGTTACAATGACAGAAAACAACCATGAATCCGGTCCCAGCAGCGAGTCGGTGAAGGTTGAGTACTCCCGAGAAACAGATGGTATAGACAATGACGATGACGATGACGACTTGTTTATATCGGACAGAAACGCGCAGAGTCGCTTAACTGCGAATCAAAGCGCTCCTCCTCAGGATGACGAGTTTGACGAGTTAGATGCTTTACTGAGGGAACAAGAAGATCAAATAACTGGTGGAGAGAACCCTTCCGCTGCGATTGAGCACGATCCATTTGAAACAGCAAGTCATGCGGATGAGCTCGAGGCCATGGAAGGGATGGGCCTGTTTGGGGATACACCCTCCTAGAAATTACATCAAGGCCCATTCACTTTACTGGTGATTTGAACAAATCTGTTATACTCCATAATAATAAAACTTATTCTGTAATTGTTGAAAGATCACTGATCAACCCTGGGAAGGGAGGGAAAAAAAAATTATATGCATGCATTTTGTGCATTCCTAGCCATTGCCCATGCGAAAAAAAAAAAGAAGAGAGAAAAGGAAGAGGGAGAAGAAAAAAAAAAAACAATAGAACTCCATATTCTTGTGCAAGATTGTAAGTAAAGAAAAAAAAAAAAAAAAAAAAAAAAGGTACCTTTCAGGTCTAAAATCCCCCGGGGAGAAAATTACGACACGAAGGAATGACTGAAATATGACCATCTCGTTTTGATACACACATCCCCTTCCCCCGTCTCCAGAAAACTTTGTAAGATGATTATGTATGCCTTGTCATTTTGGTGAGCAGTTTATTCACAAGGTCACAGGCTCCGTAAAGACAGAGAACTGGCCACCACCACCAGCCCAGTTGAGCTTCTTACCGCGAACGGCAGTGTTCTCGACAATGGTGGCGACCTCGATGTCGTCCTGAGTGCCTTGGCCAGTTTGGTAGGTGGCAGAGAACCCCCAAGACCAGGGACGGCCCTCTGCATCGATGGCAATCGAGTGGTCAGATCCGGCCGCAACGGCCTGGGCTTTGATTCCCGGAACGGCCATGGGCTTGATGAGAATTCGGGGCCGGCCACGCTCATCCTTGATGACAACGTCATCGGGAAGAGAGTCGATCTTCAGACCTGTCTGGTATCCGTCGAGGCGACCCCAGACAAGGCACTCGCCATCGGCCGCAACCGCGAGGGAATGATGGGCACCACCGCAAATCTGAGTGACGTTCTTTCCGGACAAAGAGTCCACAAGGGTTGGGTGAACGATCGCCGCCTCACTGTCACCTGCATGTTCACGAATACCGGTTTCACCGTAGCTGTTCAGACCCCAAGCGTAGACCTTTCCAGACTGGTGCACTGCAAAGGAGTGGAAAGCCCCGCAGCCGATGTGGACAATGTTCTTGGGGAGGCCGAATTCGCGAGGCAGGAGGCCGTTCAGCTTGTTGCGCTCGATAATCCGACGGCCCAGTTGGTTCTGCTGGCCGGAGCCCCAGGAGAACACGGCACCCTTCTCATTGAGAGCCAGGACGTGGTTGTCTCCACACACCACATGCTTGATCTTCTTCAGTGCGGGGAGCAGGGTGGGAGTCAATTGGACTGTAGTACTGGCATCAAAGCCCAGAATACCATCGTTGCTCTAGAAACATATTGTTGTTAGCCGCGTCAATAGATCCAAGGTCACCGGAGAACCATACTCTGAATGTTCCCCATCCATACACAAACCCGTCGTCAGTGAGGGCAAAGCTTGAGCTATCCCCAGCCGCGACTTCCACGAAGACAGTACCGTCGGGGAAAACACTGGCCGGAATCGCAGTGGGTGTGGACTCATAAGGATTGAGATCAGGTTCCTCGTCATCCTCCGAATCCGAGTCCGAGTTGTCCTTGTTATCCATATCCTTGTACCCACCATCCCAGTTTGTGTCCCTTCCAAGGGCGCCTTGGTCATTGACACCCCATGTGAGGATCTTGTTGTCATGCGTCAGAGCAACGCAATGCATGCCACCAACCGCGACCTGCACGACACCGACAGTGTCCGATGGCAGGTGGGGGTTCAGACGGGGCCGCTTCACGTCAATGGCATTTTTCGCAGGTCCCAGACCGAGTTCGCCGGAGCTTCCCTCACCACACACGTACACATTCAGTCGGGCCGTTGGAGCTTGGTTGATCACTACCTTCGGCTTGGCCTTGGGCTTAGGCTTTGCAGCGCTAGGCTTAGCGACACGAGCGCGCTTAGGTTGACGAGCAGTCTCTTCTTCGTCTTCCTCCGCTTCCGCTCTGCGCTTCTTCACAGGTTTGACTGGCGCGTCTTTTGCATCTTTTTCGGTTGTGTCTTCAGCTCTGGCCCGTTTTCGCGACGCAGCGGGCTTCGCAGCGGGTTTCGCAGCAGGTTTCGCCGCGGTCTGTTTCTTGGTAGCAGCAGCCGTAGCCGCAGCTCTGGGACGTCCTCTAGTGGCAGGTTTGGTCGTCGTAGTATTCTTAGCGGCAGTCGAAGCCTTAGCAGCAGACTTTTTTGTTGTAGCGGTTGTGCGCGCGGCGGCCTTAGCAGCGCCTTTTTTAGGAGGCATTGCGGATGACGCAGGATAGTTTCGAGGGAAAAGAGAAGAGGAATAGCAAAAAAAAAGATTTTTAAGAAGAAAGAACAGAGAGGGATGTTCAAGATTCAAGGGAAGTGAACAGGTGGAGTAGGCAAAGAGAGAAGTGAACAAAGCAAGAGGGAGAGAGATCAAAGGTGGTTTGAGAGGAAAGAAAAAAAAAATAAAAGAGAGAGAGAGAGAGAGAGAGAGAACACCACGAACACTATTCTTCTTTTTCTTTTCTTTTTTTCTTTTCTTTTTTTTTCACCCCAGCTGTTATTATTATTTATTTATTATTATTATTTCAGTATTAGTATTAGTGTTATTATTTTAGTATTATTATTATTATTGTTATGATTTGGGTGGTTGTTGTGCTCTTTTTCTTAGTGTTACGACTCGAGCGAATCACGCGCTTCAGTCCAGGTTTTTTTTTTCCACATTCCAATCCATCTCAAGAATCTCGACATTCACTGAACTCTTCATCTTTGAATACTCATGTATTTCCTTCCTGATTCATCGTATGATCTACCACTGACTTTCTCCTTAGTGACCATCTATTGAGATATATTTATATACACCCTCGGTTCCGAGACCTCCGATCTCATGACTTGACAAGGGGTCGAAAACTTTTTGATTCATCATCTTCTCATTCCCCCCCCCCCCCCCCCTTTTCTTTCCTTTAAAATACAATTTAAGGAACTGCGGTTTCCTTCAAAAGACCACTGGTTTATCCCCTGATGATATACACTACTACCTACAGGAAAATAGGGTGAGGCTTTTCTTCTTTGTGCAACTGGTAAACAAAGAAAACCACCATCCCCCTTGCCCGAGTAACAAAACACAAAACACAGATAGAGAGAACAAAAGGCTACACAGCACTGTGTACCCCTTCTTGGCCTTCTGGCTTTGAAGTACGGAGTATTCAGGAGTAGTTTCACCCGGGGTTGTGTTGTTGATTGAGATACTGAGCAACCAGTTCATTAACTAGCAAAGTTGTTTCCAATTGGATTGCAATTCATTATCATCATTATTATCGTTGGAAAATATCACATAATCCTCCTGCAATTATGTACATTGAAGTTAAAAAAAAAAAAAACATGTTCATCCGAAATGCTATCGTGAAGCTATATTGCTAGGATTCGACTCGGGGAAGAGGTGCAGCAGGAGCAGTTCTTATCTTCCCACACATTATAACATTCTGTCCTAATGGAACCCATTTCACATCCCGAGGATTCAACGCAGCATTGGGCTTCCCTTGTTCATCCAATTTCGAGTTCGGGCTCACGCTGACTCCGCCAGACCCAAGATACGTCGGTGCAACGGTCACAATCATCGAATCTATGAACTCGGTGTATTCGGGGTTCAGAAGTTCACTGAGAACTCGTCCGCCTCCTTCAATCATCACACTCTTGATACCCTCCGAGGCTAGGGCCCGTAGAACGGCTTCCCATCGGAGTCGCCAATTGTGATTATACTCCACAATCCGGAGGAAATCCCCCCCGTAGCCTTTCAACATCATTAATTTCTGAGGGTGGATCTGCGCCCCTGGGGACACGACAACCCACGGGGCTTTACCCTTCCCCTCAACGGCCGTTCGCAGCATCCGGCAGTCTGGATGCACCGGCCACCGTCCCGTGGGATCAATCACCACAGGCCGTGGCTGCCACATCCTCCCCAGGCCGCCAAAGCCGCCCGCGCCCTCGAGTCGGCAGTTCAGCCCAGGGTTATCTGCAAGCACCGTCCCCACTCCAATCAGAATCGCATCATGTCGGGATCTCAAGTAGTGTGTCATCAGTTTCGCCTCGGGTCCCGATAGCACCGTTTGCATGCCGGGGAGAAGCGAGATTTTCGAATCCATGGAAGAGGCATAGGATAATGTGACATGCGGGAATTGTCGCTTGTCATTTAGCTTCGGGAGATAAGGCTCCAGGAAGTCTAGTGGAAACTGGGGAAAGGAGAGCGTATCCGGGGGTAGGGGGGGTGGGACTATATTGGCACCTGGTGGGCCTGTTGAATAATCCACTGGAGTGGTCCTGTTATCTTCCGTTGCCCGAGTCCTAACAATGCCATGTCCCTTCTGATACTCGTAGCCATCGTGGGGCATCAGTTTCACTTCCGGATTCTGGATCCTCCACTTTGCAGAGACGTTCCGAACATCAGTGACGGTGCAAAACTTCCCTCCGGCTTCGACCAGTTTCTCGGGGTCCTCTCGAAACTTCGTGTAGATGGAGGAGGGCAAGTATCCTTTGATTGCCTCTCTCCTAGCAAACTCCATCAGCCCAGAATTCCGCTTCACTTTGTCAATATAGTCCAGGTCATGTGAATGGACACGACTACTCCCCGGAGTCCGCGCAATAGTGACAGTGGAGTACGCGCCCTCAAACTTCACGACCTTGATCTGAAAGTTGCAGATGCCGCCCTCACGCACCCTCTTCTGCCGCGGACGTTTCCCCTGGGGTAAAGGCCGTGTTTCCGAGCTGCGGTGCGTTGGCCGTCGCAAACGGCACATGTAGTAATCCGTGGTGCAATGCCCTTCCTTGCTCGAATTCGACCTTTGCTTGACCCACACATTATCAATAAAGGGCCAGTATGTTTCGAATTCCTCCAAACTAATCTCAATCGGCTCCTTGCATTCAAACATCACCTGGCGGATCCTCGACAGATTCGGCGGATTATTGATCAATATGTAATTCGAAGATTCCCCTTGTTCCGTTCCGTTGCCCGCATCACCACCGCCACCCATGCCATCTCCACCCCCGGACGCGCCATGCCGGAATAATAAATGTTCTCGCGTCCGAAAAGGGTCATCGGGACTAGAGGTACTCTGGGCTTCCGTATGAGCCTCTGGGCTTCGCTGGAGTTGTTGTTGTTGTGGTGGTGGTTGCTGTAGTTGTTGCTGTGGTTGTGGTTGTGGTTGTGGTTGTCGCTGTGATTGTACTTGTACTTGCAGTTGTGAACGGAATTGAGATTGAGGCTCTAGATGACTCTCGGGAGCCGAATCCTGCGCGTCTGCACTGCTATCTCCAGAGCCTGTCGTGTCCTTCGCTTCCACATCCACATCCACATCCACCTCCACCTCCATCTCTCTGTCTGACGAAGCCCGACCAGCCTCTGTCACCCGTGCTTGGTCCCCATTCTGCAGGGAATCCAGCTTGTCAGTCGAGGATATTGCCTTGGAGCTTCCTTCAGACACGCCCGAAACGTCATGGTCCATGTCGAACACGGCAGGCGATCGCGATCGGATGAAGCACGATATTCAATTCATTATTGAGGATGGGCGCGTCTTTGCGTTTTGGCACCAATCGATGACGGGGTTGTATATTGTATACATATACATATACATATGTATATAGATATATGGTCGCGCGGTATCGCGATCGTTGATCCGAGTTTCTGTCTCTGGGGATGGTTTCTTCGAAAGTCGAGGCTTGCTTTAGCTTCTTCGCTGACCCGCTGCCAACCTTGGCGCCCGAGCTCCGTCGCGGAACAGATCCGCACCGACTTATGTTCAATCTATGTATGTAATATGTATAGAGTGTATAGAGACTCACTCTTTCTCTCTTAGAGATTCGATTTCTACATCTGTATATAATATTTTCAACTCTACGAATTCATACAATAGTCATGGCTGTAACGAGAAATCTCAACTGATATAGACCAATCTAGTCAAAATACTATTAGTACTACCCATTTCTGTTTAAAACGCGCCAATATCTGCTCCTGCACGAGCAAGAGTCTCATAAACTCTTGGGGGTAGTTTGTATTTGACCATGCCGGAGAAAATCATCAAATCTTTCGCCATAGCCAACAACTCCTCTGCAAGCCCTTGCCGAATCTCGTTCTCATATGCCCCAGAGCTTAGTCGTTCCCGCTCATAGCCAATGCAGGTAATGCTCCAGATGATCACATGTCCTACATTAGAAGAGATAATCGACGGGAGCGTGGAGAACGCTTGGGCGGCACTTCGAATATAGGGAACAGAGCCTCGAGCGCGGAGCGGGAGAATGCCCAATCCATTGATGGTCTAAATAATACGTGCATCATTAGTACATGTGAAGGGCTATAAGGCAAAATGAGGGAATAAAAAAAGGAATCAAACTTACGTCCAAAGCGGCCGTCCACTTCCCTGTCTCGACCTCGGCCTTGGCCTCCATCATACGAAGTAAGAGGCCGCACGCGTCGCGATTTGCCTGGCGGATTCGCTGGTAATAAAGGGCGTTCTTATTATAGAGACCGATCATATTCCTGGCAAGAACCACCGGGTCTTCCACGGTAGTCAAGCTTAGACTGCTTCCAAGCTCTGGCGAAGCTTCATTTGATGTCGAGCGGTCCTGCGTTGGGTCGGTGCGGGGCCGTAGAGGTTGAAGTTTCAGCGTAGGGCTTCCCAATGGAACGGCGACAGAGTCCGACAGTGTTCTGTTGATAATATCAATGACGCGGTCATAATCCTCCGCAAGGTGATAAAGAAGGACAGAGTCGGTGATCAGGCCCTTGTCCTCGGCAACAGCCGCTGCTTGCACTGTTATGGTCTTGAGGAACTCTTCCTGGTCTTCTAGTTTGATTAGGCTTATTCGCTGCTCAATCAGGCCCTTGATTCGAGTGCCATCCGAACGGATGTCGCCCAATAACTTGGCAAAGTCCCTTGTTTCCAAGATATATTCTCGCAAAGCTTCGTGGCATACGGAAGATTGGGATTTACCGAGGGCACCATGAAGATCAGCATTAAGGCACAGCAGAGAGAAATAGTCAATTGCCGCTTCAACATAGGCCGTACGGAATTCCTTGGTGTATTGTGTGATGAGGTAGCCAAAGTTGATTTGCGGGTATTGCTTCACGGTGAAAGATACTGTTTCGATTAGCGGGGCGGAGAAGCAAGAGAAGTAAAAAAAAAAAAAAAAAGGAAGACTCACAGATTTCTTCGCCAGAAGTGTAAAAGTCGGACACCCGCAGAAGACCGTAATAGGTGAGAGAAATGGCGAAGTGCACTGCACTAATAGGCGCGTAGGACCCAAGATACGAGACAGCCTGTTCAAACATTCCTCCGAGAATTTGCAGAAGAAAGAAAGTTCCGTAGCCACCAGGTCCTTCTTGACCCTTTCCAAAAACCCGCTGCCCAATTTCAGTGATATCGGTCTGGATGTCCTCGAGACCGAAAACATCACCCGCAACTTCCTCGGCGCGATCGTCCTCTCTAGCCAAGCTGAATTGCAGCCACATCCAATCCTCGACGCTCTGATTCACGCCGTCTAACCGTCTGCGACCAAGGTCACAGCGTCCGATTATCTTGTAACATGCCATGCGATATGGATCAACAGTGTTGTCGGGCGCATTGCGTGAGCGTTGCTGGTATTCGCCATTGATCTTTTGTTGCATGTCTCTCGGCAGTCGTCTGCTTTGAGCATAGGTTGTCATATAGGTAACAAACTTGTGATCCAAGGAACGGAAGCCAGGATCTTGAGTCACATATTCTGCTGCTTCCGTAACAAATCCGCATCGAAGGAGATAGAAGATGAGAATCCAGCAATAATCCTGGCCCACCATTTGTAGCTCGGTTCCGTCAGGGGCGAGGTCTTTCCTGATAGCTCTCAGTCGAATATACGCGCGGATTTTGTTGACTACAGTGGGTATGCCACCGAGCTGTGCTTCGCGAGGGTTCTTGGCAATCACTCCCTCGATCTCACTGTAAAATGATTTCTCCAGGAATTTCCTGGACCCTTCGACAATTCGCTTTCTTAGACCTACTGCCTGATGAGAATTCGGCACTTCGTTCAGGTACTCCGCAGAGAATTGACGCTCCTTGATGGCGCCTGGGTCGGACATGTTGGTGACCTCTGGTGATTCTCCAATGATATTGATCAGAGCCCTATATGCATCAAAAAGTTGCCGGGGGACCTAGTCTTATTTAGTATATTGAAATACATGTGGTTCTTTTGTAGGAACTTACATCGCCTCCTGCGTGCTTCTCGACGTCGGAAAACTCATGCAGCACTGGGAATGCGCGCGAGTGAAGCCTAGCAGAGTTCAGCAACTGCACCTTGTCCGCATAATAACCCATTTTCTCCCGTAAGAACCGCACGTCTGATGTATGGGCACCGGGGCCCTCGGTGCGTTCCACAGGATCTTCGAAAAGTTGGTGGCTTGATTTTCCAGTCCCAGGAGTTCCAATAACGGACTTCTCCAGGCCAGAGCGCCCGAAGACACTTCTACGGGACATACCTGCAGGGCCATGGGAGGCTGCAGGCCCGGACTGCCTTGTGGAACGCCCGAAGGTCCCTTTTGCATCGCCAGAGGAGCCCTCCTTTTGTGATAGCCCAAAGTGCTTGAAGATTCTTTGGCGTTGCTCCTCCCAGTCCAGATCCACCTTTTCTTCCAAGAATGTATCAAAGTCTCTCTGCGCTCGAGCAAGGCTTTCAGCAACCATCACCTGACGGCCACGCTGCTGGATGTTCCTCAAATACTTTTGGTTGTCTGGGTCAAAAGCGTCAGGTTCTTTCGAAGGCACTGCAATAGACGCGTGGGGGTCCAGGGCTTTGAGGTCACGGAGCGCACGCCCGGGAGAAATTCCTGATGCGGCGAGAAGGTAATGCCTGTCCAACCGCCGGTTATTAGAATGATATACCAAGAAAAAGACTCCAATTGCGCGCGACTCACGCTTTTGTACTCGGCACATGCGAGTCCTTAACCCCCGCAGCACCCAATTCTCTCGCTTTCCGACGGATGTCATCAAGGCCCAATTGAAGGTTGGGCAACTCTTCAAAATTGCTGCTTCGAGCAACAGCGGAAAGCGGGCGCTTTTTACCGCGCTCTAGCAGACTGTTGAAAAAAGCTGGCTGGGTCGCTTGGGGTGCCTGTAGGGGCTGCGCAGTGCTAGCATTTGGTTGAGCCTGCCCGAAGAGTGAAGATTGAGTGGGCTGCTGCTGAGCTTGAGACTGGCCACCGAATAATGAGGCACCTGCAGGCGCCTGGGTTGCTGGAGCGTTCCCGAAAATGCTTGTTGGGTTATTTGTAGAAAATATGCTCGACGGCTGCGAGGGGGCTCCCATGCCGCCATTACCAAATAGGGAACCTGAGTTGTTGAAGGCCATTTAGAAGGACTGTATACGATCTTGTAGGCGTGGGTGGCCGCGGAGGAAGGACCTTCGTCTGTGTCGACGACGGTCGGTATTTGGCGACTTGACCTGCTGTTAAGGGGAAAACCATCAGTGTTACTGAGCCAACGGGATAGTGTTCAGATAATAGAGGGTATTTAGCACATACTGGGCAGATCAGCACATCGACCAGAGCTCCTTTATAGAAAACGTTAGGATTCTTTCGTTAGTCACGGCAACCCGAAATTTTAGGTATTGTTTATTACAACAGCTTCTTGAGGTTGCGGAGTACAGTTCCCAATTGGGGGTTGCCGGACTTTTTATTCGCCGAGCCCTTGTCCTATAGGGACCTTACTGCAGGGCTTCTTTCCATCATGAGATCTAAAAACCCAATTCAACCAGAAATCAAAATTATGAAAAGGGAAGAGCTGTGACGGGCCTTGCTTTTCTCGAATCTTTATCTTTCGATTTATTTTATTCTCTTTTTCTCCGGACTTAGACCAGCCTTGAGCTTTCCGCGAGAATGCCGGTATTCCAAGCCAAAACCTTTCGACGGGCCACTACGGCGTCGTCTACGCTGGGAGAAAAGATCGGCACAGCATACAGATCTAGTCTCACAAAGCATCCGTTCCTTCTGTTCGGAATGCCTTTCGTCATGATTATTGTAGCGGGGTCTTTTGCGCTGACTCCGGCGGCTGCTCTGCGGTACGAACGACATGATCGCAAAGTCAAACAATTAAGCCAAGAGGAGGCCATGGATCTAGGTCTGAAAGGAGAGGGTGGAGAGGAAGGAATTAAGAGGAACCCACGGAGGAGGATAATTGGTGATGAAAGGGAGGAGTACTATGTATGTTTCCATGCTCACCCATGCGCTTTGCACCTCCCAACAATCGTCTTCTGATCAAGAACTGATGCGGCTTTCTACAGAGACTCATGGCGAAAGACCTCGATAATTGGGAACAAAAGCGAGTGAAAAGGTTCAAGGGGGAACCCGACGGCAAACTATAACTTGCGTACCGAGATAGCCCGGCAGATGAGGTAACGTCCGTCGCCGACATCAAGCAGTAGGCTGTCGGAACCCTAGTCATGAACCCATCGACGGCGACGGCGCCAGAAAAAAAGAGGAACACCACGGCCGACTACACAGGCGACACCCCGACCCTCGGGTTGCCATTAGCCCATATGTTTCGTACGTTTGCAGCGGTTGCGCTGTGGGCTGACAGTCGGCTATGATCCAAAACACATTCTGTTATATGTGTGTGTATCATAGTTTTGTATATCAAGAGCATGTCATATGATCTTCCCTCCGAGTTTAATCGGTTCGATTCTTACGACAGTCCGCTGGACATCACGAGGTTGATTATTTTGCGGCGATATCGGCTCTAGTAGCCTCAAGTCTGCAGAGGGATCCCTAGCATAGTCTGGTGTGTGAATTTAGTCACTTAATTGCAGGTTGCCATTGTAAGTTCTGTTGTTGTCATAGTGCAATGGTCGCGGATCAATTGCCCGGTGTGCGAGCATTTAGCTGCTGGTGCTGAGATCTGAGCAGCTGTCAGCTGATCAACAGAGAGCAAATCGATCAGTCAAGAACCTGGACGAATAATCCTTCAAGAAGGCGAATGGATATGGGTTTATCATCTTGCACTTTTGATGTACCCTCCTTTTCTTTTCTTTTCTTTGCTATAGTTCTACATAAGAGTGATTTGATACTCTCTCCCATTTTACATACTACTAGCAAGCCCTTCATACATTTCTACTACTAGTCCCAAGTGGCTAGGTTCACCCGGTAGTACGGAGAGTAAAAGGGTCAGCAGGATCGACCACCAACCAGCCATTTGTGTGTGGCGAGAAGAAATGACGATGATGTACCTACAGGCCTAAAGATGAGACCAATTAGAGAATGCTAACCACTTGTTAGTCAATGTTCCTGAAGGTTCATGGAAATCCAGACCGGTCGGCACCATATAGGTTGTTACAACTTACGGGATGGACACTTTCATAAAGATTTTGCCGCCTTTCCCCCCTCCCATAACGTACGTCATTGTCCCAGCCATCAACCTCGCTCCTCCCGTTTTTTTCCCTCCCTTTCACAATTGACCCAGAGTGCCCCCAGATGCCTCGATTCTTATTTGTTTCAGCACTCGAACGATGACACCAGTGGGTCAAGAATGATACTCTTACTAGTCGAACCTCAATAACCCCCCCACTACTGTCGACCTTCCTCCATTGGCCCATCGCCCTTCTCTTGCGTTGGATCTGGACCTTCGTATGTGATACTCTTAAGAATCGACAATTTACTGGTACTAGTGTCGAGACCAGAATTGCCCGCCTAAGAACAGACACTCCATTTCCATCCTCACTTGCAACGCCCTTTCAGGTGGTCTCAGCGTTGGGCTTGATGCCACATTTCTCTTCAAAAGAGGCCCCCCATCTTAGTATACCACTACTACGCCTGCTCAATACATAAATCGTGCCACTGTCGGCTGGCTCTCATTCTCAGGCGGATTTCCCTACTTGTCTCCTTCTTTCCTACCCCTGCCCCCCCTCCCCGCGTAGTTGGGAAGGATTCTCGCTTGCCAGGTGGTGAACTTCAATAGTTCCCAATTTGGCGACAACTAGGAACTGTTTGACCTCTTTCCCTCTTTCCTCATTAGCATAGTTTAGAAGGCTGGTGGAGTTGCTCAACCAGCAGCATTTCCTTTTTCTTTTTTTCCCCTCCCCTTTCCCTCCTTCCCGAAATCACAGTCAGTCCCGAAATGGCATACGGACTTGACGACTGACTTCGATCCGAGATCTCGGAAAAAACACAAATTTCTCTGTCTCTTAAGAGGGAAGATTATGTCTGCGATGACGGGTCCAAGATCACCGACATCCCCGTGGCCTCAGGAATCGCAAGCGCGCACGATACCTGGTTCTGCAAGCCCAACGGCCTTCTTCGCATTATGTGACCCGCGCCCATCGACTTTCAATAATATTAGCCCTCGGAGAACAGGGCCAGGATCAGAGCGGTCAAGTTCCAACTATTTTTCGACGAACGCAGATCACCAGAGTCACTTTGCAAAAAACAAAGATGGCCTTGCACACGCCCACCCACCTGTTCCCAGTCCGAAAGGACACCCCCCTCATGGCAAAAACATAGCTGAAGAGCATGTAGACTTACAAGGGGCCAAGTCGTCGGAAAGTGATGGTTCGAATGCCGATTCGGTAGTCTACAAAATTTCTTGGAATCGTGCAAGGGAGCCAAATTCTAGTCGGCCGAAGACTATTGCGACACTGTCAGCAGAGACGAACGCGAGCCTCCTATCAATTGAGCGCTGCGCTGCGCTTCTCCAGTCATCCCTGCATGACCTGATACTCCTCGATGTGCGACCGTTTGCACACTTTGCAAGGGGAAACATCAGGGGGTCACTGAATCTCTGTATCCCAACCACTCTCCTCAAGCGACCTTCTTTCGATACGAAGAAACTAGCAAACACATTCACAGCGGAAGCTGACCGGAAAACCTTTGCTGAATGGAGACAATGCCGCTATATAATTGTCTATGATGCCACCACGGCTAATATGAGAGATGCAGGGCCACTAGCTAATGTTCTGAAAAAGTTCACATCCGAGGGTTGGAACGGCGAAGGGTTGATTTTAACAGGAGGGTTTAAAGCCTTTTCAAGCCGATTTCCTGAACTCACGCAGCAACAGCAACAGCAGCAGCAGCAACAACAACAACAACAACAACAACACCACCACCAACACCAACAGACGTCCGAGAACCCACTAAAAAAGCCCTATTCAGCTCATATGAGCCTCCCAGGGTTCGCTCCAATCGCTGGTGGATGCACCCTCCCTGAATCAACACATGCTACAATTCCATTCTTCTCGAATATTCGTCAGAACACGGACCTTGTCGGTGGTGTTGGACAAATCCCTCTTAAACATTCAGAAAATTTTTCTGAACCACAAAGACAAGCCCTTCCTGTTTGGCTTCGTGAGGCATCCGATCCTGCGGATCAAGGCAAGAGCGTTGCCGCAAAGTTCTTAGATCTTGAAAAGATGGAACTGGAACGAATGAAACAGGCGTTGACCTACGATCAGAATGCCGATCCCCTTTCATTTGGACCTTCATCTCGCACCTTCCGTGTGGCCGGAATCGAAAAAGGTACAAAAAATCGTTATAACGATATTTATCCATACGACCATTCTCGAGTGAGGCTCCAAAATATCCCATTAGGTGGCTGTGATTATGTGAATGCCAGTCACATAAAAGCAGAGTACAGTGATAAGTGCTATATAGCTACCCAGGCCCCTGTGCCCGACACATTCAATGTGAGCCCCCCCCCTGCTTTACGTATTTCTCTTCCCTTGGCTACTCTGTTGTGAGGTCTCCAAACTGACAGGTTAAATAGGATTTTTGGCGTGTTGTCTGGGAACAAGATGTCAGATTAGTTGTCTCTTTGACTGCAGAGGTCGAAAGAGGACAAATCAAATGTCACCCATATTGGAAATCTGGGAGCTATGGCCCATTACAAGTGAATACCTTCTCCCAAAAGCAAATTCCTGCCTACACTCTCAAGTCACGGCCTGGTGATCCTGGCTCGGGCAACACATTCTCAGACTCGTCTGTAGACTCATCGAATCCTTCTATCACCATCAGACACTTCAGCTTGTCCCATTCAGGATTTCCATTCGAACCCTTGCGCGAAGTCACGCAGCTCCAGTACCCCTACTGGCCTGACTTCGGCACTACTTCACAGCCAGAGCATTTGCTCCATTTGATTGAACAGTGTGACAAGGCCCGAAATGCAGTGGGTAAACTTAATGGAGCCGAAAGACCGATCATAGTCCACTGCAGCGCGGGCTGCGGCCGTACCGGTGCCTTCTGCACGGTGGATAGTGTTTTGGATATGCTAAAACGGCAGCGGCTGGAGAACAACGCTGCGCATGGCCCGCAATCTCCTGATCAGTTGATGCGCAATGGACACATGGACCTCGTTGCCAAAACGGTGGCAGATTTCCGAACACAACGGCCTAGCATGGTTCAAAACCTAAGCCAATTTGTTCTTTGTTATGAAAGCGTCATCGAATGGGCTGTCTCACAGATGGCAAAAGTGGAAAGCCCGGCTTGATGCCAGAAGCTGTATTAAACCTTTCTCGATTTGCGGAAGCATGGCTAAAGAAGAGACATGTTAGATTGTCCATTGCCTCGTTGGACGTATGCGCTTCTTTGTGTATTTCAGCATCCATTGTGTAGATCTGCGCGCATTTTCTGGCGTTTGGGCTTGCTTCTCTTTTCTGCAAGGTCTAGAAATTTCTAGTTATTTTCGGAAGACTCGGGGGCGTGCGCAGGTTCCATTCATACCTACTCCAATATCTTTTTTTTTTCAAGAACTCTTCATAAATTAGGTACATCAGAGAGAATTGATGTAGGAGTAAGAATCATAAGAATCATAATAGAAGTAATAATAATGAGCATAAGAATAGGCTCCGGATGGGCCCCCAGGCACCAATCCATCCATCCATCCATTCATGGACCTCATCGGATCCTCGCTTTCCCCCCCACTGCTACTTAAGTACTAAACGACAACAACATTGGAAACAGTCCTCGTATTCTCCAGAAAGAAGAGAGAAAATGCGGTCCTACTAATTTGAATTATCCTACTCCACAGGTTCAGGTAACAATAGCTCAAGCAATTGGTGCCTCGAATCAGTCACACTTCCGCTAGTCAATTCCTGGTTCCTACACAAATACGAAACCCCCATTTTCCCAGCTACATAAATACTTCTTGAAAGCAAGTCTTCTTCTTCTTCTTCTTCTTTCTTATTCGGACTGTGCCCTGAACTATCCTTCTCTGATCATAGTGCCATGCTTCTGAATCTTCCTCTGGAACTTATTCAACTTATCTTGTTGAAGTGTACTACCCAAACATTTCTGCAAGTAGCTTTTAGCTGTCGTACTCTCTATGGGATTGCCTCCAATTACCGAGAGGCTCTCGCCCATCATCTGAGGCAAACTCCGGGGTTCCGCCGGAATCAAAACATTTCCTCCACAGACACCAAGCAACTTTTTCAGATATTGAAACAGCACGCATTTCAGCAGTTGTACGGCAGCCAGTTTCGCGCAAATTGCACAAAATTCAACTTTGGAGAGCAAATCCTCAATGTGCCAGCATCGTCACTTGCCTCCTTCGGTAACAAAACTCTCATCTTCACTACATGTCAGGATCAGAGGCTTGTCCATGTTTTCCAGGTCGCTGATGGGAAGCTAACGTCGCTGGCTCAACTAAAGCTGCCGTGGGACCAATCAGGGCGACTGGAAGTATCCAAAATAGCCTTTGATGGAGAGGACAAGATCTATGTCCTCCAGCGGTTTACACCTGCTATCGATGAACACGGCCCGGATGCGGAGCATCCGTTTATCAGGCAAGCAAAGGAGTCTAGTCGTTATGGGAAAGTTTATCTCACCCGCCATTCTCTTCAATGCCCGGATGGTCTGGTGCGAATTTGCGATTTTGTTGACGATGGCGATATCGACCCTTCGGCCTTGGCTGTGAATTGCCAAGGCACATTTGCTATCGTGTGGCATCATCGCCAATATGCGGATTGTTCAATCCAACTTTATACTGGTATAGAGGAAGCACCGCACGACCCTACGTCTAATCTCATCGGTAGGTGAACCATGGCTGCTATTGGCAATTTCAGACTACAGAGGAGAAACCCGCCTTGCAACCTTTACATCGACTAATTCTTCCTAGGCCTGACCTGTCAAAGTATTATCCTGAAGGATTGGGCTCCTCCATCTCCTCCCGGGGAAGCGGTAGAACGGCGATTAATAACCGATTTGGAATTTAACGACCGGTCCATGCAGTTGCTTTACTATTACCAATCAAGAACTCTGTATAGAGCATTCCAGAGTTGCCTATCGGAATCTCCACACTTGTATAGGAACTCAACTCCAGTCACATTTACCCCATCGCTCAGTCTTCTCTTTTCGATTGGGATTCCTTTCTTTGGAACTCATGAAACCGAAAGTCAGAACGGCTTTGAAACGTGTCGATGGAGATACCTTGCCCTTGGCATTGCCACCCATCGTCAGGAGAACTGGACGGTTGCATGCCTCATGCGATCTGAAGCGGTCTGCCGGGCAAGTAATTGTGGACATGAGCTGAACCTTGATCGCGGGCGACGATTGACGGACTGGGTCATCGCGGCACGACTCTGGGGCTTTAGAGATGCAACCAGTTCGCTGGGTTGTAAAGTCGCAACCTCCAGAGATGGGACAAGGATTGCGGTTTCCAACTGGAAAACCATCTATGTGTGGGCTTTGGATCCCGGGTCTCTCATCGATCTGAATGAAAACGAATACTATCCTCCATCCTGGCAATCCTCGGAGACGGGGTTGATCGATTTACCGCCGATGGTCTTACATACTGGGGCTGTTTGTTTCCAGCTTTGCTTCACACGCGAAGAGAATGAGCTGGTTGCCATCACAGACCAAGGATTCATGCTGTGGGATCTCCGTGCGTCGGGGACTGGCAACCGGACTAGTCAGGTGGTGGATGTATAAACAAGGCATTCATGATATTTTTTTTTTTTTTTAATATCATCAGGATGGGGTGTTTTGTTTATGTATCTATATTGGTCTATGAACCCATTGTATTTCCTGAATATTCAATTAGGGACTACACTTGCAAGAACGGCGTTTGGAAATCACAGCCAGTATTACAATGCATATCTACAGGCAAGAACTAGTTTCATACCGGATTCCCCAGGGTAAAACACCCATATAGAGAAAAAAAGAAGAAGAAGATCTTATTGTTGCCCTTCCCCACTACCAGACATGGCTAAGAATGTAATGATAAGGAAAACCCACCAGTACCTATCAGAGTAAAAAAAAGGCAGAAACACATTAGACCAAATCCGAGAACCCCGGCAATTGAAAGCCAAAGAGAGAGAGAGAGAGAGAAAAGAACTTACTTCTGGAATAGGGTCTTCTCAACAAATTCATCCGAGTCCTTTCCATCGGGACCTACAACGATGGGCCGGTTCAAATGCGGACTTGGACCCAGTTCCCCGGGGACAAGAACAACGTCCAGAGCGGGGAGGTCGTCCTCGGTAGATGTAGATGTAGATGTAGATGCAGACGCAGACTCAGCGGTCGTCAAAGAGACATGATAGATGTCATGAGTTGCGGGACTGAGATGCAGTCGCAGCGTGGGCCTTTGCGCTCCTGTTCCCTGGAGTGTTGAAAGAGAGGTCACCGTGCCGACCCATTGTTTGGGGTTCGTTGGGGTCGAGAGGTACAGGCCCACGCGGACTAGGTCATGCTGGCTGATGCGATCCGCGGCATTGGGCGGGGTATATGACATCAGCTCGGGTTTGGGGGAAGTCGGGTTGTAGGAGACATGGGCGAGGATGGAGGGTTGCGGGTTGGTGAGGGGCCAGTAGAGGATTTCTAGTTGGGCGGAGGTGGTGGAGGAGGAGGTTGCGGAGGTTGCGGCGATGGAGGAAAGGAAGAGGAGGAGAACGGAGAGGAAGCTGAGTTGGAGGGAGAGCATGATGAATGTGAGGGAGGAGACGCGGATTCCATGAAGCTGGAGGAGATGAGATGAGATGAGATGACTTTCTGCTGCGGTGTTCAAAGCTGACTAAATTCGTCCAACCCCAACTGTGTATACACACAATAGATATATAGACTTATAATTACTCCGTCCTTCATGTCACTTTTTTTCTAGGATATTACATGAATTGGGATATCTACGAATAGGGGTTTCTGAAGAGACGCTTACTATTCCGTATATCTAGCATTCTTTGTCTGTTCGCAACTCAACGCCCACGGCTGGTCTTCATTGGGAAATAGTTTCTTTACTAGGTTTATAAAGATGAATGAAAGAAAATGTCAATCTCAATCGTTATAATAATAATAATAATAATACTAATAATAATAATATAATAACAGTGGGAGGTATAAATAAAAAAAATATTTGCAGATCAGATGACAGTGAAAAGAACCTCCACGGAGCACAGCTCTCCATCTATACATACTTACTTGGCTTCTGGAGATCCGATTGACATACCTTCTTCTAGTTTTGTTCCCTGGATGGATGCGTCTATGGACTAGTCAGTCGAGGATTGGTTATTTCATCAAATTATTAATCTTTTAATAACTCCCCCTTCCTCCCCGGATCAATTCAATTGAATTGCTTTCTCGACCGCTCTGGGTCACGTCACACTCACACAGTACAAAACGTCCCATCCATCCAGCATCATCCATCCAGCATCCATCTGCCTGGCTGCTCTTAATTCTTTCATCTTCTCCTCCATTCCCTCCTTCCTCCCCTTCATCGTTCAAGCTGTCCATTTCCATTTCAAACCCCGGATCCGGAAATCCAACTCGACTACTACTACTACGACGTCAGTCTACTTCATGGTTTCATACACAATCAATTGTCACTAACCTTCCTCCATTTTAAAAAGGCTCTCATAAATCCCATCCCCCCCCCCCCCCGGCCTGGACAAGTGTGTGACTGGCTTCAATCATGGCGACCATCAATCTTCCTTATCGTCGACCTTCCCGACAAGCTTCCCGTCAAGCTTCCCGCGATACTCGTGACGACATTCTGGTCCACGTAGATCACTACATTGGCATTGACGTTGGAACCGGAAGTGCTCGTGCTTGTATTATCGATTCTAAAGGAGATATTGTTGGCCTAGCCTCGGAGAATATCGGTCTTTGGCAGCCCCAACAAGGATACTACGTATGCCCGCACGCTTTCTGATCTCTCTACCCGGCAGAACTGACGTCAGTGGTTATCAGGAGCAATCCACAAGCGACATCTGGCGCTGTATTTGCGTCGCAGTCCAGCGCGCCATCAGTCAGCACAACATTGACCCGGAAACTGTGCGGGGAATCGGCTTTGATGCAACTTGTTCCTTGGCCGTCTTCTCCAACGTCACCGATGAACCCGTTTCTATCACCGGCCCCAACTTCGATACGGACCGCAATGTGATTCTCTGGCTTGACCACCGACCCGTCGAGGAAACGGAGAAAATCAATGCGACCAACCACAATCTTCTGCGCTATGTCGGCGGGAAAATGTCCGTGGAGATGGAAATCCCCAAGGTCATGTGGTTGAAGAACAACATGCCCAAGAAACTCTTTGATGACTGTAAATTCTACGATCTGGCTGACGCCCTGACCCATATCGCCACCGGTAATGAGAAGCGGAGCTACTGTAGCGTCGTTTGCAAGCAGGGCTATATCCCTGTTGGTGTGGATGGCAGTGTAAAAGGCTGGCAGGAGGACTTCTTGGCCCAGATTGGGCTGGAGGACCTGGCAGATGATAATTTCAAGCGCATGGGTGGCGTCAATGGGGTGGTGAGCCTATTTTCTTGTTTCTTTTTTCTTTTTTGCCTCCGTTTCTTTCTCAAGAATATTTCCCGTGTGACACCATCACGGCTGTACCCGCTTACTTGCATAGACCCTTGACAGCTGACCGCTTGTTCTAGAATGGAGATTACCTGAGTGCGGGCGAGCTGGTCGGCACCTTGTGCGACAAGGCGGCCTCAGATCTGGGACTGCCCGCTGGCATTGCCATTGGCAGCGGTGTCATTGACGCTTATGCCGGCTGGATCGGGACCGTGGGCGCCAAAGTCGATCTGGGATCGGGCCAGCTCAGCGCCGACGTTGCTAAGAATGATAAGACGCAGGCCTTCTCCCGTTTGGCCGCAGTTGCCGGAACATCCACCTGCCACCTCGCCCTGTCCCCAGATCCAGTCTTTGTTTCGGGAGTGTGGGGTCCCTATCGCGACACTATCATCCCGGGATACTGGATGTCCGAAGGGGGACAGTCCGCCACGGGAGAGCTGCTGAAACATATCATTGAAACACACCCAGCCTTCAACCAGGCGCTATCCATTGCCGAATCCTACAATGCCAACATCTACGAGTACCTGAACGAGCATCTGAAGGAAATGGTCCTGGAGCGGAAAGCCCCAAGTATATCTTATTTGGGCCGCCATTTCTTCTTCTACGGGGATCTATGGGGGAACCGCTCGCCCATCGCAGACACTAGCATGGCAGGCTCCGTTGTCGGCCTTTCCAGTGACCAATCCGTCGACGGTCTTGCAATCTACTACTACGCCACTCTTGAATTCATCGCCTTGCAGACCCGCCAGATCGTCGAGACAATGAACAAAGCAGGACACCGTATCACATCGATCTTCATGTCCGGGTCACAGTGCCAGAATGAAATTCTGATGGAGCTCATCGCATCGGCATGCGACATGCCCGTTCTCATTCCGCGGTACATCCACGCTGCCGTCTGCCACGGAGCTGCGATGCTCGGCGCCAAAGCCGCCAGCGCCGACGCTGATGGCAAGACCGAGGACCTATGGGACATCATGGATCGCATGAGCAAGCCAGGCAAGAAAGTCGAGCCTACGAATGACGAGAACGAGAAGGCCTTGCTCGAGGTCAAATACAAGGTTTTCCTTGAGCAATGCCACAAGCAGCAAGAGTACCGGGCCCTTGTGGATGCAGCCGTGGGCTCGTGGAAAGCGTAAAGAGTACATCCACTCTATGGAACTCATTCATTCATTTACCACCCTTTCTTTTATCAATTTACGATAGGGCGATTTCGACTGGGTCCCGGATATGAAAAGACTCCCGAGGACTGGTCCTTTGGTGTTTTTTTTTTTTTTTTTTTTTTCTTCTTTTTTTTCTTTTTTCTTTTCCTTTTGAGGGACGTTTAAGCGGCCCGGAGAGATTCAAAACTGAACAATTAATTCAACGACATCGAATAAAATCCTGGCTACAAATTAGATTGCGAGGCCTATAGAAACGAAATGGAAACTATTTCGGGGGTACTGACATCCATTACCACGTATGCTGCTACTTTGACTGACCGGGGTAAAATCAAAATAGAGAAGATAAGAGTCTCTAGAAAACATATGGCATGCCTGTTAGGAATTGAAGCATTCGTTCTTACTATATACACCACTATTTATTTGAGGTGTTCACTCATTCCTTCTCCTAACTAAATGAACAACTTAAAATTGTCAATCTCTCATATTTAAAGAACAAAGATGATAAAAATCTACATAGCATACATCAACAAATAATGAACAACAACAAACAGGTGTTTTTTTTTTTTTTTTGCATGATTTGGGTTGGAAAGGGGGGATATGCGTGCAGCTTCCAATGCTCTCTCTCTCTCTGCCCTCATACAAAACCAAACTAGATCAAAACATTGGAAGGAAAGAAGGAAAAAGAGGAAAACGTCCACTGTCCAAAAACACACACCAATCATTTCCACTGTAGAACTACACCGAGATAAATAAACAGTTCCACATAACTAAAGCGAGCAGTCAATCAATAAGCAGCACCGCTCGTCGATCTCCCAATCGTATAAAACTTCTCGGATTGGCTGGATCCCAGAGCAAGGGTATCGAAGCGGTCGATTCCCATTGTATCCAGGTTACTGTAACCGGAGAGGTAGAATCCAATCACAACGACAAGATAGGTGAGGACGAGGATAGACCCCTTAAAGTAATTGCTTTTACCTTCCCCATAGACATTCGAAAGGAGGAAAACACACAAGATAACCGTGATCATATCCCATTGGGGGAATATGAGGCTAAGATTTAATTAGTACTGGTTGAATTTTTTCGGCACTAAGTATAATTCGGGGGAAGACTTACTTGAACGAGTGGGTTATTAGGTCTGCTGGCTCAAAGATACGCTCGTAGATGGCGCTGAAGAAAACCAGGGCGGGGATTTGGAGAAGGCAAACTTGCAGGGCGTATGCGGATCCGATCTCCATAGACAGGGCGATATTGCCGTTCATTGCAAAGGAAATAGCGTTCTGTGGGTTTGAGATGTAAGCAAAGGAGTGTAAATACTTTTTGTCTTCACTGTAGAGGCACGTACTAGGAATTCCGTGGTATTGGGAACAAGGGCAAATAGTGTGATACCCAAGAATTTCTCGTCAATATCGACACTATCCAAGACCACATCAACAGTATTCACAAGGATCTCGGCAATGATCGCGTAGAACACTGTGGCTACGAGAAGAATGACCGAACTCCGGGTTTTACTCCAGTTGGGTGCGTCGTGCCCGCCGCTACTCTGGCTTGGCTCTAGACCGATATCGTCGTGATCTTCAAGGGCGGTTTTGATCATATCATTGGGGGCGGCACCTTTGCCTCCCTGGCGCGGACCTCCATGAGATGCGGGTAATTTGCGAGGTCGAGCAACATCCCGGGCCGCAACAGTGGCAGCAGTGGCAGCGACTTCGGTGACCTTCCGCACGAAGTTCTCATTCTGTTTACTGGAGAGCCCAGGAAACTCTGCGAAGCCTGGTTGACCGTCATCTCCATCTTTTCGTGGTGGTACAAGATAAGGCGATGGGTTCTTGTCCTGGGCGGAGCTGGATTCAGGTTGATCCGAAGCGTATTCACTCGTGTTGTCGGCCAATCCCACGTCCTTGAGCGATTGCCCAAGAATTCGCTTGTATAACTGCGAATCACGGATGGAGTTCCTCGGCATAGAGCTTCCGGTGGCAGATACAGAAGGACCGGTACCACAAAAAGCATTTCTCGGGTCATCTGTGCTCTGATCGTGTACAAGGGCTGCTGCTTTCTTTTCCTCCGCTTCCGTAGCCCAAATGAGAGCCGCATGAGTTCGAAGAGTAAACCAGAGCCCAATGACGTAGGACAAAAACAGGAACACAGCTGCGAACCACGAGTATGGCTGCACGGCTTTCCGGAAGAAGCTATCGTTTACAGCTGGTACTTGGGCAAAATAACAGCGACGGCAATCGCTACTGCCAGGTTCTGCGGAGCTATGACATGAATGGCAGTTGAGTTCATGCTATTTTTTTTTTTAAAAAAAAAAAAAAATAAACAGTTAGCAGCATCCTATGTGGAATGTCGAATTTGAATAACTTACACTGCCATATATCTGATAGAAGAGCGTAGGGCCGAACGCAGCAATCACGGCAAACAATAACATTGTCGATGTCACTCCGGCGGATTTGACATTGAAGCGCTGTGTTTTGCGCTTGATGGCCCCGAAGCACATGGATAATCCAGGTAGGAACAAAATACCGGCAAAGATGCTACCAATGACACTACCTTCGACAAGCTGGCCCTTACCCTCAGTCAAAGCAACGCAGTAGAGATAAACTTCAACAATGGTCGAGAAGAATGCGTTTACAGCGGCACCCATACCCATTGATGACTGTGCAGAAATCGAGGCAACGGCCTGTCCAATGAAGTATGCGAGAGGGATAATTGAAATAAGAGCGAGTGTGAATAGGAAGCCCGGGTGAGTAATCCAACTCTCAATACGTAGAGTCTTACTCAAAAGGAAGTAGTCAAATACCGTGAATAAGACTACCATAAGTAGGTTGATGAAAAAGATATTCGTTCCACCTATAGTGTACTTCCAGTATCTCAAGCCGGCTGCGCGGTAAGTACAGACAAGGATTGATGCAGAAGATCCAGGGGTGATCCGGGTATATGTGGTGTCGGAGTGGTACGAAAGAGCTAGAGGGTGCCGGCGGAGGTGGTCAAAGAGGATAAGTGTCACACGTCCCATCGGAATCCAAAAGACAAGAAGCCAACAGAGAAGCGATACGAAGAGCATCAACGGTCCGACGAGGAAATAGAAAAAAACGAAGAATACCACTCGACCAAACGTCCACTGACCACGGCCGAATAAACGCCGTTTGGGATGGCCGAGGAGGCTGTCTTGAGAACGTCCTCTTGGTGCTCGGCCCAGCAGGCTATCTTGCTCGCCAGCCGAGTCGACACTATTCCTTCTTCTTCCAACAAGGGACCGGTCTCGACGGGGCCCAAAGAACAACCCGCCGTGCTCCAGATCGCCGTTTTGCCATTGCTCGTACTCGCTAATACTCCGGCCCTCTCCCTCATCTTCCTCTGCATAGATCTCATCTGTATCGAGGCGGACAAAGGATCCGAAGGGATAAAATAGATACCATGAGAGGCCGGCGAAGGCTTTTCCATATTCAACTGCACTAGGAGAGAAGGAGAAAAGAAAACAGGCGACGGCGCCCATTAGAGCCGCGATTGCAAGCCACCATCCGAAGAAGACTGTCCACAGCAGATTTGTCAGGAATAGCAGGTTACCAACTCGACCTCCAGGAGATGAGTGGATATCGCCCTCTGCAGTCTTCTCCACCGAGCGACTCTTCTTGTACAAGGCGGGTTTCCAGAGCCTTATTCCGAACGGGTGGGTTTCATTGATGGCTTGTTGGCGATCCTTGAGTGTAAAGCTCTCAGCATCACTAACATTGCCATCGTCGTCATCGTCGTCGTCGTCGTCGTCGTCGTTGCCATCATCATCATCATCATCATCATCCCCACTTCCCTGCCCACTGCCGTTTTCGTTGTCTTCCTCAAGCTCTTCGGGGGGGGAGTCTATCATCGCTCCAAAGCTCGATTCTGGGAGGGCTGAATCGTCATCATCTTCATTGTCGGAAGGCACAAAAGGATTGATTCGGGAATTGAGTTTTCGACGCAGAGTCGAGCTTGGTTGCCGTTGAGGCCGTATTCTCGGGGAGGGCTGAGGGATGGCTGCCTGCTGCAAGGCAATATCCTCCTCCACTTCTAGCACATCATCATCGGTGGAAAATTCCTGTCCTTTATGGGGAAATTGACGTTTGGATGACATGCGACGTGTTACCGATGGCTTTCTCGGTCTGTCTTTATCAAGCTGCAAGGGTCCTATGGATGGGGACGAGGGTGGAAGGACGCGACTAGAGCTGTCGGGTTGGACATCTGCCGTCTGCGACTCCAGAGGTCCCCTTTCAGAAGACTCTATCGTACCTGCAGATTATTATAAGCGACGGGGACTTCTAGCGAACAGGAAAAAAAGAGGCAAGAAAGAAAAAAAAATAAATAAATAACAGAAAAGATCATACCATAGTTTCTACTTTGGCCTGTCAGTCTCGACTGGCGAACTGTACCAGACATCTCCTCTCCAGTCGCGCTCGAGGTAAAACGCGACGGAGGTTCGGGGTGGGCAGGAAGAGAAGCAGGTCGATCGTCGCCCTGCTTGCTCGCCATTCTCTTGTTAAATTTTCTTAGGATCCCCCACTCATAAGCGGTCGTTCAGGCAGAAGATAAACAGGGGGGGCTGGGAAGCTAAACACGGAAGTGAAGAATAATACAGACGAGAAAGTGGCCTGCACTTTGACAATCAAACAGTATATAAGAAACAAAAGTATAGTATTTAAGTTTCCAAATTACATGGTGCAAGCATAAGCTAGAAGGAAAAAGCCCGAAAGCAGGACGCGACCGAGAGAGAGGGCGGTAGTGGTAGTGGTGGTGGTGGTGGTGGTGGAGGAGGAGGAGGAGCAGCGAACCTATGGAGAAGAAGTCCTCGACTCGTGTCTTTTTAAATCACTTGAGATCAGACGACAACGATAAGACGCCATCCCCGCAGTCAGGTGAAACTTGCATGGGAGAACCAGACAGGACGAGGTCTGTACGGAAAGAATCAGAAGAGGAGGACAAGGATGAAGGATGAGATGGGACAGAAGAGAGAGAAGCTGAAAGTGATGACGGAAGTTGATGCAGGTTGATGACCATATCTGGGTAGAGTCGATGAGTGGCCATCCAACCAGCAGCATTCTTTTGGTATTCCAGTCACCACTGCACATGTCAACTAGGTACTTATTTGTTCGTATAGCCTTCCTTATTATGGTGGTTTCTTTTAATCTTAACCCCTGACCTTTTCTAGTCTTGACGCTGTCTGGCCCGAACTATGTCCGAATATGATGATGACATCGTTTTCTCTAGCTAGATCCCTGCTTTCAGGGGACACGAATCGGAGGATAACGGAGCATATCTACAAAAAGAAGAAAAGGGGTATAGTGTCTTTTCAAAAAGTAATCCAGTTCAGAAAGGCGATGCAGGATACTTGAAATCGAATGGAGTACTCTGTATATACGGATATGCTCGAAGTCAATGAAGGTGAATTTAGACTATCCCTAAACAGGAAATAGATGCTAGTTGCCCCGTAAAGAAAAAAAGATTACTATAATAACATCAACAAATCTTTCAATTCGCCTCCTTAATTAGAGGGTTAACAGGGAGCAAAAGGATCTCTTGCTACTGACCAGATTACACGTACTCTAGCTAACTAACTAACTACTCCGTAATGACTAGTTATCTAGTTAGTACTTGGTAGTTGAGCTACCTAAGGATTATCTAATATCCGACGAGATGTGGTCACATGATCTGTAGCTCTGTTAAAGCGGCAATGGGTCAGCAACGCACGCCAGAAGCTACAGACCCGACAACTCAACAACATCCAAACCCATCCTCTTCTGTTGCCCTTCTTTTACCATTGATTTGTTCGTTATACGAGTCGTCTTTCCCCCTCCCCCGGTAACATTCTCCCCTCGTTGAAAATATTGGTCGGTTTCCGATAGACTCGTGTTGTTGCTCGTCAGGGAGCTCCCATCCTTCGTCATGGCGCTCGACAACTACTACCGCAATAAGATCGAGAGCATGAAGCTCGAAATCATTCAGGGCCAGGCGGTCCTTCGAAGACTTGAAGCACAGCGCAATGACTACAACTCCCGGGTCCGCTTACTGCGAGAGGAACTGGGGCTGCTCCAACAACCTGGCTCGTACGTTGGTGAGGTGGTGAAGGTTATGAGCACCAAGAAAGTCCTCGTAAAGGTACATCCAGAGGGGAAATATGGTAGGTACTAACTATTTCTACGAGGGTTCGATTTGGGATATGCGGTAGCTAATGAAATTGCTCTGGAACATAGTGGTCGACATTGCGGAGGGCGTGGACATCAGCAAGCTCACTGTGGGCAAGCGCGTTTCATTACTCTCCGATTCCTACAAGCTGGAAAAGATGCTACCGTCCTCCGTTGATCCGCTCGTGTCACTCATGATGGTCGAGAAGGTTCCCGACAGTACGTACGACATGATTGGTGGTCTAGATCAGCAGATCAAGGAAATCAAGGAAGTTATCGAGCTGGGTCTGAAGCACCCCGAACTGTTTGAATCGCTCGGTATTGCACAGCCCAAGGGGGTCCTTCTTTATGGTCCCCCCGGAACGGGTAAGACGCTTCTTGCCCGAGCCGTCGCCCATCACACAGACTGTCGGTTTATCCGAGTGAGTGGATCGGAGCTTGTGCAGAAATACATTGGCGAAGGTAGTCGTATGGTTCGTGAGTTGTTCGTGATGGCTCGAGAGCATGCTCCTAGTATTATTTTCATGGACGAGATCGACAGTATTGGTTCTAGCCGGATAGACTCCGCGGGCTCGGGCGATTCGGAGGTGCAGCGAACCATGCTTGAGCTTCTCAACCAGTTGGACGGTTTCGAGCCGACAAAAAACATCAAAATTATCATGGCTACCAACCGTCTGGATATTTTGGACCCGGCCCTGTTGCGTCCCGGACGAATTGACAGGAAGATCGAATTCCCACCACCATCGTAAGGCTTCTCTTGAATTTTCTTCTTGATCTGGGATAATACTAATGTTTGGATTTTTTTTTTTAATAGTGTGGAGGCTCGTGCGGATATTCTACGGATTCACTCCCGATCGATGAACCTCACCCGGGGGATCAACCTCACGAAGATTGCGGAAAAGATGAATGGATGCTCTGGGGCGGAACTCAAGGGAGTGTGCACGGAGGCGGGAATGTACGCGCTCCGAGAACGGCGAGTGCACGTTACCCAGGAGGATTTCGACCTGGCGACGGCCAAGATCCTCAACAAGCATGATGACAAGGAGGTTGCGGTCTCGAAGCTTTTCAAGTAGACCTTTCGGATGAATGTGGGAATCAGGATCAGGATCATGAACGGCTACTTCTGCGAGTAGTGACCGGATGTAATCATAATACGGACTGCTGAGGTTAGTTGTCACGATCGCCAATCTAGGATGGACCACCCGCATATCCCATTGAAGATGATGGGCCAGTAGATTCCCACCACGTCGGTAATAGTGTAGAGAGATCTATACTAGATAAACTATAGTACGGGCAATCTCTAGTTAGAGGTAGCCCCTACTTTCATTCTTTTCCTTTCCTTCGAGACAAGAGTACTTGGGGTCATATTCTTTTTTTAGACAGGTAAGGGAGTCTTGGCCGAGAGGGAGAGAGACAAAGAATGAGTTGGCCCGCTGGATGATCACTTGCATCAGATAGATAGATATATGTATATATTATTAAGTACGGAGTATCGTACTTTGTAAGAGGATCTTGACAGGCGCGTGACCAGCGATCATCTGTACGGATTGCATGAAAGTGTTCAGTTACTCCGTATAGAGTCAAGATGGCCTCGGCTTATGTGGGGCATTTCTAGATCTGATGACCCTCTAGTTAATTATCGGATTAAAAGGAGTAGTCGACAGTCTTCATGTAGAGAATATGCAGAGAGGACAATCGGACTACCCCATGGAGAATCTCCTTAAGGTCTCCGGTGAAGCTTTTGAATCCGGAGTGATAGTATTTAAATTCATTCCTCTCATTTCTTAGGATCCTGATCCATCATCACCGTCAATGTGATCGTTTCTAGAACTTCATCTCTATCTTCTTCTTCTTCTTCTTCTTCTTCTTCTTCTTCTTCTTCTTCTTCTTCTTCTTCTTCTTCTTTCAAGAGAATAATATCTATTCTACTCCCGCTTAATTTCCTCCTTTATCCGTCTCCACTCTACTACCTCCTAGTCCCCCCCCCCCCGATCGAGATACTATGCCCGACCGCGAGCTATGGTCCACTCTCGTCTCAGCCATCGATCCGGGGAATACTAAAAGCATGTCTGCCGTTCTTCAGTCTACCATCACTCTCCTGGAGTCCGAATTAGCCAAAGCCAGGGCCGCCCTCAACGAAATTCAACCCCATGCAGGCCCCATGATGATGATGCGCGGTGAGGAACTAGCCGTCGGAGCCCTGGCGGCCTATCGCCAGAACCTCATCGGCCGCGCCCCCGATTTCTACTACGGGACCAGTCGATTGACCCCCAAAGAACTTGGTCTCGTTCCAATCGTCCATGAGATTAAGGAAATTGATGACGCGGACGTAATTATTGAGAACCACCCGCCGCAGTATGTGCTGACGGTGATCCCCCCCAAGAAGGCGTTGCGACTGGAAGATGTCCTGTCCAACAGCTTGATCCTCGACCACATGGCCCCTTATCTCTCTCCGGGTTCGTTGTTTGCCCTGGCGGCAACCTCTCACCATGTGCGCTCCCTGATCATGGATACCCCCTATGTTTTTCGACACCTCGATTTGACCCAGTGCCGCGGTGCCCAGCTACAGGATGAGTCGCCACCCATCGACCGGCGAAGTGAGCGCATGGACGAGTCTCTAACCGAAGATGAATTTTACTCGGGACCTCTCCGGGGGATCTTTGCCAACCTGGAGAGGAGGTCGATCTTGCGCAGCGTACGAACCCTGGTTTTGGATGGATTGTCCGTCCCCGCCGACTTGGTCTCGGAAATTCTTCTGTCGGATCGATTCAACGTCAATTTGCTCTCCATCAGGGACTGTCGCCACCTCAATGAACGGAAACTCATGCAAGTGCTCAACTATGCAGTCCGACCGTCGCGCCCCGCAGGAACCCCCCGCGTGAAGGGAATCTACTACTTTACCCCCGTGGACCGTCCCCCACGGGCGGCCGCCCGCACTAAATACCGGGACTGGTGGAGCTCGCAGTGTTCTAGTCAGCGCGCATCAGCGAATGTGGCGCCCACCTCCTGTGATGAGCCGCATGTTGACCAGCCCCATCGCCAGAATGCCTGGTATCGTCCATCGGGGAAACTTTTTAAGCGCCATATCGAGGAGGGCTGGGCGCAGACAGTCCAGAAATGCGAAGGCATCATTGCGTTTGATGCCATGCTGTGCCGCGGACCTCGACACGACGTTAATCGGTACACGGCCCAAAGCCCTGACGAAGAGGAGGAGTCTCCGCCCGAAGCCCGATTGCTTGGTCCAGCAATCGCCACCATCGCCTTGGGCCCCAGAGGCTGTGACGGCTGCCATACCTCTCCCGAAGGTCCAGCCATTTGGGGACAATCGCCGGATGCCCATTTCCCTTTGCTCACTCCGCCACCTTTCCATTCGTCGTCGCTGGCAGCAGCCAAGCGCCCAGCCGTCTTTCCGGATGAGTATCCGGTCCTGATTGCCCGGTGTGCGGATTGTCTCACGGACCGTTGGTGCCACCCTTGTAATAAATGGTTCTGCAACACCTGTCTACCGCACCCTGACCGCGTGAGGAGCAACCTCTCTCCTCATCAAACCGCTGTGCGAGGGCCACGTAATGGCAGTGAGAGGCTAGGCCTTGGCGTCACCAAAGACTGCTGGGAATGTGGACCAACGGTGAGTTTTCTCTCTCTCCCTCCCTCCCATATATCTCCTAATGATTGGACTAGTGCATTGCCTGCAAGCTTGAATATCAACGAACATGTCAAAACTGCCAAGGAGACTACTGCGTCGAACATAATGAGGGTTGCTCCTCCACGATGGTAATGATTTCCACTCCGGATCAGATCAAGCTGTGACTGACTGTGCTAGTGTGATTGGTGCAATACCAGTACCCGGCATCGGACGAGAGAGCTCTATTGATTCGGACTCTTCCACCTGGAAAGGTAAGAAGGCAAAAAGAGATTACTAGGGGAAATCTCGTTTTATTTCCTAGGGGTTATGCCGCAGAATGGCTTTGTTATTTCTTCCTTTCTTGATACCATTTTTTGTATACCATCGGGTTGGGAGAGCGTTTCCTGGAGGAATCCACATATATTTCCACTCTTTCCACCTGATATCCATCCCTAATTCTCTACTCTGTCACTTTTATACGTCGTTAAAGCATAGCTAAAGTAACTACAATAATTGATCAAATGGATGACAAATCGGAGGCGGTAACTAACTAACTAGTTAACTAACTATCGAGTATCTTCCAGAACCATTTGGATGCCTCGACAACAATAAAATCCAAATCTACTTGAATAGTCAACTTCATATCCTCATTTTCCACCATCTACTCTACGTCCCCGCCCCAAAAAAGTGATGGCTGGGGAGCAGGATCCCCAACTCCACTGGTCGTCACAGTTCACCATCACCCCGTCTGAACTCACCCCCAAGCTTCCGGGCGATAAGATCATTCTTCCGCAATCCGCCCTCGAACAGTTACTCGCCGCCGCCCCGCTCCAAGAAGTCTTATCCTCGTCCTCGTCCTCCTCCTCCCCGCAAGGTCCGGCACGTCCCTACACAAGCACCTTCGACCCATTCAATCCGTACACTTTTGCTGCCGAGTCGCGCGCCCGCGAACACGCTGTCGACCGCCAACACCAATTACCGCATCCACTGACGTTCCGCATCGTCAACCCGAAGAATGGCCGTGTGATGTACGCGGGGATTCGCGAGTTCTCGGCCCCAGAGAATCAAATCGGTCTCAGTCCAGGATTACGCGAGGCGCTGGGGATCGAAGATCATTCTCAGACTGATCATAATAATCATAATAATCATAATAATAATACTCATACTAATACTACTAATACTACTAATAATACTGATGGTGGTGGTGGTGGTGCAGCACAGATAAACGGGTCTGTCACCGTTCACGCAAGACAATTACCAAAGGGTACATATGTTCGTCTACGGCCGTTGGAAGCCGGGTATGATCCGGAGGACTGGAAGGCTCTACTTGAGCACCACCTCCGTGATAACTATACCACGTTAACGGCGGGTGAGGTTCTCTCTGTGTCTGGGGGCCAGGACGCCGGGTTTCGGTTTCTGGTTGACCGCGTCGAGCCCGAGGGGGAAGCAATCTGTGTTGTGGACACGGATCTGGAGGTCGATATTGTCGCCTTGTCGGAGGACCAAGCTCGGGAGACGTTGCAGAGACGCCTGGCGAAGGCGAAGGCGGCCTCGTCTCGGGCGCCTGCTGGCAGTCACGGTGGCAGTGGTGGTGGCGCCTCGACCTCGGCCGGTGGGGTCCTGGAGCTTGGGGCACAAGTCTCAGGCCAGGTTCTTCCGGGGGAGTATGTGGATTATGAACTGCGGATGTGGGATCGTGAGCATACGATCGCCATTGATGTTGAGGCCGTGGACGATGCGGAGGTAGCCTTGCTTGTGAGTCCGCTTTCTACCAGGCAGAGGCATCGGCCGCGTGAGGACGAGTTTGTGTTTGGGGAGCTTGAAAATGGCCCGCAGAAGCGGATCCAGATCCGCCCGACAAACGTGGAATTAGAAGGTGCCGAGCTGTTGTATATCTCGGTGCATGCGTTTGCTGTGCCCGGTGCCGCGGGAGAGTCTCCCTCGCGGTATCACTTACGAGTTGGATCTGGTACCTCAGATCAACCTATAACGGATGCCAATGCGGGTCCGGATGCAGCTGATGATGTCCAATGCAAAAACTGCCAGCGTTGGGTCCCCCAGCGGACCTTCATTCTCCACGAGAGCTTCTGTTTCCGAAACAACGTACTCTGCCCGCAATGCAAGAACGTGTTCCAGAAACGCTCCCCCGAATGGCAAAACCACTGGCACTGTCCTCACGACTCGACCTACGGCAACGGACCTGCGAGCAAGCAGAGACATGACTCGATATGCCACTCAACGCACTCATGCCGTGCTTGTGGATTCTCAGCCGATAGCCTTCAGCATTTGGCGCAACACCGCACCACTGTCTGCCCCGCCAAACCCATCCTCTGCCAATTCTGCCACCTTGTAGTTCCTCAACAAGGCGAGTCCGACCCGGACATGCACGACCCCGAAGTCCTTCTCTCAGGACTCACCCCGCACGAACTCGTCGACGGCGGCCGCACCACCGAATGCCACCTCTGCAACAAGATCATTCGACTCCGCGACATGAAAACCCACCTCCGCCACCACGACCTGGACCGTCTCTCCCGCCCCCCGCCTCAACTCTGCCTCAACCAAAACTGTGGCCGCACACTCGACGGCCGCGGCGGCGGTGTCCAAAGCTCCATCAAGCCCGGAACCGACACCCTCGGCCTCTGCAGTATCTGCTTTGGACCCCTCTACGTGGATACGTACGATCCAGAGGGCAAGGCCCTCCGGCGACGCATTGAGCGACGTTACCTGTCGCAGCTAATGACCGGGTGCGGCAAACCCTGGTGCCAGAACGAGTATTGTAAAACAGGGAAGCAAAACCACTCTTCTTCTTCTTCTTCTTCTTCTTCTTCTTCTGCTTCTTCGTCTTCCGAACAGAATCCAAATCCATCAACCAATCCAGCAATGAGCGCCGCTGCAATCCTAGCTCTCATCCGACCCATGCTGGACGCGATCAATTTCCAACACAGACAGAACCGATCCAACACCGCGCCCTTTTACCTCTGCTCCGACCAAGTCAGCCAGCAGCGCCGCGTCCTTGCCGAGATGCTAGCAGCCGTGCCAGGCTCGTCAAAGACATACGACTTGCCCTGGTGTGTTGCGGCCGTGGAAGCCGCCGGAGAACTCGACAAGGCACGAGAGTGGTTAGAGAATTGGGCTCCTGCACGGGGAGAGAGAGAGAGAGAGAGAGCTGACCACAGCTTAGGATGATTTGGTTTGGGTTGGTTTGGTTTAGGATCTATGTAGATTTAAAAAAATTTTTATTCCCAGCTTTAAATATCATCTAGTTATCTAGTTATTTATTTATTTATTTTATTAGACTGACTAATACAATCAATGGAGATGACGGAATAACTAATTCAAGTCAAGCGCTCAAAAAAAAAGAAATGCGTGATGATTCATATATCAACCTACCTAATTCCTGTCGCGACTCATCACATCATCCAGATGATATGATACCTAAGTAAGTAGTACACTTCCCCATACACATCAACCCATCAGAGAGGAGGGAAAGAAAGAAAGAAAGAAAAATTGCAACCCGTTTTAACTGCCCAAGCCTCCACTCCCCCTAGATGAAAAAATCCCCATAATGCCAAAAACCACATAAAACAAGGCCAGCGGGTAAGCCACGAGCCCTCTCATGCCGCTCATGCGCGCCACGGCACAGAACATCCCCGAGGACGAATACGTGCACCACCCCACGGCCGCAGTCGTAAGCAGGTATCCGAACAGGGTATCCATGGGGACCAAGATGCCGAGGAGACTGGTCAACACGAGAGGCAGAAAGCAGTACCCGAGCACGCTTGCGGAGCGCGGGAACGTCAGGGTTGCGGAGAAGTGGCCGGCCAGGGAGGACCCGGGGGCGCCGGAGGAGGGTTTGTGGTGCGGGTCGTAGTTGTTGGGGTCTGCGGCGTTTGGGGAGGAGGTAGAGGCCAGGCCTGCGGCGGCGGCTGCGGTAGCTGCAGAAGAAGGAGGAGAGGAAGAAGAAGATAATGATGATGATGCTGAAGCGGCGGTGTCGAGGGCTGGAGACATGAGGCTGAGGATTAGATGCAGGGCGACGGTACCAAAGACGGCGACGCCGTAGATGTAGCCGTAGAAGACCTTTCCGGAGAAAAGCAGAAAGGTGCCGTAGAGGACGATGTAGAGGAGGGCGCCGTAGAGGTCGCTGTCGTCCATGAGATGTTGGTCGATGCGCGCGAAGGGGTTGAGCACGGTCAAGGTCTACCATTCGACATCAGTTGTTGTTTTTCTTTTCGTTCGATTGCTTGCTTGCTCTCTCGAAACAGAACCCGGAAATGACAACGAAGCGAATGGTCAAGAGCAGGACGTAAATACATACCTTGGTCCGGATATGTTCGAAATTCACCCCCAGCTCCTCCAACAACGGCGGTTCCCCCTCATACCCCTCCGTCCCAAAGGCAGCCAGCCATCCTGTCCGCAATCCACCCTGCTCGCCCATTCGCCCACTCACTCCTCCAGTCGGCGACCCAAAGCCACCGTATCCGCCTCCAACCCCGCCTCCAACGGGATACCCCTGTGCCGCCGCTGGGTTCGATGGAGCGCCGCCGAACCCGCCATAGGAAGCTTGGGAGGGCGTGGTGTGGCCCGACACAGAGGAGTAGGAGGATTGGTAGAACTGGAGGTTTTGCGCGGAGCCCTGGGCTGCTCCGTAGGGCTGCTGTTGTGGATAATACTGCGCCATTGCGGGAGAGATGGTGCTTAAATGTGCGTTGGTGATGCTCTTCTTCTTTAGAACAGCTGTCTGTCGGCGGTGTGCCTGATTAATCGGCTTAGTCATCCTCTTGTCTTTGGAGATCTAGTTAAATGGCCTGTATTTTTGCTTCAAAATCCATGCTGAGACTAATCTTACAAAGAAGAACATAAAAATACCTCTCTCTCTCTCTCTCTGTCTAATTTAAAATGCTCACGAAAAAAAAAAAGCCGAGTGTTTCTACAGGAAATTAATACCGATCCCAAGTTGCAGGCCCTTCCTGCCCTCTTCGCCCTTGCGGAGGACGAGTGGGAGAGAGAAGTTCAGCTCGAACCTGGCAGCTGGGTGCGCGTACACTAGTCCAACACCTGCTGCAATGCTTGGGAGCCCGTTGCCAAGTTCCGAAATGGTAGACACCATGGCTTCCTTGACCTCTGCACTGGTGGTGGGAGCGGTCTTTTGTGCCGTTCGTAGAGGCAACAACCGTCCGCCATTCACAAAGGCTTGTAGTCGGAGCGGTTTCTCGGCGCCCACCCGCGGGAGAGGCAGGAGAAGATTGGCGCTTCCCGCGGCGTACACATCTCCTCCAACAGCGTCCGCTCCATCGTGAGGTCCTAGACCGGAAAGGCGGAAACCACGGACGTCGGTAGGGCCGCCGAGCTGGAAGCGATCATTGAGGCGAGAAAGCTGGGGTCGGGAGTCGGAATCGAGACCGAGGGGGTAAAGAAGGCCGGCACGAAACCCAGTAGTGAAGCTGATACCGCTGTCTCCTTTGACACCGGGGATGGGAATTGGGATTGCGCTCTGCGTCTCGATTTCCGACTTCCAGAACGCAACGTCGCCCTTGAGAGGACCCCAGCCCGCCAGTTCGTTGAAAAGCTTAGCGTAGTAGCCTCGAGAGGGAAGGAGCGAATTGTCTCTCTCGTCCCGCACCCAGGAATGGAAAACGCTGCTCTTCACGCTATCACCTGCCTCTGCTCGGACGGTAGGCGAGGCATTCTCGGCAAGACCAGTTACCTGTCTCCAGAAGCCATTGTAGCCGAGTTCGTGGCGATGACCCGATTGACTCAACCATCGGAGCTTGCTCCAGCCCCCCTTTAATACTTCTTCGTGGCTGGCCCAGGATTTCTGGGTTGCGCTGGCAATTCCACCAACCTCGAACCGGAAATCGGGGTCGCTGAGAACTGGGGTGTCGAAGGAGGCCTGGTATGCGGACCTTGTTCTAGTTCCCAGGGAAGCATTGAGATTAAAGTTTTCTGCACCCCCAAACACATTGCGCCAGAGCAGATTACCATAAGCGGATCCCTCTGCGTTGCCCAAATCAGTACCAGTCTTGAGCAAGACCCGAGACTTCTCCTTCACGGTGAGGAAAACATCGAGATTTGTGAGACCGGTTTGCGGATCGGCTTCAGGCGACTGGTCCAGGTATACGGAGATAGGCTGCTGGAAGATGTCTATTTTCTCATCATTAGACCTCTGTACGAAGTATAATATATATTCCTAGAGCACCAACCGAATCTGCCCAACTTGTCCGCACGTGCCGAGACTTCCCGTAGAGCTTCCGAGAGGGTATAGGGTCGTTTTTGATGCGTGCTCAACAATGGATTGAAGATTCGCTCGAGGAAGCCCCTGCGCGTATGACTGGCATTAAGAACCTGAATCGATGAGATTGAGCAAGGTAAAGTAGAGTTCTGGTCGATCTATTATTATAGCCGGAGTCAGTAAAGATGTTGGGAAACCACAGCGGGACCAAAAAAAAAAGAGTATATAACGAAAGGAAATGTGATAATCTCACAAGCTCTCCAAGACGAGCTTGCGCCTTTTGATAAATTGCATTGACTCGTTCGTTGATAGCCTCCTGCTGTTCTTCTAGGACCTTGGGATCGGCCCGTTGCTGGAGACGCTCGAAGATCTAGATATCAAAACAGAGCGCAGTGGTCAGAAACTGTTCGAAACAAGTCCACAAAGGATCACAAAGGACAGGACATACATCACCATCTTCAGCAGATAGGGGGGAGGACATTGCGACGGCAGCAATGGCCCAAAGGAAATCGCGAGCAGTCTTTCTTCGGGTTCTCCTCCAATCTCTCCCGAACCGTCTGATGAAGCAATACTCGTGCACGTGACCCCGCGCCTCCTTTGCCCTTCGAAACCAGAAAGAAGCAACTCTGCTCAGCAAAAGTGTCATAAATCATTCATCTTTCCCCCTTTTCCCTGTTCTTTTCATCGTCCTCTCTTCTTCGTAATACTTTGCTCGTCCTGCGTCATTCTTTTTCCGCTGAGCAGCCCCCCATCGTTTTATACATTCCTCGGGCTTCCATACTTCTTTCCAGTCCACCAGCAGCCCTCACACCACAGCTGTCAGCAAGATGGCCACTAAAGCCGCATACAAAAGAGTGAGTTCAACTATTCTAGCCTTGAGATCAAGGTCGTCAGACTGACTATCCAACAGCTCACCCGCGAGTACCAAAATATCCAAAAGAATCCTCCACCTTTCATCGTCGCGCATCCGTCAGAGTCCAACATCCTCGAGTCTGCCCCCCTCCACCTGTTTCCTCCCGGTCATCTTCTTGACATGTAGAAACTGACTTGAATTCTCCTCTTAGGTGGCATTATATTCTCACTGGTCCGCCCGGAACACCCTACGAAAATGGCCAGTACTGGGGTACTCTGATGTTTCCTCCCGAATACCCTTTTGCCCCTCCCGCGATTCGCATGCATACACCTAGTGGTCGGTTCCAACCGTCATCTCGCCTGTGTCTCAGCATTAGTGACTTTCATCCCAAATCATTTAACCCAGCATGGGAAGTCTCCACTATCCTTATTGGCCTACTTTCCTTCATGACTAGCGAGGAAATGACCACTGGCAGCGTGAGCGCCTCCGAAGGAGAAAGACGAGTCCTAGCGGCCCGGTCAAGATGGTGGAATTCGACTGGTGGCGGCACCCATATCTCCTGCACACCCGGAGTTACACCCACCTCCAAAGGAATCAACAATGTGAAGGCTGGAGATGGTGGGTTGAAATTTCGCTCGGAATGGCCCGAACTAGACCAGGAGAACTGGAAATGGCTCAAGGACAACCGCATTGACACTGCCACCGGACAGCTGCGACCGGATCCCAATGCTGCATCAAACAAGTGCTCCCCAGAGACCAGTGCACTTCGCCGACGGCCCAACGGAAGCGCCCCTAGGCTCGGAGCTGTCGTGGAAGGTGGCAACGTCGCCAGGGAAGTCGGCCAAAGTTGGCTTCAGCGCAACAAAGTCTGGGTAGGCCTGGCAGTCTTTTTTGGGTACGCTCTCATTTCAAGACTTGTGCATGATGTTCAGGGTTAACCGCCCCCTGGTGGATATGCTATGCTATCCGCGTCTTGCATATTCCTTTCTTAGGGTGAATCATCTTAGGTTCTCTCTTCTTCCCTCATTCCCCTCCCCTTTCTTAGCTTTCGATCTACCTGTTTCTTTTGTTCTATAGCGTGGGATGGATTCTTTGTCGGATTATATTCAGAGTGGCAGAAAGGCGTCCAGAGAGGGAATGGCGTTTTAATCCTTGAGGGACTTGACTTATTTCCTGTTCTCTATTAATGTTATTATTGCCACAAGAAGGGCTTTCTACAACAACGACTACAACTCTTAGATGTAAGCTAATTCAAGGACTCCTCCTATTGGTGGTTTAGTGATCAAGAATTATCGTGCTCCCGGAAAAATGGCGGTATTGTAATTACCGTATTGCAATACGCCCATCTGTTATCGGAATACCGTAATCGCTCCGATTATATCATCGCCGCCCAAAAGTTTTGAAGGCTTCAATTCAATTCAGTCTTCTTTTTTTTCCCTTCTATCTTCAACTCCTCTAAAATCTTTTTCTAGGCTTTTTGCGTCAATTTCCTCGGTCCTTTCCCTGTTTCGAATTGTCTAGTGGATCTAGAAATCCAACTAACTTACATTCATATTCATCATGGGCTGGTTTTGGGCAGATTCGCAGGCGAAGCCAACTCCCGCGCCGCGCAATCATCCCTCTACCTCTGAGGCCTCTCCTCCCGTGAGTAGAATGATGGACGCAGGATATAAATGTAAAACGACTAATGAAGACTTAGCCGGGATGCCCTATGCATGCTTCTGATGCTTCTTCGCCTTCTCCGTTAACTCCCCCTGCTGCCGATTCTCCAAGTGCCTGCCCCGTCCGCGCAACAGATTCTCCATTCTTCGTGCAGAAGTCCAACCCCCCAGTACCGGAACCGTCCCCCGCCTCGGAGAACAAACCATCGACATTATCCAGGTTGAACCCTCTCAACTACATGTTCTCGACGATCTCTCAGGAGCGCGCGCCTAACCAAACCGTGGACTTGGCTGTTGAGCGTGAAATCTCATCAATCCCCAGAGGCGATTCCGAGGGTAACTGGGAGTATCCTTCTCCACAGCAGATGTACAATGCTATGCTGCGCAAGGGTTACACAGATACCCCTCAAGATGCAGTAGAGGCCATGGTTGCCGTTCATAACTTTTTGAACGAGGGCGCCTGGGACGAAATTGTCGGATGGGAGCGGACGTTCTCGCAGGGTCTGGCCCGGGGATGGGAGAAGTGTCGTCACGGCGAGGAGAATCTCGCCATGGAACTGGCTAGGGAGGAAATGGATGGATCGGCGAATGCGATTCCAGAGCCCCGCCTGGTGAAATTCAAGGGCCGTCCACAGGAGCTTACACCCAAGGCGCGGATCCTCCAGGCTCTGGGCTACGTATTTCCGTCGAAATTTGAGTGAGTGTCCATCGCTCCACATTCTCTCGTTTGTTGACGAGAGACGTGTCTCTCATTTGGTTGAACTACTTTTGCTAACGGGTTTATGAACGCTAGAACCAACCCTCCTTTTGACCGTCACGACTGGTTTGTGATGCGCCAGACGCCATCTGGTCCGAAAGAAGTCCGTTATGTGATCGATTACTATTCCGGACCCCCAGAGCCAACCGGAGAGCCCGTCTTCTACCTCGATATCCGCCCGGCCTTGGACTCGCCCACTGCAGCCGTCGAGCGATTGATGCGATGGGGAGGAGACGTCTGGTGGCGAGCCAGCGGCGGCGCTGCTCGAGGCCACGAAAACTAGTAATCGATTCAGCAGCCGTATTATGTACCATCACCAACCTCAAAATTTCGCTTTCCTACTTTTGCATTCTCCTCCACTCCTCAATCGATACCTGGGAAAAAAAAAAAAGAAAAAAAAAAAAAACCGTGGCATCTTGACGGTGCAGCTATGATTATTCGCCGTCTCTTGCATTCCGCAGGCTGGGTTTTGTGGTCTGATATGATAATGGTGTATATGGAGTCATGGTTTCTCTCTCCCTCCCTCGGGAATCGGTTTCTTTTTGAACCTTCTTTACCCTATTTCAGCGGGGTTTTGTGTTGTGTGTGTGTGTGTGTGTGTGTGTGTGTGGTATATGTTGATATGCTTCATGTTTCTATATAGACTTACTTCCCCGTTACTTACTGCCCTTGTGTATTACTATTCTTCGTTAGCATCTACAACATAATCTATGTTTCACACACACACACACACTCTCACCATCTCAAAACACTTTTTTTCTCGTCATATGCAAGGCTTCGGATGGTAATTCTTTCATGAGTACAATAAATTATATACTTTTACGGTACTAATTATAGATCTAATTTACAAAAGAGGGCTAAAAAAGGCCCTGTATGTATTATTATGTATGCTATGAGAAATGCTGCTCAAAATAAATTTTCAGGCAGCACATCATTTCTCGACATTCTATCCGTTCCATTCATGATCTAGATATTAGGAGAGAGCTGGTCGTATTTAACGCACTGTTCGACGCTTTCGACGCTCGCCTGGAGCAAGCCACGCGCTTCAAGCCCAACCCAAACGCGGAGCATGGAGGTGTCGCCTGACCGAACGGATTTCAAGAAAGTGGTATTCGATCCGAGTTGTCGTAAGATGGGGAGAGCACTAGGAGAAGAAAGAGGGTTTGGTTAGTTGGTTGTTAAGATGTGGAATGGAAAAGGAGAAGATAAGTGGGATATATACCTCTTGAACAGATCTAGATCAGGATTCATGCTTCGCCCGATACCTTCAAGGAGGAGAATGGAAATCACAACGTTCACGAAATCTCCTTCAAGACGGACATGGTGGCGTCGAACCATGGACAAAACCTCGCTGAGAATATCTCCAATCTTAATGTTTCCCAAGGCGAACGTGCGTGACTTGACGCTCAGAACGAGATGCTGCATCCTGAGGGCGAATACGTCCGGATCGATGACTTCCTCTGGTTGACGACATCTTTCAACCATGAGTTGTCCTGCACGGTGGCCATCGAATTCTGCAACAGCACGGAAGAGATCCAGAAAGTTATTTCGGTTGATCTCGTTGAGCTGGGTTACTAAGCCCGTGTCGATGAAAATGAGCTGCGGGCGATAGCCCTCGGCATTGAGCTTACTGAGAGCCTTTTCCCAATCCCGTGGGTTCTGTGCATGAGGGCGCAGCCGAGAAAGAACAGCTTCCGTCACATCTACTTCGGCTTCGGTTGGTGCATCAGACGCTCGAGTGTGTTTATGGAGCGATATATCTAGCTCACTAGGCCGGTAAAACCGGACCATGATATTCCCCGGGTGTAGGTCTGCGTGTACAAAATTGTCAATCAGAAGCATATGAAGGAACGCGTCCAGACCCTCATTAGCAATTTCCTCCTGGTATACACCCCCTCCCATTTCAAGGAAGGTCGATAATGGAATACCTTGCGCGAACTCTTCCACGAGGACCTCACGGGTACTGTAATCATCATAGGGATATGGGAACCAGGCTGTGGTGCGAGACCTGAAATTTTTCCGGAATATTTTGAGATTTTCTGCCTCAATATGGAGGTCCAACTGCAGCTTCATCATTTCGCCAAATTGGGCTACCTCATCAGGGAATGACAGCCAGTGCATTGTTGGAATTATATTAATAAACGAGGCGAAAAACGACATAATTCTCAGATCTCGGCGGATAAGGCGCTCGACACGGGGGTGTCGCACCTTGATGGCGACGTATGAGGACGGGACCCGTTGAGGAGAGCTTTTTACCAACACATCAACGTTCTTGCGAACCCTGTCCCCTAGGCTTTGGGGCTCCGAAGTACGTTTATTGTCGGCAATGTTAGATAGTTCCGGCTTTAGCTTCGCTTTATAGACTTGGGCGATAGCTCCTACACCCAGAGGCTTCTCATCAAACTCTTCGAAAATGTCCTCAAAAGGCATGCCATTGAAGGCTTTGCTTATAATTCGCTTGGTCTCGCTCAACGAGTGGGCAGGGGCATTTGAATGAAGGGATGACATAATGCTGCACATCTCGGGAGGGAAAATATCGGTTCGAGAGGCGGCCCATTGTCCAAGCTGGGAAAAAAACCATCAGGTCAGCACGTTTTCGGTATATTACAGTTCGAAACGGCCTACCTTGATAAAGGCAGGACCTGCACGCTCCATTGACTTCACGAGGAAGTCGTACCACCACAGAGTCCCTGTTCGAACACCGTCACGATCCTGGATCTGCTTCCCAAACCATATCGCGGGGGTGGAGAGGATGACTGGTAAAAATATGGCCACTAGATGGACAAAACGAAAACCGGTGGCTATTGTATCATAAACGTAGTATGTCCAGTAAGCCAACACAGGCCCTCCAAATCCCAGTATCCCTTGGGTCTTCTCCAGGATATCCTCTTTTACCTCTCGACGCGAGGCTTCTAGCATGCGCTGTTCGAGGGTCTTGTCGCCTTCTGTATCATCAGATTCTGTGAGCTTCACAAAGGCGGCAGGAGCCAGAGCTGAAATCAATACAACCCTCGCCCCCCGTGGCATTCGCCTCGGACGAATTGGACCTATATTTCGTGGACATGACGGCAGACGTGTGAAGCGAAATGCGGGCGACGGGGAGAAGCGGGAGAGCAGCTGTGGACTTCTACCACTAGTCAAACAGAAACGGCCAACCTGGGAGGCTATCCTCATGTTCTCAGACAGGAATCAAGCACCTGAGAAGTTGCGCCAAAAATCATATCGAGAAATATAGAACAGAAAGACACTGTCGGGGCAGTTGGCCAGGGAAGTAACAGCCACTCCGTTGGCCGCCGGACTTCGTTTCGCAGGTCGACAAGAAGAATCTCCGGGCGGACTTGCACGTGCTACGACGTCATCGTATACATACTTGGACCTCTATCCAACTTGGAGCGAGTCAACAACAACAACAACCACCACCACCACCACCACTACCAGGTGTATTATCGACATTCAAGAACATCACTTGTTCCGGCAGGGATGAAGGAATATATTTTTAGTACTTTGTGGACATTGAGTTCGGCGTCAATGCTGGGGTAGTTGGCCGAATCCACCGCATTCCAGAGACGATACCTCTCCAGCCACCGCGAGGAAGTCTCAGGTCCAATTCTCCTGCCAATGTGACTGCCAGAACCGGTAATTTCCGGCTCTCTGACAGTTTGCTCGCGGGGTCAGAAGCCACTTGTTGAGGATTTTGAGTCTATCTGTGCTGCAACTTCCGCAAGCGACAATGGATAGAGCCTTCCGCTTCATCTAGTTCCCCCCTGCCTTCGACTTTGCGACTATATTAATTTGGGAGAACAACAATGTTGAAACAATGCTCGTTCTGATCCATTTGTTTTTGATAAACTCTAGTCTCTGAGTTCGAGCATGCAACTACACCATGGGTCGCATCCATGATGTTGAATCATACGGCGAAGCCGACGATGAGCAGGATTCACCACGCCAGTCCTGGACAAGTCTGCTCATATGGTGCGCTATAAGCTATATATGCATGATTGCGATATTTATTCGCGTATGCTGTCCAGACTTGTCGCTTTTGAAGCTAGGGTTACTCCCACTATTTGTTCCCGGAAGCTCTCCGACTCTTTTCTATGCCTTTTCGTCCAGCGCTGGCCATTTCAGCAAGCCAAGGGCCATTGAAATCGTGGCTTTGGTTCCTTTTCACGAATATAAAAGAACAGAAATATTGAATTGCTATCTACAGGTTTGGAATTCACTTTACCTCCTTGACTGTCTGATCACTTGCTAACCTAGTTCCAGAAAAACCTCGCCTCCAATGATGGGTTCCTTGACAGAGTGGTATTTATTCCACAAACGAACGACACAGATAGTCTTAGATGGCTTGCGGCCACGGTCGAGGAAACCCCCTCCTATTCGGTTTCCCGTTCCAGAACCTTCCCAACCGAAATAGTTGATCAGGGTGAAAATATGCTGTTTGTCTGGATCGATGGTGATGTCGTATTTCTCGAGGATCATACGATCCCAACTACCGTGAAAACCAAGTTGGATCATTCCGACTCGATAATAGTTTCCGCCAATGTTGTGAATCAAGGAGTGCTCGAAAGCCTCCACAGCCACCCTTCGGTTGCGCTCCCCTATCGCCCAGAGTTACAACCGTCCCAGGATTCTGTCGATCAAAACTCCTGGCGTGCCTCAACTCTACCATCCTGGAACGGACCCAAAGGCTTTAAGGTACATAAAGGGTTCACTTCACCATTTAGGAATCACCGTTGGCTCCCATCTAGCGATGAAGACTTCGACCACACCCCGATTGGAATGGCCATGTACACAGAGAGTGGACCAGGATTGGACGATTGGACCGTGAAAGCTCAGCAGCATTATTCTTTTTTACATCGCCTTGAGACGGGAAGTCTAAACCGATATAAGTTTCCCATGTGGAAGCAACCAACTGATCCTATCAGTCAAAACTTCTTTTGTTTCATGGGTCGTGATGGGGCCGCTGTTGAGTCGTTCATTCAGCGTGGCAGTTCAAACAAAGGAAAATCGAAAGATGAATCTGAGGTGGAAGCCACAGATATCATCATAGATGGCAAGGGACTGGCTGCTCACTATGTGACTGGGCCAAGGCTGAGGTCCCTGGACGACACTGATGTGCTGAGCCGGTACCAAGCATATGCTCGAGAGATGGTGTGCCCGAGATTGGCCTGATATTATGGAGTTGATATACAGTTTTTAATTTGTACATATAGTTAGATACCCGTGACTTTTGGGGCTTCATATGTTTAATATCCCATGATATCAATACAGTCAGAATCTTGAATTCCGTGCAGGTTATTTGTCTGGAAACCAATCGACTTTAAATATATGCAGGTATCTATCAGTCTATTCCTGAACCATTCCCAACCCATAACTTGAACCAATAAGCCGTTATTCGCCTTGTTTAAGGTACTTGGACACATGGCTCCTCATCAATTCCTGTATTGTCGTCTTCCAGGAATCTGGAAGCGTATCGGGCTAATAAACATTGGTCAGCTCCTGTATTCAACCCCCCCACAGGTTAAGATTCATGCAACTTACATCGTTCCTCAGCAACTCCTGAACCAAGATAATCATGTTATCCCGATCCTTAGCCCATTGTACTTTGTCTATCTCTGCATCTGAACCAGGCCCCTCTGCACTCAGAATCTGCTTAATCAATACAAACCCATCAATCTTCTGCAGGCAGTACACAACCGCCGAAGCACCGGGCTTGCTGGATGCCATCAAAGCGAGAGCGAACCACGCCTCGCTACGGACAACAGGCCACTGTGTCTGAGTGACCATTGCGCCTACCGGGAGAGCCACGCCCTCATGCTTACTGAAAAGGCTGCCCAGGAGAGAAGTAGCCTGTGCGCTTTGTTCGCGGGACTCACGCACAAGTGTCCGACAAATGGAGGCTACTATGCGTCCAATCTCGGTTTTGATGGGCGTAGAGTCTGTTTTCTCAAACAACGCAAGGAGTAGAGAAAGGTAGGTAGGACTGCACTCGGCGGGATTCTTGTCAGTATCAGCGTCGGGGGTGATGTTTCCGGAGGAGGAAGCGGAGGGAGGCTGGTCCAGGAGTCGACTGATATTCTCGACGGATGAGATGATCAGTTGGCGGGCGATGCTGGTCGCGGCGAGCTGCACTTGCGGGACGGTTTCGTAGCCCCATAGATGCGAGATCGCGGGGACGATCCCGGCTCTGCCCAGGTAGAGCCTATTGTCGCTGGCGATTGCTAGGTTCTTGAGGAAGCCGAGGGCCGAGTGGAGGACCGCGCCTCGGGCGTTACTGTTGAGGATTCCGATCAGCTCTTCGTGGATTTTGAGGTCTCTAACCATGGCTTCGCACACAGCATCGGACCGCGCGAGGTTACCAAGCATGATGCAGGCGCATATTTGAAGCTGGTCCTTTGTGGTGGCGAGCCAGGATTTCAGCATCTCCGCGAGCGGGGAGTCTAGCGGGTAGCGCTCTGCAAATAACGGTGAGGCGGAAACTTCAGACAGTGCTTGATTGATCTTTAATCGTGACTGTGTTACAGCTTGGCTTTCTTCGGTAGAAGAGATCTCAGGATTGAGAGACTGTGAGTGGCGGAGCACTAAAAGGACGTCCGCCACCATGAGCTTTGATACACAGATAGTTTGGAATCGTTCCTTTTCCAAATACGCCGCAAGACAGTTTGTAAGGCAACAAAATTGAGAGATCGTAGATTTAGACCTCGTATTCAGGGCAACGGCTATAAGAAGTGGAATCGTCCCTTCCGGGGAGCTTTCAATTCCTTGTTCTAGAATCATACTGGTCAGAGACAATGTAAAAATCAGGGGAAACGACAGCTATACCTTGCTCGCCCACCAATTCTATTAGCTCGTAAACATAGTCTAGTAGGGCTTCGTTATCTCCAAATCCATCATCTTCCACCAACTTCAGGAGGATGTATACTATTTGGTTGGCTGCTAGCTGGGACTGGGCGGGTTCTACATATCATCAGCTCTCCGCGTACAATATGAACCCGCGGGGTTAATTACCATAATCAATGCACAAATTATATATAACTGGAATCACCACCTGGATGAGTCCCGGGTTCAGGAGGCGCCGCAGGATGGCAAATGTATAGTTGTCTTTCACCACAATTGCGCGGTTCTCGTCTGGAATGGGTCAATCTTAACATCTCCTCTGCGCAGGGCAGCAAAACCCACCTGTATCAGCACAAGAGTTTCCAACCAACCGCAAAGAATGGAGGATCAGGCCAGTGTCAGTAGTCTCTCTTGAGGCTATCAGCTGAAGAAAGAAACTTAAAATTCCCGCTTGGCCGTACGCAGACCGAAACAAGGCTGAAAGAAGATCAGTAACGCAAGCCCACAAAGAAGTTCGAATGGTAAGTTAATACTCACGATTTCTGCTTCCATTTGCCAAGGCTTCTGTAGCTTGTACCAAATAGTTAGATCTACAGCCCCATAGCGTTTTTAGAGCGTTCGATGCGTCTTCAAAGAACCCCACATCGCCGCCACTCTCTGCCTTCGAAAGGGCGTCCTGTATGGAGTGAAATAAAGCCTCTTGCTCATCAAGTGACATTGATTCAGCTTGAGAAATGTCTAGTGATGGCGGCAATTGCGCCAATTCAGAAAATATTTCACCAAGGGAGGGACAATCTATTCCTTCTGGAAACCGAGCCTGTCTGCCCAGGAGCGCCTCAGTGGGATTCAAAATCTCACTTGCCTCATTCTTGGAGCCCATTTGTATGAAAAAAATCACTCTCCTGGGAGATCTGTTCCTGGTTAGCGGTCGAGAATGAGAGCCTCTGGGTGGTAGATCCCGAGATATAAGTAGTACAATCTAGCCTCCAGACATAAGGGGTAGACGTAGTTCTGCGGGCCAATCTATATGAAAAAGCCTTCAATACTTACCTGAAGTATGCTGCAACGATCAGGTACAGCGTTTCTGCCAGCGGTTGAGGGTTGAGGATTCAGAAAGAAGACGCATCAAGAAAGTCAACTGCACGCACCAAAATATGGATTTAAGACATACATGTCGCGGCCTGAGGCGGCTCCAGGCACGGATTTCCGAGAACGAGTTGTCGGGCCAGGCGTAATGGTGTAATTAATTGAATACACCATACAAGCTGGCACAGAAAGCCCAGAATTCTCTGAAATAGAGCTCCAAAAGCTGAAATACAAATATCTGCACTGTCTTTAAATCGAATTCACTATAAATATGGTTTTAAACCCATAACCCACCAGCTCAATGCGGCTCCTTGATGTCGATTGAAAAATATAATACGAACCCCATACGGTCAGCTCCGCGGCGGCCAAGGGAAGGGAAAACGACCGCATGAGAACAACTGGAACTTGAGTCCATCCTAATACCCAGTCCCTCATTAGCATACAATTTCCCATTCAATTCAATTCCCAAGCATCTCCCTCTCCCTCTCTCTCTTCGATACGCCAGCTTATCGCCTTCATTTCTTCGTCTAATCTTCCACCCTAGCTCTTAATCATTTGCATCCCATCCTCGCCACTCCTTCACAATGACACGCGCCCAGCAGACTCTCTCCGTCCTCCTGCTCGTCTCCTCCGTACGCAAACCACCACTCCTCCCACATCCTAAACAGCCGCTAACCTTTTTGCTTGTTTCTCTCCAGCTCTACCTATCGCTATACCTCGGTCTCGTCCCCCTTAACGAAACATTCCAGCAAGAAGTCATCCCCGTTGTACGTCCTCCTCCTCCTCCTCCTCCTCCTCCTCCCCCCCGACACACCCTTCCTACTTTCAAGACTCCCCCTCCTCTCCGCAGATCGCTAACATCCCTCTCTCACCCAATCTAGCTCCCCTTCTACGCCCTAATATGTTTCGGTTGCTACTTGCTCGGTCGCCTGGGAGTTGCGATCCTGACCTTCAACGATGTCCCCGAAGCGCACAAGGAGTTACAGCGGGAGATCGAGCAAGCAAAGGCCGAGCTGCGCAAGAAGAATGTCGATGTTGACTAGAGTAGCAATACATGGGATGGTAATTGGGCTTCCGCTTCTTTTCTTCTTTCTTTCTTTCTTTCTTTCTTTTTCTTGCTCTCTTTCCGATGTGTGTTTGTTGTTGGTTGTTGGTTCTTTCTCCTTTTCTTGGAGCTAGGACCCGGGGGATGCGGTTGGTTTTGTACAATATACACCGTTATCGGGAAGGTTAGGTGTTTTTTTTTTTTTTTTTTTCTTTTCTCCTTGTATACTGTTTCTCTACTTGTTCCGAGTTCTCCAAGTGTGGGATAATCAAAGAGATCGATGTGAGAGTTGTTCGGGTTCGACGTCGGAAGATTGTATAATCAATGCGCCTAAGACCTAAAGAAGTCAAGCGGTATAGGGAGGGTTTTAAGAATAGATGAGGATCGATGTGGTTGCTAGTTACCTATAGTTTAGGTAGTAGACACATGCTGCGGTTTTGCATGGGTTCCAACTAAGTACTCCGTATGTATATAATGAATGACTTGGTTGTGTTAGCGATATACGATTGTCTCGTCCATATAATAACACGACCGTTTCTCACCACAGAAATAGAATGTAGCTTCCATTTGTACAGCTGTTGCTCTGCGGGTTTACCTGGGGTATATAGATACATGCATTCACAAATACAGAGTACTACCAAGGTACTACCTAGTACTAGTTACCAGTCGGATAACGCAGGGATACCCCAGGTTCATTAACAACCCTTGAAGACGGACATTACAAGTTAGTTAATGTTGGGCAATTTTGAATAAGAGGCAGGCGCAAAGCCCAATGCCCGTAGATTTATTCAAGTCATCTAATAGCAACCAGATTCAGACCAAACAAGCTAGATGCTTAGCTTTTTTCTATCAAATACCAGCAAGAACACCGTTCGTAACATGACATGTGTAGTATAAGCGACTCAGAGCCAAAAAAAAAAAAAAGGGGAGGGGGGGGGATGGAAGGAAAGGAAAGGAAAGGAAATGTATGTGCAGTCAGATCGGAGCCTAAGTGCCTCGATCATGTTGGGGGTAGACAGTCGGAGAAAAAGAAGAAAAAAGAAGGGTGCACGGCGGGCTGCATGTTGCATGCTGAAGAAGCACTTAAACAAGAGGGTTCTCCTTGGCCAAATTATCGTGCTCGTCAATATCCCTGCACAGAGATTAGTTAGTCATCGAAGATATTCCACCAAACATAACTATCATTGGAGAAATGGTAGACATACTTGGCCTCCCAAGGGTAGCAGATCCAAACATCATCAGTCGTGACAGCAGCATGGTAGCGACCCGACTCCATCATATCCGCGGGCAGCTCTCCCTTCTTTGACTTGTTCTTGTTCTACCAATCTGTTAGTAATACGTACGACAGACAGCCCTAACGAAGGCCACCCGCGCAAATGAACGACATGACATACATGAAGCACAAACACAAAAAAATTTGTCTTCTCGCCCTCGCGACCAAGCTGCTTTTGCGCAATCTCAACGTCCTTCTGCAGCTCCCGGACAGCATATTCCAGCGTTGTCCGTGTGTCGTCGACCTCGTCGACAATGAGAATGTTCTTGCCGATCAGGTTGGCCATCTCCAAAGAGCTCAGATCCAGCCATTGTGTACGGGTAACCTTGGTGCCAGGAACCTCCTCGGGGTCGCCACGGCCGAGATCCTCATACAGAGAGAGACCAATAGCCTGGATAGGGATGTTGGGGTCACCGGGACGCTTCAGGAATGATCTAAGCAAAACGAAACCCAGTTAGATTCTCCATTTCCCTCTTACGGTTGCGCTTGTGCACCTTACCGGAGAATGCGAGCAGGAACATATCCACCACCACCGATAGCGATCATAAGGTTGGGTTGGAATTTATCCAGGATTTTGTCAGCCGAAGACTGGCATAGTTTGTGGACCTTTTTGCACATGCAATGTGTCAGTCGGGTTGAACAACGCAGAACCTGAAGCACAAGCCTCCAGCAAGGGCAGCCAAAAAAAAATCGACAATAATAAATGCATGCATGGAGAGAGCTTTCTCAAGGCTGAGTATTGTGCGAGGTTGTAGGCGTGAAACAGCGGGGTGGCTCTCAAGGGAACGTACCATGTTATACGTGACATAGACCTTTTGCGGCATTGTGGGCGATAAGAAAACTCCTGATAAATCTGGGGGAGGGGGATAAGTTTGATGCTCAAAGCAGGATCGAGATCCGTCACTCTTGGGACTTTGCAGAACAGAAAGTGAGGCGTAAGAAGATAAGTATATTATCGAAGAGAAGCACACGAGGGGTAAAGAGAAAAAAAAAAGAGAGAAAAATGTAAGAGAGTAACCAAAACGTAAAAATGGCGGCTGCCGGTGCCCAGGATAAGGTTGTGGTGCCCGCATTGGATCATCCCAGACATTTCAGTGGGGCGTGTGAAGAAGTCCTTGCCTGTCGGACTTGGCCGCACTTTTTATAGGAGAGCGATCTGGAGCAATAATAACTGTTTACTATACAAGGTGTACTCCGAAGATACTAGATTCTTCAGCATGTGTTATGTTCACAGCATTTATATACACCTCAATATCGCGCAGTGAAATGGGAAGGTTGGTATCAGGACAAACAAATAGCAATGAGAAATCGAGTCGTAGCGTCGTGAGAAACGGTCAAACGAACAGAGCTCTTTACACGGGAGTCTCTTCACCTGATTCAGGTTGTATCTCCCTAATTTCAAATCCACCCTCATCTTTATCCTCTCCCTTCTGAGGCCAGAGAATATGATGGAGCACAATAGCCCGAATCATCATATAGGAGACAAAGGCGTACATGAGCAAAAGAGGAATGACCATGGCCGTCCCGATAATTAGAATAGGCTTGCAGGAAAAAGCATGGCCGATCGCAAATGTCGATGTAATAAGAGCAGTGTTTGGGAAGACGAATGAATACCAACCCATTGTAAAGACCATTCGGCCAGGTCCGATAGCTGACCAGTGGGCAAAACTAGCGATGAAAAAGAAGAAGATTGCCAAACTAAAAAGTTGTCAGAACTTCAGTGAACAGCAGATGATGGATCAGACTTACCCCCAGAGCCATAGCGCTGCAAAATCAACAACAATCTTAATCACACTGGCCGCAAGGGCTCCGTCGCCCATGAAATCATCCGGGAAGCATCTTTTGGCATTGGCAGCCATATTTACAATTCCCGCCACGGTGAAGGCGCTGGGCCCAATGGAAACAAACATTCCCGGTCGAATATTTTCCTTGGGGAGCTTTTGGGACATCAATCGGTATATGAATGCCGAATACACCATCAGCGAAACCAAAAATCCCACGCCTTGAATAACTGTGCCGCCAATTATAATCGTTAGTGATCGAGAAGGCTCCAATTTCGAGCTCAGAAGCCCAGCGTGGGGACCAATAATTAGCATAGGGTAGGCAGGAAATATCCAAATTGGTGTCATCTGGGCAATGGTAAATGTTTGCGTTGACCATCTAAGGAGTGTTAGCATTCGTTTCCTTTGAGATGACCAGACTAAAAAGCTTACAGGAGCAGGTATATAGCAGCAGACAAAATCACAGCCAGCGCAGCGTCGATCCAAAACATAATCCAAACCGCATGTGTTAGCCATGGTCCCGTATTGTCAGTCCCATACTGCGATATATTTATTAGGATGGTTCCGAACGATACCACCGACGCCGGAACAAACAATGACTCTGTGGGATGTAACAAGGATGCCTTGAAAGTGTAAGGGAAGAGATAAAATCGAGTAAGGAGTAGGCCCCAAATAGTGATGTAAAAGACAATGTTCATAAGAAAAAAGACAATCCCAATCGTATCTAAGCCTCGAAATCTATAGGGGACTATTTAGGAGTCAGTAAGTATGCGTTCCCCTCCCCGGGGAAGAAAAAAAAAAAAAAAAAAAAGGATGTTTACTATAGTATAGAGCATTTGCAATTCCCCCAGTCGCCATTGTCAGTGTAAAGAACGCCCACGTAAAGTGCCGTATCCGCTTCTTCCAACTCAACCTAGAAGCAGAAAATTCGGATTCAGTTCTAGTGATGGTCAAATCATCTCTCTCAGATTTGCGGCTAGAAGGTTGGCGGGCGGTTTCCAAAGCCGAGGAATGCGCCTCGCGTAACCTTGAGCCTGTCGGCTGGAGGAATGCATTGCCTTGGCTGTCTATTGAGACATTTCTAGAGAGGTCTTGTTCCGCATCCTCGATCGTAGGGGTTCGATAGCCGTCATCTCCAGGAAGCCTCATGTGTCGAGGAGGCGGCGGAAGGTCAAGATACATTGTCCTCACGGTTGACATCACCAGGAAAAGATCAGCTGTATAGTAGTAGGTTCGGTCATATTTCGCCTCTTCAGTCTCAATGCAATGACAGGCGCCACTTGTCGGATTTCCCCTGCTGTCCTCCCCTTCTATCTCAACAATCCGCCCTAGGCAGAATATTTAAGGATCAAAACCGGGGTCCACTATTGGCGAAATATCAGAAATTCCTAATCTGACAGGCAAATTTTGCTGGAGCTTAAGTTCGCACCAATTGTGAAAGTAGGATTGGATCTACTTAGCCTGGGGAGGGGTCGGACCGACGGGCTTTTGGGGGGGAGGGGGACTTAAGATAGATTATTATTATGGAGCAGTGGACGCCAGGAGACACGAAGGAGGAGGTATGGTAAAACAGAAGATTCATCTCAGGAGCGTAAGAGTAGATTCATTCTCCAGTCTTCCCAAGTTCCAACATCCGACCTTTCCATCCAGCTCCTCTTCGGGTATCGGCACGACGTCGAATTTTAAGATTTTTCTGTGGAGATACAACACAACGCCTTCCGCTCCGGAAAAGCTTGACAATTTTTTTAATATATATATATATATATATATAGATATAAATTTCCAATTTTTGCAGTGATCAATTTGAATATGGATCTAATCGGACGGTTATCCAGCATACAGGTGGGCAGGATGCAATCCCCAATGTGACAAAATGTAGCTTCTCAGCCAGCGGATCAGGTTATGCGTTTCCGGGAATCAATTATGGTTGAAGAGTGGAGAACGAGTAGCTTCAATACCCGCGCATAAGGATATTCCTTCTATAGTCACATTTTCCGAGTGGTGTACTCCGTAGTGGGGTTGTTTAGAACTGGTAAGAAATCTGCTGGCCGTATCCAGGGTACAGAGTATATATATATAGGCATAGGCATACGAGATTTGCAGGTTCTGGCATACCTAGTTTAATACCTGCACTGAGCCTATTGACACCTCTAAAAAACCAAAGTGGAAAATCTGTTCAGAGATGTATTTATAAAGACTGGAATTTGATCCCGTCAAAAAGTTGCATTCTTAACGTTCTGTTCTTGCGATTCGCTGGGAAGATGATTGATTTCATTGGCACGCTCACGAGCCAAGGCTCTCCCCGTCCGCATACCGAGGTTTCATCAGAATAATCTGCAGCTACATATCGACCAACGTTCATTTGGACGTCCCAGAACGCATGTCTCTGTCTGTCATCGTAATCAATACTGTCTAAATCAATAATCTTATTGACTTTTTTATTTCTCCCCCCTGGTTTGGGATGGCTGCAGACCAAGATAACCGCAAGACAGTGTTGATCACTGGGTAAGCTACCAGTTCCAAACCACGGGGTTCATTTTATTGCTACCGATTTGGATCTAATATTTGATATAGATGCTCCCCTGGTGGAATTGGAAACTCTCTTGCGCGTGAATTTCACCAGCATGGCTTGCGTGTAATTGCGACTGCGCGGGATGCAAATTCCCTAGAGGATCTTGCCGCTCTAGGTATTGAAACCTTGAGCTTGACGGTTGACGACGAAGACAGTGTCCACCTGTGCTTTGCGGAAGTCGAGAGGAGGCTGGGTGACAAAGGGCTGGATTATCTTGTAAACAACGCGTAAGTGCCACCATGCCCCGATCGCGCTTCGAATGGGGGATATTGACTCAATAATTACAGGGGCCGTAGTATGTTCTCCAGAATCCAAAATCCGTGGTGGCCAAACTGAGGCCCTACTCTTACCGCAACATAGATTATACGGTTCCTGCCATGGAGGCACAGCTCTCTGAGGCCCGTGCAACGTTCGAAACGAACCTGTTTTCCGTGATCACCATGTGCCAAACCTTCCTACCCTTGCTCATCAAGGCAAAAGGTACTATCGTCCAGATAGGATCTATCGCAGGAGTGTGTTCCCCCCCCCCCTTTATTGTGATTGAAAGGGTTATGCTTATCCACCCAGATAATTCCCTATGTATTTGGATCCGTCTACAACGCCTCCAAGGCTGCTCTACACTCTTTCAGCGACACCATGCGGGTAGAGCTAGCGCCCTTCGGGTATGCCAGACTCCCCCTTGCCTCCGGTCTATTTACTAATGCCATACCTCTAATTAGTGTAAACGTCACAACTGTCATAACTGGAGGCGTCCAGTCCCGCATCGCACGTGTTAAGCGTACTCTTTCACCTAACTCGATCTACGCCCCCATTGAAGATCAATATAACCGCCGTGTAACACACAGCCAGGATGGCGCTATGCCTCATGCTGCATATGCACGAAGCGTGGTTACACAGGTCTTGTATGGTTCTGCGCCCTGGCGCTGGCTCTGGCCCTGGGCCCAAGGCCGGAAGAGTTGGATCTGGGAGGGGAACAAGAGCTGGGTGGTCTGGTGTCTTATGGGTGGATGGGCTTGGACCGGTCTGTTCCATCGCATTATGACAAGAATGTTCGGATTAGACAAGCTGAAGAGGGCTCTTGGAAAGTGAACGGGTTGTTCCCAACCTTGGGAGGATGCTTTAGGAGTAGATTGCGAGTTTGTGATATATTATATAGCTATCGTATTGCATGACAATCGGCTGCCCATAATAATTGCGTACCAACAGTACCCAACGCACCCCTCTCTGACCGTTGCATCTGGTTTTTCTATTGATTTTGTCTGCTCCAATGTAGAGAAATGGACGTAACAGTCTCCTACCCATTATTACCGCCCCATTGAACTCCTTACTCCAGATACGCCATCTTAATGCCCGCATTGTTAAAGCTCCAGTTCTTATAAAACGGTTGTATGTTACCCCAACTAAGAAGAGTGGCCTTATAATGCATTAAAGGAAACAACAGCCACAACCTTCAAACCCCCGATGGTCTAGTTGGATATGGCGTTCGGCTGTAATGGAATTAATTGTAACCGAAAGGTCGCCGGCTCGATTCCGGCTCGGGGGAACAAGGATTTCTTTTTTTTTTTGTCGTTGGCAAGTTGCCGATGCAGTCTTAATATCAGATTAGGTACTGTAATGATTTATTTCCTTATTCCTCATGAAAATCCCGCGGATTCTATCTCCAAGATTTCCTCTTTGCATACGGTATTTTTGCAGTGTGTTTGCCAAGACCATTGTACCCGCATCTACTCCGTACCATTATTTAGGTACGTTAACCGACCTCTAGTCCTCTACACAATAATGGAGCAAAACATAGGAGTAGTTATCTCACTCTACAAGAAATTTAGCCAAACTTCACAAAGTGCTGCTTTACATCCGCGAAGGCCCCTCTCATTAAACATACCCACTAAATTAGCGCCCTAGTATTACGGTTTGTTTGGTCCACGAAACCTCCGGCAAACTCTCACTGCTCTGAACTTGGAGACTTGGAGTACCTAGTACGTACCCGGTACCGGCCCAATGGGCATCGGTTCGAGCTCTAGCTTCAGCCCGTACCAAGATAACGCACTGAAAACCCGTCCCTCGCATCCTTCAAACCCCCGATGGTCTAGTTGGATATGGCGTTCGGCTGTAATAGAATCACAATTGTAACCGAAAGGTCGCCGGCTCGATTCCGGCTCGGGGGATCAAGGATTTCTTTTCTTTTTTTCTTGCTGTGTTGATTGCATGAATGAAGACTGTCATCATCAATATGAGGGAGGAGGACCTTTTTTTTTTTCCTGATTAAATTAAAGGGTTAAAAAAGGTCGTAGTGTCGGCAATTGAGCGGTCAGGTTAATTTTTGCGGTTTGGATACTTCCGAGCAGCACTAGACATCAGTTGCATGGGATAGATACTACTTCCCTGTGCGATGCATTGCACGCACGCAAGCTATTATGTGCCATTAAACTCGAGAACCAGAGTTTAAGGTCTTGTTGTACAAGTATAGGCGGTTTTTCTTATGTTATACCTAACCTACATTTCAGAGCGCTTGTCAGGTTCGTATGGCGATGCAGGTGAAAAGATTCGAGTAGTAGGTAGTTATACACCCTAGGTGTCAACGCTCTGTAGTTGGTAAGACGGGAGAGAGACTCGGATTCCCCTCCTTATTATTATTATTGTGCTAACTTGATAATGTAGGAGAATCACATTAGCTGCGTGAATGCAGTAATGAAGAAAGAAGAGCAAAAAGAAGAGGGAAATTTGAGTGGGAGCTAAAATGTAAAGCAAAAAAAAAAAAGAGGATGTGTCCCCCGAGCCGGAATCGAGCCGGCGACCTTTCGGTTACAATTAATTCCATTACAGCCGAACGCCATATCCAACTAGACCATCGGGGGTTTGATCCATGATTCCAAATCACAAATTCTGAAACTATATTCCATTCCTCGGCCAAAGGCCTGGGGATTCCCGCCAGCCACCTGCTCAGCAATTCAACAGCCTCTTTAATTATAGGGTACTGGAACTTGGCCGCCAACTTGCATACAAATCCGAAAACCGTGATCCAGGTCTTCCTAGTTAATTTTATTAAATAGCATGCCTGATTGGTCATATTCTTACGATTTCCCATGCCGATGGAAAAAAATAATAATAGAGAATCCATCTCTTGTTAACACTAAGATAGTAAGAACGCGAAGGTATCCCCCTCATTTTCACACAAATCTCTTCCCAAGAAAGGTGATGAATCTTACCGTTCACCCGTCATTCTCCCCGTAAATGGACACTGGGCTTTGATCTCAGGTGCTGCGTCTATCATCTTCGATAAGGAGACCGAAGAAATACTACTCCCGGCGTTGCAGGTTTAGTTAGGCGACCTAGGTGATGGAGTGCACGATGGTGGACCGCAAGAACCTCGAATCGGTGTGAATAACCTTGAGTGGGAGTTTATCTCCAGAGGGCCTGATGCCCTAATATAAAACCTGGTTTTATCCATGCTGATATGTTTATGGGCGCCGGACTGTTGCACGTTGACTTTGGGCACTCTTAGAATGCGCCTTGTGGTTGCTGATTTGTGCTATAGAGGTGGACTTTCAAAAATGTATTGAGGGGTTTGGAAGGAAAGGGATTTCAATGGTTGCCAACTGTGTTTGGCTGTATAGATGTAATAGATGCCAATAGGGATAGGTTCGATCCTGCGAGTCTCTTGGAATGCTTTAGCGCCACAATTGCCAAATATCCATCAAATCAATCTTTTCGCCCTCTTGAATTGTAGTTATACTTCGCAAGAAGGAATGGTCCTTGGGGTTGAGTAGATTCATATACTAACGGATAAAGATATCCCACGCTCACATTTCCTTGGATAACTGGCATTTCGGATTACCTTCTTTTGGAAGAGTTCGTTCCCAAACTTAATATTAGCGGAATATATTCGGTAGCCGTTGAATCGAACAGCAGTTTCGACATGAATCCCCTGTCACTGCGTCGTTAGAGAGTAGTTGTCGTTCTTGAAGCTGGCCGGCTATTCCAACGCCCGTTCCGTGATATTCGCGTCGGAAAGGCCCTGATTAGTCATCTCGAGGCGCACGCTGGTTGGTTCCTCAGGTGACCACCGACACCTTACCGTCTTCCCAAGGCAAAAAGACAATATCATCCCGAGAAGCGCAGCCGTGAAAAAGAAAGCTGTTCCCCCCGATAACTTCATCCTTCCATCCCCCTCTCTTCTCTCCTTCCCTGGCAAAGAACGTCGTCTTGGAGGTAACTCCTTGTGTTCAATCCAACCGTCCTATTATTCCCCTCTCCTCTCTCTTTTCTTACTTTCTTTCCTCCCCCCATCCACCATGTTCAAGCTTGCGCGCACCCGACCAATTACTGCGGCTCTCAGAGCTGCGACGGTACGATCTCTCTAAATTGATTTTTTATTGTCGCTGGATCCGATGGATGCTAGACCATAAGAGACTTATTGGCTGACATATGTACCCTGTGCAGGAGTCCTCCGTGCAGACTCGCCTCGCCCAGCAACAACGAAATCTTTCCATTCACGAATATCTGTCCGCCAGGCTGCTGAAGTCGGTATGTGGTCGCATCGATATCTCGAACAAAGGTCACCGACTTGGATATCCGGCTAACTGAATTTTGTAGTATGGTGTGGGTGTGCCCAAGGGTGAGGTCGCTCGCTCCGCGGAGGAAGCTGAGGCTGTTGCCAAGTCGCTCGGTATATATATTGACCCCTTCATCATGAACCTTCTTATCGCGACATACTAAGACGCGTACTTTCTAGGTAACGATGACATGGTCATCAAGGCCCAAGTCCTTGCCGGTGGTCGTGGTAAGGGACACTTCGAAAATGGTCTCAAGGGTGGTGTGCGCGTGATTTACTCGTGAGTTTGCACCGGAGATAATTTTTTTTTCGTCTGGAGCCTTTTACTGATCGGAGACGTGTTATCCTCCAGTCCTACCGAGGCCAAGATGTTCGCTGGACAGATGATCGGACAAAAGCTCATCACTAAGCAAACTGGCGCAGCCGGCCGCCTTTGCAACGCTGTCTACATTTGCGAGCGCAAGTTCGCTCGTCGCGAATTCTATCTCGCTATCCTCATGGACCGCCAGTCTCAGAGCCCCGTCGTCGTTGCCTCCTCGCAGGGTGGTATGGATATCGAGGCCGTCGCCAAGGAACACCCCGATGCTATTGTCACCACCCCCATCGACATCCACACCGGCGTCACTGATGCTATCGCTACCAAGATTGCTACCGATCTTGGCTTCTCCGAGCAGTGCATCGAGGATGCTAAGCTGACTATCCAGAACCTCTACAAGGTTTTCATGGAGACCGATGCTACCCAGATTGAAATTAACCCTCTCTCTGAGACCTCTGATCACCAGGTTCTGGCCATGGATGCCAAGCTGGGCTTTGACGACAACGCCGAGTTCCGCCAGAAGGAGATCTTCTCCTGGAGGGATACCACCCAGGAAGATGCCGATGAAGTCAAGGCTGCTGAGTATGTCACTCCATCTAATTCGTCATTGTAGATGGGTCTGTTCTAATTGATATCATAGACACGGCCTGAACTTCATCAAGCTTGATGGTGACATCGGATGTCTGGGTATGAACCAACCAGTATCACCAATACGGATCACATGCTGATAGAGAATGTAGTCAACGGCGCTGGTCTTGCTATGGCCACCATGGATATCATCAAGCTCAACGGCGGCAGCCCCGCTAACTTCCTTGACGTTGGTGGTGGCGCTACCCCTGCTGCCATCAAGTCCGCTTTCGAGCTCATTACCAGCGACCCCAAGGTGTCTGCCATCTTCGTCAACATCTTCGGTGGTATCGTCCGTTGCGATGCCATCGCTCAGGGTCTGATCAACGTCGTTCAGGAAATGGGTCTGCGCACTCCTATCGTTGCCCGTCTGCAGGGTACCAACATGGAGCAGGCTCACAAGCTGGTATGATCCCAAGCTCGTACATAGTTGGACGGCACGCATAAGATACTGACATAGCTTCCAGATCAACGAGTCCGGCCTTAAGATCTTCTCCATTGAGGACCTCCAGAGCGCTGCTGAGAAGTCTGTCCAGTTCTCCAAGGTCGTCAAGATGGCCCGTGAAATCGACGTCGGCGTTGAGTTCACTCTCGGCATTTAAACTCCATGTTAGGTTTTATTTTTGACCGTGTTCCATTACTTGGCCTTCCAGTGTCTCTCCCCTGTCATTCTTTATGGTGTGACCCGGGTGATTTTGCAAAAAAAAAAAAAATTGATGGAGAGGGATCAGCAGGGCAAGGGATGGTGCGCCTGTCCTTACCTAAATATGATGGCTTACAAAGTCCTACGACTGCCCATGGTATAACCGGACCAAAGATTCCGTGCGAACATATGAGCGATAGTGGTTTTAATGGTGGAAATGATTTTTGGTTCCGAGAGAGAATTCGGGCAAGGGGTTGGCTTTTATAATAGAGAGAGAGAGAGAGAGAGCATTGAGAGTTCTGTACATCGTCTTCTTCATCACTATTTTTCTCCCTTAGTTACCTTTTCCGCTGTGAATGTATTCCCTTATTCTTTTGTTTCTTTACCTCCTCTCCTTATGTAGATGTGGATTTCTGTCAAAACTCCGCTGCCTGTCATTCGAGAGGTGAGATATTGTTCATCGGGTGCGATCCTCCCGTTGTCCAAGTCGTGTATCTTCCTTGAAAGAGGACTAGGTACATATATGTAGTATCTGCCAGTAGAAAGGCTTAACATAAGGAGACCCGAGCAGCAACAATAGAAGCTGGGAGTTGATACGATCTATTCTTTTTCCCTCTATGCGGTACGTAGTTCAAAGGCAAAGGCCAAAAAATATATATATATATTCCTCGTTAAGCTGATCGAAGCGTCCGAGCGTGGAAGGGAACGAACCAGTCATCTGGAGGCCACTGGGTTTCATCGAAAAGCCACATTTTCACCGATGTGTCATCAACCACAACTGTCATCTTGCGGTCGCCGAGAATACTGCGGAAATTCAACGCAGACAAACTATTTGTTGGGTCTCTTGGCAATTCCAGATCCATTTCCCTAGCACAACGACGCATAGGCTCTGCGTAAGGATCTGAAATCCAGACGCTTAGCTTACCGCCTCTGTTGCTTACGTAGTATAGTAGGTGTCTGTCGACATTTGCGAGGCAATCTGGCCACCGGGGGTACGGTTCAGACAGCGCGTGCATGCATAAAGTATCTGTGTTCGGGTCGTAGGTGAAGGGTAAGATGCTTTGGTGATTATCTGGAGCCAATATTGGGGTTGGGGCGTTGAGAACTCCAAGTCGGTTTTTGCTGTTTCTCTGAATGGTGCGTTCCACCCACATCTGTGGCCACTGGAAATTTCTATCGTATGGTAGTGGTACCGTATAGGCGTGGAATGGAGTTGCATCTCCTTGCGTAAGTTTGTATCTCACGACACCGAGGTGAGGGTGGTTAGGTTCAGGGCTGTATTCCTCATGTAGGAGAGAAATTGTAGTTAGAGTGTCAGTGGTTAGACCCACAAATGACAGCGCTGTAGAGAGACTGATTGTATGGGTTACCCCTGACTTTAGGTCATGATGCATTACGTCGTGGTACTCGATGTTCGTTCTATTTGGTCTGCGAACACTCAAGACAACCTGGGAGCCTTGAGCAGCGAAAAAGCTTACGTCTCTATGAGGCAATCGAATTGTATGCATAATCCCTGTCTCTAGATCCCAGACGTAGCAGTAACTATTCATATATGATGAGCATATCAGCGTTCAGCGGGTGGGTACATGCTTCAGAAGAGACATCATTCAAAATAGAAGAGAAAGAAAGATAGAAACGATCTAGGAAGGGAACTAACCCACGTAAGCTATATGTGGCCACGGCCAGTTCAGAGAGGCGAATTTCGCAGAACTGTTCACGGTTCTCATTGCAGAAACGCTGGAATTTCTGTGACTGCAAGGTGTACACGATAATAGTAGTTTTATCGGTCATCCAGGCAAGTCTTCCATGTGAGTAGTCTAACGAAGCTATATCTGTTGGCGTCGTAAATGGCAGGGTAAGCTGAACTTTGCAAAGTGGAAGTCCTCGATCCAGACAAAATGCCTGCTTCGAGTATTGCGCAAACTGAGCTTGGAATTCTCTTTCGGCAAGATTTTGTCCGGTATACTGACGGTACATGGTACGACAGGATAAATCACAGGATAATACATCATACCATCTTTTAGAGACCTGTAATCAATCAGATTGTGGAAGCAAAAAAAAAATGGAAAGGTACAGATTAGTGTTTATAAAATGGCTACCATGGCAGAGTTGCTGGGCAAGAAAGCAATCAGAGACAGACAGATCTAAGGCATGCAGCTCTGCTACCTCTCCGTCTATGTTTGAGGCTTATTATTGGGGTCCAGGTTTCCTTGACAGAGAGGAAAGAACAGGATACGTACTCTTCGGAGAAGGAAGATATCTTTCAGACTTAGACCTTGGACAATCTGCACGGCGATCTCTAGAGGCAATTCACTGAGAATATCCTTCTGGAAGTACCTTGAGTTTATGCGCTTTTGGGCGTCACGCCATTCATGCGGTCTTAACTCGTCTAGTATGCGATGATATCTGGTTTTATTAGCATACTTGGAATCCCATATGCGAAACGGAAACATACGCTGAATGTCGGGAGAGGTTGGTATTAAGACTCTTGAACAGATTGACAATTTCTTCCACATCAGCTTCCATTCTAGAAGGGAGATCTTAGATAATATAATTAATCAACCAGACAGAGTGATCAGGCCAAAACTGGACGTAATCTTCCAGTGAAGCTGAAAGTTTCACGTAGGTTTTTATAGGTTTGGAGCGGGAAATCTGACGTCAATTTGTGTGGATATCTCTGTCAGTGTATGAAAATAGCTGCAGATGTATATTGAACCAGCACGATAATAGGCGTTGCGATGAAGCAAAAGATCGATTTGGTAGATAGAAAGCAAGTAGTAGGTAGGTAGTTGATGCCATCCAGAAAGTATGCAAGAATGGGACAGAGTCCCGTGCCGCCTGCCCCGTGATTCTAGTGACTGCCTCAGGAACAAGCTGTTTGCTTCTTGTCATCCTCTTTTTTTTTTTATGTCTCTTTTCAATCTCGAGTAAGAGACAAATTGAAGGTATTGATTGTGATTTTTTATCAATACCATCAGCATCAGCTTCAATCAATCCCTCTTTTACAATTGCTCCTGTTATTGCGGTCTTCTGTCGCTTCCCGCTTGCTCTTCCTATACATACCCCCCCATCTATCCAAGTAGTATATGCCTATATTGACCCCTCTCTTTTACTCCATCTCAGTTATTCCTCTTTACCCTCACCACCATCCTCAATTCATCAGCATTATCATCGCATATGATCCATTATTCAATCCGACTTATTAACGTGGTTTCTGATCCCTCCAAAAAGGAGCAAGAAGAATCAATCAATCAGAGGTCCCCATCCACTGGCGGTTCCTCCCGCTTACAGCTGGTCCTTTCCCGAGCTTCTGGGTCCCCAAGAGAGGCACCAGCCCCATGAGAGAAGAGAGCCATTCAGCTACTAGCAGCAGTTCTCTGCAGATCCGATCATTATAACATTGCATCCATTTCGTCAGTCGCCACTTCTGCACGACTGGTCTTCTCGAATTTTTTTTCCCCTTCCTTTCCTCCCCGCAAAGCTCGGCCACATTCCTGGTCTCAGCTAGATACCGTCGAAGAAGCACCCAAAAAAAAAAGAAACAGCCCTGGGAAGGGGCTGAAAAGGCTGATTTCAAAACTCAAACAAAATATATATATATATAAAACGCAGTCCTAAAACGGGCGAGGAGGCAGCTATTATTACTGGTGAAATTGCGGAAAACTTTCGGGGCCCTTTAACATTGACGCCAATAGATTATTGAACTCGCTATGACTCGGGAAGCGGAGACACTTAGGTGATGATCAGTGCCTGCTTGGCCCAGTCCTGGTGATTATCAGCTCTGTCGACCTTCACACGTTCGCCTGCCCATCTGTCAACCCTCCTGTTTTGTTTCGCTGTTCTCTCTAACCTGTTAGTTAACCACTGCCCTTATTCCCTTCCCCCGCAACAGAACGCCAAGGGGGAAAAAATTTCGCCATCCTGTTTTTCTTTTCCCCGCCTGCGGCCTGCGGCCGTCGTCGCCCATTACCCCTGTTCTGTTGCGCGAGATGAGCGGTCTCGCCGATCCCCAATCTAGAAACACCATCATTTCTGGTGCTACAGATGCGCCGGGCAGGACACGAAAGCTTCCTGTTCTCTCCTCCTCCATTCCATCCTCCGGCTCCTTGTCGAGTGATCCCATGGACATCACTCCTCCCGCTTCTGCCGCCACCGCAGGCACTGCACCCCCAGTCCATAGCAGCCCCGATAGCGATCGAGCGGGCGCAAACACCGTGACGACATCCAATGGCTCTCCTGAAACCGGAAACTTGAACAACCATGCGACTCAAAACCCAGCTATTGGTGCTGCTGCCGCAGCCCAGCAGCCGAAAGTCGTGCAAACTGCCTTTATTCATAAACTCTACAAGTATGTTTACGAGGGTTGGGTTCCTCTCACCCGATCTGGATGTCCCCGGAAGCAACTGGGAACTGTCGCTGATAATGCTGTGATAGTATGCTGGAGGATCAGAGTATCCAGCATTTAATATCGTGGTCCGGCACCAATGATAGCTTCGTCATGTCTCCCACCTCCGAATTCTCCAAAGTCCTTGCGTACGTCCTTCACCCACACTGAGCTACCCCGACACTGGATGAGTGTGTCACTAAATTTTCCTACAGCCAATACTTTAAACATACCAATATTTCCTCCTTCGTCAGACAGCTGAACATGTATGGTTTTCATAAAGGTATGCGGTTTTAGACCCAGCATCGGATATGCCAATCGCCGCTAATTTTCCCGGTTATCAGTGAGTGACGTCTTCCACACCGGCTCTCCGGACTCCGCTCTTTGGGAATTTAAACATGGAAACGGGAACTTCAAGCGTGGCGATCTGGTTGGGTTGCGCGAGATCAAACGACGAGCATCTCGCCATGCGCTAATCCACCGAGATTCGTTCCCCGGCCATAAAGCCGCAGTCTCGCAACCCGGCACGCCTGCAGAACCCGTGTCTGATACTGAAACACGGCTCATGAACGTGGAACATTTACTTTTTGATATGCATAATCGCTTAAGTCGCGCCGAGGAGGGAAATGTGGCACTCAATGCCAGATGCCAGGCTATGGCGGAGAGTATAACTAGATGTTACCATGTAAGTTTACTTAAGCCTGACTCGGAGCCTGGCAACTCCATGCTAATTAATATCTTCGCAATTGCAGTGGACCCATTCGATATCTCGATTTTTACAAGGCATGATCCCTGATCGCGAAAGTCTTTTATATCGGGACGGTAAGCCAATGCTAGCGCCTTCGGGAAGAACCTGGCTCTTTCTAATACCCAGTAGTGTCGAGTATGCAGGCCGAGTTGGAGAAGCACCTTGATGCTGTGCGCGCTCTTGAACACCCTGCGGATGTATATTTAAATGTCCGACAACCGCATGTTCCGAGTGTCGCAGTTGACCCAGGTCCACCATTGTCTCCGCGCCAGATGCCCCAAGAGGACAGCCGTCGCCCATCCATGATAGATCCATCTAGACCGAACATGATTCGTCCCCCGGTACCAGCTCACTTAGCCGTTTCGCCGCGTCGTTACGGCTCCATTGGCGCAGCAAATTCCTCCCCCAACTACAACCGTCCACAAGTCCCATCAGTCATTACTCCACAACCTCCAGTCCCGCATCCCCTTTCATCCGCTTCATCTCCCCCAGGGCCGAATCTAGCACGTCGGCACACGTCGGCAGACATTCGCCAGCATGGATGGCCGCCACCTGGTGTTTCCCCTTTCACCCCTCAGGTGTCCACACAAGGCCCAGGTCCTTGGCCCCCATCACCGCACAGGACTCCTACTTCCACTGATCAACAAGTGCGAGATGTATTGGCTCAATACGAAATGGGAGCACCACGTCGCCTCCAAGATGTCTCGCGCCATGCCACTCCCCCGCTGAACCCTGATCAACCGGGACCTACCGATAATGGATGGGGATTTGGAGCGCCGAGGTTCCCTCGTCACGAGTCTTCCTTGCCTGCAACACGACGGTCTAGTATGGCGAGCAATGTACATTCCCTGCTCAACCCAGCCGACACGGCGGAGCGGCCTGATGAGGACTTACACATTGTTGAGGATCGAAAGCGGAAGCGACTTGAATAAACAGCTAAACCATCTACATTATTCTCGGGTTCAGGCGGTAAATGTCAGAAAGAGCAAACATCGGTGGCTTCATTCCAGCCGCATGTACGTTGGGGAAGAAAGAAAGAAAGCAAAAGAATATTTCATCGTATCATTATTGACCTGACTCTACCTAATTTGGAGGGCTTTATTTGTATTTTGGGTGTAATACCTACTGTACAATTTCTTATGATGGTGTCGTTTCCTAAGATTATTGGAAATCCCCAATCTGTCCAGGTGGTTCGCATTACTTTCTTTCCATTCATTTCTTTTCATTTTTTTTTACTTTTCCTTTTACTTTCTCCCTTCCTTTTCTCTTTTCCTTTCTTCTCTCTACCCCAGGTATCACTGTATACCTTATTATACACAGGATATTATGGCATGTGCGCATATTATTGCCACATTTGGTGCTAGCATTAGGAAGCTAGCTCTTTGCATTTGGTTTACCCTATCTTACTATATTATATACCCTGGGCTGGAACGGAGCTGAAAATCTTTGGGTATAGTCTTAAGAGTCGAGAATGAAGATTGAAGCCCGACTGAGACCATCTCATCTTTCCCGATGGAGGTATTGTACAAAAGGTGCCAACCGTGGAGTTTTTGTGAACATAAATATAATAATTGGGGTATATTGCGTTTGTCTTGAGATCGATTATGTATGTCTATCAATGTAAAACCAAATTACCGCTTCTTCCGTTTCTTTGAGCGCTCCGCAAGTATTTCATCCAAAAAACTCGTAGCCTTCTTCCTCCCTTTTGGGCCTGATCCTGGCCGTGCTGATGGTCCTCCCTGCTGAGTTGATACTCTTTCCTCTGCATCACCGTCGTTCTCCCTGTCTCTGTTTGCATCATTGCCAGCAGCATCCGTCTCCGACGCAATGCCACTAACATTCTGCTTCCTCTTGTTGGCCGTCCTTTTCTTCCCAATGGATGCTGTTCGCCCCTCATCATCATCATCATCGTCGTCGTCGTCGTCATCATCATTATTATTACCCCCGCCGTTTCGCCTGGAACCGACTGTCTTCACGCCCGGCTTTGTGGCAGAAGACGCAGGCTTACCCGCTTGTGCTACCTTCGCCGCCATGACCTTCTTATAATTCCTCCCCAACAGCTGTTTCCGCAATTTATCATTCGAGTCTGTCTCTACTGCACGATTCCAGCTCCCATCTGCAGCTTTTGTCGGCAACGGGGCTCCAACGCCTAATCTGTAGGGTGTGAAACTCTAGTCAGTTCGCCTGGGGGGGAAAATAATTGAAAAAAAGGGGCCGCATACGTCTCCGGAACAGCAGTAAATATCTCATCTTCCTCTCTTTGCAGCTCCTCGTCTGATTTGGTGTTTCCTTGTTCCTCTGTGGTTGGGGCGGGCAACCAGGATGCGACGAGGCGTTGACTTCGAGCGAGGGCGATGTTGGCTTTATTGAGGATGATGTCTGTTTCGGCTTTTGAGAGGGACATGTTGTTTTGTTTTTTTTTTTTTTTTTTGGATTCTTTGCGCCCTCGCGCCTTCTTTTGTATTTTCTAGTGATTCTTTTTTTTCCTTGAGATATTTTAGACCAATATGTTAATTTATTCTTTTTTTTTTTTTTTTTTTTTGGGGATAGAGAGGCGGAGGAGATGGGCAGATTTTATTACCGCTTGCTGCTTTTGATTAGTGGTTGGGGGATTTTTGTTGTGAAGTATAGGATGGATGAGGAGTTGAAAATCAGTTTAAGAGGTTGTTTGGATTGTTTTTTTTTTTTTGAGATATTGATTGTAATAGATGGATGGGTTTAAGAATGTATGGCTAATTCCTGAATTGTCAATAGTGAGGTGGAATAATTTGGTGGTACTAGAGCAAGGCAAAATGTATTGTTTTATATTGCTCGCATTCATTCGTAGAGTCGTAAAGACTACTATAAATACATATATGTACGTGCATCTAGACATCTATCTCTAGGAGGTAAACACACTGGCAACAGGACATACAAAAAAAAAAGGGTATATAGATCCTACAAGAGGATTATAAGGAACGACCAAGTTCCCAGACTATCAGGCACTGGCTTCCTCTTGGCGATGCATCTCTTTCAGCCGTTTCTCCGTCTTCATAAACTCTCGAATACCCACTGGTATATCGGCAAATAGATCGTCGCCCGGCTCGGGACCTGTCCAGTGTGTCTCACTTCCGCCGCCATCGTCGTCCATGCTTGCGCTGAGGGTGTTCGAGTGTGTTCGCTCCGTGACACCAGGAACCACTCCCGGAAACTTCGACTTGCCTTTGGCTTTCGCTTGTGCCAATAATTCAGCCCATTCCTCCATCTCACCTCGATAGTCGTCCCACACGCAGTGAACACAACCGCTCATACAGCAATTATCGGGCTCCTCGGGTCGTGGAGGAATCGGTACACCATTTACCGTTTTCCATGTCGTCTGTGGGCCGGCATCATAGCGCGAGGCACGACCAGGGCCAGCTAGTCGGGTACCAAACACAATCGCCATCTTTTCTTCCGGTGTCTTCGGAAGCTCGTCTGTTTCATGGGGCGGCGACGTCGGCGTCTGCTGAGCGGCGGTGGGGGAGGTAGTCGCTTGGCCACGGTGTAAAGAGCGAGCGGCGAGAATATCAGAGTAATATCCGGAGAGCGGATAGGCCTGGGGAGAGTCCGCGCCATTTGCGTTGGTGTGGTTATGAGTAGCCGGCCTTCGGACAGACGGAGAGGGGTGGTATTGTCGGACGCATTGCGGGAATATATTGGTTCTGCCTTTGAGGAGGCATGATGCGACACCTTTTCTCAACATTGATTGTCTGACGGTAGCCAGAACATGACCCTCCATGGCGCTGAAAAAGTGTGCTTGAAGGAGGGATTGACATCGTCGTCATCGGCGTTGCGGGATAAGAGGAGGTAACAGTGCAAACAGTGCAAACAGAACTTGTCCTGCTTCCGGCCTGATCGTAACCGATTCACGACTCGCAAAATAAACGAGACCTCAGCAACACCCGTCGACGCGTCGCAGATGGAGCCTCCTCCAAAAAAGGCACCTCAAGGCCGCTCTCCATCTAGACCATCGTTCCTAGCTCCTACCAAAGCGAGTTTAGCGAGATCCAACCCCGAAATACTTGAGCGCGCGTTAAGTCGCTCGCCAACAAGAACATCTATGAGCAAAGGTAGTCAAGATGAGCAACAAAACCAAGCGGAACCGAGGGGGTTTGGGCTGCGCGACCGAAAAGCCCTCAGACCCTCGCTGACAATACCTGCAAGTCCCACCGATGCCCTCAAACAAATCAAACAATCCCCTGTATCCTTTACAAAACGACGCGCGAGCGGTCTAGGTGCGTTTGCCGCGCCGCCACGACGAGTGTCAAGAAGAATTAGCGCTTTGGATTTTCAATTTCAATCGCCAACAGCGACGCGAATAGGTCGAGTGGAACCGAGTATTGTGAACACCCCAGAGGACCAGTTAGCATCCGAGCTAGGTAGCGCAACAGGGGCAGCCGATATGGACGGCGATTTCGACGAACCTTCCTTGCATGACGACGGGTTCGAAGAACCCGATCTGCCCCCAACTCCAACCCAGTTAGGCCTGGAAAGACCGCCCGGACGACCAAAGGGCCTATTAAGCAGTAGTCCTGGTATGCAACAAGGAAAGTGGGGGGAACGGCGAGCTCCGGGTGGACGGGAACAGAGCCCTTCGAAACTCCGGACAGTTGATTATGGTGCTGAGCCAGAGGACTTGGCCAGGCGCAGTCCAATCTTGGGCGAAGCATTAGTCTCGGAGCCGGTTCAGAAGAAGAGGAAACTCAAACAAGAGCTCTCAAGTGAGCTGGAGACTCTCAAGCAGGACGTCGCAAAACTAGAGGGGTTGTCTAAGAAGCTGGACCGGCCGGGAGACAATATGGAACCCTATTGGAACGACTTAATGTAAGCTTGACGAACAACTCATATCTAAATAGACGGCTGCTGACAGGCTTAAAGCTCCTTACTGATATCTACGGATCCCACTTACACTGCCTCTAAAACTCGCTCTGGGGACCCGACGATTTCAGCCCTTATATCGACGCTGCTCCCCTTCTCCACACAACGGCCTCCAAAACCGCCAAGAACATCTCCCCAAACGAATCCATTTGCGCTCAGTGAAAAGGCACAGACCGAATCGTATTTGTCTGCTTTTGCTCCGCTAAACCTCACCACATCCTCAAGCATGGCTTCTCCTTCGAAGCCCGACCTCCTGCTCGAACAACATAAATTAACGCTGTCTGCGCCACGGCCCTTCCCACCCAAATCCTATGATATCTCAGTCTCCTACGAAACAAACCCCGAAACCCAGTCTCTAGTCTCCCTATCAGCACATAATAACCCCTCCGACCCGGACTTGAAAGTACCATCCTACTTACAGCAATGGATAAACACAAGGCTCAACAACCCGCTTCTAAGACTGGACGTCTCGGGCCTCTGCTGGGGTATCAACCGTTACTGGGAAGCGCTGATATCACGAGCCCGACTATGGGCCCAAATAGAGGAGCAGCATGCTACCCTTATTACGGCCTACAACACACGACCCAGGAATCCTAGCAAGCCAAGCACTCAAGACACCACCACCACCACCACCACCACCACCCTAGAAACGAATACGGAGAGTCTCACCACATCTGACCTGCGATATATACTACCACACCTCCAGCGTACCTCTATGCTGTTCGAATCTAGGGAGAAATCCCTCCGAGTAATCGTTTCATGCGAGCTCACCCTTGACGAGTGGACAAGCGAGCCAGAGCTCTTACCGAGTATATGTGTTTCGACTACACTCGCCTCGGACTCTAAAGGAACCCTGAATTACAATCCCAAGGCAGAGCAAGAATCAAAGAAGCTCTTCCAAGCTATTTTAACCGAGAAGACACATATCCAGCCGGGAACCGCGGGCGGTGCCGATGCCGATGCCCAGGCAATCACTAAGGCAACGCAATGCGTCCTAAATGCCTTATTTGGGGAAGACCATGGCAAAGGGAAGGGGAAGGAGAGGTGACATGAGCGGGTTGGTTAGGCTGGCTGGCTGGCTGGCTGGCTGGCTATCTATTACGTACCACCTGCCGTGCAATATATACAAGTCGAACGAATAAATTATGGCAAATTCAAGGCAAATATCATGTCCTGTTCTGTTCTGTTGTAGCCGTAGAGTTCAATGTAATGTACCTAATCTTTCGAAATGAGAACACTACCAAGTACTCGAAAAGACCGAATCGATCTGAATGTATCTACTTGTCAATACAGGGTTTACAAGGCTCCTATAGCTCCTACCATATATATGTCTCGAGTACTTTTTCGAATGCGTGCCCTAAGGAATAGGCGCAGACAGACAGACAGACAGACAGATCTACTGAGGGACGCAAAGAAGAAGAAGAAGAAGAAGGGGGAGGATGGGACATGAAATTCGGACATTTGCATTTCGAGGGTAGTTCGGAGCTTTTTTTTTTTTGGTTTCATCTGCTCAAGGAGACAAAGGTAGAAGAAGAGGGAGAAAGAGTAAAAGGGAAAAAGAGGCGCCACGCCACGCCATGCCACAGAAAATTAATCCCCGACATGAAAATCGACCCAATCATCATTAGCTGAGAGTAGTGCGAATTACATTTATTTCTTAGCCTCAGCCTCTGCCTCTGCCTTGACCTTAGCACGCTTATCCCGAGCACCCTGGTAGCGGGCCTCGCTGCGAGCCTCACGCAGCCGGCGGTATGCAGCCTCCTCACCCTTGGGGAGATCATCGCGCTTGATCTCAGTGACAGCCTCGGCGGCGGAGATGTTCTTGATGGGCAGGATGGCGCCGACGTTGGCGGCGTAGCCCTGGGTCTTGCCCTCAGCAGCGAAAGCAGCCTTGGCAGCGTTGACCTCTTCGGCGGAGGAGTCGAGCTTCTTGAACTGACCGCTCTTGCGGGGGAAGAGGATCAGGCGAGCCTTGTAGTCCTTGAGGCGGGTGACATTGGCGACCAGAGACTCCTTGGAGTAGTTAATGCGGCGGTGGTCAACGGCGATACCAATGGTGGGGGCGAGCTTCTTGGGGATACCAGCTTCCTATAAAATTCGAAGAAAAAAAATCGCCATAAGTTTCCAATTCCAAGAGAGGGTATGAACCCCATTCCAAGGAAGGGAGGAGATTATTACCTTCAGCTCAGCAAGAGTGAAACCACGACCGGCACGAACACGGCGGTTGTACTTGATGGTAGGGCATCGCACAACGGGACGCAGCTTATCAACCGGGCGAGGAGCAACAGCGGCAGCCTTGGCAAGACGAGCCTCACGACGGCGGTGCTTGCGACCGGCCTATATTCCCCCCAAAGAAGATCTTGTCAGTCCATTTATCCAAATCATGGAGAGAGCGTCCCCCAGATAAAGAGCAGGAAAAAAATTTTTTTTTTTTTGCCCCCTTCAAGAAAACATTCTCCATTTATCATTCCACCGGGTATGGGATCGAAAATCGTACCTGCTCGAAGTGCACACGGACACGACGCTGCCAGTGCTTGTGGAAGTCTATCAACCAAATCCCATCAGTAAAATCACTTCCATAAAGATGATAAAAAAAAATTCCCCCTCCCCATCAAATTCTCGTTTTCATCCATTCGAATCGTCGGGTAGCACTCACGAGGGTTCTGAAGCTGGTTGTTGTGCTTGATCGCCTATATCACCAAGAAAAAAAAATCCATCAGCATACGTCCTCCCTTTTCGAAAAGCCACAGAAAGAGAGAGAGAAAGCAGAGCATTCTATTTCCCATTTCCAAAGAAGCGCAAGAACAGGATCTCTTCAGGTACGCACCATTGTGACGGATGGGGATCAAAACCGGGAGATTGTCGTCGTGGGTGGTTGCTGGTCGTATCTCAAAACTCCTCTTCGTTTCAATATTAGTGGAACTTTTTTGGTGTGGCCAACCGCGCGGAGCCGCCGACCGCCTCGCTTAGCGAGCCCTACCCTGCCTTCCTAATCCGGAATCCCTCTTCAGAACATAAAATTTTTATTTTCCTTTACAATATCATAAAACGTAGAGTATGAGGTAGATGGGATTGGATTGAATTCTACCCCCTCCCCTCCCCTGACTATATTCATGTATACTCGAATATTTTATTCCTGGATATTTTTGATGCTGTGTCGACGTTTTTGTGTTGCTTTTGATTGTGGGCTGGGAACCCGTGACTGTTGCTTAGTCATCGACATAACCCGCGAAACAAAACAGTAACTAACTAGTTATTAACTATGTACTTTACTAACTATATATGTACTTATAGTCGGTAGAAGATACCTTGAATGTTATACGTATCAACCGAGCTTCTCCAGTTCAGGATATCTCTGTCAGATTGGTGATCCTATCTTTATATCTTTGGGAGTAAAACAAGACATTGTAGCAGCTTTCCGAGATGATAAATAGCAAACGAACCCCAGAATGAAACATAAAAAGAGACAACACCAATTCGCCTATGGTCTTTACAGGTCATCATTCGTCATTGTTGCCCGCAACGAAAATACAGATTTGGCTCAAATCAAGAAACAACAAGGAAATAAGAGACAACGAGAAATAACGGGGGGTCGTTCAAGACAAGCGAAGCGTAATGCAAACCGGCCCATAGGAGTCGAGGGTCCGGTTACATGCAAGAGAACAATCATAACGGCGAGGATAGTGGCTTATGCACGGGTTGTATGTTGTTCCAGGCGTCAGTAAATTCCGAGACCCACTTGCTCCTCCGCTTTAGATTTCTTCGAGCTCGCACCGTCAAAACTTGCTTTGCGTTTGAGGTTGTTTGCCGGCCGCTCAACTCCAGCTTTCCTCACTTGACCGAACAATTTCGATTGGAGCAAAGTGCTCGATTTTGGAGCCGACGCAGCTGCATCCCGAATATCCCGCTGGATACCGGTTGGGTTACGACGAAGCATGCTGGTTGCAAGAGATCCAGCCTGAGAGGCAGGAATGTCTTCTTCCGTCTCAGCTTCTTCAATGTCAGAGGCAGATATCGTGCTATCTCTATCATGGTGCCCATCCGTGGAGTCTCTTCTCGGAGTAAAATACCGGCTCTCCTGATGGGCACTCCTTGTTTGAGACGGCGTCATGGGAAGCGACGACATCGAATGGCTCCCCCGGGAATGTCCGTTGGAATACTGTTTAGTATCACGCTGTCGGTTGGGAGTGGAGGCGACACTTGATTCTCTGTTGAGAACACGACCTGCCGCAAGGAGGGCAGCGATTGAATTGCTGTTTTCACTCCTACTCAGGTGATGGTTGCCATTGTCCATGAAGTGAGGCAAAGATCTTCTATGAGGAGTCTGAATATCCGCTTGAGGGCTTGGTGACATCGGGCCGCGCTCAATCATTTGAGAGAAATGCTCCCTATTTTCTCTAATACGTTTTTTCAAGAACTTATTCTCCTCTCTAAGTAGGTCTGAATTTTCCTTCTCCTGCTCGATTAGTTTCTTCGCACGACGCAGCCTTCGGTCAAGAGTAGCATTGACTCGCTCGAGCTCTTGGTTACGTTTGAGGGAAAGCTCCAGCTCCACATTGGAGATTGGAGGTAGAGGCTTTGTCTCGGTAGGGAAGTGGCGGTTGCGATATTCGGTACTCTGAAGAATCTCTACCTCCCTTCTAGCGAGCTTATGCTCCACCTCGGCACGTTTGATAGCTTCGTTACTCGTAAACGATAGCAGACTATGTTGCAGCTTGAAGTGAAGTGCGGACATGCGAGCCTCCTGGGCTACTCCAAGAAGCTCCTTAGCAATACCACGAAGTTTGACCTCGTCAGCAGCCTCGATTTCGTCCGCTGTTGGCAGGTTTTCTGAGGCACCGTAGGCGGTACAGAGGGTCTCTTCGATATCCGGTGAAGGTGCCAGGTACGAGCTCGATCGGGACCTTGAATTTCGGAGAGGGGCTCCCGGGATCTGTGTGGAGGGTGGAGGGGTCATGTCTGATGAAGGCAGCGATGGCGGGGATCTTAATTTGCTGTTGTTGGATCGGGGAGAGTGGCTGCCAACCCTTACGCTCAACTCAGGCGAAGCGGAAAGGTTGACGCGTTGAACAGGGGTGACAGGTCGAGAGAATTCGACTGGGGGAGCAAGGGACCCTTGCGATAGCTGAGACTCCGGGTCTTGCAACATGACGGGAGATACTGTGAAGAGGTGGGGAGAAAGAGCGAGATGAATTGCACGTGTGAAGAGCGATCCTTACACTACAATGATAGTAGTTAGCGAGTCTTGTCATTCATGTGTTGGTCGAACAGTTGTCGGAAGGCGGTCAGGACATACCACGCCGGAATCAGAATACGTCAATCCTCGTGGATGGCTGTCGACCCAACTGAATCCGCTTATCACTGATTAGGCAGGGCGGTATAGAGACTTAGGGAAGTTGAGGATGTGGATGACAAGAGAGGCTTTCCAGGGAAGAAAAGATCCGATTGGTGATATAGATTTGGGGGGGGGGGGGGGGGGGGGATAGAAGGGAGATGGAAGTGAAGAGGAAGAGGAGGAAGAGTAAGGGATGTGCTCGGAATGAAATAGAAGGAAAGCGATGAGAATGCAGAGAGAAGAAGCAAGGGAAGGGTGGTTTGATGCCTTAAAGGATGTTGCAAGCAGCGCTGGACGGGAGGCTGGGAGAGTCGCCGCTTGTCACGTCGGCGCCTCGACCAACCACGTCCAGCCTCCTCCATCCACGTGAGCCCAGCCGCGCGCCAGACCTGAACTATTCCTGATATGGTTAGCCGCCAGCGTTCAGTCCGCCCCGAACAGGTAAACAGATGAACACAGGCCAAAGCTGCGATATTGTAACTGAGGCAACGGACTACTTTCGTGGGACAAGAGTCTGTCTGCAGCAAGTTCAGCTCGATCCATCAGTCCTTTGGCTTGCTAAGGTTGGATTCTCTGGGTTGGACTAATACTGGTCAAATTCAATTGTCTTTTCCCGATTGTTGATGAACATGTTTTCATCTCATTTCCCAGCCCCTTTTCATGGCCCATTCCTCATCTTAGTTATGTAGATCTCTCAATTACCTTCATTCCACACTTCATTCTCTTTGGTTGGATCTGCTTTTATCCTCTTGCTTTTAATTAATCATGGATATTCTAAATTAGACAGGCAGATTGACTCTAGTCAAGACATAGGTATATATATTTATATTTTTTTTGCTGGCTTTATCCATAACAAACGCTACATTTGTATTAATATAAGCTTTAGACATCCTTGCAATCAGACATGAAAGAGAAAAACAAAGGTCTATATATATTTATAACTGATATGCTAGACAATTCCTTCTTTCTAAAGAGACGAACTACCCCACGATGTCTAGACTACCTAAGTATTCGGTACCTGAGCCAGAAGTGGGGAGTTGTATATTAGTCAGCGGATTTGACGCGGGCGCCAGGCAGTCAGGCACCGAACGCTGGAGGTCAACAAGGAACCGCCATCGATCTATCACAATCATACTCCGTACTAACCACCTTTAGCTTGACCTGAGCGCTCTTTGGCATCATTCTTCTGCTTTTTGAACTCTTTTCTTCTTATTCTGAAGCGTGTCTCTTATTCCCCTTATTATTTTAATTCTTGTATTTTCTATCTGTGGAAGCATCATGGGACTGTTTTAAACCCTCACCTGAATTTTTTTTTTGAATAAAAGAAGAGCTTCCCCCCCCCCCCCCCCCCCCTTTTGATAGACCTCTGTTACCGCACCTTTTTTTAATTGACAACACCATGGATAACCAACCGAAAACCCCCTCTCGCCCTAGTGGAATTCCGCGTCTAGTCTCTAGGTTACCTCTACCGATATCAAAATCCTCCCCCTCCCTCAGACCTTCCCCGTCCCGCGAGAAGCTGCGAGCAGACCCTGGCCTTAATGTCTCAAGGCTTCGGAGACCGTCGGAGGAACCAGAATTTAAGAAACCCCTCCCAAGGTTATCGCATCCGAAGAAGATTCCAAATACTTTTCAACAGAAGCGGGTTGTTTCCGTGGCTGGATCAAGTGATGGTGGAAGATTCGAGTCTGACAGGGGGTTGGAGGAAAGCCCCAACTTCGAAGCAGAATCCCTAGAACAGGACGCAGAAGCTCGGGGCCGTACAAGGCCATCATTATCGGATAGGACGATAGAAACATTGGCTCAGATTCCATCCTCCCCTTCCTCTTCTCTGAGACAGTCCAGCTTCTTCAGTGCCACTAGCCCAATGCGATCTTTCTCTCGCCCGCCATCCTCCATGACCAATTACTCAAGATCGCCCTCGAGATCATCCTCATCTCGTCAATTAAGTGGGAGCGACTTAATTTCTGCTCCACCGTCTGTTGTGCGCCTTCCCTCGAGATCTCGCGCATCCGTGTCCATGAACGACCCCCCAAGTGACCAGAGCTCTGTTACAACCGTAGAGAGCCCACCTAAACCCAAGAGGCCTGCGGTAAGAAGGAGCATCTATGGCAGCACCGATTCAACTGCTACGACCCCAGCTCCTCGCCTAAGTTTGGGCCGAACGCCAGCCAAACCTGCCGAGACCGAGACGGATTCTTCGCAACAACCGCCTCTCCAAGTGAAGAAGACCCGGAAGATACAGCCAAAAGCTTCTAATTCAAGGCTGTCCTCAGCAGGCTTCCGGTCCTCTTCCGCTAAATCTCCATCGTCGGAAACCTCGGCAGATCAGCAGTCGGGCATGGAAGAGCGGAAAGTATCCAAGTCGTCCAGTGCATTGAGGGAAAGTATTGCAAAAGCTAAAGCTGCCCGTAAAGCAGTGGCACAAAAAGACTCTCAGCCCTCTTCGTTTGATGCCTGGGACGAGACTATTGTTCGGGACCCGTTTAACCAAGGGCCTAAAGATCCGAATCATGGATTACTCCGAAAGCGCCTGGACGCCGGCCGGACCTCAGGTCATTTGAACATTGCGGCAATGTCATTGACTACATTTCCGGGTGAAGTCCTCACCATGTACGACTTTGACCCTAATTCTACTACTGATTGGTACGAAAGCGTGGACCTGGTCAAGTTCATTGCCGCAGACAATGAGTTTACCGAACTTCCCGAAGCGGCGTTCCCCGACATGGACCCTAATGAGATAAGTACGGATGATGACGAAAAGGGAAATCAGTTTGGGGGACTGGAGGTTTTGGACTTGCATGGGAATTTGCTACAGTCTCTTCCGCTAGGCTTTAGAAGACTACAGAGACTGCACACCCTGAACCTATCGAATAACAAGTTGAGCATGAGCGATATCGAGGTTATCATGGAGATGGGTTCCCTTCGGGACCTCAAGCTTGCGAAGAACCAGTTGGAAGGCGCACTTATTAATGAGATCGGTCGCCTCAGCAATCTTGAGGTTCTGGATCTGCGGGAAAATTCCCTTGTTGACCTTCCTGAAAGCCTGGCGGACTTGCGCTCACTTCGTGTTTTAAATGTTGGATATAACCAACTAACATCTCTGCCATTCGAAGCCCTAAGCAAGCTTCCTATGAAGGAGATTAGTGCCCCCAGAAACAAGTTAAGCGGAGCGCTGATCCCGGCTTCTGTAAATAAGTTCGACGCTCTGCAGAATTTGGATGTCGTTGGCAACGCACTTGTGAAGCTTTCCGAGAACGAAAGCTTGGAACTTCCTAGCTTGCAGACCCTAGCGATCAGTATGAATCGTATCCAGAGCTTGCCAAACGTTTCAGTCTGGCCAGCACTCCTGGCCCTGTCAGCAGAGGATAATAGTATATCCAGCCTGCCACAGGGATTTACCGACCTGAAGGCTATCAGAAACGTTGACTTTACCGGAAATGACATCTCGAAACTGGACGAAAAGATTGGATTGATGGACAGCCTGGTGACGTTTCGAATCGCCAACAACCCTCTACGCGAGCGCAAGTTCCTCAGCATGACTACGGAGGATTTAAAGCGTGACTTGCGGAATCGGTGCGAACCAGAGCCTCAGGAGACGGACGATGAAGAGGGCTCTGTTGCGACGCAATTTACGCTGGCCCCAGAGACCCCAGCACAGACCGCGGGTTGGCAGGTCAAACCTGGAGGTGCTCTTGACCGATCTTATACCGAACTACAAGATTTGGAAATCGAACAGCTGGAGCATATCAATCCAAATGAAGTCAGATGTCTGTACCTGCAACATAACGACTTGCAGTGTTTCCCAGTACCGGCGCTGAGCCTGCTTGCATCCCACCTGACAGACCTTGATATGTCACACAATCCATTGGATAGCTCGTCACTTTTTACCTCTTCCATTACCTTTCCAAGCCTGCAAAATCTGAATCTTGGTACCACCGGCCTAGTTACTCTGGAACCAATATTTACCAACCTTATCGCACCGTCTCTCACTTTCCTCGATGTGACAGGCAACGGCCTTTCCGGAGCCCTCCCCCCTGTTCGTCAAACCTACCCGAAAATGACCACGTTCCTAGCCGCGGAAAACCAGTTTGATAGCTTAGAGTTTGAAGCTGTCCAGGGTCTCCAGGTGTTGGATGTAGGTAATAACAATATTGGGGCGCTTCCCCCGAAGCTCGGCTTATTAAGGGCCGAGGGCTGCAGTGCTAACTGGGGTGCCGGGTCTGCTCTGAGACGGTTTGAGGTGGCGGGGAATAGTTTCCGGGTTCCTCGATGGCAAGTCGTTGCGAAAGGAACCGATGCTATTCTCGAATGGCTAAAGGACCGGATTCCTGCTGAAGACCTGCATGAGTGGGAATCAGACGACGAGGCAAACTAAACAAGAAATGGCCGTTCCCACCGTGCGATACTTGTGTGTGTCTGATTTCGGCCCGCTAAACCGATGTATATAACATACATAACCCATGTAAATTCTTTCGTTTCGGGACTCGATGTTTTAATTTAATATTATTTGGGGGTGTTACTCCCTGAACATATACGGAGGACGCGATAGTTAATCGTCCAAAGAGTTATATATAACTCTCTATATTCATTGTGAGCTAGTCGTATCATCGATCGATCGGCTTGCTGACTTCCTCCATGACCTTCATCCAGGTGTTTGACCAGGTGGTGAACTTGTCCCCGATTTGCTCGCCAGTCTCCTTCCCATTCCCGGGCCAAACAACCGAATTAATAGCGTTGGATGCACAGTCCCGAGCCTTTCTCAAAAACTGTCCTGCCTTCTCTAGATCGGCCTCATACAGCGCCCCGGCCACTTCATCAACGTGCTCCGGAATATGCTGCAAATCACCCATCAAAGCCTCCAATTTCCTCACATCACCCAGCGACCCAGATGCCTTCGTCAGTCGATTCGAAATAATAACCGGATATATCTGCGCAATGGGCTTCAACACCCGCAGAGTAGACTTTTTCTGCGCATGCAGCGCCTCCTTACTCGCCTGATCATCATCCTCGTCGTCCTCCTCCTCCTCCTCCTCCTCCTCTTCATCATCGGCATCGTTCTTCTCCCCCTCATCCCCTAGAAGCTCATCGAAAAACTCATCCCCTTCCTCATCAGGATCCCACTCTTCAATCTCCTCCACTGCATCCCGAACCAAATCCCGATACTGCTCTACCCGCCGAATCACAAACCCGATCACTCCCTTCCCTGCAACATCCACCAACACGTCACAGGCATCCCATACCCGTCCTGCCGCACCCGTCACGGTATCTTTCCCCGCTTGATTCGAGTCTGTTTTTGCCGACTTCCCAGCAGCACTACCACCGCCAGGAGGAGTAGGAGTCACAGTAGCCACCCCCACCCCCCCCACCTCCCCCAAAAGCACCCCCAACTCCCTCAACGCCGTACAAGCCAACCCCCGCAACTCACCCTGATACGCCCTCGTATGTGTCTCCGGCGTGAGCAGCAACGCAGCCGCAACCAGCGACGGCAGAACCGTCTCGTTGAGAGTCGCCAGGATCGTCGCCACAGCGGAATGCGTAAAGGGCGCCGTGATCGTCAGCAGGGAGAGCTTTGTAACGTGGGATTTCAGCGCCGTGGCTGCGGCTGCGAGTAACGCGAGAGGATCCAGAGGTTCATTGTGCTGGGGTGGTTGGGAAGCGGGCGCGGGCTGCGCGGAGAGCGTGGTTTGGAATTGGGTGATTAGGGTGAGGGCTGTATTGAGGGTGGTTTGAAATTTCTGGGACATCTTTTTTTTTTTTTTTGGAACGAACTGGTCAAAGGAGAGAAAAGAACGTAACTTAGGAGGAGGATGAGGAAAGCTTGAGTTAACTAGTTAGTTGGAGAGGCTGAGGGGAGAAATTTTGATGAGATTGAGAGGGATTGCGGGGCGGGTTTGATTAGGGCTCTGCGGGGTCACCTGTTACTCTATACATATCTATACAAGATTTATTTTTATTTTTTATTATTATATATATATATATATATATGTTTTATATATGTATGTTATATTCTAATTATTCTGGTCTAATTTCGCTTGTCTCTGAATGAGATTGCTGGCTATGGATGGTTTAATGACTATGGGTAGCGTAGAATAGCTCGACTGCAGTACGTGTAGATGATCTTTACAGTTACATCCAGTATATAGACATATCTCATAATTAGTTCTGATTTTCATTTTCTGTGCTGCCGTGTAGTATTAGTTAATTTCAAAGGACGGAGAAAAAAAAAAAGAAAAAAAGAAAAAAAGAAAGAGGTCTTGCCCGTATTCGAAACGGGGTATCTGGAATCAAAATCCAGGATGCTAACCACTACATCACAAGACCGTAAGGCATGATGGAAAAATTTGGAAAGTGGGTAAAGAGTACGTAAAATACCCCACAGACCTGGATTCACCAAGAGTCTACAAAATTAACCTGGTTACATAGTACCTATTAGTGACTATATTATATTGTTCAGATATATTTCACCCTCAATCATGTTGATTTAATACCTGGATCAGGAGTATTGTTTCACCTCCTCTGAGCTTTCTCAAAACTGGTAAACTTACTGCGTCAAAGACAATACTGCAGTCTCCTAGTAGTCGGTACAATTTCATTTTATGGAGAATACTGTGGAATACTTCATTGTGTCAACTACCATAGTTTCTGTATGCGGATGGGATGTAGTTGAAATACTAGATAAATCTGGTTGTTCTAGTCTACACACTCGAGTTCAAGTTCTTGTTGAAGGCAGCAGCAGGACCGTATATCAGACAGATGACTGCCCTAACATCTTGCCCTACATTTCCTGATTTGGGAGATTAACGCCGCTCCGACGGCATCTCCGTCCCGTCAAGCAAGAAGCTTCTCCAGCTTTCCATCTTCAACCCCAACAATAGAACTGGAACGAAGCTTCGTTTTTTCAGCACGTTTGGCCCATATCTGACTGGGATATATATTTTTTTTTTTTCATACTGCCCAATATTGATTTCTATCGCTCTGAAGCATGGGAACCACAAAACCGCGCCCCCCAGGACGAACCTCCGTCGCCAAAGCCCAATCCCTCCCGGACAAGACCTTCATCATCGATAATGGCGCATACACAATGAAAGCGGGTTACGCGCCCGACTTCCCGCCTCCTGAAGACAAAGAAACTGCTCTTTCAGCTTGTGCTGTGATCCCCAATGCGATTGCAAAAACCCGCGGAGGTCGAGTCTACGCGGGCGCCCAGATTAACACAGGCGTCACAGACTGGAATGAGATGATATTCAGGCGACCGGTCGAGAAGGGGTACACGGTGAATTGGGAAGCGCAAAAGGAAATCTGGGAGAATTCTTTCTTTGATGAGAAAACGGTGCGATCTAAAGATATGCGCATCGCGGACCCGGAGGATGTGACACTCTTGTTTACGGAGGCTCCGAATGCCTTGCCAGCATTGCAGAAGAACGCGGATGAGATTATTATGGAAGAGTGGGGGTTTGGCGGTTATTTCAGATGTATTGGTAAGTTTGGGGAAAATTGATAAATCATTATTATATTGCTGGTGGGACCTCTCGGAGCTGATCGCATTCGCAATTAGGTCCGTCATTAAATGCCTGGAACGAGATCCAGTCCTTGTTCGGTGACCCTCTCTTGCAAAAACCTGATTCTGCTGTCACACCCACGGAGTGCGTGCTCGTGGTGGATTCCGGATACTCTCACACCATCGTCACACCGGTTTACAAGGGGCAGCCTCTCCAACGCGCCATCCGACGGCTTGACCTTGGGGGCAAACACCTGACAAACTATCTTAAAGAACTGGTATCTATGAGGCAGTACAACATGGTCGACGAAACCTATATAATGAATGAAATTAAGGAGGCAGTCTGCTTCGTGAGCCGCAATTTCTCCAGCGACCTCGAACAGACATGGAAAGGCAATGCTAAGCGCGGACAACCCGACCCTGGGGAAGGCGTTGTGGTTGATTATGTGCTGCCTGACCCCAATGGAGGCAAGAAGGGCTTCATGCGACCGCATGAACCGATTCTGAATTCCAAGAAGAGAAAGGCTACTCTCTCAGGCGCGGGCGCAGAGCCACTCTCCGAGGATGTCTTGGTTTTGGGGAACGAACGGTTCGCTGTGCCCGAGATCCTTTTCACGCCTAGCGATATTGGCATGAAATCAGCCGGAATCCCGGATATAATCTTGCAGAGTCTTTCTGTATTACCTACAGGTCTCCACCCAGCCTTCTTGGCTAATGTTCTTGTTGTTGGAGGAAATTCTTTACTCCCCGGATTTTTAGACAGACTGTAAGGCATCTATCTGCCCCCCCCCGGGATATGAATTTTGCTGATACATCTACAGGGAAACGGAATTGCGCCAAATCGCGTCGGCAGAATGTGTTGTAAGAGTTCGACGTCCTGAAGAGTAAGTTCATTCATCTTCTGGTTAGTTTTTGTCTTTGATACTTATTTTTTTTTTTTCAACTAGTCCAATACGCTCTACTTGGCTTGGGGCATCCCGACTGGCAACCAATAGAGAGGAGCTCAAGAAAGTGGTGATCACTCGCCAGGAATATCAAGAGAACGGCTCTGCTTGGGCTGGTCGGAGGTTCGCTGGTGCTGTATAAGCATAAATAGCATGTTTTGTTTGATATGTGGTATTAGCGTTTGGCGTATGTATACGGAGGGTAAAATAGAAGGGTCATTCATTTTATAGGCATGCTACTAGTAGTGTGTTGGTATTTTTTTTAACATAATTTTTGTCAGTGATACCCTTGCCGTTAATACTTCAGCAGTCCAGATTATTCTTGATTGATACCATGGCTACTCAGTTACAGTTGTTAGGTGGTAAAAATAAAATGCCTTCATCACAAATTTGGACATTGCATAACAATGAATGAATGGATCTATTTTTTGGCAATAACAAACATACACACACTACTACACTGTACTAGGTAGAAGAGAACGCATGATCTGCTGTGCGCCATATATTGAAACCCTTACCAATTCCATCAGTAGTCGTAAAACCCCTTCCCGGACTTCTTACCCAGCCAGCCGGCATCGACCATTCTCTTCAACAAGCCCGATGGTCGGTACTTGCTGTCCCCAGTTTCCTGGTGGAGAACATTCATGATAGCAAGGCAGGTGTCAAGCCCGATGAAATCCGCCAAGGTCAAGGGACCCATGGGAACATTGGTTCCGTTCTTCATAATGCTGTCGATATCCTCACGGCCGCCGATGCCGGTTTCAAGACAGATAATAGCCTCGTTGATGTACGGCATGAGGATTCGGTTTGCGAGGAAACCGGGCGAGTCAGCCGAGAGGGACGCGATCTTGCCCATGCGCTGGACAAACGCGACAGCGGTGTCCAGCGTCTCCCTGGAGGTCTGCAAGCCGGAGATGATTTCAACGCCCTTCTGAACAGGAACAGGGTTCATGAAATGGGTGGAGACCACTCGCGACGGAGCCTGGAGATCGGTGGGGTCGGTGCTTGTTGCAGCGGCGATCTTGGTGATCGAGATGGAGGATGTGTTGGTGGCAAGAATAGCATGCTTGGGTGCGATCTGGGCGAGTTGCGAGAAAATGGATGTTTTTAGATCGGGGATTTCGGGGACCGCCTCGATAATGAAGTCCATGGACGAGAGGTCGTCCAGCTTCAAGCTGGTAGTGATGCGTGCGCGAGCAGCATCTGCAGCATCTCTGGTGATGCGCTCCTTGGCCACGTCCTTCTCGAGTAGCTTCTCTGTGGGTTACAGTGTAAAAAAGGGGGGTTAGCAATTCGCTGAAAACCGAGGTCGACGCAGGCGGGGAAGGTTGTATGTATGTATGTATACACACCTGCGAACTTCAGGCCCTTATTAAGGGAGGCCTGCGAGCTGTCGACTAAAGTGACAGGAACCTGAGCTTTCTGGGCAGCAACGAGAGCAATTCCCAGTCCCTATTTCGTCGTCAGTTTCTCTACCAAGAGCTATAATCGATGGCTTCCGGGAGAAACAGACCATCTGTCCAGCACCAACGACTCCCAATGATTTAACCTCGGCAGCATAGGCAGCGGGAGACGTGCTGAATGCACGGGAGGCCATTGAGGGGCCTCTACGGCCGAGCACACGGAGGGAGGAAGACAGCATCTCTGCAACAGCAAACGCGTTCCCTGGGAAAAGTGAAGGGAAGCTAGAATGGTGAACGCCAAAATGGACAAGAAAGGTCCCTCTCGACTTATCCCGAATATACAAAGCAAAAGCAAGCTCCCATGTGATTCGACGTCATCGGTTACCCGCGGTCGGCTTCTTTGTTTCTCCGCATACCCGCCAAATCCGCTTGCCGAGACGCGGAAACGCGTGACTGACGCGTGACTATTGGCTCTTGATTAATACACGCGATCTTCATTTGGACGGTCAAATTTGGGGTCGTTACGACAGTGACTATGAACGCAGAGGGCGACGGAACAAGCCCAACGGACTACGATGGAGGAAGTAGTATCGGTTGGCCAGACGGTCCAAGTGGTGGACCCTGACGTGCGTTCTCATGTTTATTCTCTGGTCACTGCGGTGAGGATCCTTCCTGTTCAGTGTGTTTCGCGAGGGGAGGTGTAGCTAACGGTATTCTAGCTGGGAGGCTTCAATGGCGAAAATGCTGATCAATATGTACTCGGTGACGATGCGTTGGCTTGTTTTCGCGATATCAAGCGCTGGCTGAAATTATACGATGAGAAATACAACCGGATGGATGTAGCGCGATGTCTGGGAGAAGCGAATTTGGTCAACGGGGACGTCATTCCGATCCTTGCGCTGTGGTGGAATAGTGGACAAAACAGCAAATATATGTCGAGAATCGCATTGGCATGTGGTAAGTAGATCAGGCCTCGTTCTGCTGGGAGACGGCCGTGATAGATGTAGCTAATCCCGGGCAGTTGAGTTGCTAGTACCTTTGACTTGGCCGCTGGAGATCCACGGCGAAATGACAGTCAACCACCATCGCCACTTGCCTTACCTACAGCAGGCGCAGGTGTCATACAAACGTGCTATCCTCAGTCATGGTGGCTGCGGCCTTCTTCGAACCGTCATCCGCATTGGCCTTCCCAGTATGGCAATCCCACGATCGGAACGAACAACTCGCGATGAAGGAATTCTGAAACTAATGCTATACTATTTACGGAATATTGCGATAATATCTGCCAATGCCCGTCTCGCAGCAGAAGGGGATGAGGAGGAAACGTCGAGATCCGCGACAATAAATGCCTTCCAAAACCAGGATGTCTTTGCGCTTCTTCTTACGTTGTGCTCTAACGTGAGCGATGACTTCAACATGCTAGATGTTCCTCTTCTTGAGACTCTATTCCACATCGTAAAGGGTGTGAATGTTGAGAAGCTCTTCATGAATGATACCCAGCGAACTGCCAAGCGCTCCGACGAGCTGAATGATCTGCTACAACAGGAGTCATCCCTACGAAGGGAATACGCCAAAAACGCACCCACTCGCCACGGACGATTCGGGACAATGATCTGGGTTAAGCGCGATGACGCCAAGGTCTCTACGGTCTCAGGACAGGACGTCCTTAAAGATGGTCAGGCCACCCTTTACAAGATGGACCAAAGCAAGAAGTGGAACAAGCCCCAACATCGCCAGAGGAAACAGGACGAGACAGTGAATAACGATTTCAGCACACCAGTGCATCTTAATCAGACTGCATCGAAGAACTTGCGCACCTTCGTTGAAGAGTTTTTGGATTCCGGATTCAACCCTCTTTTTACACACGTTCGCAAGGCAGTTGAACGCGAGTCAGTTCGGGTTCTTCCCATTAACAGACGACACTATTTTTATACCGTCGCCTGGTTCCTCGAAGCAGAGCGCGTACGGCGCGTACGGCAAAGTGAGAAGCGCTCTCAGAGCGAGCAACCCGGTAAAGAACTCGAGCCAGATAGCTTTGGGCTGGTTGCCGGTGTTCTAAACCAGGAGAATTTTGTTTTCTTGAATAGGTCGATGCAGTATAGCTTTGACAATAAAGAATGGGAGGACCTCAATGCTGCAATGCGCTGTTTCACACAGATTTTATTGACGATACAGGAGATGGCTCAGTCGCCCCTTGAAGAGGATCAAGAAATTGCGGAAAATATCCAAAACAGGATTTTCTACGAGGAAACAACCCATGATCGCATACTCGCTGTCATCCGAGGGTATACTGATCAAGGGTTTGGGTACTTGGATGCATGCACCGAATTGTCACATGTGTTCCTGCGAATGCTGGAACGCTATTCAAAAGAAAACGTTGACATGCAAGTGCGATCACGGAGGCGAGCTAGAGGTAAGAAGAAAGCAACCGAACAGCAGCAAGAGGGGGCCAACGACGAGGAGCCGGCATCAGAGGAAGAAGATTTCGCAGAAGCTGAAAGAGAGTCGAAGGAGCGCAAATTCGACTTTACACGCTTTGCTACTAGATTTTGCAACCAAAAAAGCGTCGACACCTTCGTGACCTTCCTAAAGTACTACAAGGAACTAAATACGGAACAGCTGAAACGTGCGCACCGATATTTCTATCGGATAGCTTTCAAGCAAGAGATGGCTGTCTTGCTGTTCAGAGTTGACATTCTCAATCTTTTCTACCGGATGATCAAAGGGCCAGGCGCGCTCGATTCGAAGAAGCCAATTTTCAGAGAGTGGGAAGAGTTGGTTCGACAGCTTGTAAGACGACTTATCAAGAAACTCGACCAGCGCCCCGCCCTGGTGACTGAGCTATTGTTCAGCAAGATCAATTCGACCGCATTTTACCTGGAATACGGATATGACAAACAGACGATAAGGACGACTAGAAGGGCTCCGGCGGAACTCGAGGTTGATCCTAGAGAAGCTTCTACTGTGGAAGAAAAGCTCAGCATCGTAGTAGCTGCTTTGGTAAGGGACGAGCAAGCTGGATTAGTCAAGTGGATTAGCGATGTTCTGGGATCAGCAGCAGACGAAAGGGAAGCATGGGAAGCCCAAAAGCAAGCTCAAAATGACGAAGTTTTGGGCACTGCAGAATCCCCGAACCCCATCATTGGTAAGTTCCCCAGACTAACTAGTTCCGATGGAATTATTAATCTAATCGACAATAGCCGTCAAACCGCACGACGACTCGTGTAGAACGGCAATGTTTCTCAACGCTAAGCTCCGACTCCTGCTAACATTAGTCAAATTTGAACGACTAGGGCAGGAGGATGTGGAGGGGGCATCCTGGATCGTTCCGTCCGCATTAGGCTCGACAGAACTGCGAGAATCGAAGTCTGTCATTGATAAAGCCCTTGTCATTGGGGATACCGATGGACGCGATCCCCGCGAATTGTTGCGGCGAAAATATGCCGGCGAGGCTAGGGGAGGCGCCGAGCAAACACATCTTGATGTAAATTTCGGATCGGACTCCGAAGGCGAGGATAATGTTCCTGATGGGTCTCTGTTTCCGCCAAATCCTCGATCGAGGACCAACGCCCTTGATGAGCTAAAGAAGAAGCGCAAGAAGCGTCTGGATGACGTTGAAAGGGACCCAATTGACGAGGAAACATTGGAAGAGCGCCGCCAAGCGCGATTGGAAAATACCAGAGCTCGCCTGGCTAAGATTAAGAGCGATCTTTACGTGCATGCCAGTGACGAGGAAACGGATGAAGAAGCGGATGAGGAGTTCTTCCGGCTTGAAGAACAGAGGCGAAAAGACCAATCAGAACGGATCAAGAATGCCCTCCTCCATGGCGTCCCAGAAGACGCAGGTGCAAGGTCAAGCAAAAAGCGAGGCAAACGATCAAACGATTCCAAGGCTCCTGGCGAAGGAGCCAGCGGGAAGCGGCGACGACATAGCGCACAAACCAGCGAACTTGATGATGACGACGACATTCTTATGAGCGATACTGCCATGTCCCGTGAAAGCCCCTCCGGCGAGAATAACGACACACCTCTCATACCGGGAGATGATGAGCTTTACTTTGATGATGATCTAGCATTCAGACGAGATCGAGAGAAGGACCCAGATCCGCATGTTAGCGATGAAACTCATGCTTCGGACGCCTCTAAAGCAGACGAAGGCGCAAATGAAGACGACGAGGATGAAGATGTGCCTTTGGCTGCCCCAGCTCGTAGGCGCATGCGAGCAGGTTTTGTCATGGATAGCGATTCGGAATAATCCCCTATGCGCTACAGTGTATCTATCATAGGGCGATTGATGACTTTTATGAGGAGCTTTGGCGTTGTATTTGGACCAGCCTTAGGACAAAGCTTTTAGGGCATGCATATTTCGCAGGGATACCTCCTTTGCCTTGCATAAATAGTATCAATTCTAACCAACTGGGTATAACAAGGGCATCGTATTCCTGCACTACAGACCACCAAGTAGTTAGTTAACTAGTAAATTGAGATTTGTCACGGAGATGACTCACGTCGTAGTTAACTATTAGTTAACTAACGGGGAAGTGAGTCAAAATTGTGTAACGATGAAAAGCCATCCAAATCCCCCCCCCCAAAAAAAAACCACCATCACACACCACAATGACCAACCAACTCCAATTCGTCACTCTGGATGTCCTTCACCACCAAAAGATTCCAGGGCAACCAGCTGGCAAGTCGTCTTCCTCCCCGACCCCAACCAACCGGGAAGCAGCCGCACCATAACCCAATCGCAAAAGCAACGCCATCGCGCGCGAATTCAACCTCTCCGAGACGATCTTCGTCCACGCCGACACGGGAGAAAAGCGAACCATCGAAGCATCTTCACAGAGAGCCAGGAGCTCCCGTTTGCAGGACATCCCCACTCACTATTGGCGCGGCCTCGTGGTTCCTTCGCCACTCTCGCACCAATGCAGAGCACGAGAATGCAATGCGCAAAAGCTCCTCATGACGGCCGGGGAGTTCCCAAATCTCCCGGCTTCCTGGCTCAGACAGTGTTGTCACGGTTCGTGTGGCGCATAATGTGCGCACCCATGCGAATCGATTCCCGGTTCGTCGGTTGCTGCAGTTGTATCCGTCTCTGGCGCTTCTACTGCAGTGGCGGCAGTGACTACTACGTTCACGCCGGTTCTGGCGGAAGAGGCGCAGCTGGATGAGGGGTGGCGGGAGGAATTCGTTGCGAACTACTTCTTTGTGAGGGATGTGGAGGACGCAGCCTTGGGGAAGAAGGTGATTCGGTCTCGGATGATCCTGGGAAGCCTTGAGGATCCTGCTACGGGGAGTGCAGCGAGTGGATTGGCGGCGTACTTGTCCCTGTTGGAGGGGAGGCCGGGCCAGTTCAGGTATGATCTCGTACAGGGAGTGGAAATGGGGCGACGCAGTGAGATTGGAGTCGATGGAGTGATTAAGGAGGTTGGGAAGATCGATACACTTGAACTACAGGGAAGTGCGGTCAAGGTGTCTGAGGGGAAGATTGTTGTCCCTGAGGAGTAGGATGATGATGATGATGATGATGATGATGATGATGATGATGATGATGCTATGGTTCGCCGCTTGATATGAGATGATATGAGATGATATGAGATGATATATTTGATACTACATTGACTTGCATTTCTAGAACACTGACATGTAGAAAATATATCATCATGGTGTAGAGATATTGCAGTACACAGATTCATTTGTCCGCCCTCTCTGCAAGTTGATGGCTTTGGAGCAGATTCCGAGAATATTCACTCTCACGGCCAACCTCGCAAATATGCGCGCGTCTTCTCTTGTCTTTCATCTCTTTACAATTGTATGCGCTGGTACATTTTCAATCTGCTTGCTCACTTGACATTCGCCCATGGATTTGTGTATTCCCCTGCACCAAGGCGATGTTCCTCTCCCCCAGCTTCTACGAACAACCAAACTGAAGACAGAAACTTCCGCCATGGCAGAGAAACAGAGCCGCAGGTCCTCCTTGTCGGGGTCAATAGAAACCCTCCGGAGCACCTTGACTGGGAAATACGGTCTCAGGAAGAGTCCTACGTCGTCGTCCTACTTCACGACTAGTCGACGCATCTCATCTGTCGACTCAGCTACAGCTACTATGCAGGTCAAGCCAGTATCCATCCCTCAAGACAAGGTCGATGAGTATATTCACGGCAGGAAAGCACGCCGCGCCATTGGTAAGATCTCAGGCCCATTAGCTGCGAAACACCGTCTGTTTAGCTCAGGCCACGATGGGGATAACCCTGAAGCCTCCCGGGAAACACAACCCCTACGCATCCTACGGTTGACTTCTCGTTTAAAGCCTCTTCCGTTACTACCACGCAGTCAGACTACCGTTGGGATCAGCCAGAGACCGATACACTCGAGAATTCCGACACCTTCTGAACCACCGAAGACGGACTTGTACTCGCACATGGTATATCAGAGGGAGGGGAGAAGAAGTGTTCTATCATCCCTGGGGAAGCGATGCACAGATATCCTAAGGAACGTGGACAAGAGTAGTCCGAGGAGCACAGAAAGCAAGAAGAGAGGGGGCGAAGACCTCGATAGGCAGCATGACAGAAGTCAAATAAATGATGATGGTCACGGTCGACTTCAGCAGAAATATCATCATCATCATCATCATCATCATCATCATGCGGTCAAATCCGCTACAGATGTATGTGCGGACAAGGAACTGAAATTTCCGCTGCATACCCAGAGCACCAGATATAATGCTCAATGTAGCAACATGCCCGTGATTACCGTAAAGCGGCCGTCGACCCAATACTCAAGAAAGGACTGGTCTTTCAATGCAGAGACAGGGAACCGGGAACAAGTGATACTCTCTAGAAATGCCTTACAAGATAAACGAGCTTCTCTACCTGCTGAAGGGCTGGTAGTGAGGAAAGTGCGAGCTGAGAGTAACAGCCAGCTCTTCCTACCTCGATACTACCAGACCACCACCAGAGGATCTTTGTGTGTCACAAACATAAGCAACGAAGTATCTACTGGAACTCGCAAAATGGCATCGCCAAAACGCATCAGACTGACCCGCGGCTTCGAGAACCTGAAAACTCAAGACAATGCACGGCCTAAACCCACCACACGTCCGTCGTACCCGAAGTCCAAACCTGAGAAAAGACAAAGCCCACAAAGGGCAAAGGACCGACCTAACCTTGTCATAACGTCCCTTCAAAAAGAAGCAAGCGAGCAAAACGAGAAGTCGAACGCACCAACGAATCGTTCTATTCGAAGTCCATATTCAGGGAGGATCCCCGTGCTAGCAGCCCATATCAGTGCGCGCCCTCAAGTCGAAAGAGCTATGCCTCGACAGTACTGGTTGGGGCGCCTGGTTACCCTCACCAATGCGTTTCATTATGAAGATTCTTTCAATGAGCCGGATATTGCATCAGGGTTCGAAATGCCCTCCAGCTTCACTCGTCCGTTCCAGCGTGCGGACGGTGATCGCGCGGCCTATCGCGTGAAACGGGCGTTTATGGTACTGGAAAATATGTGTGCGACAGAGGAAGCGAGTACTAGTCTTCGAGACTTCCGGACCAGTTATATCAGACGGTTTGGGGACCGGTGGATGAATTAATGAAGGCTCTGTTCGAGTTCTAAGGCTGTGTCTTTCTTTGCGTGATTAGCGACAAGGCATGGTTCTCTCTTTTTTTTCGTTATTGTCGAAGAAATTAGGTAGTTTCTAGGAGTTTGGTGACTATGGGTAGTTGATCGAATGTGTGCAGTCTAGCCAGTGGATGTGTGTTCCAAGTTATTCATCTTTTTTTTCCCTCTCTGATAAAGGATTCAGCTATCCAACAGACAGGTTCCAAAAATCATTGCCTCATAAATTTTCCCAAAAAAAAAAAAAACCAAAAAAACAAACCGCCCAAACGCCAGCCCTCAGCCATGCATAGTATAAAGCACGTGGTATCAACTATTTTATATCAAAAATCGATCGAATATGTTAAGCGTCTCACCTCCGGTTTCGTAGAAAGGCCGCGACTTGCTCGTGTCTGGTCACAAAGAACATCCTCTTACGATCTGATTTCCAAACCAGAACCCCGATTTCCTCGGCATAGCGGCAGGGCGCTTCGTATTCGGCCAGGCTGACAAAATCCTTGAACAAAAACCCCGGAGTAGCTTTCACACGGTCTCGTTCTAGTTGCCAAAGACGAATTTGGTCAACAACTGTCGGGGGGAGGACTGAGGGCGGCATGCCAGCCTGATTGGAGGTCGACCTGGAGGCATTATGTTTGCGCATCTGCGGGTGTGCATGTGTGGCTAGGTACGAGATGATTTGGTCCGCCGTGATACCCATTTCAATAGCTCTGCGTACAGACTGGCGAGTGATTTTGCCAGTGATTAAGTTAGGGAAGCGATATTTTAGTGACGTGAAAAGTGCAATAAGAGATATCTGTAGTGGCGAGGAGGTATAGGCGTAAAGTCGGTAGTTTGTTTCAATGATGATAAAGCCAGAGCTGGGCTTATTAGAGTCCCCATCCGTAGACCCAGAAAGAGAGCCTGAGATGGGATTGCTGAGAGCACTCGAATCGGAGGTCAGGGTAGTAGCGAGACGGGTAGGATAGAAATGTTCTGCTTCGGGAGAGTCCTGGTACACGATTCCAAAGTCGGCGAGGTCGGTCAAGGTGCGGAGTTGATTTGAAGTCAAGTGTTTCCTCTCGTAAGATTTTCCAAGTTCCAGGCTGCTTAAAAGGAAGATGAAAGAGAGGACTTCCACACTATCCATTCCGATGGCGCCAGCGCTGTCCACATATAGAATTAAAATATGCCAAACTTGCGTGCCAACATCTTGCAGGACAAATGCGAATCCGTCCTTGGTGATCTCAACACGCCGGTCCCTGATTTCAACTAGATGGCCAGCTTGCAGAAGCTCTTTCACGCCTTTGCTCAGATTCACATCTCGTTGGATCCCGAGGCCGCTTGTTCCAACCATGTATCCCAAAACTCCTTCCCATTGTCGCCGCGCATACTCATCGAGATCAGCGACGGATACGCCCTGTTCATTAGGTATTTGAGAAAGAACCCCGAAAGACTGTATTTGCTCGGCACCGGTGAGAGCTTGGCGGAGAGACGCGGCAAACGGGTTGGTGACCATGTAGGCACGGACATTCTCCGTGGTTGTTGTGTTTGAGAGAATATGCAGCCTTCCTAGAATCGATAGCGCACTGTCACGTTCTCTGGGGATACAGATAGAACCATTAGTGACTTGACGGTATTTAAGAGGGTTGCCCAAACTCGGTGGTTTTTACTCACTTTAAGCTCTCAGGTTTGACCCAAATCTCCAGATCTGCCGCGGGAAGAGGGTCTTTCAAGTATAGAAGAGCCATGACGAAGCATTTTGCTATCCTTAAATGTCAGCCCGGATGACAGGGAAAGGGTCAGCCCTTGAGTTATTCACACACCCAGGTCAGGTAGCATGCGCCGGAAGATAGCAAGAGCTGTGGATGGCTGTTGGTAGAGCTTGAAGAAGACTGTGCCGGGAAGGCTTTCGAGGTACTCGAACGGGCGGGATGGAGCGGCGACCATCTTGCCTTCGGGGATCGAGATTCAGGTCTCACCTCTTTAGCATGCTGTGGTTTCAGAGAAGAAGCAAGAAAGAGGAAAGACCGTCATGGATCGATCGCTTATCGTATAATTTCCTCCGGTGACCCAAGCGGCCCGAAGCGCAGTCCGCGGCCGATGATCTCACGGAAACAACTTGAGTCCTTCTATATACTTCCCCACCGTCAATCCTCGTTGCAATTAATAGAAAATGACAGCCTTGCGATTCGTCAGATCGGTAAGCTTGACTCTCTGTCCTTGTTCGCTCGTGAACCCTCCGTCCTGACGGCTTTACTAGGTCTGGGCCTCCTTTCGGACCAATTCGGGGTTGGAGCCTCGGTAAGTTCAAAATGAAGCCCATATCCACTATCAAAAGGCATACATGGCTGAAAGGGGATTGTTTTGCGATGTTATAGGCTGTTGGATGGTGTAAGTCTGGCCATTTTTGAGAGCCGGGGATGACCATTTCCTCCCATGGATCTTGCAGAATTCAAATCAAACCTTCGGCATACATGCACGAGCAAGCGCTTTGGGGAAAGGGCTAATTGATTATCACGGCAGCTTCGTGTGACTGATGCCAAACCGGGCCAGGTCAACTTCGAACTTGATATTCAAAAGGAGCACACAGTGAGATCTCCAGGCTCTTCCAATAATCATCTTGGAAAGGCGAGCTGACGTCTTGCTGCTAGAATCGCTTGAACATCCTCCATGGCGGCACCATCGCTAGTATGGGTAAGATAAACGCACCTTGAAAATGCTATAATTTCTGGTCCTCCTTCATGATTTACATCTGACAATCGAAAGTGGATCTCGGGGGTTCTTTGGCTGTGGCATCCCGAGGACTGTTTGCTACAGGTGTATCAACCGATCTCAACGGTAAGAATAGGACACCATTTGTATTCATCATGATAAGCTCTTAACACTCTCTCCGCTTTAAAAGTGACGTATCTCAGTTCTGGCGGTAAAATCGGTGACAAGATTATGGCGGTATGTTCTGAATCCTCCATTCACATCGAGGAATTGAGCAAATGCTAATACCATCATAGGAAGTCACCTGTGATAAGTGTATGTCCCTCCCTCTTAGGGGGAAGTCACTCTGGTGGCAGTTTGCTAGAGACTAGCTATTTCCCCCCCCCCCCCATCAGTCATATCTAATTGTTTTACAGTTGGCAAGACCCTGGCATACACCTCTATCAAATTCATGAACAGCAAAGGCGAAGTTGTTGCCCGAGGAAGCCATACCAAGTACGTGATTTCCCTGGCATACGCGCTGTGCTTGTATTAACATCTCTCTAGATATATAGCTCTTGCCTGGAAAGATCCCCAGAATATTGTGGAGGAGCTTGGTGGACGGAAGTCATCATGAAAGAGATTTGTATATAGTACGGAGTAGTACATAACTGGAATGGTAAGCTTTCAAGAGGATAGTTCTTCAGTCTCCTTGGAAGAGATATGCATCAAGATTGATTCATAACCACCCACAAAGAAAAGCTAGATATGCTCCTTCTGTTCATAGCTTCTGTGGAGCAATAGGGGTGGATCTACTAAGTCTTCGCACTATCTACAATCTCGGCATTGCAATGACTCCGCTAGTATGGGCTGGGCTTTGGCAGGAGTTCTATAGAAGTCATGCTCTCTCTGAAGCAAGACACTCATTGCTTGAAACTTCCCAAGACGGTGAAGAACTGAGAAGGAGGACCTGGCTAGCGCTTAAGACCTTGGTGTCAGGATAATATGAAGAGCGTGGGTGACACCAGCTCCAAACTGCTTAATATTGAGACGAGTTTTCATGCAAGGAAGGTATATATACCAGTTTGTGACATAACCCAGCTCGGATACTGTGATAGATTTAAAACACGAAATAGTTACCCAAGCCGAGCCTTCGCCGACAAGCAAGACTCCTTCCAACAAGTATTAGAATTCGGAAACCCCCATGCTTTTCTTTTGATACCTAAGTGTATACAGATTCATGTAATGGATCTTCATCCGGTTCTTCGCCAGCACCAAGCATAACCTCGTCTCCATCTTCCTCCAGAAGATCGCCTGCCCCATCCGGCATGGCCTCATCAACAATCACATCCCGATCACCCATAGCTTTCATCTTCGCCTGCGTCATTTCGAAGACATACTGGCCAAGGTGCTCCAGGCCTTCCATCGGGGAGCCTTGGACTTCATCGCTCAATGATCGGTTGGTGGGGAACATCTCTCCTGTAGCCAGCATGAGCTTGTCTGGGCGTTGCAGAAGCAAGTCAAATGCAGGTTTGAGTTCGTAACATGACTCGAAGACCTCGCGACGGCCAAGAACGTAGAGGCCGAGCCGAGCACGGGACAATGCCACTGTAAGACGGCGTACGTCGCGGAGATACCCGACAGTTCGAGTTCTTGTGAGGGAGAGAATAACGTCTGGTGTAAAGATTGGTTAGTATTCACTTGCAAACATGTGATGCAGGTCATAAAGGCGATAAAACTTGATGAGAAGTGGGGAATTGGGAATGGCGTACAATCATTCTGTTCACCCTGATACTTATCAACCGTCGTGACGATTTTGGGCATTCCAAACAAGCTGTTCTTAGCGCACCGATGATTTAAGACATCCTTGATCAATGCCGTCTGACCAGCATAGGTAGCGAGAATTGAAATCTTCGAGGCAGGATAACCAAGAAGTCGCATGTACTGATAAATAGCAACAGCATACTCTGCTTCTCCTAGATTTTGGATGAAATGAGGAGTCGGTTCCCGCTCTCCTGTGCCCTGGTAGTCCGGGACATTGATGAATTGATACTCGAACTGGAACCCGGCATTCGCTTGCTTAAACTCCGATGCATTTTCGACGATAGGCAGGTTTCCGAGGTTCTGATAACGCCATTTGAACAGCTCCGCGATACTAGGCCTTGCACGTCCTTGTTGGTCAAGTGTGATGACAGGGACACCGAGCCTCACTAAACGAAGGAACAAACTTTGCTCGAAATGAGCATACTGTCGGAAAGCAAGGTTCTGGATAATAGGAGAGTTTTGAAGGTGGTCTCCACAGAGAACCACTCTTTTAAGCGGAAGATGGCCATCCTTCATATTCTGCAGAGCAGTCGGGATAAAACTTTCGACTTCCGTGATCTGCGCCGCTTCCTCCATGATAACATTATCATAGTGGAATCCGAGATTTGCAATCTCTTGACGACGCATGGCTGCGTGTGTACTTGTCATTGCGATAATTCTCGCTTCCTTTACAAGGAGATAGTTGGCCTTGTCCTTGGGTTGTCGCAGGATCTCAAACGGCCGAATATCTTCAAGCTCTGAGAATATCTTGCTAATGTGCCGTTGACAGCCTTCAGCTACATCAACCAAGGTCTCCTTGGACGCTGAAGGGTCAAAAATGGGCTGGGGCGCATTAGAGAAATATTCATGGAACGGGAATGCCCCAATGATCTCTTCTTGAGATGTGTTTTCGGCCCGAGCATAGTCCCAAAATTTAGCCCATGCAGGTTGAATATAGACTGTGTTAAAGTAGCCCGCCGTCTCGCAAGAGTTGCCATGGGCACCTTGCGCACCAATCGATGCAGCCAAACGGGTAACTTCCGCGAGGAAATAGTTTCGGTTATCAAGGAATGACTCAACACGCCCGTACTTGCTGTAGCTACTCTCGGTTTCTAGCTCCTCCTCGCCATGACCAAGACGCAGGAGGTGGCGTTCATCGATATCTAGTGCCACAATCTTCTGGAAAAGCTGGTTTAATGCTTGGTTGCTGTGCGCAATAAGCAACGTACGCTCGTTGGGGAAGTCGTGATAGATGTTGTTAATAATCTGGGTCGCAACGTCGGTCTTTCCGGTTCCTGGAGGTCCAACAATAACTGTGAGTCCCGGTTGTGTTCCGGATGCAATGGCCTCGACCTGGGCCGGGGTAAATCGGACGGCGTTGACCTTCGGGGCATCTACTGGATAAGGCCCTGGGTTCGGCTGTTTGTATGTCGAGACGCGGAGGGACTTAGAGGCGGCTTTGGCTTCCCCTGCCTGTTCCCTTCGGCGCTTTTTCGATGTATTTGTGGGGAGTGGCGGTGGAGCTTCCTCGAGATATTCAAGAACATAGGGTGGCTGAAAGCTGGAGGCTGCATCGCCTGAAGGCTCAATGGAAAACCCCGGGAAACTCTCAACTAAATGCTGCCAATCCAAGAATGTATCCCGGAAATCCAGTGATTTAAGGCGGTTCGATAATTCCGTGTATCGGGCCCCAGCAGGATCTCCATACCCCAGGAAAATATCCTGAATCCATGGCGGAAGGGTGATGTCTGAGACGATCAGCCTTTGCATAGTTTCAAGGATAGATTTAAAGTTATTCTCTCTCCCTCTTCTCCTTGCAATCACGTTAATGAGTGGATAGATGTCCGGCTTGCCTTGCAGAGTGCGGTCCTTGTCTGCCTTGAAAGCAGAAGGGTCAAGGTTAACCAACAATCTTCTGATGCGAGGTCGAGACTTATGGCCATTGGCCTGGCCGGAGCTTGGCTCGCGCACTGGACGCCCGTTCTCATCAAGGACTTGTACAATTTCTGCAGTTCTTAGATGCACGATGCCCGGCGTCTGAGGAGTGGTGAGGTCTTTAAGTCCAAGCTTGCCTGTATTGCTAGATTGCACGGCTAGAAGGTAGACGACATCATCAGGTCGGAGTGAGTCCCATTCCATCCGAATGCGGTCAGCAAGTCTACCAACTTCGATTGTTATTTCTGCTCTCACAAAGGCAGGCTTGGTTGAGCCCGTCTTGGGGGGAGCGACTTCGATTATGGCAGGCTTTGAGATTGGTATAGCCATACGAGAGAAGCCATCAAAGGCTAGGGTTTTCCCATCCTGGCTAGACCGAGGTTGCATCCGCTTAACAACCGATTCCATATCCTTGCGAATCTGGAAAAATGCTTCCGAGCGGTATAACAGGAATGAACGCCAGAGAAAATCGCCGAGGCTGAGATACTGAAGGTTTAGCTTAGGGATCGCCAGTGGCCTAGATCCATCATACGTCTCATTTCGGAGCAATGATGGGTCGTACAGAGTCTCTTCCGTAGGAACAATGCTTAGATGAGAAGCAGCCTCTTGGAACGGCATAGTTCGTTCGTAGAATGATAGAAGTACCTCCATGCAAAGATGACGGTCAGACGTCAGATTTGATTGCTTGGGATAACTCGTCCGAAATCCGAGGTGTGAGCACAAACTTTGGAGCTCGGACTCTTCCAAAGATGACAATTGCCCCTCGAGCTCTGAACGCTGTTCGATCGAGCCGTAGTTTGATAGAGCTAAAATCATTAATTTGTCCTTGAAATACTTCATGGACGTCCGCTGCAGCTGTGCCAACTCATGGCAGTGCACATCGTACATTGCCTGAGATGACAAAGCCTCTCCCGTGTAGTCATCGATCGCAAATTCGACGAAATGCTTTAAGAGGTTATAAAAATCACGGAGCAGCGCATTATCTGCAGAGCGGTACATCTGGGACAAGCGAATAACAGGCAAGATATTAAGATCTTTCAGCAACGTGTTAACGTAGCGTCTGGTCGGAAGCTGGCTTTCCAAGTCGACGAGTAATTCGAGGAACCGTTCACAGTATCGCAGGTTATCGGCCTGGTCCTTTTCAGGGCCATTCAATCTTCGGAGGAAATCCAACAGCAAGGTGTACAGCCATGATCGCTCAAATCGCATTTTCGCTTTGGCTGCCTCATCGCCGGAATCGTATCGTTTCCCGGAGGCCCTCCAAGCTTTTCTCAGTGTTGGAGCCTTTGCAAGTACACGTTCCCTCGCTTCTTCACTATGAAGATTATGCCAAATAGAAATTGAAACTAGCGGTGCGCACTCCTTGCGAACCAACGCATTCTCCAGCGATTGGAAGGCGCTAATCATGAAAGACATTATCGACAGACGAGAAAACGTAGGGAGTGATTGATCGATGCTCATGGAGAGGATCCGATGGAAAAGATTCGAGAAATCATCCGGCCTGTCTGAGAAAATGCCTGTAATCAATCAGCTACCAGCATAACACACTCCAGCACATCCAACATACTCCATATCGGCAAATGTTCTCGCTGCTTGACGCTCACAATTAATGCGAGCAGCAAGACGTGATAATTCGAAGCGTCTTCGGTGTAGGTTGGCCAGAGAAATCTGTGCCACGTTAGCTCGTACGGGACAATTTGAATGATTCAACGGGGGACGCGCGCACTTTTCCAAGATATTCAAATTCTCTAAGGTCAGAAGCGAGCGAAAACTAAAATTCTCGGCCTCTAAAGGGTCCCAGATATCTTTCTTGATCACATCGTGTTTGACCTTGCGGACATTCGACGCCTCCAGCCAGTGGGTTTTGGCTAGTTGCACCCACGAGCTGTCGTCGCGAAAGTCCTCCACAGTCGGTCTTGAATCAAGGCCTTGCGCCATGGCATGCCGTGTCTGGAGACCCATTCCTCGACGTTGGAATTGCTCAAGAGCACTCCGAGCGCGGGTCGGATATATCTGCGCAAGTGGTCCGTTGTGGCGGGATGAATTGGGTCGGGAAGCTTCAGAAGCGCGTTTAGCGCAGTTTGCGTTCCGCGCCTAGAGTCCAAAGAGCCGCAGCAACGGACTTCTTTCAACGCCCCTTGGTTGACGACGTGACGACCTTGTCGACCCTCTTCATTATCATTAAACAGCTTCTGCCGCCTTGTTGATGGTTGCGAAAATGGCGGATGCAGATGCTGACGTGATAAATGTCTACAGGAGGCTAATTGACAGTCTCCTGGCCAAAGCAGAACAAGTCAACCCGGCCAAGGAGATCGAGCCTCCGTTGACAGAAACACAGCTTGGGGACTCTATATGGCTTGTCCAGGGGGAAGATGAGCAGATCACAGAGAAACTGAGTCAGCCGATGCAGTTCGCTGCCGTGGAGATTGCATTCAGGGAGAGATTTTACAGTCTTCTTGTATGAGGCCTTTCGTCCAAATATGACCATTCGAACTATTCGCTAAGTACGGACACAACAGGCTAGCATATCGATTGACGATCCCAATTTCATTCAGATATGGAATTTACTCGACATTATCTCCATTTTCTCCGATAACGGTCCGTCCATTTCGCGTGTCCTTCCGTGTTCGATCCTAACGTGTCGATAGAACGATGTGAACCTGGTTTGATATTCTGGTTGATTGAGGAACTGCTTGACAGCCAGACAATTGATGGTTGCCGCAACATTTTTGATTATTTGGAGTCTCGAAGAGAACGCAACACTAAGGTACGCCGCACCCGATACGTGAGTTGCAAAGCCGCAAGGTTCTAACTCTTCTCCAGAAACACTTCAAGCAGAAGAGTTTGATCATCCTGCGATCCTGTAATGAATTACTACGAAGACTTTCGCGAGCAGAAGATACAGTGTTTTGTGGCCGCGTGTTCATCTTCCTCTTCCAGAGTTTCCCACTGGGAGATAAAAGCGCAGTCAATCTTCGCGGCGAATACCATACTGAGAATGTGACTACATATGATGAAATCGCGCAAGCAACTAGCAGCGAACCTGAAGCGATGGATGTGGATATGCCAGATGCCAAAGAGACAGTCACAACACCCGATGATCAAAAGCAAGAAAATGAGACGCAGACGCCCGCTGATAAAGACGACAAAGCATCTGCGCACAACCGTCTAAAGACCCCCAAAGTGACCAGTTCTAAACTGGATAACCAAACAAAGGAGAAACCGGTTGACCTAGATGCACTCTACCCCATTTTCTGGGGCTTGCAAGCTTACTTTTCCGCGCCAACCAAAGTTTTTGATGCCCAGCATTTCTCGATATTCAAAAGCGGACTGGAGGTCACATTATCGGCTTTTAGGAATGTTAATACGGATCTTGAGACTTCGAGCAATAGTAAAACATCAGAGGAAATTCGAAGGTCCACTAAACGAAAACGCAGCACAGACGGCCAAGAAATCGCAAGCAGTTTTAATCCCAAGTATCTAACAAGTAGGGACCTTTTCGCCCTGGAAGTGTGTATTTTACCCCTGTCTGCTCACTTTGAAGGTCTAACACTTGATTCCAGGTCAACGATACAGCGTTCAGGAGACACGTCCTCGTTCAGGCCCTGATTCTTCTCGATTTCATGCTTTCACTGACCTCCAAGTCTAAAGCCAAGATAGCTGATCTGACCAATAAATCAGTACTCTACGGATTTGTACTTGGTGATGATGATGTAAGGCACTCTGCAATCCGATTCTCTGGGATGAATATTGACTGTTTGGCTGTGCTAGGCAAAATGGGCAGTGAAAATGAGAAAGGCTATCGAGGAGTATCTCCAGGAAGGCGTTGGCGGGAAATTCTACTATCGCATGGTGGATACCGTTCTGTCAAGAGACAAAAACTGGGTGCGATGGAAGGCAGAAGGTTGCCCGTTAATCGAAAGGGAACCAGTCTCAGTGACAGAATACTTGGGTGCTCGTGAGCACGCAACCAAGACATACGCCAACAAACGCATTCGGCCTACTCCGATGGGATCACTTAATCTGAAGTTTCTCTCAGAGAACGAGTCCTTGGCGGGTCTCGAGAGGCTGAAGGAACCGGAGAGGTAAGCGTTTTTGAGACCTAAAAAAATTACTTCTTTTCGCTCACCATTGTCTTACGAACAATTTAGGTTTGATGTCCCGGCAGCAGATTCTCTAGCACGGGCGGTTGAGGATGATGATTTCGATATCGACATGGCAAGGACAAAGGAGGAGAAGGAGAGTGCAGAGCGTGCGAAAGCGAGCAAGACTTGGCGCGTGCTGCGGCTTTCGGCGAAAACCAAACTCGCAGCCTTCGATAAGATCGAGGATGGCAAAAATCTCAAAATCCTGTTTGAGATTCCGCAGCCTTCTGAGAGCTCTGCAAATGCCGCCGGGGGCACTCCACAAGCTTTAGAGTCGACTGCCAAGCCCTCCACAGAAAGCGAGCTGAATGGGCCTGAACAGGAACAGGGAGCCAGTAATGTCGAAAATGGAAATAATGCCGTAGCCGCCGACCAAGCGGCCGGTGACGTGCACGAAGCGGTGACTGCCGATGCCGTCGCGACGACGTGAGGAAGGCGATGCCTTGCTGCAGGTATAGTGAACGGGATCGCCCAAGAGGATTGTGATTGGGCGTGTTGGCGCTGACATGTCATCCATCCCATGTCGGGCCCAGCCGCTCGGACTTTCAGTTGGATATCTATCTACTCCGTATACATCCATGTCAACCCGCTAAGAGGGGCAACTAGCAGAACAGTCAACAACGGGGCTAGAGGGATCAATATATTTTTGCAGAACGGGTCCGGGCGACATAAATAATGACTCGGGATGACCAGGGGGAGGTTCCTGGAATCCTTGCCATGGACAGTCTGGCCATGATTATTGGCTGACCTCGCTGCTGCGTGCTGACCAGGCATGTGCATGTCTTCCCCGCCGTTTTCCCTTTGCAGATTCATGCCAGTGTCTGTGTGTCTTCTGGGTTTGCTGCAAGATAATCCAGGGCGAGTACTGGGCGGCTAATCGCGGGGAGGGCATAAAAGCAGACTGGACAATGAAGAGATTACGGAGTACACCTTGCCTTTGGGGGGTTATAGCGGGGAATGACCGGATAATCCGAAGGGGTCTTTCATTAGCTTATATGTATCATATAATCATCCTACGTACCTCGAGCGCTGTTAAGCTACAGAGCGGCGAGCAAAGCAATTTATGATGATCCGCAACTTTAAATATATGAAAGGTTCCTGCAGCAATATATATATATATATATATAATATCACTATGACCATGGAAAGGATGCCGCAGACCATCGCTATCCCACACCTAGGAATATCCGGTCAGCATGCGAAATTAAAGGATTCGCTTAGAATGAAGCACACCTGGCTGGGACGTCCGCTCTGTTTCAGCCTGTAGGAGTACTCGTCCTTCTCCCTAAGTCCTGATTGTACCTCGGTAGATAATCAGCCACCGGAGACGACGCTGAACAGGATGCCGTTTATATGATCCAGGGATGGGAATGGAGATTTGTCGGTTTCATCTTGACTGGTTGACCCGCACAGACCAGACACGACATGTACTGAATCAATCTATTCCATACAATTTCTGAAGGACCTCAGGAAGAATAGAATATCAAATCATACCACATGGATACGACGGATATCATCTCCACCAGATTTCTCCGTTCGGGTTCGGGATGGATTCTTCCAATATCCTCCGAGATTTCGCCTGGACCTAGAATGATTATAATTGCTTCCTTCTCTCTGAGACATCGTGATCCGAATCCCACCGGGGATACCCAGTTGACCCACTGCGATTCATGTCTTAAGCCTGGAAGACACGTTGTTGACGTTGATTTAATTTGATTGATGGAGCCTTCGGTAGGTTCTCCTATTCATCCATTCTTTTATCTTCTCTCTCTTGACTAGTTCCTGCTTTGTTAGCGTCTGACTCGGGGTTGAACCCGTTCTGGTCACTTCCTGCATGGACTCATTCTCATTTCCCAGCCAGTTTCTCCGTACTTTGCAGAGTACCAGAGTCAGACAAATACTCGGTAGTGAACTTCTTCTATCCACGATTGGCTGGTCAAGGATACTCTCGACCCGCAACTATGCAAGTCTAGTTGGTTCCACGTCGGAAAATTTCCCACCAACTCTGGGGCCTGCGGATGCCATGGATTCTTGTTCCTTTCGCGAACGGACCAGGGCTGATGGAGTGTATACTGTTGTCTACTGTATATACCTCAAAAATCTTCCACATCACGACTCCATGAGAAGTCAAGGTATCTTGATCCAGGCACCTTTAATTTCCCCAAGATCACAGGAGATCCTGCGGTGTCCACTTCTATTAAGGTTCCTAGTCTGCAACGAACCTTCATATCAGGATGGATTCTTTGCTGATGATCAATATCCCCCTCACTGACCACTCTCTGTCCTTCGTACCTGTTGTAACCTGTTGTAACCTGTTGCGAGATATGGTAATTCTTCGTCCCCTAATCCATGCCCTGCAGGAAGCCCAGCATATTATTCGCCTCCAATTCCCGCGAGTCGGTCCCTTCTTCGCTGGCCTAAAGCCATATAGATCCGGTGGATCATTTCTCGGACTTTGATCACGGCCCTTGGCCCTAACCGCCCGGGATTATTTCCACTGTCTTGACCCCCCGACTTCCATTCTCCTCACACTTCCCCCGGTGGTATCCAGGACCCAGCAGAGGGATCGACTGACTGACATTCTCCTTTTCTTTTTTTTTTTTTTTTTTCTCCCTGTCTTTTTGTACCCTTTTTTTTTTTTATTGTATTGTATTTATTTATTTCTTTTTTTTTTTTACATGTTTAGGGGGGGAAATTAGGGGAACAGAGGCAAATAGCGTGGTCACCAACTAGCCCCGACCACCGTAGGCTTGGGACTTTCGACCTTCACGGAGGAGCAGCAAAACTATCAACTCTTCTCTCTCTCTCTCTCTCTCTCTCTCTTCCTCTCCCCTTTTGTCTTCGCCCCCAAGATCAACAACGACTTGGAGACCCTGGGCTTCTTCCAGAAGACCTCTGACGAATCTCCCAGACCCACTTCGTTCTGTCCCGTCTGTGACCCTGATTGCAGCAGTGTCTCAGACTCGGATTTCTTGTGTGGACTGAGTCTGCGTAGCTCATTGCACCTGGTGTTCAAACTCCTTCTCCTGGGACATCTACATGGAGTAGAAAAGAAAGGAGGCCATAACGACCATGTCCGTCAATGGCCCTTGTGCCTGGGTGTCTTCGTTGTTGCCCCCCCCCGCTACCTCCCATTCACCTTTAACCCCCAATACCTGGCCCGCCGTCTCTTGGAACAGCGAGCAAGCCTCAGCAAAGTCAAAGGTCGCCCTTGCAGCATTTTCAGGATCGGGAGAGAAAGAAATCGAGTTAACCAAGGCTTCATCCGTCGCTATGCAGTCAACTGTGACCAAGGCTGAGAAGGCCTTTCCGGTGCCGGGGGCTACAGGTCCAGGAGACGCTCTGCCGTTGAATCGCACCGGAGGGCAGAATGCTGCCCATCAAGGTGATACCCTGTCACGGATGAAACTCGAGAGACTCAACCACCACGAGCCTCTCACCGTTGACACTCAAAAGACCGCCACCCCGCACGCGCATGGGGGACTATCCCCCAGAATCAAATCCGCAGATCTAGAAGACCTCCCTGACGACGAGAAGGATAATGGCGATGCAACCGTGGCCTCTTCCGATGAAGGGGCAGGCTCGTCTAGCGAAAAGAAGTGCTCTCCAGACTCTAGGAAGAAGATGAAGCGGTTCCGGTAAGTGGTTGAGCAGCATTCAAGCCGCAAGAGAGAAAAAAAAACCCCCCCCCCGGGCTGACCGATTTGTGAAGACTTACACACAATCAAACACGCTTTCTGATGAGCGAGTTCACCCGTCAAGCGCACCCCGACGCTGCACATCGAGAACGATTGTCAAGGGAGATTCCTGGACTGACACCGCGTCAAGTTCAGGTCTGGTTTCAGAACAGGTACTTGAAACTCTTGTCGACCAATAGATCTCTCCCCGTATGGACGGTCGTGATTCTAACGCTCTCTCAGACGTGCAAAACTCAAGCGACTGACTAGTAATGATCGAGAGCGCATGTTGAAATCTAGAGCGTTGCCAGATGACTTTGATACCACCCAGGTTCTCCGCACTCCGTTTGGTAGCAAACCCTCAGACGGACCCGTGAGTGTTTTTCAGGATTCTGCTGCCTATCATGATTCTAACGGACTGGCTATCCAGGTGCTCCTTACCGACGGCCTATCACGACTAAACGACGATGAATATGTCATATCTCCATTGAGCTCGGCCTCAACAACCGGAACCGGCTTCCCTTCCGCTCCCTCTGATAGGAGCATCGACAGCTATCACTCGGGCAGTGTTGCAAATCGAGCAGACTTGCAACGGGGGAATCGGGGCACTTATCCGTTTCCAAGATCCAGCAGTTTCTCCGAACCTTCGTTCAATACGGGCCTTCAATTTCCGGGCCGTTTTTCGAGACCTGGCGCAGAAGCGATAGGCCATCCTGGAATTCCATACCCACGACGACCGATGGACTACGCAATAAGTCGACCGCCGAATGGAATGATGGTTGGTTATACTCAACATCGCCCGATGGAAGGATCCGTCTCACCTACTGGCCAGCAGGAACAACCAATGCCATATGGCGTAGATAGCAGTAAGACCCCTTTATTTTCTTTGTGAAAATTCTCAGAATTGGTGCTCACTGGATTTTCTATATTCTGCAGACCAGCAAGTACATGGCTACCAATCTGCGCTTTCTATGCCTGCACCCAAGGCCTATGGCGGGATGGAAATGAACTCGCACATGCAACCCCACGGACGAAATATGACTACCCTGCAGCATATCCCCGTTTCCGACGCACCCGATTATCGTCCTTATTCATATGACAATCATCCGTATAGCATGAACACCGGAATTTCCTTTACCCAGGCCAACGCCTCGAGCTTGAGTCTTCCCGCATCCTTTCCCTCCGAAACACATATCTCCCAAGGACCGGTTGGCAGTTCAGAAGAACGGATGAGCAACCCTCCCCATATTCTAGATCCCTTGAGGGCCAAATTCGGCAACCAAACCTACGAATACGCAAATTATCTATAAACTTCCATGCCTATTCTCTAGCAACCTACACACACACACATCCTCTCTCTCTCTCTCTCTCTCTTACCCACAACCTTACTCTCCACTACCTCCAGCAACAAATACCTCACGCAGTCGCCCCGACCCGGTACATTTAACCGGTTGAACAAATTTTCTGCTTCTTCAACTTCTTTTCGGTATATATATTGCCGTTGGATATACTTCCTTATATTCACACCTCATCTACGAGATGCTATACTCTCTTCTTCTAATGTTTTTTACCAAATTTTGATTGCCCTTGCTCTTGCTATTGCCTACCGGGGGGGGGGGGGGGGGGGAACCAGGCTGATATTGATCTGTGCGTCATTTGGAGTTGGGACGATTCGGCGTTGAGCATGTTTCTTTTCTTGTCTTGCTCTTATTTCCAACTGTTCACTTTGGCTTCTTCTTCTTTCCTTTCCTTCATGTCGATTCTAGGGAACTTATTTATTGTATAATCAGTTTTCGCTTTTTCTTTTCGTTTGTTTCTTTAGCTATGGACTTGAATATATAGGAACCCGTTTAAGAGTCTACGTACCGTGTGCCTTTGAGATGTTTCAAATAGATCTTGGAGGATCTACGAGGTGTAGTTGAAAGTAAATCTGATCGGCACAGCTACCTACAACAAAGAGTATAGTATAGGTTAACCAGCCAAGTACCTAGTTAACTATCAGGGATGACATAATCAATACCGTTAACTATATTTTTATCTATGAACAATATCAATAATGGCACACTTGAAAGATCTACTGGGTTGAACGATGGAAATAAGGAGGATACATCTGACCACTCGGCACGCCACAATCCAGGACAGGCACCGACTAGGTACCAGGTGTAACTACCAGTCATCTTTGCTGCATTGGAAATCTTGATCCAGTGCAAGAAAAGCGATTACCAATGTTCGAACAACACCACGGGGTCCAGCCAATCAAAGGGTGTGTGGTCACGAGACCTGGGCTTGCGCAACCAATCACGAACCAGATATTGCTAATCGTTCTCGTTGATGGCGGGATAGCGAAAGAGGCTTCTGGCGACGTATAAATGCGTCCGTTTTCTTCCAGGATTGGGTTTGAATGTTTCTCGAATGATCGGATTCTTCAAGACCCTTTTACTTAACTCTGCTCTCCCTACATATCAAAATGGTCCACCCCGCTTCTACCTGCTGCAAAACCAACCCCGGCGCCGGCTGTGTCTGCGCCGCCCAAGCAAAGTGCTCCTGCGGCAAGGAAAGCGCTCTCCACTGCACCTGCACCAAGGCCTCCACTGAGAACCAGACCTCGGGACCCCGATGCTCATGCCGTACGTGTCCCCGCTCTTCTCTGCATATACCCTCCTTCCATTCCTAGGTCCTAACGGTTATCCCTAGGAGCTCGTCCAGCCGGACAATGCACCTGCGAGCGCGCCGCTAGCGAGAACCTGACTGTGACTGGGGAAACTTGTCCTTGTGGACAGCGAGCCTCTAGTAAGCATTCCCTCCTATATCTTGCCTTCTCTGGCGCAACTATGCGTGGTGGCATTGGCTAACTGTGTTTTCCTTTTAGCTTCCTGCACTTGTGAAAAGGCCGGTGCTGTAGAGCCCCTCGAGACGGATTTCACTACCCGTGCTTGATTCTCTTTTTTTTTTGGGGGGGTTTTTCTTAATTATGCATTATTTGAGGCGTTGGCTGGAGTTGGAAGTGCTGGTTTTCTCCTGTTCGGACGAGGTATTGCATTAGTATACGATATGAATGCGTGAGAAACGCCCTTTGTGGCTAGACTATTAATAAATATCAAGAGCGATCCCAAGGTCATGATCTGATATGATTGAAGTTGATATTTTTGATCATTTTCCACGTAGTAACTATATATATAATAATATAGATATGCATGCTGCACCGCCACGCCGTATCAACATTAATCCGTCGTCACGGATCTCCGCCGGATCGGCCGCGGAAGTGGCTTTAGCACCCAGAACGGGAGACTGGCTCCTTTAAAACAAGCTCCGTATAGCCATATTTCCCCCGGGCGACACGATTCCCGATCCTAATCCAGCTCTTTTTCGTCGCTTTTCTCGTTTTCTTTCTTTCATTTCGTTGCTCATCAGCGAACTTTGATCAAGCGCTCGGCCATTCCTGTTCCCCGCTACACCACAGCCCTCCTGAATCCTCCCCCAAAGGCATATCATATCGTCCAACTTCACCCTTTCATAAATCTGCGCCATGTTCTTTGCCGCATAAACGGGTAGCTCAAGTGAAACTAGAAAATCCGCACCGCCAGAGAAAAACAAAAAAAAAAAAAGCTCCAGGATATGCTTGTGTGCATGACCTCTCGCTGAGTGGACCTCCCGACACGGCACAGCGTCTGTATATAGAGAATAAACGTGAGAGCCAGCGCCAGCCCCTCCTCTCCTCACTGAGGGACCATAACCTCCACCATCACATTTCTCACCGCGCCTGACCGCAAACGAACCATCCCACCCCCTTAGCCGTTGCTAAAACCATCCCCCCCCCCCCCCAAAATCGCCTATGATATAACCTCGCAACCACGAAAATGTCGTCCATGCGAGGCTTGGTGCAGTTCATCGCCGACCTGCGAAACGCAAGGGCCCGCGAACTGGAAGAGAAGCGGGTGAACAAGGAACTCGCGAACATCCGCCAGAAATTCAAGGGCGGCAGTCTGAACGGATACCAGAAGAAGAAATACGTGTGCAAGCTGCTGTACGTGTACATCCAGGGGTACGATGTGGATTTCGGGCACCTCGAGGCTGTCAACTTGGTGTCCTCGAACAAGTACTCGGAAAAGCAGATCGGGTATTTGGCCGTCACGCTGTTTTTGCACGAGGAGCATGAGTTGCTGCATTTGGTTGTGAATAGCATTCGCAAGGATTTGCTGGATAGTAATGAGTTGAATAATTGCTTGGCCTTGCATGCGGTTGCGAATGTGGGAAGTCGGGAGATGGGTGAGGCGCTTTCGATGGATGTGCATCGGTTGTTGATTTCTCCGTGGGTTTTCTCTCTCTCTCTCTCTCTCTCTCTCTCTCTCTCTCTCTCTTTTTGGGGGGGGAGGGGGGTTGCTTGGAATGCCCCTGTGTTGCTAATTGATTTTTAGGACGTCAAAAGCCTTCGTAAAGAAAAAGGCTGCGCTTACGCTTCTCCGGTTGTATCGCAAGTACCCTGGCATTGTGCAGAATGAATGGGCCGAGCGTATTATTTCTCTGATGGATGATCCGGATATGGGCGTTACCCTGTCTGTGACGTCGCTTGTGATGGCATTGGTGCAAGATAGACCAGAGGAGTACCGCGGGAGTTATGTCAAGGCTGCGCAGCGGCTGAAAAGAATCATTGTGGATAATGAGATTGCCGCGGACTATCTCTACTATCGCGTCCCATGTCCTTGGATCCAGGTGAAGTTGCTGCGCTTGCTGCAATACTACCCTCCGTCAGGTATGTCGCTCCCCCGCCTTGCGATTGGAGCTGTTGCTGACACAACATAGAGGACAGCCATGTCCGCGAAATCATCCGGGCGTCTCTGGCACAGATCATGCAAATCGCAATGGATACTCCCAAAAATGTACAGCAGAACAATGCCCAAAATGCCGTGCTTTTCGAGGCCATCAATCTTCTCATCCATCTGGATACCGAACACACCCTGATGATGCAAATATCCACACGACTGGGCAAATATATCCAGTCGCGCGAGACGAATGTCCGCTACCTCGGTCTCGAAGCGATGACGCACTTTGCTGCTAGGGCCGAGACTCTGGACCCCATCAAGAAACACCAAAATATCATTCTAGGGTCCCTGCGCGATAGGGATATCAGTGTCCGCCGCAAGGGATTGGACCTCATCTACAGTATGTGTGATACTACAAATGCGGCTCCAATTGTGAACGAATTGCTGCGCTACCTGCAGACCGCCGATTACGCGATCCGGGAGGAGATGGTCTTGAAGGTGGCTATTCTTACCGAGAAATACGCAACTGACGCCCAGTGGTACATTGATATTACGTTGAAGCTTTTGTCCCTGGCCGGTGACCACGTCAACGACGAAGTCTGGCAGCGTGTTATTCAGATTGTGACGAACAACGAGGAGCTGCAGCCGTATGCCGCTCAGACTCTTCTCACCTACCTCAAGAGCGACTGCCATGAAAGCTTAGTCAAGATTGGCTGCTATGTGCTGGGCGAATTCGGGCATCTTATCGCCGACCACGAAGGCTCAAGTCCCATTGAGCAGTTTCTGGCGCTGCAAGCCAAGATGATCACGAGCACTGACAACACACGTGCGATGATCCTGTCCGCCTTTGTCAAATTCGTCAACCTCTTCCCCGAGATCAAACCGCAGCTGCTGCACATCTTCCGTCTGTACAGCCATTCGCCGGATTCGGAGCTGCAGCAGCGTGCCTTTGAGTATCTGTCGCTGGCGACACTTCCTACCGATGATCTTCTGCGAACCGTCTGTGATGAGATGCCACCATTCTCGGAGAGGGCCTCGATTCTGCTGTCCCGTCTTCACCAAAAGACCGCCGGCACCACCGATAAGAAGACGTGGGTTGTGGGCGGAAAGGATGCCAACGCAGACGGCAAGGAGATCTTAATGGCGCAGCACACCGGACTCAAGCGGACGTTTACTACGATTGTGAATGGCACAAAAACCGGAGCCACCGGAAACGCCGCTTCGGCGGGCGCATCAGGCGACCTAGCAGGACTGGACCTGAGTGCATCGGCCACGCCGCCACCGCCTCCTCCCAATATGGCCAGCGCGGCGCACCTTACGCCCGACTGGGAAATTGGGTTCAACCGGCTGTACTTCTCCGACGAAGGCGTGCTGTTCGAAGATGCTCAGATTCAGGTTGGCTTACGGTCCGAATTCCGTGCTCATATGGGGGTGGTCAAGATATACATCACCAACAAATCGTCGTTCTCAATCGGCTCGCTCACCACGACCCTGGACAACCGTGCAGCGCCGAATCTGAAGATCGACTCCAAGAGTCTCCCTGAGCCTACCGTCCCGGCCGCCGGGCAAACGCAGCAGACTCTCTTCTTCGAAGCCAGGGGCCCGTTTTCTGATGCGCCGACCATCCGCATCTCGTACCTCGCCGGTGCACTGCAGGCCTACACGCTGCAACTTCCGATCCTGATGCACAGATACATGGAGGCTTCGAGCCTTTCGGCGGAAGACTTCTTCAAACGGTGGCGGCAGATTGGCGGGGGTCCACTCGAAATCCAGAATACCTTTGGGCTGGTCGCCAAGGCCGGGAATATCACCGAGGCATTCACGCGACGACTGGTGGAAGGATTTGGCTGGAAGATTCTGGATGGCGTGGATCCCAACCCGACGAATCTGGTGGGCTGCGCGGTGTATCAGTTTGCCACGGGCAAGACGGGCTGTCTTCTCCGCCTGGAGCCCAATTACGACCGCAAGGTGAGCGTTAAACCATTCTTTGGAACTGTATGTCCTGGGCCAGCACTCACTAGTTGCAGATGTACCGTATCACCGTCCGAGCTACGCAGGAGAATGTGCCGCAGGCGCTGGCACGACAGATGGAGCAGAAACTTTCACAGGGCCCGGCACTTGGCTGGGAAGTATAATACGGATGTAGGTATATGTATAGCACGTGGATAATGGATCTAATGGGAGAGGAGCGTCTAATGCATTTCCATTTCCATGTTCCCATCTTACCGTTGTCTTTTGAGGTCAGGAATGTAACACTTACACCGGGAACACTTCCTCACCACGTAATCTCAGTAGAGAAGGGGTTGTACATATAGATAGTATGTATGTATGTATGTAGTTAAACAATCTTCGCCTGATCCTTCGGCAGACGATCTCCAAAAATCGTCGTGCCCACACGCACCTGATCACTCCCCAACGCAATCGCCCCCTCGAAATCCCCACTCATCCCCATACTCAGCTCCAACTCCAACTCCGCCTCCGCCTCCAACCCCAACCGCCGCACGACCCGCTCGCGCGCCTCGCGCAAGCACACAAAATCCGCATTCTCATTCCCGGGCGTCGCCGTGGCCTTGGATCGCGCAATCGCCCCGATGGTCATCAACCCCTGCAGCCGCAGCGCAGGACAGTGTTCGCGAACAAACCGACACAAGCCCACCACTTCTTCTCCCGGCGCAACCCCAGCCTTGCTCGCCTCCCCGGACGTATTCACCTGCACGTAAACCCTCAGCCTCTCCTCCCCGCTCCCATCAAGCCCCCGCTTCCGCGCCTCCCACCCCTTATTCAGCAGCGCCGCTTTCCTCGCACTATCCACGCTCTCCACCGCCCACAGCGCGCGCGTGTCCCGCGCCAACGACACACATTTGTTCGACTGCAGCCCGCCGATGAAATGCCATTTGATGCTGGGCGGGAGCACCCGCGCCTTCTCCTGCAGCTCCTGCAGGTAGTTTTCGCCAAAGTGCGTGTGCGGGTGCGGGTTGCGGGGGGAGCTGCTGTGCAGGGCGAGGATGTCGGATGCGGGCTTGAGTTTTGAGACTGCCACGAGGCGGGGGGGGTTGGATCTTTTTTCTCTGGTGGTGGACGCTGCTGCTGCTGCTGCTGCTGCTGCTGCTGCTATGCGGGTGCGCACGCTGGTGAGGTTGGAGAGGAGGGTGGCGGTTCGGGTGGGGGATGCTGGCATTGTTGTTGTTATTTCTGAGTCTGAGTCTGAGTCTGGTTGTGGTGGGGTTGGTGTTGGTTTGGGGAGGTCTGAGGTTGGGCTTGGTTGTTGGGTCGTCATCGCATCGGTTGTATTTCTTGAGATTCGTGTATAGATATAGTTAACTACCGAATGGTAGGTAGTTTAGTTACAGGGGAGTATCTTCATCGGAGCGGATTAACTATAATACTCAACAGAGTACTTAGGTAAGCATTGAATTTCACGTGATATACAAGGAACCAATCACAGTTACTTAGGGTTAGGTTAGGGTTAGGTTAGGGTTAGGTTAGGGTTAGGTTAGGTTAGGTTAGGTTAGGGTTGGGTTGGGTTAGGGTTGGGTTAGGGTCTTTCTGACTAACCCTAAGAGATTGTTAACTAGTTACCCTCATGAATGATTACCTAATCATACAGCAGAAAAGATGATCTGATGAATGATTGATTCTAGAGATATCCTCATCCTGTTGGCTTATGAGGCGGAGGCCTAGTTTCAGAATGTCTCTTTGTAGTTTTTCTAACATCTCTTTCTTAACAGCGCCAGACGAAACACAGTTTGAAAGCTGCTGAGCCATTCATTCCGCCGCGCCTAACTCAGCCAGTCTGGGCGAAACCCTCGAGAACCACTCATTTGCCGTGGAAAATAAAGAGCCTAGATCTTTGCCATCGAGGTCGAATGGAATGGCTCCCGTCATTCCTACCGTTGTACTGGGCCACTTCTTTGACGCTGCAGACTCCACTGCAGCGCTTTGTCGTTTGCTGGTGCTGACGTCAAATACTCGGCGCGCTCCATGGACGGTCTTTATACATAGAGCGTAGACTCTCTCTCTCTTGTAGAGTCTGGCCATCATCCATTTCTTCTCTTTCTCTTTCTTCTCTTTCTTCTCTTGGGTGGTCATTCGTATATATTCTCCTGCATTTCTAGTCTAGCTGGTCTTTGCTCGCCCTACTTTCTATACTCCCGATATAGATCTCCGTCCCAGACACTACCTCACATCACACCTGCGACAAATCTCTTTCTACAACGGCAGCAGCAGAAATCTGGACTGAAATCTTTCACCAAATTCCGATTAAATTGCAGGGATCGCTTGAAACCGAGTCGGAAGTTGGCGGAGTTGGCCTGATTATTCCACATACCCCTCTTAACAGACGCTACTACTACTCCTAGTACGTCAACGGGAAAATGTGCCGACAATATCTCACTCTGTACTCCTGGTGCCACTGCGAAGAAGATGCCGGCTACCAGGCATGCAGCGCCCGCAAGGAAAACGGCTGTCCCGGCACCGCCGTCGAGACCGTACATATGCAATGTTTCTGCAACGTGCACGCGACAAAGAAATTCCAGACGGAGAAGCAGGCGCTGAAGAAGAAGAGCCGTTCGTCCCTCTCCTCCCGCTCCTCTCGGAACTCGCGCTACTCCAATAGCAGCTTGGAGTCGCAGGCATCTCAGATCTCCCGGGCGTCGTCTTTCCGGAGACGTTGGTTTCGTCTGTGGTCGCGGTCGGAATAGGCTGTCATGACTACTTTGACTGAATGGGATGGATGTTTTGTGGATTTTCCAGCTGCTCATTCATTCCTTTGATGTTCTTCTTTATCCTCTCTCTCTCTCTCTCTCTCTCTCTCTCTCTCTCTCCTCTGGAAAGGTGTTGGTTGGTTCTTTTGTCTATCTATATATATATCTATCCTTTCATCTGGTGGAGGCGTCCAGGTCGTCTTTTCTGGTGTTCAAGGCGTGGTGGTGATAATGAGACCTGATTTATGATTCATGATCCATTCCTCTGTATACATAGAGCTCAGGAAATTATATCGAATTTCCCCAGTAGAAGCAGGTGGATAACGGACCGATTCAAAGAATGGACGATCGTCTGCCCCTTGTCCCCATTGGAAGCGAGGCTTTCCTCCTTGTTTCCTTTCCTCCCTTTTCCCGCCAGGCTTTCTTTGACGAGCTGCACCCTTTTTTACATCTTTTGATCTTATTTCTATTCAGTCTCTCTTCAGCAACATTCAAATGGGAATGACATCTGCGTCATGGACCCCCCTCTTAAGTCATTCGCTGCCACAACTCCCGCCACCAACCCCCCCTCAACAATGCCCTCACATCCGCTGTCTCCCATTGATTTATCTAGTTCCTCTGACCGTCTGAGCAATCTTTCGGTCACCGCGACCCCTCTTCCTACTTCTCCCTCCGGGTTTTCATCCTCCTCGTTGTTCCCGCCGTCCGCGCGTTCAGGTGCCACCCACCCGCCGCATTCGACCCCAAGACGAATTCCCAGCACCAGCTCCTTGAGAGAGGAACGGCGAAAATCCCCTCCTAGCTTGAAGAAGTGCTCCTCTACCGCGTCCTTGCGTTCGGTTCCCCTTGCGAATGGTGGTTCTGCATCGCCTCGCCGCAGTTTGTCGCGCCGTTCCTCCTCCACGCTCGCAACCTCCCCGACGCCCACCGCGACGACGCTCAGCAATAGCTACACGATGTCGGCCAAAAAGTCGCCGCGGTCCACGGCGGCCACCCCCGAGCATTGTGCACCCACCACGCCCGCGTCTATTGCTGCAGATCACTTCAAAAGGGAAGTCGATTTGCACCAGTCGACCGACCGCCAATCCCAGACTCTCGTGATCGTCCACGATGCGTGTTATGGCCACCGGTTTTCGCGTCCTCGAGCGTCCCGTGCCGCCTTGAATTCGATTGTCGAACGACCAGAACGGATCCGCGCCTGTGTGCTAGGAATCTCCGTGGCTTATGTTCGTCTTGCCCGCCGACATGCCGGTGGCCAATTTGCCCCCCACCCCGACCTGAATCTCCATCAGCTACCGATCCCGCCGTTCCAGATCAGAAAGACTGCGCGAACCTTGGCAGTGGGCTCTCCAGCGGTTACCCATGTGCATGGATCTAGGTGGATGGAGGATCTCAAGACTATGTGCGATGCTGCAGAGTCGCGACTCGCCTTGAATGGGAAGGAATTGGTCCGACCCCACAGCAGTGGGAAGGACGCTGCCGCCGGGACGACGACGACGACGTCGACCCATCAGTCGTTTCACGAAGGCGATCTTTACCTTTGTTCCGAGTCTTTGAATGCGTTTGAGGGCGCCTTGGGGGGGGTGTGTGAAGGGATCGATGCGGTCTTTAGCCCTTCTTCTTCTACCAAGCGTGCCTTTGTCTGCATTCGCCCTCCCGGCCATCATTGCTCGTCCGGTCACCCATCTGGATTCTGTTGGATTAATAACGTGCATGTGGGTATTACTTATGCCGCCATGACCCATGGACTCACCCACGCCGCCATTCTCGACTTTGATCTTCACCACGGCGATGGTTCCCAGGATATAGCTTGGCAACAGAACCAGACGGCGGCCACGGCGCCCCGCAATGCGGCTTCGTACAAAAAGACCCGAATCGGGTACTTTAGCTTGCACGATATTAATTCGTATCCGTGCGAAATGGGCGAACCGGAGAAGGTGCGCAACGCGAGTGTCTGCATCGAAAAGGCACATGGACAGTCCATTTGGAACGTTCATCTGGAACCGTGGAAATCCGAACGCGAATTTTGGGCGCTCTATGGCGCCAAATACACCGTCTTGATTGATCGAGCCCGTGCGTTTTTGCGGATGCATACAGAACGCTTGGCCGGTAACCCGAATGGCCCTCCTCCCCAGGCGGCGATTTTTATTTCAGCTGGATTTGATGCCAGTGAATGGGAGGGAGCCGGGATGCAGAGACACCAGGTGAATGTCCCCACCGAGTTCTACGCCAAGTTTACTGCGGATGTCGTGCGCCTGGCAGAGGAAGAAGGGTTGGGTGTGGACGGCCGAGTTATCAGCGTGCTGGAAGGAGGTTATAGCAACCGGGCCTTGACCACCGGCGTACTGAGCCACCTGTCGGGATTGGGAGATGGGACACAACAACGCTCGGGATCGGGCACGGAAGATCAGATTAATCGCCTGGCCACTGAAATGACGGACCGTCTAGGTCTCTCGGAGCCCACCACTCCAGCGGACAATCAACAACCAGGATTGGAAGCACTTTATGATCGTGAATGGTGGTCTTTGCCCCTGGTGGAAGAGCTCGAGGCTCTAGTATCCCCACCACCCCTGCCACCGGTGGTCAAACCTCGAGAAAAGGCAGCCCCTACGTATTTTGCTCCTACGCAATCCTTTGCTGCCAAGGTTGTCCTCCTCCCATCCCGAGACCGCAAATCCACCACCAGCTCTCAGGCCAGTCTCGATTTGGATACTCCGCCACTGCCCCCGCTGCCGCCGGTGACCTGGGCGGTCGCTGCCCATGAGTTGTCCAAGATCCTGATCCCGAGTGATCGCCAAACGACGAGCTATCGGCCTGGGGACCTCAACGCCGAAGCCTCGCGATTGAGACGCGAACGCCAGACGGCAGCCATCACCGACACAGCTCCGACCGGTCCGGCGGCGACTGCGGTCGAGGATAATAAGAGGAAGCTTCGCATGCGGAAGCCCAAGACCTCGCTCCCTAGTCCGCCGAGGGCTGAGACACCGGGGCGGCGAAGCAATAGGAACAGCCGACGAACCACCCTTGACTCTCCTAGTGCGCTTCCTAATTCCACTAGATCCCCTAGCATGCTCGCAACTCGTAGAAAGAGCGCCTCTGCCACCCCGACGACCACCGGGTCTTCTTCCTCTTCGACCCCGGAACAAGATGGATCGGACCAGAGACCCGCTTCCCAGGGCTCCACCAGTGTGCGGAGGAAGCCTAACACATCTCGGGCTGCAACCCCCCGACGAACGGCTAGTCCCCGCAAGACACCTCCTGTGCCACAGGTTCCGTCTGCCTTTATTCCTGTACCACCCTCCGGGGAGGAGGAGGAGGAGGAGGAGGAGCAGCCGACGACTGGATCCACTCCTGGTGACAACGACCGCCAAGGGCACCCTGATATGGATAGCTTAGTCGCCAGAGTGGGCAAGCTAAGCATAAAGCTCAAAGTACCCTCTCCGGAAGAGAACGCAGCTCGAGAGAAAAAGGCAGCCGAGGAGCGCAAACGTCCAACCTCCAAAGGCACATCCAAGGCGACCCGGGCTCCCAGGAAGGCCTCCTCCGCCCTTAAATCCCTACCTTCGAGCTCTTCCACTCAACCCACCTCTGAGTCTCCATCTCTCCCAGATATCCCCGCAAAAGAGGAGAAGCCAGCAGATGCGAAGCCCCCGAGTGCTTCCCTGGTGACTCCCGTCGCGTCGTCACCTGTGTCATCACCTATTCCTATTCCGTCACATATCGACTCTACGGAACCTGAGCCTGTCAGCACACAAGAACAGACTTGGAACATGGCGACTGAATCCAAGGCTCCCGCGCCGCACACCCTTTATGCCAATGTCTCTCCTCCTCTGACCCCAGGACCTACGAGCGATTCTGCGGGTCCTCGGTCCATGCTGTACTCGCCCACGGCGTCGGTTCCAATGACGATGCATGGCCTCCCGGTACTTACGTCGCATGAACCTATTCCTTTTGCGCCGTCCAATGCGTCAAAAGCAGCAGTGAACGAAGCCAAGCCGGGAGCTTCGACTTGATTTTGCCTCTACGTACTAAGGATGCTTGCTGTTCGCCTCTGAATTGTCTTTATTGCTCCATATTTTACCTGTTACTATACCCCTATTGTTTGGAGTTTTATTTTCTTCTAGTCCCAAATTATTCATCTATGATTTGAAATTCTCCTTCAGAAAGCCGTAGTTTCGTTTGCAATAATGATAGTTTACTTAGTTAACTATACATAGTTAACTAACTACTAGTTAGTTAGTTAAGCGCCTGATCGCCGCTGACTCAGCCTCCGCATTTGTCCAGCGGGTTCCAGAAACATCTGATATCGCATTCTAAGCAACCCTTCAGAGCAGCTCTATCGATTCCTTTCTTTCTCTCTTTTTAACTACCCGTCTGTCTCTCTCTCAAGTCTGTCGTTCAGCATGGCCCCAATCTCCATCAATCCAGGCAAGAAACCCTCCCGCCCCGAGGAGTCCTTCACCCAAATGGCCGACAAAGACCTCGAATCGATCGGCCGGCACTGCGAATTCGAGTACTGCAACCAACTCGACTTCCTCCCCTTCCGCTGCGAATCCTGCCGAAGTACATTCTGTCTGGACCACCGCACCGAAACCGCGCACCGCTGCGCGCAAGCCGGCGCATGGGCCCGCCGACGCACCCCGGCGCAACTATCCTCCACCACCACCAGCAGCAGCACCAGCAGCACCCAAAAACCCACCATCTACAACTCCGACCAATGCGCCCACCTCAGCTGCAAAACCCTCATCAACACCCTCACCGACCCGGCCGTGCGCTGCCCCACCTGCACAAGAGAATACTGCCTCAAGCACCGCCTCCGCGAGGAACACGACTGCGCCCCGCTTGCCCCGCTCCCGGGCAGCGCAGGCGCAGGCGCAGGCGCAACCCCCAACGCGAACGAAACCATCCGCTCCATGTTCGCCCGCGTGCGCACATGGGGGAAAGACAAATCCCACGCGCTGACGCCGAAACCGAAGCCGGATTCCCCCGCGGCGCGCGCGCTGCAGGTGAACGCCCTGAAGAAGTCCGCCAAGGGCGACGCGGCCGTGCCCGCGGACAAGCGGCTCTATGTGCATGTGGTTGGGACGTCGGACACGCACGGTGCGCAGCCGCCTGCGGGGGACTTCTGGTTCGATTCGCGGTGGAGGGTTGGGAGGGTGTTGGATGATGCGGCGAAGCGGCTTAGGGTGGAGAATGTGAATAATCGCGCGGGCGAGGAGGCACGGTTGCGCTTGTTTCATGTGGAGTCCGGGGAGTTTTTGGAGTTTTCGGATGTGATTGGGGCCGGGAAGGTGGAGGTGCATTCGGGGCATACGATTGTGTTGTTGAGGGGGGCTGGGGTGATGTTGGGGAAGTGATTTTCTTTTCTCTCTCTCTCTCTCTCTCTTTTCTTTTTCTTTTTCTTCTCACGACGAGGTACTTGGTCTACGCTCCTGTTGGGTTGGATAATCTTGGGTCATCTTGCAATAAATAATTGCATAGCATGCATGCATCATATCATATGTATACATTTTTGATTTTAGTATGGTGTTGAGGTTTAGCGTGAATATCATTTGTTTCTTACTATCATCTCATAAAAAGCTATATCTGTAGAAATTGTATATGTGGATATGTTGTGTGCATCTTGAACCGCAGGATTCAAACACTCATCTTCATCTTAATCGCCTTATGAGGCTGATACCCAAGCACCTCAAACTCCTCCTCCTTCCACCCATCCACAACCCCACTCCCCCGATCCCCCCGCTTAATCCTCAACTCCGGAAACTCCGTCGGCTCCCTCGCAACCTGTTCCTGCAGCGCCTCGACATGATCCAAATAAACATGCGCATCCCCCATCGTATGCACCAGCGTCCCCGGATGCAGATCCGCCGCGTGGGCCAAGATATGCGTCAGCAGCGCATACGACGCAATATTAAACGGCACGCCGAGCCCCATATCGCAACTCCGCTGGTACAGCAAGCAACTGAGCTCGCCTTTCTTGCCCGCGCCCGCGCCCCGCGGGTAAGAGACATAGAACTGCGCAAACATATGGCACGGCGGGAGCGCCATCTTCGCCAGATCCGCCGGGTTCCACGCCGACAGGATGATGCGGCGGTCGAACGGGGTTTCTTTGAGCTTGCGCACGACCTCGGCCAGCTGGTCGACGCCCAGGCCCGTGTAATCGGTCTGCGCGTCCACGTACTCCGCCCCGAAATGCCGCCACTGGAACCCGTACACGGGGCCCAGGTCGCCCTCGGCCCGGTGCGCCAGCCCAACGCGATCCAGGAACTCGCGGCTCCCGTTGCCGTCCCAGATCTTGATCCCGGCCGCGGAAAGCGGGAGCGACGAGGTGCAGCCGGAGATGAACCAGAGGAGTTCGCCCAGGACGGCGCGGAGGAAGACGCGTTTTGTGGTGAGGAGGGGGAGGATCGCGATGCGCTTGTCTCCTTCTTCTTCTTCTTCTTCTTCTTCTTCTCCCTTGCTCTGCTCGGGCTTCGGCGCCGGTTTCGAGAGCGAAAATCGCATCGGCGTCGGCGCGAAAAGCGAGCGCGTGCCTGTTCCCGTGCGGTCTGGGCGGTGCTCGCCCTCGGCGAGGATTTGCCGGATTAATTGGAGGTATTGGTGTTCTTCGTGCGCGGGGTTGTGCGTGCCGCGCGGGGGTTCGGGTTCAGTCGACGTGGTCGGCATTTTAATGGATTTCGTTTCCCTCCTGATGTATGTATGGGAGATGCGAGAGAATATTAGTGTCGACTTTGACTTGATGAAAGAAGCAATGAGGTGGGAGGTTTCATATCAGATCCTGGGATGGATGTGGAACGCGTGATTTCCGAGACGCGTCACGCGGTCACGTGCATACAGACCTATTTAGGAAATATTTTTAATATAACTACAACATCGGAGCCGATATGGAAGTAAAGTATAGGGATTTGAAGATTCTTATTTTTTTTTATCAAGCAAGTCAACTCCCACCCCCCGTAATGCCCCAACAACCCAAGGCGGAATCTTTGACTTCTCCGCATACAGCTTCCCAAAGAAATCCTTAAGAAAAGCGGGGAACCGATCCTCCAGGATCGCTTGTCGGGCCCTGCCCATTAAGTTCAGTAGGTAATGAACGTTGTGGATAGTAAGTCTTTGTTGCTGGGGTTAGCCGTCGTATCTCTTTTAAGAGTGTAAAAAGCCAAACTTACAGATGAGCTCCCGCAGTCTCTTTGGCCGCCAGATGGTGAATATATGCCCGTGTGATTCCCAGGCCTCCCTGCTCCCGGGGCCTACAAGTAGCACAGGTGCATCCTTCTTCTACAGGGCTGAAGTCGCATGCGAACGCGGCGTTTCGAAGATTAAGGGTTCCCGTAGAGACTACAGCATTTCCAAATCGCTGTGCAAGTCAATCACCGGAATAATTAGTTCGAGAATGGAATGACTTACAGCGGTTCTTGTCGGCCAGACGCAGTCAAACATGTCCGCGCCAAGGGCGACTCCTACAATCAGATCTTCAGGGTAGCCCTAATCGCTCTGTTAGTAATTCTTCCCCTCGGTATGGAAACGTTTGCCATCGTACCACTCCCATCACATATCGCGGCTTATACTCCGGAAGAAGGTCTGTGCAAGTATCAACCCTGTGGCGGTCAGCTTGGCCATGTCAAAACTCGAATCCGTGAAACATACACTTTGCAGAACTCCTCTTTCGCTTCCCCACCGGACAGTCCTCCAATGGCGATTCCGGGGGTATCTCGCGCCACCATCTCAGCACAGCACTTCTTTCGTAGTTCCAAATCAAGACCTCCTTGGATAATGCAGAACAGATTTTGTGTTTCAGGATTTTTATGCGCTTCAATGCATCGGTCAAGCCACCGGACAGAGCGTTCCATGGCTTCCTCAATCCGCGCATGGTCGGGCGACGTCGTCGCAATCACATCGTCCAGCTGCATAATGATATCGGAGCCGATAGAGTTCTGTAGGGAGATTGAGTGTTCAGGTGTGAGTAGCCTATGGACATTAACCATCAGTGAGCCTTGTATTCTTCCAATTGTTTTTTTTGGGGGGGGGGGGGGACACATACATAGGAGTACCATCGTGTGGACTTAGAAACCGAACTCCTTCCTCTGTGACATTGGCCAGCTTAAGTAAAGAAACCATTTGGAATCTGGCCGAAATCAGCAGGCGATCATATTACAACACATTGAACGCGAAGCTCACCCGCCGCTGTCAGTCAGGATATTTCGATCCCATCCCTGCAATTTATGTGCTCCGCCCACCGTATCCAACACCGCCTGACCCGGCTTCAAGCCCAAGTGATATGTGTTATTTAGACACAGCATGCATCCCGTGTCTTTAAGCTGGTCATATGTAAGGCCCTTCAAGGACGCCTGCGTCGCAACCGGCATGAAGATCGGCAGAGGAACGGAGCCATGGGGGAGGTGAAGCGTACTGGCACGGGCTTTGGTGGTCTACCACTATCGTTAACAATAGCTTCGGAATAGTTGCCCAAGTATGACTTCTTAAAGACTCTCGACTCACTGAGCACTTGGAATGCAGGTCAAAGGTCAATGCAGAGGGCATTGCCTTTCGCGGCGGGGTAGATGTCGACATGGACTGTGCAAGCAAATGCGACGCTGCGTTTCGGAAATTATAAAATGGGTATGATAATCCTCGGCGCGGCCAAGAGTATATCATTAAGAACAACGTACAGCTCTATACATCTTCGGGCAGGAATTCCAACTTCCTCCTCGTCTGCTTTATCGATCGATAAATTCGCGATCTTGTTTGCATGGTTTGCATGGTTTGCACTGTTTCCTATTTGGGACGATTTGTATACTTTTCCATCGACAATTGGATTCTTTTACATCTTCTCCCCAGTAGAAATAATAGCATCCAGAGGGGGCAGTTATCTCGATTCCTTCATCTTGTAAGTTGGACTGAATGAATGATAATTGACTCGCTGACCCAATAACTTAGTATATAGTTATCCATGCCCCGCTCCAACGATTGCTGACTCGAAACTGGACCAGACAGAGGGAAATATAAGGCCTTGAAAATCAGAGAAGATGTTCGGGAAAGCCATGCTGTCTTTCGTCGAGGCGTACGGAGTAAAGTGTGCCTTTGAGCTGAAAACCTCGGTATTTGGTCAGACGAGCCCGATTGCACGGAACTGTCGATCACACCGTTCACCACCCATCGGCATGATTGTGGCTAGCTGGGTTGCAAGCAGGGGAGGATCAACATTGAGCGCAAGCTAAGCTATCGAGTAGGAAATTGGAAATTACTCTACCGACGCCAGAGCTTGACCGACTCTTGCCTCTTGCTCGTGGAAGCAAGCTCGGTTATTTAGCCAAACTTGGGGATCATGCAGGCAGGGGTAACTGACCCCGGCAACGCGTTCGTTTATAAACAGCGTAGGGTTATAATTCACTAGGGAGAACCAAAAAAATTCGCCGTTCTGTTTAGCTGCTCCTCGACACACCCTGTTATCATGGATAAACCGGAAATAGCCCAGTACGCCGTTGACCATGCGCCTGATGCAGAATTAACAATCGAGGTGAGCAAGTCAAGCTAGCCGGCAATTTAAGAAGATGATCTGAAAGAGAAATTTCCCCCGAAGCGCGATGCCAATGACCCGGCCCTGAGTGCGAGAGAGAAAGCTTTGATCTGGAAGCAAGATTTGCATATTGTCCCTCTTTGCGCAGTGATTTTCCTTCTCTGCTACCTGGATCGATCGAATATCGGTATGTTGGCAGCAATCGATTCGGGCATGACGCTTACGAAGAGCAGGAAATGCCAGGATTCTCAATGCAGAAAGTGGCCATGATCTTCTCACAGAGACGGGCATGTCTTCTTATCAGTATACGTATGTCGTCCCCCAACCTATTAGCTCGCTCAATACCAACATCGACAGAATCGCGTTGATGGTCTTCCTAATCGCCTATGCTCTTTTCGAAGTCCCTTCCAACTATTTTCTCAAGAAGCTGAGGCCCAGTGTGCGTTTCCTTTGCTATACTCCGCAATCAATTCTAACCCGCAAAACAGAGGTGGATTGCCTTTTTGATGCTTGCCTGGGGAGCTACCACGATGGGATTGGGCGCCGTCCACACCTACGCCCAGGTCACAGGGCTCCGTTTTCTTCTCGGAGGTTTGATTCCTGCCCTCCAATTCAAGTTCACCCATCTAATTCTCGTCTCTCAGTCATGGAGGCCGGTCTATTCCCCGGGCTAGTGTATTTGTTGACGTTCTGGTATCGAGCTTCCGAGCGCTCATTGCGGGTGGCTCTGATTTTAGCTTCGGCCACTCTCGCCGGCGCCTTTGGGGGTGCTATCGCCTACGCAGTCGGGCACATGGACCAAGTCCAGGGTCTCTCAGCATGGAGATGGTTATTTATTATAGAGGGCGCGCCATCCTGTGCCTCTGCTGTCCTAGTTTGGTTCATTCTCCCCGACTACCCGGAAACCGCCTCGTGGCTCTCGCCACAAGAAAAAGAACTCGCAGCACAGAGACTTGAAAGGGAGGGTTCCAAGGGCTCAGAAACAGCCATGACCTGGGAGGACGCCAAAGAGGTTCTCCTCGACTGGCGGTTATATGTACACTACATGGTCTGTTTTCGCGCACTCGACTTGGATACCACGATCTGCATCTAACCATAATTCCGAACGGGAAGCAGGTCTACTTCGGCATCTCGGCACCATTCGGTAGCCTCTCGCTCTTCACTCCGACCATCATCAACGGTCTAGGCTACACCAGCCTCAAAGCCCAGCTCATGACCATACCACCATGGGCAGTGGCCTACGTGGTTACGATAGCGGTAGCGTGGTCCGCAGACCACTTCAACAGGTATATATCCATAGCCCCCTCTGAAAAGAAACAACCCTCCAAATACAAGAAAGAAACGAAGAAAGAAAGAAAGCACCATTAACAACACAACCCATCCATGTAAAGCCGCGGTCTCCACTCCGCAATCCTCTCCTTCATCGGCGCAATGGGCTTCCTCTCCTCAGCTGTCCTCCCTGCAGACGCATATCTTGTACGTACCCTTTTTACCTCCCCGCCTTCCACAGTATAACGATAACAACAACTAACTAACCCCCCCCCCCCCCCCCCAACCCCAAAGCAACGCTACGGCTGCCTAATCGTCGCGACAAGCGGCGCCCTAGCCTGCATCCCGCCCCTTCTAGGCTGGCTCTCGTCCAACATGCGCTCCACACCCGGCACGGGACTCGCAATCGCCCTGAACGTCTCCTTCGGCGCCCCCGGGCAGATCGTCGGCGTGTGGATCTACAAATCCAACGAAGCCAAGAAGGGGTACCCAACAGGCCACTGGACGAACGCGGCGCTGCTCCTCTTTGTTTGTGTAGGATGTCTCCTCTTGCAGGAGTACTACAGATGGATGAACAGGCAGATGAAAGGGGGGGGAGCAAGGACGCGTGCGGAGAGATTTGCCTATTAATTTGTTAGTTAGCTGGTTGGTTGGTTAGGTCCCATCCTGTCTGCTCTGTATACGTGGTAGGATTGTGGGGGTTCAATAAGGCGTGTAGGTGTATCTGTATATGTCCATGTGACAGACAGACAGACAGAGAGAGAGAGAGAGAGCTAGTGAATTACTGGGAAGACCTGTCTTCCCAAAGGGGCCTAGTTTGTGGTTCAACAGAAATAAGGTTAAGCTCAGTCCGGGCTTGGGTTATGACATTTTGCGCCCTGACCTTTATATTTTCCTTGCCTATTCTTCCAATATTAATGAGACGACGGCCTGACAAGCACTTCAGGCAGGGAAGGTGATCCTGTGATGTACACTGCGGGATATATCATGGATACTGGACCCGGCCACTGGTTAATTGCATACATAGGTGCAGACAGACAGATACTCCTAGTAGTACCCCGGAAGTCATCCGACCCAACGCTAAGAAGTGTACAGAGAAGAACAAAGACTACAAGAACAAGAACAAGAACAAGAACGACCTGAACTTATACCCCAGTGGTTCACTAGATCCAGCATAGCTAATCCTGAAAACTCAAGATTGGATAGAATAAATCAGAATAGGATGCAGGAGGCTTGTATTGTCCTTGAGAGAACCATGACCCTAACCAACCAACCCATGCAACCTAATCAGCCCAATATCCTAGTTAGTTTCCCAATGGTGACCAAAAAGAAAGAATCAAAACCATTGACAATAAATAAATCAATAATAAATAATACCAGTACCAATAAGATGTGGGAGCAAAGAAAGAAGGGGGAAAAAAAAGAAAATCAGCCACCGAGATCACAGACTCGTCCAGGCTAGGTACATACAAGGAGTGAAAAACTTTTCTAGCGCTGCATCTCACTGCAGGAGGCCGCTTCTGTTTCGGCTCCAGTTGCCACTCGTCCAACCAACATGCCCCGAGGAGTCCAACAACTCCTCCTTTGGGTAGGAATGGCGCATAACATGACATGAAAATTTTGTACAGATGGGTTTAAGCCCCAGACACTTGCAGAAGAAAGAAAACCAAGAAGAAGAAAAAGAAGGAGAGAAGGAGAAGGAGAAGGAGGGGGCAAAGGCCCAAAGGGTTAGGTCTCATTCATACGTCATAATTATCTGTCGTCAAATTATCGTGCCGTAGGGTCCGTCATACAGGCTTGCCGGAGAGAAGATGATAGAAAGAAAGAGAAGATGAGGGAACAAAAAGCATCAAGGTAGCCAAAATCCATCCATCATTCGAAAAGCTCAAACTCGAAGTTAAATCCGAAGGTAATAAAAAAAAAAAAAAAAAAAGAGGATGGAGCAGGAAAATAATCATGTCCAGTTTCGACCAGCTGGACTTCGATTTTATCCAAGAAGGCTGTGTACCTATGCAATCCCACCCGTCTGTAACAAGTTGTTCCTGCACCAAAATGGAAAGCTAGAAATAATGTCGACAGCCGGAAATGTTGTACATGTCTGCGAGATCGGCATCAATCCGGAACGCGTCGCGCGTAACGGAAATGTGGGAAACAGGAATCCGTGACAGGCATGAATCCCCCAGGTCATAGAATTAAGAGGAGATAAAGGGAAAACAAGAATGAAAGAATGAAAGAAAAAGAGGGGGAAAAAAAAAAGAGAAAAAGGATCCCAAAAATACAGCACCCAAAGCGGGGGTTCCAGCACTGGCGAGGCTGTTTCACTAACGACGCTCAATATATCCTTGGAAAGGTTCCTGGCTGGAAGTTTGCCCTGACTGACCCTGGGGATCCAGAATCTTCAGTGCTACCTCGGCTGCGTCTTCTTTGGCGTTATCCACAAATCGACCATCATACCAGTATCGGGCAGCGTAAGTTCCTCGTCCAGTGACGGTGACGGTACAGGACCAAGCTGTACGACCTCCTATGATAAGAACAAGACAGTCAGCCTGTGATAGTTTTGAATGAGCAAGTATAAAAGTCGGTGAACGACAATCAGACTCCACTCTAGTCAACCGAGACGTTTTCAGAGTTTAACATCAGGCAGGCATTTTCTGTTCGGCTCCATTGCACTTTCAATTCCACCCCCAATTCCACTCCCACAGGGAAGCCAATTTGAGAGCTGATAATTTGAAAACAGCCTAGAGATGGCGCCAGAGGGGTAGAGCAAGAGAGCCATTGCAGACGAACGGAAACTGAGGTTTACCTCGACGGTCGGAGAATGTATTATAAGTAGGCGACTCAATGTTTGCCTTCCAGCAGTAATCTTTGGGAATTCGTATTAGTACATAGAAACGGTTGTATGGGGTCCATGAGATAAACGACGGTAGGGCCAAAACGGTCATTCATCACGGTGAATTCTCAAAAAACAAGAGGGAAGTGGGGGGCATACTGTCGAGCTTAAGTCGCCAGTCGTATTTGATGACAGATTGATCAGACATGTTGGGGAACGGAGGATTCTTTCGATATGGAAGGTTGAGCGGAGGTTGCTGTGTCTCGTCGAGCAAGAAGAAGAAGAAGAAGAAGAAGAATGATGATATGTCGATGTACGGGGGAAGAAATTCTTCTTTTCTATACCCCTTTGCAAGCGTCGAAGGACAAGATACCTGTGGCAATGGGGGTAGATGTGGATCGAAGGTAACCACGAGACCAATTGGCAAAATAGGAAGAGGATACAAAAAGTTCAAGTGAATAAACCAGGGAAGGAAACGTAGTTTGCGCCTTGTCTTGCTTGCTCTTAGTCTGAAATGGTTCGACCCTTTTTTTCACTCTTAAATCGAATGAAGACAATGGATATGGGGAACCAGCAGTCATATAAAACTGTGGGCCACTTCTCATAGCGGCTTGGTGCAAGCAAGACAGTTTTTTTTTTTTTTTTTTTTTGTTGGCATGACAAACACAGAACCTAATCATCAAAACCTAGCAGCCAGACTTATGCATGCTACTGTGGACATGGCACGGCGTCAACAAGTTCCCCCCTCCCTTATCCTCCAGTCAAGGAACGCCAGTGCATGGAGAACATGCGGATCATTTTGAGGCTGCAAGCTGGAACGGCCCGGCGCACGCCGACAAAGAGAATTGCCTTTGAAGAAACGCCAAAGACCAGGGAAAAGGGACACTAGTCTCCACACAGACCAGATCCATTGAGTTGACAATGTGGACGACAAGGGGAGTGACGCTGTTGTACAGGTAAAAAGTGACAATTCTGGTCAAGCTGGACGAATCCCGGCCTGGGAATTTCTATTTTAAATTGTTCGCATCACCATGGCTCGAGAACCACTTTTTTTTCTTTTGCTCTCTCCTATTACTTTTCCCTGTCCCGCGAAGAAGGTGCCATCAGGTATGAACAAGCCCCATCTGCCTCATGGACGCTCCTTTTCCTTTTTTCTGGTTGGCCAAAAAAAAAAAAAAAGGAATAAGTATCTTCTAGAGAAAATAATAATAATCGATAGTGGAGGGGACAAGAGGGGGATGGTCTAGTTGCCCAAAAGCGGAGAGTGGCCAGAAGAGTAGAAAAGCGACGAATAGAGACCAGAAGGCGGTTGATGTTTACCCATTGGGCCACTCAGAATACTCGGAGCGGGACCCTGGGCGACTATGCCAGCGCATCAAGACGATTAAATCATTAATATTCAATCTGGACCGAGAACAGTTCAAGTCCATCCGTTTCGTTCAGCCCTGGAATCCTCGGGCCGCTCTGCATGAACAATTGCTGCTGGAAAAGGCAGGATGCAGACTGGAAGCGACTAGGAGGCAAGAAAGGGACAGGAAAGCATGTCGTTGAGGTTGGCGATATGGCAGCTTCGCGGCAACAGGGGCGTCTCTGGCCTCCAGGGTTGAAGGTGAGAGCGACAGGCAGGGCAGAACCAACGGCTAGGACAAACGCTCCGTCTCCCCGAACCGAGCCAGCTCGTGCAAGGGAAGCATACTTCTGCAGGAGACACAAATTGCCAACGAAGAGGGAATGGATTCGAGTCTGATTTGACCCAATCTATTTCTGAGGGGCATCTGTCATGATTCGTCGCCCCTCTTGCGGTAGGTGTGTTGGCAAGGCCGCTGGGTTGTTGGGCATCCAAACCTGCATCCCTACATCTCCCTTATTAGTGTCCAGCATCCTCAGCGTGCGGACTGTTTCAAGCACGATGGTGGTGGGGGGGTAGAGGTGGATGAGGTGGATAACCACGACGAAAGAGGAAAGGGAGAGTGGAGGAGGAGGAGGGGAGGATTGATAGATGGGGGATTCTTTTGTTTTTAAGACGATAATCAAGTAGTACTCGGTAGGACTTAGTCGATACGATGAACCTGCATAAAAGGAGTCAGATTGATAAATCGACGCCAACGGGGAGGGGAAACGAACTGCGATGATGAATCTGCACAACTGCAGGTGATTCGACGCATTTGATTTGGAGGAAAAGACGAGCCTCGATCTGCCCCGCATCGGGTTCAGGACAAGCTTAATTGATATGTGCCCAGTAGGGGCAATCTTGTCGTTCTTCTTATTTTTATTTTATTTTATTTTATTTTTGATTTGAAATTTTTTTTAAATTCGATTCCATTCGATTTGATTCTCTGGATTTATTTATAAATTATGGTATATCCTGCAGGGAGGCCATGGGGAGTGCAGAGGGTGTGAGAAGATACTGATTATGACTGTGACTGTGATTTCATATGGGGCTTCCTTCTTTTCCCCTTCCTTCCTCTCCATCCTACCTAGCTAATCGAGAAACTGGTGCAAAGCAACTAGTCATTAGATCCGTGATATATGCATACATCTTAAGCCCATTTGCGCACATTAAACCACCTATACGCGCTGATCATAAGGCCTCCAAGAAACTCCCAGAAACGCTGGCAATATTGGGAGAATAAATAAAAACCAACCAAAAGAAAGATTAAAAAAAAGGTATAGAAAGGGAAAAGGAACAAATGGAAATCAAGCCGAGAGGCTGAAACAAATATCCAACCAGAATACATGCATGTACAAATTGACCCTGGTGTTGCTGTTACACATCACTGCAAGTCCTGTCAGGTCATTGGGCCTCAAGCGCCCGCCCAAAGGTAAAAAAAAAAAAAAAAAAAAATTGTACCTCCATCAATTCAAAATTTTATGAAGGAAGAAGAGAAAAGAAAAGAAAAAGAAAAAGAAAAAAATATGAACAAGGCACTGTCATAAGAACGGTCGTTAAGTCGAGACCTTCCGGCTGCGTCCTTCCCCGGTTGACTCGAGGAAGCTCTGGGGGAAATGGCTACACGTCATGCTGGCCAAAAAAAAAACTTGAAAGAGTCTCCAGTTCGGGGTCTGCTTCCTGGTCGTCTCTAGGATCGATGTAACACTTCATCAATCAGTCGTCTGGGACCTATTAACCCCATGCCTTTTGACAACGAAGATCGCATCGGGAGGATGAACTGGCAAGGCCCGGTTCGATGCCACCGGCGGCGAATGCAATCATCAACTAGTACCATCAATCCTGTGGCTATCATCACACTGCAAACGAATGAGTTTAGAGGCCGGCCAATATAGCGCGTATCAAAATGCAGGGCGGTGGAGGAGGACTTACTCTGCAACATCATGCATATTCTTGTACGCAGACGGATCACTTATCCACATGGAGGAAGGAGGGATCCAGCCCCCCTTGCTTTCTTCTTCGACGGCCTCTACCGGAGTTAGAATTTCGGGCACAATATGGGCGACCTGCTTCGATGTGCGCATGTTGACGAGGTGATAAGAGAATCCTCGTAAATCGCCCTCTTTCCGCCACTCCCGTCTCCATTGGTATTTGGTAGCCCAGTACTCATACTCGTATCGCTTCGTCATCCCGGTACCCCGACGCTTGAGCTCTACATGGGCGTAGTTGGAAAACTCGAGCACTATGCTCTCGGCCAGGGCAGTCGGTCGATAAATTGCCCCCTTGTCGCCAAGCACACCATCCGCAAAGAATTCAGCCTGGCCCTTAACTGCTTTGTACCCCGAGCCTTGTCGTTTGTGTAGTGGGCCTGAGAGGGACCCATGACCATTGGATCCTGGTCGCAAGCTGGCCAACACGCTAGACCACGAACTTTGGAATATTGGGTGTTTGTCAAAGTTCGATAATACAGGCCTTCTCTGCGAATGGCAGACCTCTCGCCCTGAATCCCGAGAATACCGACGGAAGGAGAACTTCCTGGTGAACAAGTCATACATGCGCAGGTGGAACAGGATTACATCTTGCTGGTAGCCCGCTCGGTGAGGAACCATGGTGTCCACCCTTAGGTTCATGTTCCCATCGAGAGTTGCATCGTCATGTCGAATAAGCAGTCTTCGACAAGAAGGGAATAATTTTGCGAACGTGGAGGAATTCGATGGGATTGCATCTGCTCGGAATCTGTCACGCTTTCGGTCCATTACCTCATACTGTGGTGTTTCTTCAGCTTCTTCGCTTGAAGGATCACTGGAGCCAAGGGTTGATGTCGAGTCTCTAAGATCATCCCCATCCTCACCTCCGTCATCATCATAATCATCATCCTCGTCGTCGTCTTCCTCGTCGTAGAGATTCATCCTCTCTTGTCTTTTCGAAGTGGGCCGGTCACTGTAGATCGTAGGGACCGTGCTTTTCGATCTGCCCGAAGTGTCGCTGTCAGTGGAGCTAGAGCTGGCCCCGTTCCTTGACGTCGCACCTCGACATGATGATGTACTGTACGACCCCATGGCGGCACGAGTTTGATAGGCAGGACTAGAAAACGGCCTGCGGCAATGCAACCGGAGGGCAAAGGTTGCAGGGTAATGTGTTTCGCGGGTTAAGGGTCTTTGCGGTCTAGGTGCCCGATATGGAGAGTCCTAATGGAGCATAAGAGGTGCTGCTAAGTGGGATGGTATTGCACAGAGGCTCGGAAAAAGAAAAGAAAGAGCAGTTGATAACCGAAGAAATATAGGCGATATGATATGTATTCAGATCACATTCCCCTTCATCCACTGTATAGAATCGGATGGTGGTGGTGATGTTGTTGTATACTAGGCGGTGGGTGATGAGTAGTAGGTTACCTGATGATCGCGCCCAGTGTTCCAGTGAATATTCGAGACGAAGATGAGGCGAGAAGGCAGGAAATTAAAAGGGAGATAATTTGGTCATAAGAGGATGATACAGCACAGAAAGGGGGAATGGAATGAAATAGGGCCATGAAAAAAAAAAAAAAAGGCGGTTAATTAAAAACAAACGACTACAGTATCTCGGGAGCTGGAAATCCTCTCGGGATGGAGGAGAATGTGAGGGGCCCAAGAACGTAGCAGATGACGGCAGGCCGGGAATCAGGAACGGTCGACACGAATAAGAGGGGAAGCCTAGAGAGATCCAGGGGATACAAGGGAGAGAGAAAGAGGGCGCAGGATGTTTACCGTGTCGGAGGGCAACGAAAGAGAATGTAGTAGAAATTACAGTTGTCAACAGCCAGACTCGGGAGGAGAGGAGCCACGTCGGTCGATGGATGACGAGTGACTTGTTGGCTGGGACTCGATCGAGATGGATTTTGGATTGATTTTACTATTAATATTCTTTATTTACGATTGATTACCTTTGGTTGGATGGAGAATTCGAAGGATTTTTCTATACTTGTATATGTAGGGTAACTAACTCCGTCCTTCAGGCTGCGAACTCTATTAGCTTTGAACCAGACTATAATTCATCATAGAATAAAATAATAAAGAAATAAATAAACAAAAAAAAAAAAAGAAAAGAAAAGAAAAGAAAAGGAAGAAAGAAAAAGAAAACTCAAAGAAAGTTAATACACACACATAGTTGACTGGAAAGGAATGATGACCTGTACATATCCACTAATTACAGTATATCGCCCCAAAAACATTTTTGTCCTGAATAATAATAATAGGAACTCCACCCTGGCATCAAGGTTCAAAAATCAATGCTGTAGATGATGCTATGGTGTGACCCTAATAGTACCAGTAGTACAGAGTACTGAACCACCAGCAGTATCATCATCATCCCACGCGCAGTATTATTACCTTCATGAAGAGAGAGGGCTTGGCCGGCGAACGACTCAGATGGATACGCTGCTCCCCTTTCTTTCGTCAATCTCCCATTCGTGCATAGCTCCGAACTCTGGGTTGCAACAATGGCGTTCCAGAACCTGCCTGGTCCTTTCTTGCCTAGTACTCTGGAGAAAACCAACCTGACTACTGGTTGCCCCAGGGAGGATACAATACATATCTCCCCGCGAGAGGCGAGCAAGCAAGTAACGGGCTATCTCGGAGCCCTGGGGTGCCAATCCAGCCACACGGGGTTGTTAGCGGCGTGGATGTCAGAAATTTAGCGCGGGGAAAGAAGAGAGACCGGTTACCAGTATGGTGTGTTGCATGATTTCTCTTCCGGATGCGTTAGCACGAGCGTGGGGATGGGGACCTGGCCTTGTTGAATTATCCAGGCATCTCTGGAGATGCATGAGGAGAGACAGCCAGACAGACAACATGATAGGAGTGCTTTACCTATATTGATGTGCCGAGGATGGCGCCGACGCCCACCCGCGCCCCCAAAGAGTGCGGGAAGATGTTCGATCGATGGATGCCGGGTTGATTGCCCACCGAGTAAGACTGACTGCAACTGGAGCATTAATCGGTCCGGACCGAAGCCCGACAGTTCAACTTTGAGTATACAGAATGAACACTGAATGAACAGCCCGGATCTCGTCTCGAGATCGATACCTGTGAGGGGAATTGGCTTGGCTGCCTTGCTTAGCCGACATTGGATTCTCATAGTTCGTACCAACTCTATTCCAGTTTGCCGGCCCACTGCCTACCCCTACAGATCGAAAAAGAGGGGGGGGGGAATAAGATTGATCAGTCAATATATCAATTAATAAGATCCTTACATTAACTACCTGCTTACTCTCTTGTTTACGAATCATTACGATATGAGACGTACTTATTGCGGAGGACCAGATTTTGCGATTCTGGGTTTCCAGGACATTGAATTTAATAATCCTATTGATCTTTCTCCCTCTAGTTCCCCTCGAGGTATTCATGCATCCCTCGATCATCCTGACTGGCCGTCGACTCCGGTGTTGTCTGAACACCCTTAGGGACTCCAAACCCGAACATAGAGTACTGGTACACAGACCAGGAAAGAACTCCACACGAATCTCCAGGTGCATTTTTTCCATCGAGCCCATTAATTGGGTAGTCATCGCCGAGGACACGCTGTGCGCCGGTCACCGGTCGCCGCGACTGTACCACCCACGGAGAACGGGGATGAAGGAACCCAGCTTGTCGTTGCTTGTTACCGCTATCTATTGACAATAAGGAATCGACTGATGGCTAGATATCGTAGACCTTGAAGACCAAGACCAAGTCTACCTAAGACTCAGGTAAGGATTGGGAGACCATCACATCAGTCTCTGCCATTCAAAAAAAAAATCCAGCAAAGAAGCTTGAAAATAGGTACTAGCGTGAGAATAACTAGCGGTTGCCTTGATTATACTGACCGTATTAAACCCTCCCTTCCAATTGTGTGCTCTGCACGGAGTACTTTCTAGTGCCAGGTACTACGTATCTATGTATCTGCGTAGGATATCACAATGGCGGTCTAACAACTCTGCAACCTACCTAATTGTACGTGGTACCTCAGGTATGATATGTGGTGAGCGAGCGAGCGAGCGAGTGAATGAATCAATCAAATGGTCTAATAGTGCGTCGAGATCAAAATCCTGAATCGCGACCCAGAAAAGAATCCGCTGCGCTGCGTAAAGTTCTATAATGATGTCAGGTCGGTATCCCTTGCAGGTCTTGACTTGTACCTTAGGTAGTTGCAGCTAGTTGCAAACTTGGTTGCATGCAGTTCTAACCCTTGGCGAGGGGCAAGATACCACCTATGACCGCAGGCGGGAAACGTTCATGTTGACAGTGGCTTCACTGGATACTAGAACTAAAACTTGAGCTCGAACGGGAACGGCACACCTCCACTCCGTAATTAGGGCAGTTTCGGTCTCTAGGATATGCGGGCATGAATTCACTATCTTACAAGTGTATATCCTCTTTGTTGTTAGAGAGACAGGAGAGGAGCATGGAATCGCAATCTAATCTGGAAATCATGACTCTCCCGTCGCCCACCAAAGTCTCTACGTTTTAACCCAGCTTTCTATGTTCCAAGTCATATGCAGGTGTTGCGGCGTTGTCTTTGGAGAATACTAGACCCTCTCGTGCAGCTTATACTTGCGACCAGAGGGGGTTGGGAAGTTCTTCACCGGGCTGGAACATCGCTTCTTGCCGGCAAGTTACGGGAAGATGCGATAGTAAGCCAGCGCCGGGTCTAGGAGCTGGGGGGTAGAACCCAACGTATGCCTCGCGTCGAGCAGGTTCTCCCACCGTGACTGACCATGTATGGAGCCCATAATAAGATGCTATCGAGTGTACCAACCAGCGACTATGTTGAGAATAACTGGTCAGCTCAAGTTCGCGGATTTGTTAGAAAGAAGAATCCCTCACCCAAATCCAGCACCGCGGTCGTCAACGAGACTCTCGAACACCATTTTCTCCCCGTCGTGTTCATTGTGAGAACGCATGGCCTCGCGCATAGCCTGCAGATTGGCCTTACGATCGGGCGAGTCATGCGTCTGCCCGTTTCTACCCACGAATACCACTTCATCCTCGGAATCCTCGTCGCATGAAGATGGCGCATCTGCGAGGCCATCCTTGGCACGAAGAAGCTGCTTCTCATTCCATCTCTGGATAAACTGACGGATGTCCTCTTCGATATCCTGAAGCATACCGCGCGCAGCACGAGCATGCTTCAGCTTCAAACGCAGCTCCTTGGGAATGCGATGCTTCTCAACCTTGGCACCGTCTGCAGCCTGTCTGGACGAACATCGATCCACATGTGCATAATGAGCATCCCACAGGGGAGCGAGATAGTAAGGCATGGGCTCGTGGCGGGTGTGCGTTGGCTGCGGAAGCCAGTCCTTGGGAGACGGGGCTTCCGCCCAGGGATTATGCAGGAGACGATCTTTGATAAAGCAAAGCCTGTCAGCTCTTCTGTATCCGCAGAAAAGGCAGTTATACACATCAAGCCCGAGAAATAGCAGCCTAGGAAAATACCCTAGTTGCGTATCCTCGACCGATCAAGACGTACCATTCTCCCAGCGTTGTCTGCGACGACTGCCATCCTTTCCCTTGAGCAGAGCCTCGCGTCTTTTGAGACTGTCACGGCGAAGTGGTTCCCGCCGTCGGAAAGCCACATTCGGTACCTGTCTTGTATCTTTTACGGGCTGACCTAAGAGCTTGACCCTTGGGGTAGAGTCCAGGTCCGTAACGGGAAGAGGGTCGTCTAGAGGAATGGACAAAGCGACAGAAGCCCCGCGTAGGGCTGTGCGTGTGGTGGTCGACTGTGCAACGCCACCTGTAGGAATTGACTCCGTGAGAGTCAGATTCTCCAAAGACGCAGCGGCTTGTTCCGTCCAAGCTGAGATTAGCCGGGTCTGTTGAGACGACAGGTTACCCCTGGCATCGGCTTGAGATGGGAAACTCGGATGAATCGCCATATCGATATATGCAGCGCGAGTATGCTTCGAACTTGGGCGGAACTTGAGACGGCTAGGGATTGCTCGAGGCTCGAGGAGGGTGGCAAATTGCGCAACTTGCGTGACAAAAATCGACTCTTTAGTTTTTTTTTTTGAGGAGTAGGAGGTCTTAAAGACGACAAGAAGCGGGGGGGGGGGGGGAGATAAGAGATGGGATCCTGTCTGTACTCCGTACAATGTACATTGGCCTTGTCGCGTTCGGCGATCATGCGCCCGTCCGTTCTCCTCCGCCGCGTTATTGTACCAGGAACCCGGACGCGATTTTCAGTTGATCCACTCATTGACTCACAATGGAGTCACGGGTCAAAGTATGAATGTTTATTGGCCAGTGTTCAGGATTAGCCCTAGCCCGCATTTCCTAAAACAGTCATGGGTTCCAATTATGACTCGACCATTCATTCAATCATTGTGATGCTGCATGGCGATTCAAATCCAGTCTGGGACTTTGTCCGGAGCAGGAACGGAGAGATGGAAAAAAACGAGCCCTGGGGGCACGTAAAGCCTCCCCTTCTACTCCCTATACCGTGCTATGTTCAGGTGGCCTATCTACCATCTGCTACCTGAGTGGTTGATGTCATAGCTGAAGATGCCCCAGGACTCTACCCTGTAGTTTATTTAGGTTATTCCTGAAGGTAGGAGGACCCTTTCTTTGCTCGCAGCTATGTCGAGGTACTGCGCGGTTAAGAAATTACTGTATGCTCCCCCAGTTTCCTTTCTAACTCGATTTACTCTCTAGATTCTCCAAGCAATACATAGTTCGTAGATATACGGCAGGGTAAGAGCTGTGTAGGATCCAACCAATATGATCAATCTCTCAACGCATGCCTCGCATTTCCTTGGGGAAATAGTATCATTTTCGGATATTGCGGATGTAAGCCCTCATTCTACCTCAAGATTCAATCTACAAATAACCTTATACCATCCATCGTATTTGAGATTTACTTGCTCCGGAATAAACTGGGAAAGGTATGCTCCCTCACTCTACGGAGTACATTATGAGGGAATGCTTTCTGAGAGTCGTGTTAGTACATACTAGTCCCAGAATACACTGCCCTAGTGTCAAGACCCAATTCTAGGCCTCGTGGAGACGAAAACCATCCAAGGAGATAGATTAGCAGAGTACGGAGTAGTTATGTTCGAAAATAACTGGGTTGGTCTTTGAGGAGCTTTGGCGTTAAAAACTAGACTAATAAAGAAGAAGAGCATCCGCCTATGGTGTACTCTGTAGAGAGAATATTTGAACCTTCTAGGAAATAGTCTTCCTTTCCAACTCAATGTTAGCGACTTTATCAGTAAATTATCTGGCAGCCTGAATGATGTGTTGGTCATGAAGCCTGCACGACTTGGCTTCATGTTAGGGACTCGGCCACTCGACAGCTTCGACGGGCCAAATCATGAAGTCTAGCCCCCAGTAATTGTTGGACCTTGCGGAAGAGCAACGACAAGAGAGTCTTGCAATAGGAGATAAACCAGGATAATTTAATAAAGGGGGGGAAACAAAGAAGCGATTGGCATTTCCTCGAGCACGGATTTCTTGGCCAAAACATAGATAGGTCAGGGGTACCTGCCCATTGTTAAAAAATCTAGTACAGTTGAATCTCGAGGAGTCGCTACCTAATTGATACATTGTACCAGAGTACGTCGGGAGTACATCCAATTTAAATCGGACATGAGACCCTAGAAATATTCAGCCCAATGCTTGATTGAGTATCGTAATAATAAGAAGAAGGGATGTGTGATTGTAACCGTGTTGTGGATGTCAAGACCCAGAGAGTCCAGACCTGGAGAATCCCCACCAGGTACCCGCTCGCTGTTCCTCCAGGCGACATTGAGCATTCCACTGGCGGTAATTTGATCATCATTGAATCATAGATGATGAGCCTGGGCTGCTGGAGTCTGGAGAAAGTTGCAAGTGGAATCGAACAAGAGCATTAATAGTCGAAGGGATGATGATGGATCCAGGCGATACGCGGGGGAACCTGCTAGTCCCTTTGGGGCTGTTGGGAGTGTGACCCGTCTTGGTCTTACATATCATTGAACGCCCTGCTCTTATTTAAACCCCCGCCCCGAGCGCATTTGTGACACAGCACACTCAATTCTTATGACGAGTTGCTGCATTACCACTCCCAGATCTGCTCTGTTATTATTATTGTTCCCATATTAAAGGGGATTATTATCTGCTAGGCCGATTTTCGACGGCTGAAAGACCGTCGGTCGGTAACTGTCGCCCCAGGTGATTCCTCGGTCCCTCGCCTGACCGCACCAGACCCCCCCAATCATCCGAACGACAGCACCCTTGTTGGTTCCGAAGACTGTCGATTATCTATCAAACTATTATTACCTTCATGTTTATATCCGTATAGCGATCTTTACACAGCCATAGGTCTTATATTATCGCCATGAAGATCTCGAAAGCTCTTGCGCTTAGCGCAACGGCTTCCACCGGAGTGTGGGCCTATGCTATCCCGCAACAGGACGTGATGAGGAATCCGCATATCCATCACGAGCAGGAAAAGTTCTTAATTGAGCTGGCACCTTATGAGACACGATGGGTTACGGAAGAAGAGAAATGGGCTTTGAAATTGGTACCTTCCTATCACCCGATCCGCCTGGAGACTTGCACAGAGATCATAGGTTGCTAACAACTGGTTAAGGATGGCGTGAATTTCATCGATGTTACGGAGGAGCGAAACACCGGCTTTTATCCAACCCTGAACGCCGGTAGCTATGTTCATTATCCCCATCAGATGCAGCATAAGGGCGATGTGCTATCGCTCATTCAAGGGCTCGAGAAGAAGAACATGGAGGACCACTTGGAGGTGTTCACTTCTTTTCATACTCGGTACTATAAATCAAAGACCGGCATTGAGTCAGCAACATGGCTGTTCAAGCAGGTTCAGGACGTTATCACGCAGTCAGAGGCAGCGGACTATGGCGCTACTGTCGAGGAGTTTTCTCACCCGTGGGGACAATTCAGTATAATTGCTCGAATTCCCGGTCAATCCAACAAGACAGTTGTTTTGGGTGCTCATCAGGATAGCATCAACCTCTTTCTTCCCTCTATCCTGGCTGCTCCCGGTGCTGATGACGATGGAAGTGGGACTGTCACTATCCTTGAGGCTTTGCGTGGTCTGCTGCAGTCAGAAACCATTGCCCACGGAGAGGCAGCAAATACCATCGAATTCCATTGGTATTCGGCTGAGGAAGGCGGCATGCTTGGCTCCCAGGCTGTCTTTTCACAGTATAAGAAAGACAAACGGGATATCAAGGCTATGATCCAGCAAGACATGACAGGTTACACTCAGGGTTCCCTTGATGCTGGCCTTGAGGAAGCAATTGGAGTCATGACCGACTACGTGGACGCAGAACTTACAACATTCGTCAAAGATATTATTACCACGGTGCGTTAAAGCAGTAATCATTAGCTCCAAGCTATTACTAACGATTGCCATCATAGTATTGCGATATACCATATGTTGATACCCGATGCGGCTACGCTTGCTCTGACCACACCTCTGCGAGCAAATATGGATACCCAGCGGCCATGGCCACAGAGTCCAAGATGGAGAACAGCAACAAGCATATCCACACCACTGATGACACCATCAAGTACCTGAGCTTCGATCACATGCTAGAGCATGCAAAGCTCACACTTGGCTTTGCTTATGAACTAGCCTTTGCTCCATTTTGATGTTCTAATGCCCCAATGTTGAATTAACGACTGCAGCCGTGGCTGAGATGCCTTGATGTACTTTATGATACATGGAGACCTGTGGTATTTTTTAATGTGTGAACAATTGGCGTAGCCGGTTTTTGTTCCTCCACCGGAACTCATACTCTTGAATAGGATTTAGAATGAACACCCCATAGCCTCTTCCCAAGTTTAACAACTTTCTTTTCAGCATTTGTAATTTAGTTAGCCGACGATAGATATAAAGATCAGGAAATACCTGGAGTAGATAGATAAATCACGTGTATCGCTAATTAGGCTAGTTGGGGGCCGGCCTGGAGAGGAGTCTGACTGAACCCGTCTCTTTGGGTGACGAAACGGTGGCGCCTTGATGAAACACCTACCACTAAAGTTCCAACTAAACATGAAATTGTCCTCCTAATGTCCTCCCGAGTGGCCCTCTGGCTCTATTGGTTGTCAATGTGATGAATCTGCCATGTCGTGGAGCCGAGTCCCGCCAGAGGTGTTTGAGTCTATCCTTCTGTATTTGGACCTGCAAAGCCTGCAAAACCTCCGCCTGGTAAACACGTCCTTTAGCATCCGGTGTATAGGACCTCGCTTCCAGAGCTTCTTTAAAAATGTGAAGACGGATTTGACAAAGTCCAGCCTCGAATGCCTCTCTGCAAAAGCATCACATCCCACAGTAAAGCACTGGGCCAAACACTTGACTATTGTTGCAACTATATACGATCAGTGCGAAGTCAAGGAGGCATTGGCAAACAGCCAAAGCAGACTCGAAATTGAAGATACAGAAGAAATTCTCAGAGAGATTTCCTCTATCCAAACTAAACTGCTTGAACTCCATGAACAGGAGACAAGTCGTGATGCACTACCAGATGAGTTTATCATAAACCACCTGGTGTTGGCATTGAAGGGCTTTAAAAGTCTGTCCAGTATCAAACTAGACGCGTTCGTTATAGATGGCTCTGGCAAAACCCTGCCTACCACAAAGGGACCATGGCAATCTGTATGGAAGCGAGCGTCGCATGTGCATTACCTCGCCATGTCAGCTATCTTGGAGAGTGATGCTGCAATTGAGAGCTTAGATGTCTTTAGTCAGGCTCCGCGTTGCAGCATCCCTTCCGCAGATATTACAGCCCTTCTCTCCAAATTCGATCCAAATGACTTTAAGACTATTGGTGCTTCACTCAAGAGTATCGCCCTCAGCATCTCCACTCGGGTGGAAACTGAGCTTCAAAAAACAGTATCGTTTCCCTATTATCGACCTCCTGGTTTCCACGGACTCTTAGATGCAAGTGATCCTCCAGCACTATCTCACGATAATTACCCCGGTGTTGCTCGGTTTCTGCAGAACAGCCCTAATCTAAGCACGCTATATCTACATCTATATCGCACTGTAACTGGGAATATTCAAGCATACGACCAGCTTTTCACCACCATCACCCTCACTGCCAACCTCCCCAAATTGGAAGTGTGCTCCTTATCGGGACTGTATGTGACGGACAAGGCCATGCTCAAATTTCTCCAAGACAGTTCGCTTCTTCGCCATCTCGAATTAGACGAGATAGAACTCACATCTGGACTATGGGAGCCTATCTTCAACTATCTCAGCGGGATGAGTGCCCTGGCATATCTCCGTCTCTCCAGCCTCCGGAGGGAAAAGAGGATCGTAAATCTTCAGCCAGTCTGGGGTGATTGGCCACTTTCGTCGGTAGCCTTTGCCCAAAGAGCGTTGCCAGTTAAGGGACCGATGGTGCATACCAGCGAGTTTAATGCAGAGGACCTGGAACGGGGTCTGACGTTTCTCCCTACACCGCACTCTCGTCTGATCGGCTCCACGCAACTCACGAGGTGGAGAAGACGACGACGAAGAGAATATGGAACTCCATAAGATTTTTTTCCCATAAGTTGTTGCCATGGTGTTTTCATATCATGTCAATCTAGAGTACCGCTCGTAGGACTTATTTTTGGTTGGCTTGTTTGTTGACTATCTGGGACATCTAGAATACTGACATATGTGCTGCTGTTATACTAGCACGTACTTCTACCTACTTTCACCCCCAGTTTTGTCTTTGAATGCTGGCATACTGCGGTATTTGTGGGAGAGATTTTCTATGGGTTATATACTTGGGCGCGGCTGTCCCTTGTATGTATAGGTGTGAATAATATATATCAGGAAACACTTTGCATTAGTAGAAATACTAGGTCAACAATACCTGTGAAATACAGCATCTTTAATCCTTTTATTCAGTTCCCCATGATATGAGGGATTACTCTAGTATACAAACAGCAACCAGTGGGGGTAAATAATAGGTATGTGGCGCAATGATCCACGCCTTGTCTTGGCGCAGGAGCATTTCACTCCGGAGAAGATTGGAGTCATAAGTTTTGCCTCGCCTCCTAAAGTTTCTGATTAATTACTCTCCTATTGAAGCAGCAAATCAACTTGACATTTACCTTTCTTTTGCTTGTTAATTCATCTACAGTCTTTTCTGCGTGTATTTTAATTGCTGGGAGATATTGCCTGTCCCCGTGCCTGACCAATTGGAGCTTGCGTTCTAAACGTGCTACGGTGTCCAAGCTGCATCCAAAAATTGTTGGAATAAAAAAATATACCTCATTTAAGATGGACCCTACCCATCCATATGCCAAAGAACTTGAACTAGCATGTTTAACGGTTCAGAGAGCGGCACTCCTCACGAAAAAGCTCCTTGCGGCCGTCGACAAGGGATCGTTTGACAAAAGCGATGACACCCCAGTGACAATTGCTGATTTTGCTGCTCAATCTCTGATCATTGCTGCTGTTCACCACATCTTCCCTGAAGATGATATCGTGGGCGAGGAAGATGCAAAAGCCCTGCGAGCGGAGCCCGATCTTTGTGAAAGAACCTGGGAGTTAGTTTCCTCTACCCGTCTTGAAGATGAGGAGAGTGAAGCTTTGCTTTATGCGCCTAAAACGAAAGACGAGATGCTTGAGTTGATTGATCTTGGGGCTCAGGGTAGCTGCAAACCGACCGGTCGTTCATGGGTTTTGGATCCAGTGGATGGCACGGCAACCTTTATCCGGGGTCAGCAATACGCCGTTTGTCTAGCACTTGTGGAAGACGGACAGCAAAAGATCGGTGTTATAGGCTGCCCCAACCTCAACCTAGAAACGGGCCGCATCCACGAGGATATAGCGGATCGAACCGGGTATGGTTATCAGGTGTTTGCCGTTGCCGGTCAGGGTGCATGGATTCGGAAAATGGGCACCGGAGCTCTGCTGCCTGCTCGCAAAATCGAGCCTAAGAAGCAGATCACAGACCCCAAGGAAATTGATTTTGTCGACTGTGTTGCAGCCACATCGTCCGATTACGCTATGCATGGGCGCCTTGCATCCCATTTAGGGGCATCCTGGCCGCCCCCAACTAGTCTCTGGTCGGCGCAACTGCGATATATTGCCATCGCCGTCGGAGGGTGTAATGTGCTCATTAAGATCCCGCGCAAGGCTTCTTATCGCTCCAAGATTTGGGACCATGCAGGCGGTATGCTGATCGCCCAGGAGCTGGGATGTGTTGTCAGCGATTTGGAGGGTAATCCGGTCGACTGCAGCCTAGGGAGAACACTCGCGGGGTGCCATGGAATGATAATTGCCCCTGCTTCCATCCACCGCAGGCTTGTTGAGGCTGTGAAACAAATCCTGTGAGACAGTGGCAAGTCTAGAGTCAGACATATGTGGAAGCTGGTTACCGTTTTATTTCTTGTTTTGAGATTCCCATTGGCGAGAGGAAGATTGGCATGCGCAGACCCGCGGGGAAGAAAATCTTGGGCCCAGCTGTTTCTTTTGCTTTGGTTTAAGCTGCAAGATGATGCTTTCCCTTTATGTACTTGTCAGTTCCCGAACCCTATGGAGCTTTGATACTTTGTTTCCATTCAGCCTGCGCACCTGGCAGAGTAGATCGACACAGGCGTGGATAGAAGTCATTTCAAGCCTTGGTCTGGTAGAATTAGAAAAAGCGGAATCCCAGACACATACCATCCCGGAAGCGCTGTGGCGGATCAGTTTGTGAACCAGTGAGGATGGTAAGATGATGTTGCCAGGAGATCATAGTAAGAAATGCGGGGGTGATGTTGGAAATCTCGCATTATAAAAATAGAAGAGTGTCCAGAGAAGAACATTCAATTATACTTCATTTTTCTCTTTCTCCCCCTCCCTGAGAAATCTTTCTTTTACTCTGCCCTGTCAGACGATTGGTTGTATCACTGTATTCCAGCTATTTTCATCATGAGTCCCCCGTAAGTTCCCATCTTCGAACAGTTCCTCCCTCCGCCACATTACTGCATTTAGTGTAAACCCAATCGTGACTGGTATCTACTGGTATCTACTCTCTTTTAATTCTTATCATTATGGAGGATCGCCAATATATATCCATGGATCAGTTGGGCTCGGAAGGCTACCATGGAACGAGTAATGTGGTTGATTCGATCAGTTTGGATTTCCGCTGAGCTCTCCACTCAGTTATGTTATAGTGCCTGGTAAAAGAAAATTGAAATTAATTCATGACTGGTTAAGCAAAATGCAAGGAACAGATCAATCAGTCGCCCCGCTGCTCCTACTAATACCTGTTGCCCTGGTGACAACCCGCCGTCTCCGCGCAAGCTGCATGGTGATGATTAGCTGCAATTGTTCCAGGCACCAGTAATGAAGGTAAACTATCAAAGAGCAGAGGAAGGCTAAGGCAAATTTACTCCATCCAATTTCCTTCTGTCTTTGTTCCTCCTGCCAACCCACATCGTTGCTCGTGGTCTTTTGTTTATGGGTGGCCACTGGATTTCCATACAAGAATCACTCCCCGCGTCAATTCCTGGCTGTCGGCAATCCGTACTCTCTAAATTCTGGACACCCTGCTGCCCATTCTTGCTGGTCGCCTAGAATCCATCTTTGTTTACTCGTTTCCTTCTAGGGTGCGCTTATTTGTGTCCTGACGGTAAGTCACATTCTTTTCCTTCCTACCTTCAGCAGGACAACGGCCCAGCAACGGAACTAACACATTCCCCGCGAAATTTAGGCTGAACTCCTGTAGGTTGAGATTGTCTCAGTCTCGCCGGAAAGCGACAGAAATTACCGAACATCCACGGGAACACCTTCGTCAGATAGCATGACCGCTTGAGTTCTGTAGACAAACTATCGTCATGAGGCCTACACCCTCACGCATACAGCCGCCGCCAGCGAACTACGAGGAGGAGCCGCCAGCTTATAGCTCATACTTTTCTGACCACGAAGAATCTCCGATGGTGATGGGACTCCGTCGTAATGGAACCACTATGCGCTTGCTTCCAACGAGCTCGCAGGTGGAGGAAGAGAGGAATGCTGAAGCAGGAGCTTCCTCGATGTATGATGAATATGGAGATTCCTTTAGCGACACTAATAGGTACGTGGAATTTGTTTATCTGGGTTACCTTCACTTCCTTGGATACGGCATGCCGATGATTTCATCTGGTATCTTGCCCTATACCCCGGTTACGATACCTCATGTGGGCCTGTCACACCACGTCAAGCTGCGCTTGAAAGCGTTTGAAGTGTCTTGGTCATATTAGCAATATTGTTGAGGATTCGGGGGCGGGACTCCGGTTTGCCCTATAGACCTAACATCCCCAAGTCTATTTCCCTTGTTGCCTTGTTTGTTCTTGCTCTTCTGTGTCACAAATAAGAAAAAAAAAAAAAATTCATTGCACAAGAACTGGGAGCTTCTGATAAGATTGTGGTTTTGAATCCGGAAAATGTCTTATCACAGAAGAAGACCTCGAGCTAATGGCAATGTTCGGTGTGGCAGGGCGGACAACAGATATGAAAATAGCTATTATGAATATGAGGAGGAAGAGACGCCTTCACGCCCAGCATCAAGCATGAGAAATGTACCGACCATCCCTCAGCCTGCAGCATCAGCTGTGAATGATATGCACTTTTCTTCTCGGCCAGCTTCCCCGACAAGATCTTGGTCCCCCACTCGTGGCCCTGACTGGGCCAAACCGCCCGCTCCCCCATCTGTTGCAAGTTCACAATATGAACGCGCAGATCTCAATGGCAGTCCACGACCAGGTACCCCGAGTTCACGATACGGAGGCAGCCCAAGGCGGCCTCTTCCACCAGCCCCATTGTTCTCGCGCCCGGCAGGCTCTAGCGTTCAAGATACAAGCATCGATATAGGCGACGCGGACGATGTATTCGGCGGTGGAGGCCGAACAATGCATTCCAGACATGACACACAAGGCAGCATTAGATCTTTCACGACCGAATCGACATTTATTACTGATGAGAAGGAGATGGAAAAGGTTCATTTGGACGAAGAGTATGATGAAACCAACAGCATGGTTGATCCCAACCTACACTACGGTCCAGCTCCAGAGAAACAAAACCGACGGGGAGTTCGAGACGCACAAATGTCTAAAAAGGAAGTTCAACTGATTAATGGAGAACTGATTCTGGAGTGTAAGATTCCCACAATCTTGCACAGTTTCCTGCCTCGTCGGGATGATCGAGAGTTCACCCATATGCGATACACTGCTGTGACGTGCGATCCAGATGACTTCACGCAGAGGGGCTATAAGCTGCGTCAGCAGATTGGCCGAACAATGCGTGAAACCGAACTATTCATCTGCGTAACGATGTACAATGAGGATGAAATCCACTTCACCCGTACCATGCACGGTGTCATGCGGAACATTAGCCATTTCTGTTCTCGTTCCAAGTCTCGGACCTGGGGTAAAGACGGATGGAAGAAGATCGTGGTTTGCATTATTGCCGACGGCCGTAAGAAGGTCCATCCAAGAACTCTCAACGCGCTGGCAGCCTTGGGCGTCTACCAGGAGGGAATTGCAAAGAATATTGTCAACCAAAAGCATGTAAATGCCCACGTTTATGAATATACCACCCAAGTGTCACTTGATTCCGACCTCAAGTTCAAGGGAGCTGAGAAAGGAATCGTGCCCTGCCAAGTTATTTTCTGTCTGAAAGAACATAACCAAAAGAAGCTTAATTCACACCGTTGGTTCTTTAATGCCTTTGGTCGGGCTCTCCAACCGAATATTTGCATTTTACTGGACGTTGGTACTAAACCTGATCCAACCGCGCTGTACCATCTGTGGAAAGCGTTTGATCAAGATTCCAACGTTGCAGGCGCTGCAGGCGAAATCAAGGCTAGTAAAGGAAAGGGAATGCTCGGTCTTTTGAATCCTTTGGTTGCAAGTCAGAACTTCGAATACAAAATGTCCAACATTCTCGACAAGCCGTTGGAGTCGGTTTTCGGTTACATTACCGTGCTTCCAGGCGCACTTAGTGCATACCGATTTTTCGCTCTGCAGAACGATGCAGAAGGCAACGGACCTTTGAATCAGTACTTCAAGGGCGAAACGCTCCATGGCAAAGATGCGGATGTTTTCACAGCCAACATGTACCTGGCAGAGGATCGTATCCTGTGTTGGGAACTGGTAGCGAAGAGAGAAGAGAGATGGGTTTTGCGATTCGTCAAGAGTGCTGTTGGAGAAACTGATGTTCCTGGTACGCGCTTGCTCCGCAGGTGGACTGTAGAAAAGAAATTGTGCTAATGCGGTGCCTAGATTCTATTCCTGAATTCATTTCCCAGCGCCGGCGATGGCTGAATGGTGCGTTCTTTGCGGCCGTTTATTCCATCGTCAATGGCAAGCAACTGTGGAAAACCGATCATTCGCTGCCGCGCAAGATTCTCCTCCAGATTGAGTCGGTTTATCAGTTTATGCAGTTGCTATTTACTTATTTTGGCTTGGTATGTTGTTACCCTTTTGTTTTCCGGAAAATAGCTAATGAATCCGATAGGCGAACTTCTATCTGGCGTTTTACTTTATTGCTGGCTCACTTTCCGATGAAAGGATTGATCCTTTCGGTCATCATATGGGCAAGTACATATTCATTGTGCTGAGATATGCCTGTGTTTTGGTCATGTGTCTTCAATTCATTTTCTCGATGGGTAATCGACCGCAAGGGTAAGCTTTATTTTTACGCTTTGTTTTTGGTGCTTCGGGGACTGTGCTAACGACTCTTCAGAGCCAAAAAACTGTACCTTTCTAGCATGATTGTGTATAGCATCATCATGATATACACGTCATTCTGCACCTTGTATTTGATTGTTCTCGAGCTCATGGCTAAAACAGGCCATGAATCTGGAGATAGTGCCAAATTGACCGTAACCAACGGGCTCTTCGTGAATATCGTGGTTGCTATGCTTTCCACCGTCGGACTCTACTTCTTCACCTCGTTCCTCTACCTCGACCCATGGCATATGTTCACGTCATCTGCCCAATATTTTGCGCTCTTACCCAGTTACATCTGCACTCTGCAAGTCTACGCGTTCTGTAACACCCACGACGTGACATGGGGAACGAAAGGCGATAACGTGATCAACAACGATCTGGGAGCCGCGCGCATCATCAACGGCTCGATTGTCGAAGTCGAAATGCCCTCAGAGCAGCTCGACATTGATAGTGGCTACGATGCTGCACTCCGCAACCTCCGGGATCGCCTTGAAGTCCCTGAGCCCCCCATTTCCGAAAACCAGCAGCAGGAAGACTACTATCGCGCTGTGAGAACATACATGGTCTCCGTCTGGATGGTTGCCAACCTCATTCTCGCCATGGCCGTGTCTGAGGTCTACGGCGTCGACTCAAATAGTACCAACATCTACCTAGCTATTGTGCTGTGGTCTGTCGCTGGGCTCGCCTTTATTCGCGCCGTTGGCTCAACTACCTACGCGATTCTGTATGTGATCCAGAAGATCGTCGAGGGCAAGACCAAATTCGACGCTGGAAATCTCGCCCACGCAAATGATCGCGCTGCTGCTAGCGCCATGGGCACGAATTCGACCTTGTCGTACGGTAGCAAAGGCTTGAATATGACGGATAAATTGCATGAGGCGAAATGGTCTATGCAGAGGAATTTCCAAAGAGCCATGTTCTGGAAGAAGTGACGACCTCTTTTTTTTTCATTTTCTCGCTTCTTTTTGTGTATGCCCTTTGTATTCCCCCTTTTTTGTGTTGAATGTCTTGCTTTTAGTTACCCTCCCCGCGCCTTTTTTTTCTTCTTCTTTATGATGCAAATATTGCCATGATATGATTGATGGATGGATGGATGGAATGGAATGGAATGCAATGGATTATTAATGGACAAATGTATTTATTTATTTATGGACAGATATGTAGCAATGCTCATGAATTACTGATACTAATGGATTGACTGGGGTTGATGATGGATCTACTCCGTATATCCATCTTATGCATTTGTAGATATTGTACTCAAATTAGGAACTGTCCAGCAGCGGCCGCTACGGGAACATCGTATTTCCGGCGGTTAACTAAAGGCCTACTATCAAATGACTAAGCTCATTTTGAACCATACGGCAAGTCAAAGCATCCAACTACGCAGCAAGAAAATACTCTCCGCCACCATAAGCGAGTATCTTCTCAACCTCGCATCAAATCATCACTACGGTTTCCACCTCAAATCAACCACCCCTCCTCTTCCTCTTCGGTTCTCTATGCCCTTTGTTATTCATATTCATATATTGCCCGACCCTTTTTGGCCTGTAGAACCGATCCTTCGACCGTTTTCTCTGTCCTGACCACCCGTAGCTTTCTCTCAGACCGCGTCTCCCAATCACCTCAACTACCTGCTCTCCGTCCCCTCTTTCTTTTCTTTTCCGCTATTTCTTTTTCTTTCAATCTTCACGTTCTTATCAGCTTAGTCTTAATTCAAAATGAGTTCTGGAATACCACCCTGGCGCGTTACCGCGTCAGCAACTGCCACTGCTCCTGTATACCAAAATCATGGCAAGACCCCCTTTTTTCTACAAACATGAAGCAAGTTGGTGCTAACTCCAATACCAGCCACTCCAGCGTATATACCAGTTCAAGCACGACGTAGCCTTGCACAGCCAACACCAGCAAGCTCCACCCCAGCCTCTACATCCGCTTCATCGCAGCCAGCACCAGCACCAGAACCAGATAGCTCAGCACCTCGCAAACGATTGGAGTGGCCAGCCCCTGTGCGCATGTATGTACAAAGAAGTTTTGCTCCTGAGAATCAGATATCCGGTGTCGCCAGGAAAGAAATGGAGTTGAAATTAAGGGCGATTATAACAGACGCAGCACAGAGTGACACGTTGGGGAAAATCGACTGGGAATCTCTGCCTTTGCCTCAGATCATGGTACAGAACGATAAAACTCGTGTTCTGGCTAACCCAGAGGCATCCAACTGGGGAGCACCATTTGCTGCTCATGCACCAAAGCATGAGACCGCAGCCGAGGAGTTATCGCGGAAGAGGAAGTCGGCTGAGTATCAAACGGATACGAACAGCTACCCGCCGTGGAGACAAACTAACAAACAAAATGCTTTTGAAGATCGAATCTCTTATTCCCCAACTGACAAGCGACAACGGATAGATTTCAAGAATTCAAGTAAGTCCAAAGCTAATCTGGAAATGCGAAAGAAACGGTTCGAGGATCCGCGGTCTGGTTATGCGTCTTCTCCGTCATCTCGCGGTGAATCCCCTACCCCTGGCCCGCCCTCTGGTCCTGTGGTTGGAACATGCCAAAACCTGGAGAAGAACTACTTCCGGTTGACGTCTGCACCGAAACCGGATACGGTCCGTCCACTTCCGGTTCTCATGAAAACGTTAGACCTACTCAAGAAGAAATGGAAAAGGGACAACAACTATGGCTATATTTGTGATCAGTTTAAGTCATTGCGGCAGGATTTGACAGTGCAGCACATCAGGAACGAGTTTACCGTCAATGTCTATGAAATACACGCCCGTATTGCTCTGGAGAGAGGCGATCTTGGTGAGTATAATCAGTGCCAGACGCAGCTGCGAGCTCTGTACGCCCAAAATCTTGGAGGTCACCCGACCGAGTTCAAAGCGTATCGCATTCTCTATTTCATCCATACTCGCAACTGGACGGCCTTGAACGATGCACTGGCGGATCTAACCCCGGCAGACAAGCGGAACCATGCTGTGAAACACGCATTGGATGTGCGGTCTGCCCTTGCTCTTGGAAACTACCACCGCTTCTTCCAGCTTTATCTCGATACTCCAAACATGGGGGCTTACCTCATGGATATGTTTGTGGATCGTGAGCGACTGTCTGCACTTGCCGCCATTTGTAAAGCGTAAGTCGTGTACTCCATGATGGTTTTGGTTCAGTGCTAATTAGAGATGTAGATACAAGCCAGATGTAAAAATTCGTTTCATCACCGAGGAGCTGGGATTCGAGTCCGACGAGCAGAGTGCGCGGTTCATCCTTGACCATACTGCAGAGGATCTGCTCCAAGAAAAGGATGGCATCGTGAAACTGCTTACAGGAGGCAGAGCCGCCCAACTTTTTGAGCAAGCGAAATCCGAAGCCCACCGCGTTGTTGATATCAAAGGACAGATCTAGTTCAATTATTCTTCACTCACAGCGCTCCCGGTACTACCTTTTCCATGCTCGGTTTTCGACCCGACCCTCCCCCTCCCCCCCCCCTTTTTTTTTTTAATTATTATTCCCCGTCTTCTTTTATTTTCTTCTCGCGACCTCCTCCCAAGCGTGTGAATTTTCTGCTCACGCCTGGGGACCGTATCGTATACCCCCACTTGCAAAAGCATCGGTAGTGTTTTCAAATTCTCTCGACCTAGTTTTTTTTTTTTTTTTTCTTGGTGTCCGGAGTGGTATGGAAAGATATTGTTGAATATACTCAACAAACAAACATAAGTCGCTCAATATTATCTACATTTCATTACTATAAAACTGGTTCATTCTGCATGAAAGAGTAGTTCATACAATAAATACAGGGGAACTCAGCTCAGTATAAAATAGATATCATACTTTGTAATTTAACTCCTCCACTTATAGGTAAGTTTGGGTAGGTCTTGTCTCCAACTCCTTGCTTCGACAGCTGCATTAGGGTTTTATAAGTAGTTGTTGGTCAGGTTATCTTGAAGCCCTAACTAACCTCTTGTATAAATAATTCTAAAAAAGTTCCTGTCACATTTCTATATTAGATGTATAGATGTGTATCTATTATACAGTACAAACTCAGCCTTTTGCCAACATAAGAGATTTAAGAGTCAAGAGTATAACTATGTATACACCAGTTTGCAATCAGCTGTAGTGGTGAGGTTGTACCAGCCAAACCAGCTTTAAATGTGTTGATATGGAGTAGTTCTTCTTCTTCTCCTTCTTACCACTTACTACTTAATCCTTCACACAACTTCTGTCAAGTACTATGCATCTATCAGTTGTTATTGAGCTATCCTTCCAGCGTTGAACTACTCTCGTGGACGACATTAGCAAGAGACTTCCTATGCCCTGCTTTCTTTCTCAATGGTCTTTGATATTATTATTATTATTTTTTTTTCCTTTTTTTTTGCAATTTTATAGGACCAAATTAACCTTCTTTATGCAAATGGAATTTACGTACGTACAAGTATGAAAAAGAAAGGGCCTGTTCAAAGACTATCTAGCTAGAGTACCCTAGATATCCACGCACTTTGCATCTTTTCACCAGCTCCAGTCTACTATATTCACCAGCTTTAAAGCCACACAGCATAGCATAAACTACCGCATATCCCCGATCCCATAGGTAGCAGCAAGCAAGCAAGCAACACACACACACAAAATACTCACTTTTAGTAATCTCTCACCAACAGGTTTCTTTCTGCTTTTCCTATTATTCTTTTCTCCCTTCCCCTGCTTTCAGCAACGGAAGTGTGAAAAGTAGCATGCAACAATGGAGACTGCAGCTATCCCTGGTTCTCCTCCCCCCTCCGCCAGGGAGAAAGAGACATGCTCCGACACCTCTGATGAAGAAGAAGAAGAAGCCTGCCCTGTGGAGGTTGACGTCCACGGCCTCAAAGCAAAGATCTACCTGAACTGCGCCGACGCAGATATCATTCCGAGCCGATACCTTGACAAGGCGGATCGATCTCGTCTGTCTTTCTTTCTTTCTTTCTTTGCTTGCTTTGCTTGCTTTGCTTGCTTTGCTTGAAACGTGGATAGATGCCCCGGAATACGAACTGACATGTTGGTGTTGTTGCTCCGGTCTAGATCTCGTTAGACGCTCTCCCTGGGTGTTCCGTGCCACGCACGACGGCCGCCAGGTGAACCTGAACAAATGGTCAAAGGTCGATATCCGCTTTCGCGGTGTCTTTCGGACGCTGAAGAGAGCTCCCGCCTTTGCCTCGGGGCTGTACGAGAGTACTGGAGAGGCGGGCTGTCTGCTTGCGGGAGGGTCGTCGTCGTCGTCTTATACCTCCTCGTTCTTCTTCTCTTCATCGTCATTGTTGTCTTCGAGGACCAGCTTCGAAGACGCAGTCAAGGCTCAAGCACAGGTTGTGTATGCGCTTATCGACGAGATTCTAACTTTGCTCCAGATCACAAGGGAGGCTGAAGATCATCGGTCGTATTTTTTTCTTCGGTGGGTATTTCGTCTCCTTTGTTGAAACGATAATGATGATATATGGATAACATATGTAGGTCTCGGCTGCTGAGCTCCCAACCCGAGTACTGGACGGGGTATCGAGTAAAACATCGCGATACTCCGTACACTGCGGGGTCGATTTCCGTGGACTATTATCCGCAACGGGGGACTCCTCGGGCTGTTGTGCCTGTGTCGATGGTAGGTGGTGGTGGTGTTTTCTTTTTTTTTTTTTTTTTTTTTTTTTTTTTTTTTTTTGCGTTGCTACATTGTACATAAATTGACTGACGACTTCTCTGTCATTGCTTTTTGTAGACAAGGGAACAAGGCCAACCGCTCAAATCGGCTCTAGAGGGAAAGTTCAAACTCCTGCTCGCGCAGTTACTCGTTAATGTGTATCGTCTCTCTCCTCCAGGGGACATGATACCAGACCAAGAAGCGTTCCTCATCGGACTCCACGGCTCTAGACTACATATTCTCCGAGCGATCTTTCCAGGCCAAAAGACCTCGAAACTGTGGTGTGGCCGATACAACCCGTCCATGCAACAAAGCGCACAACCCCAGCCTTCGAAAGCGAATGAGCGGTTCTACTATAAACCGAACCTCGAGCGCTTCTTGGAGCAGGTCGAATGGAGCCAGCTTTCGAATTCGGAGAACGAAGCCGACCCTCGTGTTTTCCAGGTCTTCGGGAGCCGGGAGTACGATTTGTGGGTGAAGGAGGAGTTTTCTGCCGCGCTGAGATTGCTTGTTGGGCTCATCATGTATCTTATGAGTGGGCAGGCTCGCTGCGGGATCCTCCAAGATATCTTTGAGCAATATCCGTATGACGAAGACGTGGAGACGCAGGGCGAGGACGGGAAAGGGACAGAGAAGGCGGCGAAAGAGCAAAAGGATGTAGAGGAGGAGGAGAAGAAATTGAAAGACATCGAGAAGAAGAAGCGAGAGGAAGACCAGGCTCGAGTGTGTGCACATGAAGCTATGAGGACGTCAACGAATGACCGTATCGGTGGTTTTGAGGATTTTCGTCAGCCATGTTGGGACTGGGTTTGGGATGATGGGCAAGATGAAGAATTAGTGAAGGACGATGCCGATATCATTCTTCGCAGGCCATGAAGAAATATTGCAAGCTTGATATGCATGACCCTTTGTGCCTTACTTCATGGATTGGCATAAACGGCTGTATTTGCATTTGTCAGTATGGCGGCATAACTAGTGCAAAAAAAAAAAAAAAAATAGCCAATTGAATTCCAAAAGATTTAAAGCCAAAAAGAAGCTGAGATTCGTTTTATTTTACATAGGCGCAGATATCCCATGGAGCTCCATGCACTCTACCTGTGGCGCCGTTCAGACTCGAACTCGGTAAACCCATCTATTCCTCTTCCATCTTCGCCACCAGTACGGAAGTATTCAGCGACAATACTGATCGCATAGACCGTGGCTGCTGTAGCGGTACTACCAACTAGCATTTTCCGCAGTAGTTCACTGGGCCCTGATTTCGGAGAAGTATTGTCACAGGGACTATGGTTAGACGATGGGCGATCAGCGGGCATTCCAAGCCCTAAACCGTTATGCTGGTGTGATGCCGCGTGAGTTGTAGGCTCATCTCCCATGAACTCTTCCTGGCTAGATGTCCTTGTCTGGGAACGGTCCACGTCCTGGCTTCCAGATCGCAGGGCTTTTTTAAAAACAAGAATATCTCCACCACCAGATACAATCTCGTATCCACCTACATGCATTCTGTCAAGGCAAGGTAGGAACTTCGCAGGGTTATTGAGGCTAGAAAGTACTTCAGTTGGATGTAAAATATCCTTTTTTAGTTGACGGGAGGAGCTAGTTTCTGCCTCTGTCACTTGGAGTGAGGATGGATCGTACGCAAAAACTCGATATACTTCAGTTGAGGTCGGTGCATCCACAATGCTGGAATGAATTGTTGATGTTTCCTCCTGAGGCAGCGATTGGATGGTGTCTCCTAAACCGAGTCCTCCACGCAACTGGTTTGCGGTGATAGATGAAGGCTCCGAAGATACATCTAATCTGCCCCCTTCTTCGCCACTTTTGCTTTGATTGATAGTGTCGTTTGTTGGAGCTGTACTCAGGTCGGAGGAATCGATTAGAACCCTCGGATTCTCTTCTTTCGCCTCAGACTGGTGGCTCAACCGCATCGACTCGTAAGCAGCTCGGATATCGCTCGCTTGTAATGAGTCTAGATCATCGTCTTTTCTTTCTTGCACAGAATCTTCCCTCGCGTGATACTTAGAAGGAGCATTCTCTCGTCTGGAAAGAAATCCTGATCTTTCAAAGTCTTCATTTAGATCCTGGTGTTCCCCTACTAGCTTTTCAGGCACAGTTTCACCACCGGATTCGAGGTATTGACCCCGATCAAACGTTTTTCCACGTCTGAGTATATTCGATTCATCCATATCTGTCGACTTCTCGGCCGTTTTCTCCTCATCTTCGGCCCTGGGTGGCCCAAGTTGAATTGCCCCGGATGAAGATTTCTTTTGGTCGAGTGAAGTAGCGGAATTGGCCTGGGATTTTGTCACAGGAACCGAAAATTCGTCCTGTGACATAATTATATTTGCTGGCTCACCCTCGTTTTTCCCTAGAGATTCAGGGACCACAGGCTCCCCAGGTTTTAAAACATCCATAGGAGATGATAAAGTGACCTTTTGGTCGACTGGTGACAGGAATCCAAGCCGTTCAGACTCAGCGTCGCATTCTTGTGCCTCTGACGGGTACACACTTTTGGTTCCTATCTGCTCTGATTCGTCCAAAGGGTTTGACGTTTTGGGGACCATACGGCCACTGATAGGATCAAACTCAAACGTAAGTTCCTTTATACTCTGAGGAGCTTGAGCCGGACTACTCTGTCCGTTTTCTGGCCGTTGTGACTTAGGGCTTGGAGCATCGTAAAAATGCGGCTTCGTACCCGCCGTTGCGATGTCAGTGGCATTCGGGGCTTTATCCAGACCTAGAAAAGACCGACATAATGCCGTGAAGGTGTTCTCGAGCTTAACACCTAATCCAAACGGCTGCAGTCTCCGTCCAAATATAGCCCCATACGGATCCGCATCTATGTCCTTCCTAACCCGCTCTAGTCTCTCCTGGGGGCGAGTCTTTTGAGCTTCCGAGTAGTCATGCACATGTGCTTTTTCATCATGGAACTCTGGGAACCCCCTAGACTTAAACCTAAGACCCCAGCTCCATCCTGGATCTTTCCATGACTGATAGTCAGTATATACCGGATCGGCGTGGCGAGGACGTTCAGCAGCTCTGGGGCGTGGCTTTGGGGGGTAGTGATATCGATGGAGCTTTTCAAGCTTACTCCATCTATCTCTGTCGAAATCGTGTCTCTGGTCGTATCTCTGACGTGAACATCCCCATAATGTGCGACTTTGAAGTGATTGCCGTTGGCAATGCGGGGGCGGGGAATAATGGGCCCGGAGACTGCTTGGCGATGATGTTCTTGGTAATCCTCGTATTCTAGTCGTGGGAAGCATGATGCTGTAAAGTGTGGTTGTGATATTGTATCAGTGCTAGAATAGTTGAGTGAACAGCTTTGACCAAAGGTGGGGTGGGTGGCCAAGTGCCACTTAAGGTCACACCCCAGGCTGATAACAGACAGGACCGCGAGTTGGATCTGCCGTAGTAGAGAATGAATGAAAGGGTGGATTTAGACTGATATATTCAAATAGGGACAAAGATGCAAGATTGCCATGAAACCAAGTTGGGGTTTGAAGTCGTTTTCCCATCGATATATAAGGTACCGCCTACGTCAGGGCCAGTATCAGCAGTACCAGCTAGTAGTACTCTCAGGTTCCTTTACTTCACCGTCCTTCATTGCCCAAGTCCTTAAGGGTCGAGGAATATTCCTGAGACCACATAGTAGGGGGGAAACAAAGCCTTGTGAAGCTTTACAGTCCTTACAAGCCAGAGAAGAGATTGTACTGGCCTGGGAAGTAGATACCTAGTGGAAAGAGTAACACCTCCTTGCTATACTGGTTATATGCAGTTGTGGGAATTGCTGTTTTATTATGGTGTTATATACTGGGCACTATGGTAGAAGGTACTTCCTTTATTGGGAGGATATACATAAACTGGTACCTGAGCATAATGTGGTGGCAGATGGAACAACAATCATGGAGTATAAAAGGGTGCCAAAGAGGTCATGGAAAGTATTTTCTATTTCCGACACACGAGGGCTTGCTATAATACCTCTAATCTGCAACTGTATATTTAATAATATCTTAGATATTTTTGCACACAGAAACTTGTTGAATGAAATTCAATACATGTCTTAAACGTCGAGAATGGAGAGAGAAAGCCCGCCAGTATCCTCCGATTCTGGATCAAATGTGATGTAATTTTTCCAAAATCTCAGGCCCTCAATGCCTTCCTCTCTGCACAGAACGCCTTTATCTTCAGCCATCTCCAGTTCCTCGGCTGCGACACCAACGCTCCACTTGAAACGTTGCGCAGCCTCCTGCGCCGTCACTGGACGTCCAAATAATTGCCAATCCCAGGGGACCGGTTCGGAAGGGGGAGTTCGACGAAGCTCGGTCATCCAGTCTAGTAGGTGTTGAATAGTCTTTTCATCACTCCAGTCATATCTCTGAACCACAAGAAGACCGCTCTTGAATCGGCGAAGGCGTACAGGTAATTTTAATTTTTCCCACAGCTCAGCAGCTCTCTGGAAGTCAGAGGGGCTCACGAGCTCTACCCCATTTCGAGATCTGTTAAATACCGCCCACAGGTCTATCAAACTCATAATTCCACCCTCTTTGTGTAAAACCCCCTTTCGGTCGTCAGTAAGATACTCCGCTAGATTTCGAGACAGCTCCGAGAGGTAAAGATTCGCAGCTCCAGACCCGAGCATATCTTTAGTGGTGACCATTCCAAGAGCCGCTGCCGACTCAGAAAGTACTGCGTTGGCTTCTGAGTTGGCCTCTCCGCTGGACATTCCGGATTCTCTTGCAAGTGTCTCGGCGAGCGCGACAATTTGCTTTGCTGAGGCCATAAGCGCTTCGAGGTCCTCGAATGCATTTCCAATAACGAATTCGTTATTTCGACGTGCTTCAAGCCCTCGCCGCTCTAGACCGGCAATACCAACCCCAGGTGATCGGGTCTGGGCAGGTGCAATGACACCAGAAGGTGCAGCCAGCGTTAAGCCAGGTGACGAGGTCATCTGGGACTGCGAGGGTTGTTGTGGTACAGGTGGCGCATCGTAGAGCAGCCATTTCCTTTGGATCAGCGCGCCCTTGAGCCTCTCTAGGAAAGGTTTCTCTCCGCCTCCTCTAAAGGAAAGTTTTATACTCTCGCTGACTTGAGTGTTGCGAATATTTCCTTCCTCAAAAATCGGCGCCGGAGATTCCGATCTACTCTGATCGATGGAGGGGCTCAGCTCGCTCGCAGCCGATAAGGAAGCGCCGCATATCTCACAATCGAGAAGGTAAGGGTGGTTCACAAAGGTGCATCGAGGACATGGTATCGATGTGCCAACTTTCTGGCTTGAACTGTTTTTATGCCCATTACCCTGAGTTTGTGACTCCTGTCCCAGCTGGCTGCCTCCCAAATTTGTCGAAGAACCTTTACGGCTAGCTGCAGCGGCGATAGCAGCCTTAAGGATGGTTGTGAATGGGGGCTTTATACCACATGCGAGACACGGTGGGATTGGAGTCGAATGAGTAGCCGTAGAGGGGTCAAAGTTGGAAGGCACTGGGTTGGAGAAGGAGCATATAGGACAAATCCAAGTTGCATTCAATGGCTTTGGGAGCGGCGGGGTATATTGCGGTGTTGACGCCTGAGGGAGAGGGGACTGTGAACTAGCTTTGGAAGGTAGTGACGGGGATGGGCTTGCGCCAGCGCTTTTCGATCTATCTTGGTTCTTCGGGGGTTTGGGGTATATGGTGATCTTCGCGGAGGACTTCAAGAAACCTGCCTGGTTCAAGTAAGCATGGGAATCCTGTGGTATATTAAACTACCATACTTGATACTCCGCTCTATCAATCTCTTTTAGGTCAATCCCAACCGAGTACTTCCGTGGTTCGTCCACGGCGACGTAACAGACTCGGTGTGACGTCAGGTAAGCATGGCCGTTTTGATAGTTGGCGACCTTATATTTGCTATCCGATATAGTTAACCCGAGGATCAGCGCAATAATCTCAAAGTAGAATACAGATGGAACCAGGACAGGAAGGATAGTTCTGAATTGAGCGAAACAGCAACAACGGACGATACTGACCCCTCATACAACCCCACCGCATCCTGGACAAAGAGCAAAGTCTCATCGGGCAACAGAGAGGGACGGAGTGCGGTGGTTAAATCCAGAGCCTTGAAAAACATCTAGGAGAGGCTCTATCGGCATTTCCACGCCATTTGCAAGAGAACGAAGGCAGTAGGAATCTTGGGAGCGAAAAGCAGGCGTTGAGGACGGTGACCTTGATTTGGCTGACGTAATGCATGTTGGAGGAACACGCCGCGGCCTTCCAGAATAGGAATAGTTTTACCTTCGTTGCAACAGCTCACATTCGGAATCTGATTTCAACCTAATAATAACTCTATCTAGCACGGATATGGGTTTGAGATTACAACGTCGTTATTGAAGTCATGCATTCTCCTTTCCGAGCACTATATTTGATACCAACTCGGCAGCGGCCAGGGTTTCTTCGTCCTTGAAGTGCTTTCCAGCTAGCTGCAGCCCGATGGGAGCTCCTGCGTATCTCTCGGGGGCATAGTTCTTCCACTCACGTTCATCAACTGCACTTCGAGGTTGATATTCTGGCACTGCATCCAATGCTGGATCTACAGTTAATCCACTCGGGAAGACTGCAGCAGGCTGATCAAGGATGTTCCAAATCGCGGTGTAATTCCAGTAGTGGGGTTCACCCAATACCGGTGCAACACCAACATACGAGGGGCATAAAACAAAGTCAACTCCGCGGGACTTCATAAGGGCGTGGTATTCAGATCGATATACTTCGCGCTGCAAGTTAAGCTCCCAATTCTCGCGTACAGTCAAAGGAGTTTTGGGACCATATTGAAGGGCCCATTCGGTGAGAGGTAAAATCGGTTCCCCAGCCTGTGCAAGGATGGCTCGTTGACTGGCGGCTGCATCAGGGAAATAGAGAGAAGACTGTATTTTGTGAGTACAATATGCACTGATACCTCTAGTTATATATTGCATATATTAGTCAGATTGCACTTACAACTATCTCCCAACCGTGAGCATGTTTGTATGGCTCCCAGTCAACAACTTTGATCCCAGCTGTTTGAAGTTTCTCCTGTGCGTGCTTTAGAGCTCGGGTCACGGGAGGGTGCGGGCGGACACACCTATTCTTATCAGCCACATTGACTGGGGTGGGAAACAGATTTGCAAACATACCCATCATCCCACATAATTCCGATTGTCATCTCCTTAGTTGGCTTCACTCTTCTCCAAGGGACTGGTGCCAGTGATATATCTATGTCCCAAGGCTCCTGGTCAATAACCGCACGCTGGAATAAGTTAAGATCTTCAATTGATTGACTCGCAAGTGGGCCAATAGCACCTAGAATAGACTCATTTCCAAGCGAGGGGGCCTTTATCCCAATACAAGGGTTTCGTCGTGCTGTTGGAAGGAAACCATAAGCACCACAGAATGCCGCTGGGGCTCGGATCGAGCCGCCAATATCTGTTCCGATTCCTAGAGGTGCACATTTGAATGCCATAGACGCCCCCTCCCCACCAGAAGAGCCTCCGGGGCTCAGCTTTCGGTTGTAGGGGTTTAAAGTAGTCCCAGTAAGGTTGTTGCTGCAGCAGAGATGCTGTTATCGTTAGTCTTCTTTCTAGACCGTCGCTCGTCTAAAGGTTAAGATGGACGGTACCATGAGAGATTGTGGCTGATTGGTTCGGACATGGAAGACTGCACCAGCTTTCCCGAGATATTGGAGAAGAATGGCATCGTCTGCTGCAATATCGTCAACCCTAAGAACCAATCAGTGAATACCTCGTATCTTACGGACTAGAAGGACATACCAAGCAGCGTAACCTCCATGCAATGTTAGCCCTTTGATTCCAATGTGTTCCTTGACACTAATCGGGACTCCGTGCTATAGGAGTTTAGTTTCACCGACGATTGTGTTAGTAAGATTATTGGGAATCTCTTAGTTATCGTACCAGAGGACCTATCAATTTCCCAGTCTCTTTATAGTGCCTGTCTAGCTCCTTAGCTCTCGCAATGGCTTTTTCAGCCATGAATTCTGTGGCGAAGTTAAGCTGGCACCTGTTAGTAGCAGAGAAAAATAGCCTGATCAGTTGCTGTCCCCAACATACCAACTGATGGCCTATAACAGCCCTTTTCAGGAAGGCTACCACCACCTCCTCGGCACTGAGTTTTCCCTCTCCCATATCCTTGACAAGAGATGTGGCGGACGTTTCCGTAATATTAAGTTCTCTTTCAGTGAGGAGTCCACTCTTGTGCGGAAAGTCCTCTACATGAAGCTCGTCTGCCGAGGGAAGTTTGTCGGTAGGTATGAGCCATTGCTTTGGGATAGACTGTTGGAGAATATCCTGAGCTTTGCGAGCTTGAACTTGCCAGTAGGCGGACATGGTGTGGGATCCGATAGGATAGGCCTTTGACGTTTTTACAGGAAGAGAGTGTCAGGGTCCCAAATCCTTCATCGTTGATGACAGGACGGCTGTATTTATACCCCCTGTGGTGCCATATTTAGCATGGTAGGGAAAGAACTTGGAACAGCAACCACAACTTACAAGGCTCGTCACTTCAGATAGAGCGTAGACCAATAAAAAAATTAACGCAGTACCCCATGTTTGCATCACAGACGTAGATTTTACTCCATTCGGAGTAGAATGCAGGCAGTCAGCGTTAGAAGAGTACTAGTCACTAGGATACTCTTATTCATCAGGAAAATTTCCGCGGGCATCATGACTCCTCGGCAAAGGTTAAGATAATAGATGTTAGATGCAGGGCAGAAGCTCAAGTCATATATATATATATATATATATATATATTGAGGATGGATGGAGGCATCAAGAGGAGACAAAGAGTATGTATATTTTTATATCACATGACGGGCACGCCTAACAGCAGTTTCCACCATCCTATCCAACATCATGTCAATTTCAATTTCATCCGCAACAGGTGAGCTCTTTACATACCATTCTACATCCAAGCTGACATATCTCGGGGTAATTGTCTTTCATTTCAAGCTCCTTCATTTCCCCCTGAATAGGCCCGACGCTGACGATTTCCGGTTGAATTGTGATGGAGTGAATTCCGTATGCGTGAAAGCACTCTTGAATAACCTTGGCAAGCCTTGAAAAGCAAGATGCCGAGTGATCTAGGATAGCAACATGCACTGATGCGAGAACCTTGTTCTGGTTAAGACGCCAAATATGCAATTCGTGGACGGCCAAAACACCAGGAACCTAGACAGTCTTAATATTGGGGGCAGATGCTATGAATCTGTATTGCGTACCTTTTCAAGGTCATGTTTTACATCAGTGATATTAACTCCTTTTGGGGCACTTTCCAGCAAGATGAGGCCGGATTGTTGAACTAAGGTGATCAGTTTATGCACGGCAATGGTGCTAGACCAAAGAAATAGAAGTACCTAGCGGAAGAGAGGAGAGCAGAATCATCACCGCAATACCTAGACTGGTTGCGGGATCTGCATAGTATCTTCCCTCATACCGAGTCAACCAGATGACCAGTGCGGCGATCATCACTCCAAGGTTGTTGGCCGCATCGCCAAGGACGTGAAGCAAGACTCCCATCATACCCATGTCGTGGCCACCATGGAAGGATTTTGTTTCTGAGGTGAGATGCCTGTGATCAGGATGCTGCGATGCAGATGTTAGCCGCTGACCCTTAAAACTCTGGGGATATGCTCCAACCTCTTGACAAATTTCGGACCCATTGTGCTGCTCAATATCTGGAACAATTTCCCTTGGAGGCTCTGATTCTACGACCGGCTCGTGGCTATGATCATGATGATGATCATGATGATGCTCTGCCGACGGCTTAGTAACTCTCCTAGTTCTAAGGCTTCGCAAAGGAGAATACCGTGAAGAAATGAAAGACAGATGATGTTAAGGCCCAGGCCAATGGACCCGATTATGAACATGAGTTTTGGGTTCTCGACACCTGGGCCATATATGAGTATCCAAAAGCTCAAGCAGAAATTATGAACTGACGATGCAGTGTGATGAAGCGCTCAATAGACTGTAACATGATGCTAATACCCAGCGCGAAGAGCAGGCTCCCATTAAAGAACGCCCCCAACACTTGGGCTCGCTGCCAACCGAAAGAGAGGGCTTGAGGAGAATCATTGCGTGTGGATAACTAAGAACCGCGTCCGCATGTCAGCGTCTATTCATATGACGGGTTTAATTAATAGGAAAACGACTAACCCTGTGCGCGACAAAAGCGACAATAAACCCGACGAGGTCGTTAAGCTGAACATGTCAGTATATCACCGCAGCGATCTGAAACATACCTACATAATGGAAGGCATCGGCCACCAAGGCAAGGGAATGAGTATAAAAACCAACTATCTTGCAGTTCAGCAAATATGATCAGGGGCAGGGGGCGCGGGCCGAGAGTAGAATGTTTACTTGAAATTTCCACCAGAAAGAAGGCCGAAGCGATGGTAATTGCTGCTATCAAGCGCTGGGAGCGCGATATACGGAGCTGCATTGCTCTGCCCTATCTGGAACGACAACCAACAACGCAGGCACTTTCTCGCCTGCCTTGGGAGTTGTTTTTTTTTAATTCCAGATGGGAGGCTGAGTCTTGACGGATGATTTGTTTTCTCCTTAATCTCTTCGTTGATGCAAGGGGAAATTACTTTGTCGGTGTACAACTTGGCCGGAATGCGGGATAATGAACAAAACTTCAAGGCCATGCCATGCACAAGGGCATTCTCCAGGATAACTGACGAGAGCATAAATACAGTCTAGAAGAATCTCTTCTGCTGCTATGCGTGGAAACCTGCTACTATTTCCTACCATTACCCGTTTCGTATCACATGCGGTGCTACTAACCTACTAGTAGTACCTGCCCATTGCTCGATGACGGAGAGAATCCCAAGCAACCCATTATCATACATGTCGAGACTTCTATACTAAAGCGGCACCTTCGTCCACAGCCGAGAAGCTTGCCAAATCAATTGATCGCTAAATCCCTTGCTTTCCTTTCCAATCTTGGACCCGGGGGGGCGCTCTCCAGCAGCCCTCCCTGTTCCGCTACGCAATTCTTTCTTTCTTTCCAGGCAAATTTGACATATCATCCCATCCACCAAGGTTAATATGTGTTCGAATCAGGCCAACAGCTCCATTTACACCAGAAATAGCTTCCAGGTAGCCGGAGAATAGCTACATGCTTGTTAGATTTAGCTGAAAATGCACATCACGTCACATCACATCACATCACTGCTTCTAGGCACAACAAACATATCACGAACCCTCCTCCGGTCGAGATCTACCTGCCTGCTTGTGATCCTACCTCGGAGCCATCCATTTCAATAGATCTCGTAAATAAGCGGTGATATCCCACGGTGTGTGTTTGGAGTAATGGGCGTGAGGGAGGGATAGATATATACTCTATCCGCCGTGTCTTTCTTCCCGAAGATGGACCAATTATTATCAGAAGCTATGAATATATCTTGGTTTCATTTCTCATTGTTGTTCTTTGGGTAGATCTACTACGTAGTATAGTATTTAGTTTATACTTGGATTGGAAGATTGATTGATTGTAACTATGATAAAAATTGTATAGTTAACTAGTTATTGTATAACTAGTATATTTAAGAAGTGATTTCGAAACTACACGGTCCGTGCGTGGCTCAAGTAGAAATGAAAATGAACCCAGTAAGTAAGTCTATATACATAATAATGTACTCCGTAGTCCGTACGCAACAATGCTATGGTATATATATATATATAGACCCAAGAAACAAAGAAAAAAGAAAAAAAAAAAAAAAAAGAAAAGAAAAGCTGACGGTTACATATTGTCCTCACTCCACCGGCTCCGTGCCTTCATCCAAGCATCATGCTCACTTTTCCCGTTCTCGGGATTCATTCCTACGCCCAGCCCGCGCTCAACCCACTGCTTGCTCCCCATTTCGGAGAGCCGGGACAGCGCCCGCGCAAAGGCAAAGCGTTCCTCGTCGCCGCTGAAGAGGGAGCTTGTCTTGAGGGCTTTCATCGAGAGACCGAGGTCATCCATCATCATGCGCATGGAGTCGGAGATATCCGTTTGATGATTGCCTTTGTCATCCGCGGAGGGTTTGACTTCCGATTCGGGGATGAAGAGGTTTGGGAGGGGGACAGCAGTGGTGAGGACTAGTTTTGCCTGGTTGGTTTTCAAGTATTCCATTAGCATTGTAGTTTTTTTTTTTTTTTTTTTTTTTTTTTGGTTAGGGATAGGGAAAGAGAGAGAGAGAGAGAGAGAGAGAGAGAGAAGCGTACTCGGCTTTCGTAAACGGCATCGATGAAAGTGATGAATCGTCTGGCGAGATCGCGCTGCGTCAGGTCCATGCCTGGGACATCGGTAATGATAAAAGCATCGTAGTTGCGGACTAGTTCGAGATAGTCGGCTGCGCCGGTGGCGGAACCGATCAGCTGCTGGAAGCTGAATTTCGCGGCCTTCCCGCTTGCACAGGGGACTTGGATCTTACGGCCCCAGACTTCCTGGGTGGCTGGGTGGGGAGGATCATTGATCGGGTCGCCGAGGAAGTCGAACCATTTCTGGGCGTGTTGTTCTGCCTCTGGGCCGAGCGGGTGGTGGTAGACTCCCGATGGGGGGCGGGGGATTTTACGGTAGTCGGTGGGCGAGTTGAGGTTGATCACGTCAAGCTGGGCCTTCAGGAGATTGATGCATGGGATGAAGGACTCGCGTTGGATGCCGTTTTTGTATAGATCGTCGGGATGCCGGTTCGAGGTGGTGATTAGGACCACGCCGTGCGACATGAGCAATTCAAGAAGTCTAGTAGTATACAGTTAGGCAAGACATTCGGTTGGTAAGTTAGGGAACGAAAGCAAACATACCTCCGCAGAATCATTGCGTCCGCAACATCCGTACACTGAAACTCGTCAAAACAAAACACACTTGACTTCTCCGCAATATCCGCTGCAACCAACGGCAACGCATCAAAGTCATTTCCGTACCGCATCTTCACCACATGCATCCGCTTATGTACATCCTGCATGAAGTTGTGGAAATGGATCCGAGACTTGGACGTGATATTCGGCGGCAGCGTCTCATAAAACAGATCCATCAGCATTGTCTTCCCGCAACCAACATCGCCATACATATACAAGCCCCTCGGGAGATTCTCGGGAATAGTGAACTCCGACTTTGCTGGGGCTTTAGAGAACAACGACCCGAAGAAAGACTTTTTCGGGGTGCGCTCCAGAGACTCGACGCTGGGATGGACGACCGGAGGAGCATGATACAACTTCAAACGCACATACAGATCTTGTAGCTGCTCAATGATTTCTGCACATGGTACGTATTAGCTCTTGGGTCGGAAATTCCGGAACTGAGAAGCAAGCAAACTCACGCCTTTGATAAGGATCATCCCTCAGCCGACCCTGCTGCACCCTCACCTCATACTCCGACAAAGGACCCCACACTTCTTCTCCCGGCGTGCTATCACTCTCCTCGGGCTTAATTTGCACGGCAGAGCTAGTCGCCGCAAACCGCCTCACGGCCGGAGTGACCCGTACACCGCATCGGACATTCGACCGATCTTGTCTGCGCAGATATCCATATCCTCCAAGATTGGGACTCGGTCTCGACCGGCAGCGGTGGAAACTCCTCCTGTATTCCGTAATATAAGCAGGACGTGCAGTTCGAAGAGCGACAGGTCGCACGAGGGCCGTTCTCCTGGTCCTCGGCACAATTCCGAAATGGCCCGCACAAAGCCTGCCGGACGAGGAGCCTCGCATTGGCATCTAGATTGATTGCAGATGCGGGGGAGGTTATTCTCGAGAACGAATATGTCCTAATCCGGGTCGATTTTATCAGGTAGTTATCCAGGTACGAATGAGCGTCGTCGTCAACGGCGATTGTACGTCGGCCGGCCGCTCGTATTGTTGGTGTCGGCGGAGGGAACGCGGGGGAAAATCGCGAATGAGCAAAACGATTTCAGAGAGTGCTCTCGGCCCAGAGCAGGTAGACGGAAGTAACAGGTGGATATGTAAAAAAAAAAAAAAAAAAAAAAAGAAGGAATGTTAGATATGTACTGAATGAGCAACAACCGATGTCCAACCCCAAAATCCGTCCGGTTTCTGGCCCTTGGATTTTGGCCCAGCGCGGGTGAAGGCGAAAAAGGACCGTTATTTTTCCCGAGACACGGTCATGTGACTCGGGATCCGGCAATGGGGGCGAAACCCCAGATTCCCTTCTGGTTCTTGTACGCCGTCTCTCAGGAACCAGCAGGTCTTGAGTACTATTATGATTTAAAGAGTCCAGTGGTCGGTGAGGAATACGGAACATGAGATGTATATGCAGGTCAAGAGTTATGTACAGGTGACGGATCGACTGTGCATCAAACTATGTGAAAGGGTATGAAGAAACAAGATAAGGGAAAAGAAAAAGAAAAGACAAATATACATAATTGCATCAACATTTCAGACATCTCATTCTTGATATCCCATCAACCTCGTGAATCAACAAATACACCCATGGGACTCGGAGCCAAAGAAATCCAGAACACCGTGACACCATGGACACCTAAACAAAAGAAAAATTGGCGGAAGCCGCGGAGATCAAACTCACAAAGGAAACCAAGGAGCGAGAGAGGTTAAAAAGAAACATAAAACTAATGGGCAAAAACAAAATCTATCGTAAAAAAAAAAAAAACAAAAAAAAAAAACCAAAAAAACTTCTATGCAAGGCCGACATGAAGGGTGAGTTTGGGGTTTCGTTGAATCGCCGTATCGAGGTCATGGTCACTGCTAAGGTCGAAGTAGTTGCCAGACTGCTCGTCCCTGTATTGCACCGCGATTTCGTCGTTGATCTTTAGGCGATCTAGGAGCTTTTCCTTGAGTTGCTGGAGATTGATATCGCTAGAAACGCGAATGGCGATCAGATCGTCCTGGAAGTAGACCTTGACTTTCATCGCACCAGTGCTGGAGGTGGCCGAGACTTGCGTAATCGAGCTAGCCTGGCGGTTCATTGGGGGAGGGTTTCCATTGGGGAGAGATACGGACGGCTGCGACCGCTGATGCGACGGGCCATTCATTTGCGGTTGCGATGACTGGCGCGATGCGCTAGGCGAGATTTCATGACCGGATGAGTGCTGAGAACCCCCCGAGAATCGAGCGTCTTCTCCAAAGGCGCTAGGGTCAATTTCAAAGTCGCCGGGACGAGGGGCAAATAGTTGACGGACGAGACTGCAGCGGGAGATGTGAGGGGGCATGGATATCAGCTTTTTGATGTATTCATCCAAGTTCTGTCGTCGGCCGTTGGAAATGGCATCGGTAACGTGGGTCACTGGACCGGGCATAAATGGCAAGGTTCGGGGCCGGCCTCGATTGCCTGCCTCATCTTCAAATTGGGTCAACAGAGCGATCTGAAAATCGTAAAAGTCGTGATAGTATCGTGATAGCTCCCAGCAGCGACCGTCTTCCATCTTCGCTTCAATAATGTACCAGTATTTATCGTTGTCGAAACAGTAACGTGGGATCGAGGCGACAACAGGAGCGACGAGGGGTTGATGGTAGCTTTGGTGTGGTTGGGGTGAGACCTGCTGAGAAAGGGATCCTTTGCTAACATTACGATTGTGGTAGGCCTGTCAACCGGACAAGAAACATTAGAGCGCTGTCACCATACATCACAAATTCAGAGGGGAAGGCTCACATAAGGCTGGCCATTCTGGCTGATTTGGTCCGTGCTCTGTCGGCTCATCGACATCTTGTCCATACCCGACGTAACGGACTGCATCGAGGCGGTGGAATCAATCTTACCCAGCGTAATACTGCTGTTCTTATATTCTGCCGTCATCTTTTTCCATTCCTCCACCTTGGGAATACCAGCACGCTTCACAGCCTCGAGTGGATCAGTCACAGCTTGTCCGGTTTGCAAGTCGCGCAGTTCGATAAATGCGACGGGGATAAGGCCGGGTCCGCCGAGGCGACGGATGGGTTTGGCGACAAACCATTCCGGATTCGATTGGGCGATGACGATAATCGCCTCCCCTGCTTTGGCATCGAGCTCGTCCGGTCGTTCAGCCTGGAAGTCGTATTGCACCACGCCATAGACCATGGCCGCTCCACCCGCGGCCTTTCCCAGCGTGGACATTCTAGGGAATGCGGGGTGTGATTGATAAGATTTAGAACCGTTTGAGCCAAATTCAGAGCCTGAGGAAGTAGCCCTGTCGGCAAAGCCAGAGTCGTGGGACTGGTTCTTTTTAAGAAGGTCGATCGAGCCGCTGCTGTCTCTTTGGTTCTTGCCGATGACTTCAAAGAAGGATACAGGAACCAACCCCCTGGCACTAGGGATAAGGGGATTACACGCCTCGTACCAATCCAAATCGTCCTCCCTGCTGATGACGTGAAAAAAGTCCCCCTTGCTGAATGCCAATTCCTGCGTGTTCCCTGGTTCCGGTTGGTAGTCGTAGAGGGCTTTGATGACCTGCGCGCGCGGGAACAGGGATGTAGTTAATAACTGTGTGCCAAGAGCAACGATCGGACTAACGCTTAAGGAGAGGAAGAGAAGGAAAAAAGCGACGGAAGCGAAAGGAACGGAATGGATTAGGGAGGCCAACAGAGGGAAATACGAACACGAAGACAGGAGAGAAAAAAAAAAAAAAAAAAAAAAAAAAGACGTAAAAGGAAGAAAATAGGAAATAGGAAAGGGGGGAAGAAAAAAAACACACACACCTTCTTTGGAGGTAGAATCGCAATGGCGGATTTGGGGGTAATCGAGAGATGGTGGTGGTGGGGTTTGGGATCTTTCTCCCCTTTGAGAGAGCGTCGAATAGCCTAAAGCGATGGAAGTTAGTGGGCTCAGAATAAGAATAGTAATGTGAGACTAATAATCTCGATCAAATGAAACGAGAATAAAAATAACCAAGACCATGCCACCCAGTTGGGAATAATAATAAAAATTCTTGTCGTTATCATAAGAGCAATAGAAACAAGCACCAGTAAAACAACCACGCAGAGCAATGGATGGGAAATTTTTGGGCCAATTTCCTTTCGTTTCGGAACAAGCGACAATCGAGATTAACGAGGGCGGGACGAGGGAAAAAAAAAAGTGACACGAAACGAGGGGTATAGAATATAGAATGTTTGAGAACTGAATGTGATTCAGTGCACACAGACACATCCACATACCTTCATGATATCTCGAATTGCAATTGGGCCAGTGGAATCGCTGCAGGAAATGATCGGAGAGATTTGACCACGATCGTTGTCGAGAATAGGATCAAGTTAGGGAAACGGGAATCGACAGATCACCATCCAATATAACCCAACTGATAGATAAAGAACAAAGACAAGAGACAAGAGAGTGACTATAGTGGTAACCTAGAGGAAGGTTACGAACAAAGAGAGTAAGTATTGCTTGAAAGAATTAAAGAAAGACTGTCAGAAAGAGAGTGAAAATGAAGGTGATGGTGGAGGTGAGAGAGAGTGTGGGTGTAAAAGAATAGAATGATGATATGCAATCACGTTGACAGAAAGAAAGCTGCTGTTCCTGTTTAATAATTTCTTGTCTAAGTTCCCTCTTACTCTCCTTTTGCCGTCGAGTCTAGAGTTACCACAGAATGAAAAAGACTTTACTCGATTTCTCCCCGCCCCCTGAGGTTGGAGGACACAGACTTGGATTATCCACGCGAGAACACAGTGGTCGGTTCCAAGGAACTGGACGGATCCTCTTTCCTGCTGCTGCTTCTTCTTCTTCTTGGTGATAAAATAAAATCAAATAAATACGTAGCAGAGAACACGCTGGTGGCTGTTGAACCAGAAAGAATCAGAGGGGCCGTGGGGTTCGAGAGAGGATATCTGGTGGTTCTGCGAAAAGGTGGCGGGAACACCACAACCACCAACGATTTTTAAGAGGGAGACAATGGAAGGAGAGGTAAGGGATTGAATTTGATGGATAATGAGGCAGGGTGAGGAAGTGGGAAACAAGAAACAGACTGGGAAAAATCCAGATTAAAAAAAAAAAAAAGAGAGAGAGAGAGAGAGAGGCCTTGCACTCCTACCTAGTTGGTGATGTAGGGGAAAAAAAAGCAACCTAAGTAGTATGATAAAACCACCAGTTACATGGAGAGGGAGTCAGGCTGTGCTCAGGTGGGTTTGGATAAGCCAATAGCATGGTACAGATAACCTAGAAGAAATGCCATTTGGAAGAGTGACAGAAATAAAGAATGTGAACTTGAGTAGTAAGTAGTCCATAAACTGGATGTATATAAGTGAGGATCCTGTTAAAGTTGAGTTAAAGAAGCCTGATCTGATATACTCTATATCTGACTCTCTTTCAACAAAGACGAGTTTCTAGGCGATCCGCTTACTTGACCCCAAGTTCAACTGAAGGGAAATCAGATGGACTTCCACCGGAATTTCTTCCCCGGCCGTCTACATCTTACTTGACACTAGTTCTTAGGCTTATTTCCAGCCCTGTTGAAATTGTCGGTACTTTGGTGAATCTCCAGCGAGGTTGGGCAGCCACTGAATTGCCCATCCTCGTACTACTCAGATCATTTAGAACCAGCTAACCACCTCAATAATTCCGTTAGTAGTGTAGTTATCTAGTGTACTCCGTACTTACGTTGGCTGGTTCCAGGATCCATGCAACTGGGGAGGTGGGTTGCCACTGCAGAACCACATTGGATTTTTTTGACAGTGCCACTACGCTAATCCCTTTTAACTCCTAGCCCTTTTTCTGTCAGTTGTATGATTTTTACATTTTACATTCTTTTTACTGCCCACAACTCAGTCAATGAGATGAACTTCACCTCCATCTGGGATTCTCCTTTTGGACTCCAATTCCTCTCTAAGTCCCATCCCAATCTGGATCCTCACTCAAGGCCGCCTCATCTTATCCATGGGTTGGCTTTTTCCGTTCCATTCTATCATCATGTTCTTAGTCAAACTTAATACCCGTTAACTTCCTTGTATCTTATCTAGGTAAACTGGTCCGAACCAAATGAAAAGAACACCTGTCAACAAGGGCGCTTAAAACCCCTCCTCCTTCTCCCCGGTGGCTAGTTACGAACTAGGACGGTCCCCAGCCTCGGTCCATGTACTTGTACAATACTGGTTTTTAACCTAGGTAGTACTTCAATGCACCCCTTGCAGGCAACCAATCACCACTCTGCTCTTCTCTAGTTACTAGGAACCTGCGAACGAATATACCGTCGCTCTGATATCAAGAAGATGGAATTGAGTTGAACCAAGTGTGTTGGATTGCGACCAATAAAGTCCGAAGTTGTATGATAACCCCACGGCGGAGCAACCCACATCCGATCGGCTTGGACGTATGCATGCTGCATGTACAGAGTACAATTGTGCATCAATCTATACTTCCTACTTACTCCATCGTTTCCTCCAAATTAACACGTTCCCAAGTTAAACAATTCTAGTACTTCAGTTTATGGACACAGTATGGCATGAGAACAGCCACATCCCACTTAACAAAGCCAGTAGAGCTCCATTAAACAGCCTGCATCTAAGACTTGTTGTATACATCAGATCCATAGATCTCCGCTATCGACCTAGCAGGTACCTATCATTAACAGCCCTCGTGTGGTTGCAATTTGAAACTTGATACATCAACTGTCCTTCATGTACCACCCAGAGTCATGTAATACCGAAGACTCAGATCTAGATATGCTGCACAGTTCCTATTGTTATAGTTTTTATGAGGATGGGTGTTTACTATAAGATACTCTAGCTGGCGATAGCAAGATATCTGATAAGGCATCACAGACTAATTACTGGGGTCAAATATTGTTTGCGAGCGCTGTAGTAATGAGTGTGAAATATATACAATACCCCCGGCTCCTTATTGTGACATGGACATAGTAGATAAGTCAGCAAATCATTGAGCATAGTTGCAATAATCGAGCATCTGTTTTTTTAATTAGGGTCAACTTATTTTGGAGCATATCATCTTTGGTTTTGACATGCATATGTTCAATGTTGGACCTATTTAATTCAAAGGACATATTCACTAGATTCTAAAGTACTTGATCATGAGGCTCATGGATACCTTTTATCCTACACTTAGTTTTCCCTTATGAACAGTTTTTGAAAGCCATAGATAGGTTCTGTAATCTCAGAATTAGGGTACGGTTCGAGGTAAATATATTGGTATTGCTGGCAAGGTTGTTTAGTGAGTGAATCAATCAGGATTCCTCTGCAAAACCTCCCGAAGTGACAAGGTAAAGGATCTCTTCAGAACAAACTATAGTATTGAATTAAGAAAGTGATGAATACAGTACGAGTTTATAGGATCATGGTTGAAGCCTAATATATATTCCTGTTTTCTCCCTCTTAATCTAGATCAACCAACCAACCAACAATACTCTATATCTAAATCATAAGTAATAAATAAATTATGTCCTGTTCCCTAGTTAGTTATTAGGAATGAAAACCTCTATCTCTACCTTCTCCAACCTCTCCTCTCCTCCCCCATCTCACCTTTGTGATTAGTTATTAGTCACGACCGTTATCACACTGGGTGGGGCAAACTGGAGTAATCCACAGATCAAATCAACCCGACCTCAAGAATAATCATCTCACCTCCTCACTCACCACACTCATATAAATACCTACAGTACCTACTTATCCTTGTTCCAGCCCTGGCCTCGAAATTAAAGGAAAGATAAACAATCTCCCCCCCCCCCCAAAAAACACTCAAAGATACACAATGTCGAAACCATCCAGATACATCATCCGCACAAATGGCGCCCCCGCTCCTCCGGCTTTTATTTCACAAGGCACTGTCGTGGGCGACTTGGTTTTCTGCTCCGGACAAATAGGCGTAGATCCTAAGACGAACAAGATGGTCGAGGGCACTGTACAGGATAGAACTGTATATTTCTTCCTCCCCCCCCCTCCCCCCCCCCTTTTTTTTCTGATCTCCCCCGAGTTATCTAACCCAACGTACGCCACGCATACATACCATCCATCAATTTCACCTACTCAACTAACGTGAACGCCCTTTCATAGAGACAAGTCCTCAAGAACTTAAGCGCAGTGCTTGAAGCAGGCGGCTCCAGTATCCACGACGTAGCCAAGGTGAATATCTTTCTAGCGGACATGAATGACTTCTCTGCCGTGAATGAGGTGTATGCTTCTTTTTTCCCGGATCCGAAGCCGGTATGTTCCTCCTTTTTTTTTTTTTGAGTTATCACCGTCTCTCTCTCTCTCTCTCTCTCGCTTCGTTTCCTGGTTTCCGTGTAGTCTACTGGAACTGGAACGAGGCGAGGGAGTGGATTGGAAAAGAAGTCCCAGACTGACTACTACTACCAAGTATAGGCTCGGACTTGTGTTGCGGCCAAGACGCTGCCCATGGGAACGGATGTTGAAATCGAGTGTTCGGGTGTAGTGACTCGGCCCGAGGTTTTGAAGGCCCGTCTTTGAGTCTTTCCTTTGCTTTGTTGATTTCATTTCATTTCATTTCATTTCACTGTGTTGGGGGCTTGGCTGTAAATAACCTGAAGGGATATTGCGAGTAGAGTGCAACATATGAACCAGAAAGTCATTGCGAGGGCTGGGGGTAAAGATTCGAGTCGACTGGTAGGTACCCAAGTGGTACTTACTACAGTGAAACCTCAACAAATGCATGTATTTAGAATATCGCTCTTAACACAGCTGTCCACTCTTTTTTTTTAACTAGTTAACCACCTGCTCCTCTTGAAAGAGATGAAGCTTATACAAAGCCTTAAGAGCATCTAGAAAGAACCTTCATATTCTTTGTCACATTCATCAGATTTGTTATCGAGATTAGATGGATCATGGGATAACTACCTCTTCTTCTGTGATTCAGTACTGTGCTGGTGGCTAGTTTGTCATTAAAGGCTTTGGCATAGGAAAAGGCTAGAGAATAATGTCAAAAGTAGCGTTTAAGGCGCTTGAATGTAAATTTGTATGGTAGAAAGAAGGGCTCAATGTATTATCATGTAGATAATTGGAGTAGAGTGCAATTTTGTATGGGAATTCCTTGGCAGGTTACAATTAGTGGAGTAATGAATGCATTTATTTATTTACCATTAGGGAAATGTCAAATGTCTGCGTGTTCCTTTAAACACGGGATACAGGAATTACAATACAGATACGACAATTTGCCGGCAGCCAATGAAAAGCAGGCCCAATTTTGGTCTCCCTCTGTGGAGCTAACGGGTCTGTTCAGGAACAGGCTTAGCGCAACTAATTTCGTTGTTTGATGTGGTCCACCACAGGTACCTTGGGGCAGGCATAATAAAAAGCCTTACAAGGTCCTTGCTTAGAGTGCAGGTCGCTTGCTGGAGCATATAATTTAATGCACTTTATATTTGATACGTCTATCATCCTAGAGATGTAAAGAAACCCTGATCGTATCCCCCCCCCCCCTCCCTCCCCGATACAATGAGGCGAGATTAACTATCAAGTTATGTAGCATCGTACCTGGGCAATAAAGTAGGGAATTAAAGATGCCGAGATAGGTGTGCGTGAAAGTGACATGTCACAGAGGCCCGCAATCCTACATTTTGTGTCCTATACCTTGGACGTTGGTGCACGAGGGCTTCCGCGAGGTTTCATATCTGTCTGTTGACTCCGTTATGGACTGATCACAGGCAAACTTCTCTCTCACTCTCGCCAGCTCGCCGACTCCTATGTCCTCTCACTAGCAAAGGCCCAATATAAGGCACCTTTGGATGGCCTAAGGCCCAGGAATGAGTTGGCAAGGTTATCCAACTAGGGGTGGGGACAGAATGATTGATGGGATATGCCGGAATCTGTGCTTGCGAGGAGTATGCATTCTACTCGCCTATCATGGAAAATGCTGGTGATCGCTCATCCGATCGTACCTATACGAGGAGCATAATAATGATGATCATGGCCCTCCGGAGAGTGAATCATACTTACCAAAAGCATTGACTTGTCGATCCGGAAGTCTGGACTCTGCCAGCCTATCTCACGAATGGAAATAAGAGCCTGTAACCAGCTGAAGCCTCTGCTGGTGTTTTGAAGTTTGAGGGAGATTCAAGGGGGCCATGTCACACCGGTCAACTTTAAAACAGATGCGGTCCTGCGTGCTACACCTTGGTAAATTTGCCTCTATTCCTTGGCAAATTGACACGAAGAGGTAGAAATTACTCATCATAACGAGGATTGGCAGTGCTTGTCTTGTGGCTAGCTCTTGTCGATAGGAATTGGAGGATTGCTAGGTTCTAGACAATCAGGAATCCGCACGTGGGCGGCATGTACTCCGTAGTCAGTATTTAGGCGTCGTCCACGCTTAAGCGAGTCATTTGGTATGAATAAAGACGAGAAAGAACTGCCGAGATACCGAGTTCATAGTGCACTGCTTGCCCATTAATTTAATAATGCTAATGGCAGGGATCATGCCAGTCGAATAAATACAATATGATACATGGTACAGTAGAATTCAAAGCCGAGGGTCTCGCCCTGGGGTCCTTTAAAATTATCCCCAAAATCGAGCACTAATTCAAATATGAATTAGCGCCGGAATATTTATATTCCTGTATATTTACGGTATGGTATAGAACTGTAAGAAAAGTGTAATAAAACTGGAGTCCTGTCAGATGATTGTACGAGCGAAAAAGAGTCAAACAATAGTTCAAGGTTGTTCTGAGGACCCTAAGGTCAAAGCAGATTCAATATGATTCGAATGCTAGGCTCCCCGGTGGCAGCTACTGTGAGGATACCTACTTATGACACACAGCCTACCTACCTAGGTAATAATGACTCTGTCTTGCGACTTGAAGCATGGGAACACCCCAGGTAATTTTAGCAGCAACCCTACACTATCTGAATATTGATATACCCCCAATCTGATAATTCCCAGACGCTCTACGCCCTTGCTGAAATCAGTCCTGAGCAAATAGAACCTGGCTGAGGGCACCAAATATACAACACGTAAGACAAAGGGCTGAGTGCATTGTGCAACAGTAAAAGCACCCGACCAAAGGTCTGGCTACCGAATAGCTATGACCACCATCAGATGGTGGTCATGGGGGGCTTTTTAGCCTATTAGTAGAACACAGTAATCAGAATTTGTTAGGTAGGTGAGAAGCTGTCCCTACCACTAGATAGGGAGTGTTCACTATCACAGATATAACACCTGTCAACTTTTGTTCAGCTAAACAGTGCCTAGACAACTATTTTGTCCTGATACAGTTTGTTGCTCAACAACCCCGGGATAACAGTTGGACAGTCACTACTACCTGTATTCTTAAGGATGCTGGCTATTACCCACCTCACTAATTATAGTTATATCTAACACTGACTTACTCTTAGGAGTTTTTCTTAGGGTTTATATTTACTGATAGTGTGCGCTGTCTTGGATTCAACTTGTCAGCCGAATACGGTCAAATATGCACCTCCCGGCTCATAACCTGATGGATGTCAAATCAATAACGAAATGAAATAGATCCCATTTGGGGTCAAAACTACCTAACTTTTATAGCTATACTAATCAAATTGATCCTTCGTGTTCTAGCTAGAAATGGTGGCATAATGTCATAATAACTTTCTTGAGCGTGGGAGTTCTGTGGAATAAACACTTGTAGCTATGAAGAACTCTTTGATACCTAGGTAGACTGTAGGGTTCAGATCCAGTAAGTAATAAGTAGGGCAGCAAGTATATTAGCTAAGCTCCATTTTATAAATATATTTCTTGTATTCCTTTGCTGCAATGAAAAGAGGCATTCTCCATTTTTGTGGGGAGATGATCTTGTGCTTAACTAGGTTATGGAGTACTCCGTACTATACGGAGTACCTAGGCAGCTATATAGTGTTTTAATAACAAAACATGTTAGATAACATATCAGTATAATAGAATACCTTAATACTATACAATACACTATTGCTGGAATCATACTTACCAGAACACGCGCAAAAAGGACTAGTGTTTCTTGGCATTGAGATCATTTTTAAAGGTATTGCAGATGGTGCTGGTTTTAAATTTGAGTGTAAGGGAGGGCCCGGTAGAATGTTGTGAGTCTGGAGGATGGGCGACTGGGATGGTGCGACAGTGTGGATTGGATGGCTTGGTGTGGCCAGAGCAGGAGTAGTACAGAGTAGTGTACTACTAGTAGTCCTCCATAATAATAGGGGTAAGTATCTTTATCTTCTTGCTCCTGTCGGCACATTTCACTCTACCCTACTATACCTTCCAGGCTTCCACACTGACACTCAAATGCAAGCCATGCCTCTAGACGAACAAGAGAAAGTTCTTCTGATGATTGATCAAGTTCAATGTTAATCCATGATCTATCTCCCTGTTTCCACTCCCTGGTAACTTTAAAGAGAAACAATATCACCACGCACTGGGAATGGACCCCACACCAATCCAGGAACACAATGCACTAAGATGACGCCGTCGGTCTAGGCCTAACAGCAGTCTTAACCTTGACAGGAGAAGTGCTGCTGTGCAGAAAAAAAAAAAAAACCGAGGCCCGCAGTAATTGCGATGCGCGCCGTACAAATTAACTGATCGACAGCATTCAATCTTACTGGTCGCGAGTTGGGACCCGTGCTTCATCTCGCGGTAAGGACTGGAATTATCGACCAAATGGGAAGTTTTTGGAGCTGTCGCTGGCCGCTGGGAGAGAAAAACCAACGAACGCCTTGGTTTGGCCAGAGGAACCGTTATATTAGATCATCTTGGGGACTTACCTACTCTGTAAGTTAATTCATCAGAGACTAAGATAATTATCTTTTATATTGCTCCAATCGCCTCCGTACCCCCATCATCCTCCTCCTCTCTACTCCGTAGGCCATAGCGCTCGTCTTACCCTAGGAAAAACCCCGACAGGCTACTTCTTGTCTACCGGTGTAGGGGAAGGGAAAAGATGAGAACCGCCGAAAATTCGAACGAAGCGAGACTCAAAATGAAGAACCATGTCTGGAGTCTGGAGGTCTCGATATGGTACTCCTACAGAGTAGGTAAGCCAAAAAAATCAAAAAAAAAAAAAAAAAAATCAAAACTAATAATACAGTACCAATATACTCCATACTAAGGCATTTAGTGTTGTGCGTGGCCCCAGTCTCATTTTACAAGGAGGATTGGACTTGGTACTACTGGTGTGAGTCGGGCGTCATTTCATTCTAACAGGAGTTGGGAAATGTCGCAATCTTTGCATGAGGAATATGTATGTACTGTACTAGTAGTACATACAGAGTACATTAGACATAGCCCCGATGCTAAAGGATGGCTGTGCCTGCAGAAAGCCTTGATTTCAGTCAAAGAATAAAGAAGTGGTTTGGAGAGAGAAAGGAGATTTATTCTTAGAACTTTTAGCTATTTCCCTTTGTAAGTGGTAATACGTGGTTTTCTTTCTCCACTTGCAGCGCTCCCGTACGGATTCGTATTTCCACGGCCTTTTTCCTTCCCTCCTCCAATTTCCCTCCCTTACTAGCAGTTACTCCTTCTTTCTTGCCCCTCTGGATTCTTCTTCTTCTTCTTCTTCTTCTTCTTTTTCGTCTTCTTCTTACTCTCCTTCCTTTTAGTTTTATTTTTACTTTTTTCTGGTATCCTCATCTCTTTCGATTTTCCTGTTGTTTCACCCCTTTCTCCGGATGCCTTACCATCATTTGGTGCTGTCGTTGATGTAGATAGCCCCTGGTCCTTGTTTTTGTTTCTATGTCAATGAACCGCTGGGACCTGACAATTCATCGCTTGCCTTGTCTCCTTGCATCCACTCTTTCCCACGGTCGCACCCTGTACTAAAAAGGTACCACCATTACACCTACCTTCAACCACCTCCCTCCATCATCATCATCATCATCACCACCACCACCGCGCTCCTTTTTTTGACATTCCTGTTCTAGACTTTGTCGTTCGCTCCTTACAGACATACACTCGTTTCTCTGTGCTTTTTTATCGCCGAAAGTATTCTTGTTTCTCTTTTTGAGGGGTCCTCTGTTGGTCAACCACTCCCCTGCCGCTCTTTAATCCCTATTTGTTTATTACTCGAAGAATTCCCATCATTTGATCAACGCAAATCGCTGCCAGCCTTGTTATCCCTACCGGAGAAATAAGTGAACAAAGGACGGCTGGAAAGAATCCTCGTCCGAGACGCCCACTGCTAGCCACCGATTCTATAGATCATCGATATCAACCGTGGGATCTTGTATTCGTCACTTGAACTCCTCGTCTGTTTCGGGATTTGGCCCAGACGCTTTACAATTGAGCTATCGCTCAGTCCTTTCCTTTGGATATATTCATCTATTACTCCATCGCTTGTTTGCTCGCTTCGCAACCATGGTATTACGGACGGCCCTGCTCGCCGCCGCCTTGTCGCTTGGTGGCCTAAACTTGGTCGCTGCGGACCAGCTACGACCTCTCCATGATATCCCCAAAGGAGTCGCGAGAGAAGTCATTTCGGATTCTGGGTCTTCAAGCTTAAACAGGCTTGATTCGCGGTTTAGCTCTGATTCCAATACTACCAGCTCGACCAGTGACCAGCCTGCTGAGGTTGTCATCGTCCCCATTACCCTCTCCATCGATGCTAATGGCGTAACTCACACCATTACCGGCGTCGCCAGGACTACTCCAGCCACGGCTGTTGCTTCAACTACGACAAAATCTGCTGTGGACGCGGTGACTGCCACTACAACTACAACCACCGGTTCGACGTCAACAACGAAGTCTTCAACGACCAAGACTACCACTGAAACATCGACTACTGCCACCGCAACGTCGACCACTGCCGCAACATCGACCACTTCCGCAACGTCGACCACTGCCACAGGAACTTCGACCACTTCCGTAGAGAGTTCGACCACTTCCACCGCAACGTCGACCACTGCCACAGGAACTTCGAGCACTTCTGCAGACAGTTCAACTACCTCCACTGCAACTTCGACCACTGCTACGGGAACTTCGACTACTTCTGCAGACAGTTCAACTACTACCATATCAAGTGTGACCACCGGCACAGGAACTTCGACCACTTCTGCAGACAGTTCGACCACTACCATATCAAGTGTGACCACCGGCACAGGAACTTCGACCACCTCTGCAGACAGTTCGACCACTACTATATCGAGTGTCACCACTGGTACAGGAACTTCGACCACTTCTGCAGACAGTTCAACTACTACTATATCGAGTGTCACCACCGGCACAGGAACTTCGACCACCTCTGCAGACAGTTCGACCACTACGATATCGAGTGTCACCACCGGTACAGGAACTTCGACCACCTCTGCAGACAGTTCGACCACTACGATATCGAGTGTCACCACCGGTACAGGAACTTCGACTACTTCCGCAGACAGTTCGACCACTACCATATCAAGTGTGACCACCAGTACGGGAACATCTACCACTTCCGCAGCGACTTCGACTACTACCACCGATGGTAATCTAATTGATAGCGTTTTAACCAGTCTTCTTGGTTCGACTACCAGCACGATAGCGGCTAGCTCGACTAACTCTCCTGGCACCTCTAATACTTCTGTGGAAACTACCCAAGTGGTGACATCCAGTGGTTCTAGTACTGCCATGCCAACATCCACTAGCTTGTTCTCTGCGGAAACTACCAAAGTGGTGACATCCAGTGGCTCTACTGCTGTCACGCCAACATCCGCTAGCTCGTCCGGAGGCTTGCTTGACATTCTTTCGTCCGATTCCACCATCACTGCGTCCGGAACCATTTCAATTATCCCCTCTCCGTCAGCCACCAGTTCCTCCGGAGGCTTGTTGAGTGACCTCCTCGCTACCACCGCGTCTACTATCACTGCTCCTGGCAACTCATCTACCACGGCTACCGCCTCGTCTACTCCCTCATCAAACTTGCTTGACAGCGCCTTGCCTACAATTTCTGTCAGTGTCCCTGAGTCGACACCCACGTCTTCAAGTTCTACCAATGTTGGTTCGAGCACGGATACTGTGATACCTTCGACATCTTTGGCTATCATGCCCTCCAGCTTGTCCAGTGTTCTTTTCCCAACCTCAACCTCTACTTCTACCTCTACTGAAGTGGGAGCTTCCGTGCCAGTAATCCCAACTGCCACAGCGCCTAGTGGCTCGATTATTCCCGCTCCTTCGACCAGTGGTTTGATTACATCGGCTTCGTCCGCGACTGGGACCAGTCAGCCTACGCCTTCTGCGACGCTCGTAACAACCACTACTAGTAGCACAGAGAACTCCATTACCACCACGAAGGCTGCTACGGAAACCACCACGGGAACCACCACGGAGACTACCACGGAGACTAGCACCGCTGAGCAAGCTTCTAATACCAATGGCTTTGTTCCATCAAGCATCCTGGTTGAGCCTACACCGACTGCTGAGGAGACAACCACCGAGGAGACTGCCACCATCGCTCCGACTGAATTACCTGGCTCTATCTCTCCTGCCAGTGGCACCCCTGAGGCCCCCGAAGGATCTACTTTGATTCAGCTAGGCTTTACCAGGCCTCTTCGGTACTCGTTCGTGGCTACTCACCCACTATCTTCCTCGCAGATTTTCTTATACGTCCCAGAGGGTCTTGAGTATGCCCTGCAGGCCTTGAGCAAGAACATTGTCATGTCTTCTATTCAACCATATGACAATTCTGCAAGCACTGGTTATATTGCTACTGTTGCCCAGGCTTACATTCCCTCGGACGATGTTGACACGCTGGACAAGATGCTTCACAACCCTATTTCAATGCTCTATGAGCAGCCTAACGGCTCTGTGAAGACTCTGCTGTCAATGCTTGATCCTTCAATTCCTCTTGTCGTTGGAAGTTCTGATGATTCCTCTTCTGGTAGCTCTTCATCTAGCACCGCTAATTACAACTCGGGTAGCAACAACGGTGGCACTGCCAACAAGAACATTTATGATGACTCCGTTGCTGGTGCCAATAGCAGCTCTTCGGCTAAGCCTAGTTCCGTTGGAATTGGCGTTGGTGTTGTTGCTGGTGCTGCTGCCTATGGAGCTGGTATGTTCTGGGTTGCTCGTCGCTATCGGAAGAAACGTCAACTCCACCGCCGCACTAACTCCAGTGTCGAACAAATGAGCGAGGGCGTTGCTGGACCACTGTTTGCTGCTGGTGGCCGCCTTTCTCGTGGCAGCCAGAACAGCCGAGGAAGCCAAAGAACCCAGATGATCAGTGCTCCCGTCATGGCAGAGAATTCCCTCGGATGGAATTAGTTTACTGATGATGATCATCTTGAACATATATAAAAAAAAGAAAAAAAAAAGACAAAAATAATGTGGATCGCATTGTTCTGGTTCGAAGATAGACAGGGGCAAAATCACAAAGAAAGAGCAGATGGGAGAATCAAGGTCTCTGCGCTACAGTCATTTCCCCCTCTTTCCCTTGTCTATGGGATATATTCTGGTATACAATTGGTTTTCTAACTGTATTCAAAGTTCGATGTATTTGCATCCGTCCATTGGATGCATGTCTTTCTGTATAATTTTTTTTGCCCCTTTACATATTTTCTTTTCTTCCTTATTCCCCATATTGTTTCTACATTTGTCTCCTTCTCTAGCCCGCCTTTCCTCTTCTTACCTTCCTTTATGATGGTGACGCAGAGCAAGATCTCACCACCGCAATCCTTACTTCTCCTTCTCTCATCTTTCCCATGAAACTCTTTCTGGCTAACTGACTATTTATGCTCCTCTAATGGTTGGGTGGTAGTATCCGTGATGAGAGATGTCATTGCTCTACTCTCTTGCCCTGTTCGAATCTGACTCTGTTCTCCACCATTTCTTTTTTGTTTTGTACAGATGTATAGTGAAGTAGAGAAGCACGACATGAACCATGTTTTGGCATGGATGTTGGAATGAACTTATACCTTTTTGAATTTTGGTAGTGTATTTTATACCCTTTTCGGGGATCACTGGCCCCAGGGTTGATCTCTTCGACTGGGGCATGGTAGGGTGCGCTATAGAATTTAGTTAAGTGTATAGATTTTGGACCCAAAGCTAATCAACCAAAAGAGAAGATATTAAACCCATGAGAAGAGAAGATGCTAACCATTATGTACAAATGAATATATGAGACGAAGCATCCGCATTGTCCAGGTGAATCGAGAAGAGAGCGGCACAACGCGCAAAGAAAAAAAAAAAAAAGGTCTTTTTTTTTTTTTTTTTACAAAGCGACACTGATTCTAGTTACTTGTAATCGCTTGAACGCAAGAAAGCGAAGCCACGACTAGACGAGACTAGACTCACTCCGACTTATCTTTTGAATCGGAGGCAGAAGAGCCAAAGCTAAATCCTCCTACCATGGACCGAATCCCCGACTGGCCGCGTTCCTCGCGGTCTCGTTTTCGCTCTTCCTTTGCGCGGCGGAGTTCGTCTTTGTACTCGTCCCAGGAGATTTTGGCGTCTGGCCCTGGAGCGGGGATGATGCTTGGGGCGTGCGCCGGCGGAGGCGCATGGGGGAGATGGCGAACTGCGTCTTCGCCTGCGTAAGCGCGGAGCCCGGTTTCGAAGGCCCATTCGACAGCTTTTTCGACGGGTTCGTCAAAGAGGTAAGGGAGGAAAGGGACGACGGAGAGACCGAGCTGCACGTGGATAGATATTAGCCCATCTATGGTATTTATTCCCCTTCGATTGTGGGCGCGTAGTAGAGGAAAAGCAAAGGAAGGGAGAAAAAAAAAACGTACACCGATAGGAGCCCAAGTGCGGAAAAACACACTCTTGTTGTTCTTCAGCACCCGGCCAGAGTACTTGACCACGCTGTGGATTGTGAATGCTGGCAGACCCATACTGGCGATGCTCTGGAACACGGCGCGCTGCGCCATCACCATGCGGTAGTCTTCGATCAGTGGGATAGTCGTTGACGGCCATGGAGTCAGGGTATCAGGCTGGGTTTTTTTGTTGACAGGGTCGGGGTTGTTGCGCAAAGCTCCGCCCGTGTTGCTGCCTGTGGCCATGCCCTTGGCAACATCTTGGTGGGCTAGGTCGCTGGCGTCTTTGTAGGCTTCGCAGGGTGGAGCGAGCACGCGACGGTTGCGGAGATAGGCCTTGTAGCCCTCGTGGGCGACATCGCCGATTAAGTAGGTCCAGGAGATTCCGTAGGCGGTGCGCACGAGGTAGGGGTGAGCGACGGGGCGGAAGGACTCGCCTATGTCGGAGGTGTAGGCGACGTAGCGGTGGGCGGAGAGGAGGATAGTGCGCAGGCGGGTCGCGTACCCGGCATAGCGGTATGGGGTTTCGGTGGAATCAACGGAGCTAAGGGGGATCAGTTTGGTCCTTCATTTTGATTTGTTTTAGAGAGAGAGAGAGAGAGAGAGAGAGAGAGAGAGAGAGAGAGAGGATGAAGTGCAGTGGTGTGGCGGGGAATAGATGGAGAAGCAATAGAGCACGCGACAGTCAGAACTGAGAACAGCAAAAGATGTACGTACTATGGGGTATAAACATCATCATAATAGAAACCATCATCATTATCAACTAGCTCTTGCATTTGAGGGGTTAGTTTTCCCCTGGTGATGGGCTCTTGAGGCTTTTCAGACGTATTGTCCTTTTGTCCTCCGCTTCCCCAGAACATCTTGTGCTGAGACCAGTGTTGTCCTCGTTATTTTCCCTTTGCTAGGCTGGAGGGAGTGGGAAGTAAATAAATGAAAGTAAAAAGCGAAGAAAAGACACCAGAAGAGAAAAATGGGCTGAATGCACTACTGCAACTTGATGAATCAACGGTGATGGTGATAGTAAGGCCGGAACTTGAAACTACTGGAAAAGAAAGAAAAAGAAACCCCTCGTGGAAGCTCCATCACGCTCCCCCACCCGCATCACAGGCTCTTATAGTCTGTATTACTGCTGTACATTATATTATACCCGTACGGAGTACACGACAACCGAATAGCTAGCCGGGGGCAACTCCCTGTCAAATGGAGCTCCAGGGAAGAGAATACTTCCCCGAGGTATGTCGAGGACACTTCCTTTGGTCCTAAGCTCTGGTCGTGTCGGTCTCCCTCTTCTTTTTGCTGCTGGTTTGGATTTGGTTTCCTTCTTTCCAAAAGGCTCTCGGACCGTAACCTACCCTAATATTGTAACCTTATTATATGAACCCATTGCTTTGATTCATTGGAATCGAATCATCCTCATATCCCGCTTTATATTCCCGACGTCATCCGCGGGACGGAAACTCTCGGGACATCACGTGACCCACTCGTGACATATCATGTGATGTCATTTTTTATTTGCTGACTCAGAGATGACTCATTCCGCTTAGTCATATTCTCTCCCCCCCTAAACCACATGCGGTAAAGACTAAAGTCGCCGCAACTTCCATCGCTTGCCGTTTGGACGACTCCCGCAGGGCCAGCTCTTTCGTACCGCTTCATTCGCCGCAGTGACTGTTCTTTCTTGAACCCTTTCCGTCCTCAATCCGTCATCATGGTCGTCTACTATCAGCTTGCCGGCAAGCAAGTCGGTTCCCACGTTGTACGTTCCTCACCCCCTAGCTGAGCCATCCCCTGGGCGGCTTGCGTGGGTTTTCCCGAGATCCTGTCGTCCGGGTTCAACGGGAGATAGCTAATTGTCTTCGAATTTCTGTATAGCTCGCCATGGGTGTCCTGGGCGCTCTCTTCGGTGGTACCTACCTCGCTACCCGTGGCTCCGGTGCCCAGAAGCAATCGATCACTCCTCCAATCCAGGCTTCTTCTCAGGATGAGGAGACCTTCATTCAGTACGTTGTTCTTGCCCGACACCCAGTTTTCGACTTTCCCTTCAATCGGACTAGATAACACTCTACTTTGTTTACTGTGGGAATGAAATACCAAAGCAATTGCACTGACCGACGTTTTTGCAGGGACTTTTTGAAATCTGTGAACGGGGAACAGAAAAAAGCGGATCATTAGGATACCCCTGGAGTCAATGGAAATCAATGGAGGACACTTGGTTCCGGTACTTCTTGAGAACCTGCGATACATTCTTCACACGCAATGAACCGATGGTCACGTTAATTGAGACTTGGTGAAAGGGAGTGAGTGTCCTGGGGGAATGGACTCGCGGGCCAGATAGGCCCGATGGCCTGTCTGAACCCACGAGAGTGGGGTGTGAATCTGTACATATAGAGGTATACACCTAGAAGGCTTATATTTGCTTTCATTTGGTGCTTGTCAGGACGTTTCTGGACTTGCTTTTCTGGCGGTATCGACCCGGTCCGCGCGTAGCATGTACAATATGTAGTATCTATTGATGTGTAAAGAGCGCATCGTGTTTCTCTCAGCGTGTAATTGAATACGTAAAGACCCGTGTCGCACCCGCTATTGTTGTTTCAACTTGGGCCCTCCATATTTTCTGATAATCATCTGCTTAGTCATCGCGTATACTCATGTCCAAATGTAGAGAGTTACAAAAAAAAAAAAAACAGACCCAGGCTACCAACTTCTCCTTCTCCTTCTCCTACAACCTCATTATTTCCCTCTAACAACATGAAACCACTTCCTTTCCCCTTACCTTTCAATATCGGTACGGATATTGTCCACCTGCCCCGTATCACCCGCCTAATCAACCGGCCCGGAGACTACCTCACTCGGTTCACGCGCCGCATCCTCTGCGAACAAGAACAGCATGACTTCCGCACCCGATTTGCTATCCCCACTCCGTCTACTTCCCAGGCACCACCTAGCGGCTCGACCTCCATAACGCCCGATATGGCCCGCTGGCTCGCCGGTCGGTTTGCAGCAAAGGAAGCCGCCAGGAAAGCAGCGCCACTGGGGGCTGCGAGTCTCGGGTGGAAGGATGTTCTGGTGCGCGTAGGCGAGGTTGATCAGGGGAGGCCGGAGGTGGTGTATCTTTCTCCGGAGGGGGGGAGGGTTGGTCGGTTATCGATTTCGCATGATGGGGAGTATGTCGTTGCCGTGGTTTTGGCGACGGGTGAGTGAGGCGAGGGCACATGCTGTAAAGCAGTATACAGGATTTGACATGCGACATTTCACTTGGGGGGCTCTTATAGATACACACATGACGCTAGGTGTCGCCAGTGGAAGAAAGCTTCGTCGGGATGATAAAGCCAGCTGCGGTGGGCTTTGACGGGCTGGGCTATCTATCGCGCGAAATAAGCGCCTGGGGTACCGTAAGCGACCTTGAGGGGATGGTGCGAAATGCAATGGTCGGGGTTTATGTATGGGGGGTCTGGAATGGCTCTTGCGACAGACAAGTTGATAGACTGGGGAAACCACCCACCTGGGCACTTATGGATATGAGAGGCTCTACCTTTTTAAGCTCCCATCGCTGGATATGAGGAGAAGGATCTAACCAATCCAACTGTGATGTTAACAAACGTGTAGTTCAAGTGATAATAAGAGGTGGAGATGGGAGATCCTCGGCGGGAAGTGATGGATGGCATCACAAGCGATAGATAGAATCGAATATAATCTTTCTTTCTTCCCGCTTCGAGGAATTCTTCTCTGAATCAATCGCCAACTCCTTGGATTCTGATCCGTTGAAATCTAAATCCTTTCCATTCCATTCCTATTATTGCCTATTACGCTGGAAGGGATCGGTCATTCCTCTTAATTACTCTTAAGCTATAACCTTCATCGCGGGGCAGACAGACGGATCGCCTCTGGTAAACTCCTCCACTCGCATTCATTAACTACCCATATCATCAGCTAATTGTAGTTTCAACAGCTATGCCCTACACACATCATAGCCACTCGGGCCAATTCTGCCCTGGCCATGCTAAAGATTCCCTCGAGGAGGTAATCCAATTGGCCATTGCCAAAAAATTCCAAGTCTTCTGTCTTTCCGAGCATATGCCCCGCGGAGAAGAGGATTTCTATCCGGAAGAGGTATAAGGATCCCGAGCCATTCCCCCTATGGAGACTGCCAATACGAAGATGAAAGAAAGAAAGAAAGAAAGAAAGAAAAAAGTCCCAACCTAACAACTGAATGTCCGCTCTAGATTGAAGCCGGCAACACCGTGTCCTGGATGATCGCCAACGAAGCCGCCTATTTCCAGGAAGCCCAGCGGCTTCGCGAAAAGCACAAAGACCAAATCCGGATTCTGATCGGGTTCGAGTGCGACTGGATCCGTCCGGAGTCTCGTGCCTTGATCGAGGAGTCGCTGTCGAGACTCCCGTTTGAGTTCTTCATGGGCTCGATCCATCATACTCTCACGGTGCCGATTGACTACGACCGGGCGCTGTACGAAAAAGCGCGAGATTTAGCCGGCGGCACCGACGAGCGGCTGTTCGAGGCTTACTTTGACGAGCAGCTCGACATGCTCCAGCAGTTGAAGCCGCTCGTCGTGGGGCATTTCGACCTCATCCGCTTGAAAAGCGACGATCCCGAGCGGAGCTTCAGGCAGTGGCCTGGAGTCTGGGACCGCATCCTGCGCAACCTGGACTACGTGGCTGGGTATGGGGGCATTCTGGAGCTGAATTCTGCGGCGTTGAGGAAAGGAATGAGTGAGCCTTATCCCAAGGCTGAGATTTGCCAGGTAAGTCGTCGTGTCTTTCTTTTTTTTTGGGGGGGGGGGGGGGGGTTCCTGGGGGGTATTGCGTATAAGATAAAGTTCTGTTCTGATTTAACGTGGCTAGGAATTCCTGGCTCGTGGAGGTCGGTTCTGTCTGTCCGATGATAGCCATGGGGTGGACCAGGTTGGGTTGAACTTCCATCGCGTGATGGACTTTGTGGACAAGGTGGGCATATCCACCTTGCACTACCTTGATCTGGCAGAGGAGGGAGAGATTGCAGTGGATAAGCGGTTCCCTCGGACGCAGATAAAGGCGGTATCCGTGGAAGAGGTGAAGAAGATGTCTTTCTGGGGGTGAAGTGGCTGATTATCCATTAAGCCTCCTTGTTCTTGTCGCAGACGGCGTTGAGGTTGCTGAACCCTTCATAGAAACTGAAGTGAATCTGATCGAGATTGACTAGAGGAGACCACGAAGCATAGCCTCAACCTCTGACAACCTTATAGTATCAAGCTTCTGAAACATGCCTGGAACCAAGGAAGTGATCACTTGTAGATAACATGTCCCACTGGTGGTAAAGATGGAGCTACACCGTAAGATCACAACACACGAACGTGGAGCATACTGAGGAGGGGCTGAGTCTAAAGACACGACCTGCATGGATACCACATTCCCTCCTCGCCCATCGCTGGTTCAAGATAATGAAGGGAAGCATGAATCCCGTCAAGAGGGTAAGAAAGTAAAAGGACACCGGGGATTGTTCCTGGGAACCCAAAACATTAGGCAAACCAGACTAGAAGGCGATATCGTCAGGGTTAGGGTAAAACGTAATACAAATCCCAGGGTAAGAATTGTCTACCTACTAGGTACAGGCACTCAGATTGATCAAGTGGACTTGGTTATATCTTTTCTACATATTCTGCTCTGGTTCTGTGAGTTCTACCCTTCTTGTCCTGCGACTACTAGCCGTGCGGTTTATAGTTTACTTCAGGGTAGATGCAGAAAAGCTATGATAGAACTGTAGAGCAGGGAAGCTTCCTATCGCGCAATGGTATTGATATAAGCCATTCCATCAGCCCTGTATGTATCCCGCTCAACGTAGCTCTGGTTGCGCGGAAGACGGAAGACGAAATTGCTCGCATCGCTGGGGTTATGTGCATACCGAGGCCACTGAGGGATTTCGGCGACTTGTAGAGTTAGATGGAATGCGATTGAGCGATAAGGAGCAGAGCTTACCTCCATGTCGATTAGGGTCTAAGTCAGCCACGAAGGAAGTCCACATACGGGCTGCTAGGTTTGCGAGCTCCAGACGCGCCGGGTCGGCTCCTAGTGGAGTGAGAGTTTGGACGGGGTTTGCGAAGACGAACGGTATCTAGTTACTTATCTCGGCATGTTATGTATGGATCATCGTAGATAGGGCGCTTAGTGTACGTACCTCGGCGAAATGCCCAACCCCGATAGTAGTTGAATCGTTCAGAGCCGGCACGTCCCAGCGATAGGAGTAAACACGGGTCTCGTACTTGGCCATGGTGTGTGCGAGGAGCCGTCGGGGCGCAAACATGGTCAGATCCCCAGCCATTGACTCGTAGCGCTTATACATGAGGCCCCTTTCGGGCCAGGTGACGTTGCCCCAGCCGTAGGGGCAGCCGACGGCAGGGTCATTGGGGTAGAATGCCAGGAGCTTGGTGGCTTGTTCGTGGTGGAGAACCCAGCGCCTGGATGCTAGAAGGGAGGGTCAATTGGTTTCTTTCCCGGTCCTGTGCGTTTCTGGAGGAACAAACTTGTGAGCTGTTCGATGCACTCCTCATCCGTGCCAACTCCTGTCGTGCCGAAGCTGGTTCCTTCGTCTGTGCTGGTCCCAACTAAGATCGGAACTTTGGCGATTCGCCCATTTGTGATGCTGATCTGGGGGTATTCTTTGATGAATGTGCCGTCGACCGCTGCGAACCACTCAAGTCCTTCGTATGCGCTTGAATACAGTGATTCGAACGGGACTTCACGGAGACACTGAAGGGTGTCTGTTTCGTTGGAGCATCTGGGGGGGTGTTAGGTTATTCTTCCCAAGCAAGTCACCAAGAACGTACCCCGTTTTATTCACAATCCGATCATACATCGGCTGGTGCCAGTCTGTGCCATTCCAAGGAGGGCCAACGGCATTTCCGGATTCCATGATGGCTATCCTCTTAGTCCAGGATTCCGTATAGTCAGAAGGAGCTCTTCTTACCTGCTCTGAAAAGACCCTCGTTATTACCACCATTAGCAACCAGATGAGCCCCAACACTGTATGCGCCTCTATATTCCATCAGTGCCCCACTCTAAGCTCTCGGCTCTGAATACTCACGCCGACTCTCCCCAAATCGTGATCTTGTCTGGATCCCCCCCAAACGCCTCAATATTGTTCTTTATCCAGCGCATCGCAACCCTCTGGTCCAGTAGTCCGAGATTATTATTTCCCGATGCCTGCCGAGAACAGCATTCAGCATATCTACACGTAAAAGAAAACCCCAGGGAGAGAAAACGTACCCGAACCTCCTTCGAATCCAAAAACCCAAACGCAGCAACTCGATAGTTGATCGAAACCCCTATAACCGGCTTCCCATTCACAGCCGCTTGTCTGGTAATGTAGCTCACATTATACCTGTTGAGGTTCGGTAACTCAGCAACCGATCTTGCTCTTGATACCGTGCAGACGCTCCGAAATAAACATGAAAAGGCAGCCTTACCGCGGATCCGCCGTCGCTCCCTGCTGCCATCCACCACCAAATATCCACACCATAACGGGGAGCAACTCCGTATCACCCGGGGCTCGCCTCGGCCGAATAACATTGAGATTGAGACAGTCCTCGCGCAATTGAATCACGCCCGTATTCACGAGTCTGGTCTCATCAGACCCGTACCCAGGACACTCGTATCCGTACTCCGTCGCATTATAAAGCACTGTGTGATGGCGGTCTACACCAGCGAAAGACGAATCCGTAGCAGCAGCAGCAGCGTAGTCTGTTTTCAGAGCAGATCGCGTAAACCGCACGGGCTGGTCTGCGTACTTGATTCCAAGGAACAGCTCCTGTTCAAACTGGGGGAGCAGACGGCCCACGAAAGCGGTTTTGGATAGAGTTGCCACGGGCTGGGACGGGGAGGAGAGGGGCACGCTCGCTGCTTGTGCGGTATGGCATGTCGAGGTTCCCAAGCTAAGAGCGAGTGCGAGCCAGCTCAGCGTTAAGAGATGATTGTGCATTGTTGGCGCTGGTTCTCCTGCTTCTGCTTCGGCGGTGGAATGAAACGCGAGGAGGACTACCGGCGATGGCTATGGTTATAGTGGGACTAGGTATAGTTTACCCCGGACAGGGAGGGGATAATTGAGCTAATTATCCGAGTGTGAGAGGGAGGACCGAGGACCACACCGGTCGTTTATTGTTGTGGCTTCGCTGTACTGGGTTGGCGCATTGCTGGTGAACGAGGGAGAACGCTCTAACCACGAGGAGAATTTTCCTGAAATGAAGGTGATTAGTTCAATCTAAGGGTTGCAGGAAGGCAGATCATAGGTGGAAGAAGTTGCAGATGAAATGCAGGTGAGGTTAGTAGTTATTGTTGTGAGGGGAAGAATTTCTCCGGACAATAATCAGGAATACCGGATTCTTTCTTGCCTGAGGATTTGGGGAGAAGGCGAGGTTGACATTCATAACTTGCTTCATTATACCAATCGTAAACTGGTATTAGGATCTTCTATATTAATCTAGCTAGATGTGCAGCTTGCATGGCACGACCTGCGCGACTTGATGAATCTTAGCCATTTGATATAAAGACGGATAACGCCCAAGAGCAAAAAAAAAAAAAAAAAAAGAAAAGAAAGAAAGAAAGAAAATAGCCAGGAGAGTGCAGAGCATCATCTAGGTACAACATGTAAAGTGCAAAGAAGATATTCCATTACCAAAAGAACAGAAGCTGACAGCAATGTCTTGCTACGCCGTGCTATGCTGGACGCGTACAACGGATTTATATCTCAGAAAAAAAGGTATCAAACGACATATTAAGCCAGCGATGGGTCTTGAATGTGCATGGCATGGCACATTGGGATTTTGCAGTATACCGTCAATCGTCCTTAACCCTATCCAATCCAGTACGAGTCCTGCTCGTGCTGGGCGAAGCGCTAGGGAATCGTCCTCTAAACCTTCCTCCGTTCGAAAGATTGGTTCCAGACCGGTTGAAATCGGCATTCCAGCTTGACTCCACAAGGAGGCTGGTTGAAGCTCTCGATTCCACCCCATCATCGAGCTCGATTAGATCTCCGAGGCCTCTCCGTTCGCTCGTCTGACCTCGGCCATGACCCTGGAGAGTGGATGTTCCTTGTTGCAAATCGCTTAAGCTGGATTTCGCTCGCGCCGTCATCTTTCTAACCCAGCCTTCAACGGCGCCTCCTATGCTGTCGAGACTTGTCGAGTTTGATGCCGCTGTCGACGAATTTTCGTTGAGGCTGTCGAAATTCGGCGCCGGTTGTGTTGGAGCTAGCTGCGGTAGGTGTTCGGCAACGAACTTACTGAGACCGTCCATGGCGGGCCCGGGCAGATTAACGCTGCCATCAAGGGTTCCCACTCCGGTGCCAGAGAGCTGTAGCCCGCTCCGCTGGCGCTTATGCCGGACGCCGGGTTTAGGGAGACGCGATGTTCGTGGATTAGAGGCATGCTGGGATTGGGGTTGCGAATCATTGGAATAGCGTGAGGGAAGGAGCTGGATTGGCGAAGAGGATGAAGAGTGTATAGTTTGCTTGTGGTCTCGTCCGAAAGGTTCGGAATCGCTATAGCAAAGGGATTTTCGTCGACTGCGGGGAAAGAAACCTAGGGCAGTGCGGGGGATACGACCAATTTCCACAGGTGCGGAAAACCCGTCAATCTGTACCCAGGACTCGTGCGTCCATATATGGTCAGATTCTACTGCGGGTTCAGGTTTCGTCTGCATTTGGTCTGCCGATAACGTGGGAGTTTCGGGGACAGCCGTTGGAGCGATAGAGCTCCCACTCATATCCTCAATCGATGGACGTCGCGGGACATCGTCTAGTAAATCAACCTCTCCATGAGGATTTACCGGTCGACCCTTAACTGAACAGCAGTCTACAGGCAAGAGGACTGTTTTGCGGCCTTGAATGCTATCCGTGGGCCAGAATCCATTTGCCTTCCGGAAGATCGCGGGCTGGCAACCATATCGTATTGTAACGCCCGTGATACTGTCGGCTGGCTGGACCCGATGCACGTAAACCAGCGCATCTCCATCCTGGTCTGGTTGGATTGCCGAGTGATCTGCTTGGTCACTCGAATCGCGCCGTTTGTGCCGGGCATTCAAGCTCCAACTCGGATCGGTTTCTGCTAACAACAAAGCTTCCCGTTTCTTTGCCTGCACCAACGCTTGTCTCTCCTCCTTCGTTCCGGCGCCAATCTCAGGTGCTGCGGGCGCCGAGGGACCCCATGTGGAAGCCGACGGTGTGCGTGAGGGTATTCGCGTGCACACGTCTGGGCGGGAGGGCTTTCTGGCGTGCGTTCGGGGGGATCCATTAGCGGTCGGGTGGGTGATATCGCTTCCTAAAAGGGACGAGGCCAGACTTTGTAGCGATGACCAGGATGCATCGAGAAAGTCTGCGGCAGCTCGCGACGACTCAGCGAACGCCACCTGGTTTTTTCCATCGAGGTAAAACCCACCTAATGAATTCCCACCGGTCCGAACATGGTTGGGCGTCTGCGTGACTCGAGAAGGATGGCTCATGGGGATAGGGGAGAGGGTTCGGGATGGACGAGGTGAAGGGGTCGCACCCCGAGACCGGACCGCGGGGAGCTCTGGGGTAAGCATCGTAGACAGTCCAGTGGACCGTGGCTGGCGGAGATTATTATCCTCATCGCTATCGGTGAATGAAACCAACCGCCGCGACCGGACTGTGGAGGTGGACCGTGGGTTAGCATTAGTTGTTGTGGTCGTCGTCCCGGGACTGAGGGTATCGGCAAAGCCGCTGCTGGAACTCATCCCTGGCGACAAGGGGAAAGAGATGTATCTGAGGCGAGGCAGATGCCGTTGGACTCTCCAGAAGGGGAATTATCTGTGGTTTGGAGACTGCCGGGGCACAGATTGCCATCGGACGTCTCTATGATAGACCATTCGTCATGCAGTCTCCGTATCGCATCCGTGTCCTTTTAGCTCCGAATGAAGACCAGAGGAGTTCGAATATGCAAGAAATGATTACTCTGCGCCCTCCAGGATAAGATAGAAGAGAGTCCAAAAGCCGAGTCTCGTAAAAGGAGAGATAAAGGGCGTAGTAGAAAGGCTGGGGGAGAGTCAGGATATGAAGGTTGGTTTTGGAGTGGGCGCGGGAAGCGGCAGGAGGATGTACTGAGGTTAACTTCCTAGGGGATGATGACGACTCCCAAGAGAGTGGAATCGATCTTCAAACACGACGAAGAATGGGATTGCGAGAACTTGATCTCTTGTGGAATTCTTTCTATTGTTGTCTTTTCATTGCGTATTCTCCTTGACCTTATTATTCTGATTTTTTTTTTTTTATTTTCCTTCCCCCAACTATTCAGCTTTTGACTGCGAGACTCCCTCGGATTACGCATACGCAATATGGTGGCTCTTTTTGTTACCAAGAATTACCATACCAAACAGAGCACTTGGTCGATCCAAGTCTGGGGTTTCAAAACTTCGGATTCATCTTAGATTCCTTAGATGCAAGGTTGTGCATTATACCTGTTATTAGCTACTAAGTACCAACAATCAAGACCAATTGTACCTACATGGTTGTTTGATTCTTAGTTTGGTGAGACTATGTCACAGTTTCAAGCACAACCGCAACCCCCAAGTATCAATACAAGCCAATACAACTGATGGTATGAAAAAGTGCTGATCAAATGCACAGAAGGGAAAAAAACATCTATTGCTGGTTGGAGTAAGGATTGAACCCTCTATGAATAGCATCAATGGCGTTGAGATAGAAGAAGAAGAAGATCTTGTGTACATAGAATCAATACATAAAGGCCACTCACAGACATATCCCAGGTAATCAGTTACCTAGGTAGAAATCAACAGCACATTCAAATATAAGACCAAGGCACTGCAAACGCCATTCCCCTCTGCTGAAAGAAGAAAGAACCCGGGTAACGAGCAAGATCACACCGCGATTACTCGGGCGGTTCTACCATCTCTTTAGTCGATTGTGCCTCCGCTTCAGATGCGGCCTCGGATTCTGTGCTCCACTCTTTCTCGGAGTTGGCTTTGCTAGGTTGCGTTTGAGGTTGGGTGGGAGCGGGAATAAGCCGGGCACCACCAGCACGAGAGAAGAAATCTTCTGTTCGAAGACCGCGGACCTCGTCCGGGTTGACGGATGTAATTTGTAGCCCCTCTGCCTTTTTCTGTCGAATCAGCTCCCGAACTGGCCCCATGGCAGCGTCGCGACATGCTTCTTTGATATCACTGCCCGACATGCCTGCCATCATTTTGACCAGATAGTGAAGGTCGAAGTTCTGGCGGTCGATCTTCGTGTCTTTGAGCACCAAGCCGAGGATTCGAAGCCGCTGTGCGGCTGGTGGAAGGTTCACGGGGAACTTTTTGGGCATTCGACGGAGGATAGCATCATCAATATCTTGCATGCGGTTTGTGGCGCCCAGCACAACCACTCGCTGTGGCTCTCCCGTGGAATTTGCCGACGTAAGTCCATCCCAGTGGGTCATAAATTCCGCTTTCACCATGCCACTAGCCTCGTGCTCGCCACTTCGCCTTGTGCCAAGCACTGCATCTATCTCATCGATAAAGACGATCGAGGGCTGCAATTTCCGGGCCAAGGAAAAGACGGCATTGACCAGTTTATTCGAATCACCATACCACTTCTCCGTTAATGTGGATATGTGCAAGTTGATGAAACAAGCTCCGCTCTCGTGGGCAAGCGCCTTAGCAAGCATAGTCTTACCGCAGCCGGGGGGCCCGTACAATAGTACGCCCGACGGGGCTGTGAGAAGTGATGAAGTAGACGAATAAAGGTGAGGCAAGGTCAATGGGTATATGACGGATTCTTTCAGTTCTTCAATAATATCTTCTAGACCTCCGATATCCTCGAATGACACCGCGATGTCGTCGGGGGCGACAACATCCATCGCAATCGCTTGTTCATACTGGTTGAGAACGAGGTCGCCCCGTTTCTGTCGTGATCTTTTGCCGCCTTTGCTTGGTGAGGCCTCGTCCGACTCTTCTCCGCCATCAAGTTTTCGCAGGATAGCGGCGGACTTGCGTTTTTGTTCCTCTTTCTTCTGACTTTCTGGGTCGAAATCAAGGCGGGAGAGGAGATAGCGGATAAGGAAGTATGCGGACGCCGACTATAGGTATCCTGTGAGTTACCAAACCCAATATGGGACATGCTTGTGAAATTACCGTGCCCGCGACCATTACCAACTCCTGCAAAAACTGCTGCCATCGTGGGCCGCGTGCCGAAGCCATGATGAGGATGGAGGTGAGCGCTTGTAACGAATCTCGGCCAGTTAAAGATCTGGGACCCAAAACGACCGGATCGGGTAATGACCCAGATAGAGTATATATGAACAGGTAGAAGAACCGAAACTCCACACTTAAGTCAAACTCCCGAGTCCAGCAGCGGGAAGATGGAAATGCACATGCGATGTCGTCTGGAAGAAACCACAACAAATCCGGGTCGTCGGCGAACAGCACACTCCAGGGTGTGGCGCTCACCCAAAGACAGGCAGTCAGCCGTAGGCGTGGCTTTACCGCAAGCGTCACATGTTCCCCACAGTTTACTGCCGTCATCCTCAAGGCGGTCAGAACGCGCTCTGGAGAACCGCATTTTGCTTATGCTGTCTTTTGTCTGTCGCGTGTATATGGTTGGTTGAGCTTTCTTTTCGTTCTTCACTCACACTTTTGTAGTATAGTTTGTGTTTTATATTTTATCTCCAATGCCGAAGCGAAAAGCTACCACGAGACTTTCAGGCCTAATAGGATCCGACGATGAAGATGTGATGCAGGCCGCTCCCGATCAGGGCGAAAACAATGAGCGCCCAACAAAGAAGGCGAGAGGAAGACCTCGATCTAAATCAGCGGAAATGAAACCGCCCGTGCATATAGCTACGGATGTGGCAGCGACAGCCCCTCAATCATCAGATACTGCCACGAAGAGGACAACAAGAAGGGGCCGCCCAAAGGGCAGTAGAAACTCGGGCCAGATGGAAGCCGAAGGGCAGGATATTACCCCGCAAGAAACAGACGGAGATGATGGGATAGGAGCCTTACAGGGAGCTCCACAGCCAAAAAAATCGACCAAAGCCGCTAAGGGTGCAACGCGTGGCCGACGAAAGCCTAGTGCGGAGAAACAGATCAAAACTGATGGCGAATTCGAATATACACCAACAAGTACGCGACATAAAAAGCCTACCGAAAAAGCCGAGGCACCAGCAGAGCCCGCTAGTAGGATACAAAGGAAGTCTTTGGTCGAGGCAGAGGAAAGTGGATCGGAAGCTGAAAAACCTGTGCAGGAGGTTATTGAAGAAACAGTGATGCACGAGGAGCTTCCCGAGCCACGATCGGTTTCCGTGTCGCCTGCCAAGCGAAGACAATCATCTCAGAAAGATTTGCAAAGCTCTCCCTTCAAACGGAAGTCTAGCGCCGGAGATGACGATAGGGGGAACGGAGAACCTGAGCTGAGACGTCGACTGGGCGACTTGACGAAGAAATATGACACCCTAGAAAATCGATATCGCAATCTGAAAGAGATAGGTATTGTGGAGGCAAACTCTAATATGGAAAAGCTGCGCAAGCAGTGCGAGTCAATGACAACAGGTATGTGTACATGGGTGGCTCTATGGTATTTAAGCATGCACTAAACTTATTTCAGCATCAAACAACTTGGTTACCTCATTAAAGACTGAATTAGAGACACAAAAAGCTCTCGGTGGAAAAAGTCGCTTGCTCCAGAAGCAACTACGGGAGCGAGATGCGGAGGTATCCCGATTAACGTCGCAAGCTGAAGAGGCCACTAGCCAGCTCGCTGCTGCCCAATCGGAAGTGAAAGCCTTACAAACCAAGCTTGCTGCTGCTCGCAGTACCGCGGCCACACTCGAGAGCGCGGCGCTCAAAGTTCCGGGGAGTGCAATCAAGGGCGGTGGTGCTAACCGCGCCAATGCAGCTGCCAATGCTGAAGCCGCACATATGGCTCAGTTTGCGCAACTGAAGGAGGACCTTTACAGTGACCTCACGGGTCTTATCATCCGTGACGTGAAGAAAAGGGAAACAAACACATTGTACGACTGCATCCAGACGGGTGTCAATGGAAGTGCGCTCATCCATGTTGTTCCATCCAATCCAACCTATATGCTAACCTGTTGGCAGCTCTTCACTTTAAGCTTGTTGTCCCCCATGTATCGTCCGTCAACTTTGAAAAGGCGGAGTTTCAATATATCCCTCTTTTAGATGAAAATCGGGATCGTGAATTGGTAGATATCTTACCCGAGTATCTCACGGTGGATATTACGTTTGTCCGCCAACAGGCATCGAAATTCTACACACGGGTGATTGACGCGCTCACTAAGCGACGAGCAAGTTCCGGCAATTGATGGCTTCGGCTTTGTAACCTTCTTTTCTTGGGGACTCGACTCTTCTACTTTGTTTCTGGAATCTTGGGCATTGGCAAAACTAGTTCTCGCATGATAGGAGCCTGGGAGCAGCAACCAGCGCGGCGTAAGGGGACATTTGGGTTCTTTTGCAATTAGTATAGGCAGTGGCTCTGGATGGATAAAAGCGGGAGAATGCAATTATATACTACCTAGGTATCCCATCTTCATAACCGTAAGAGACTCGCCTGGTGTACTTGACGCGGTGGGTTCGTCTCAGGGGCATTAATTCGATATATTGGATGTCAATGGATTGCCGTGCCGTAGATGACGTCCCTTATTGGCCAAGGTCCCCAAAACGATCAGGAACGCGGAAACAGGAAAAAGTGCCATCTGGTCCAACCCCAAGCTTGTCAACCACCTTGCCAGCCTTTTATTCTTTGGTTGTTGTTGTTGTTCTTCTTCTTCTTCTCTACTTCTCCCTCTTGTGCTTTTGGACATTGATTACTAGATTTCTATTGCATTGGGTTATGGTTCTAAACTTGCGTCCCGAACCGCATTCAGTCACTCTACTCCCTCCTTGGGGGGTTCATGGAGAAAGGGCTCACAATTCCCAATCATGGCGCGTCTCGGTCGTACGGGGTTTGTCACCCTTGCGGTGATATTCCATCTCATATATTGCTATTCAATCTTCGATATCTATTTCGTTAGTCCGATTGTGAGCGGAATGCGATCCTTCCAGGTGGAACGGGATCCTGGGACCAGTGCTCCGGCAAAACGACTCGTTCTGTTTGTTGCTGATGGCTTGCGCGCCGACAAGGCTTTCCAGCCTTTGCCGGACCCAGATGGCTATGAGGACCCCGACAGCAGCGATCCTATCCATCTTGCGCCGTTTATTCGATCCCGCGTGCTTTCCCACGGTACCTTCGGCATCTCCCATACTCGAGTTCCCACCGAATCGCGTCCCGGCCATGTAGCTCTGATCGCTGGGTTATATGAGGATGTGTCGTCAGTCACAACCGGTTGGAAGTTAAACCCTGTGAATTTCGACAGCGTGTTCAATCGGAGCAGGCATACATGGAGCTGGGGAAGTCCTGATATCCTACCGATGTTCAAAGAGGGCGCCGTTCCTGGTAGAGTCGATGCGGATATGTATGGAGAAGAAGCCGAGGACTTCACCATGGATGCAACACTTCTTGATACCTGGGTGTTTGATAAAGTGCAGGAGCTCTTTGCGTCGGCCAAGAGTGACCCGGAGCTGGATAGAAAGCTGCGCGAGGATAAGCTGGTGTTCTTTTTGCATCTACTCGGACTGGATACCACCGGCCACTCCTACCGCCCCTACTCAAAGGAATACCTGCGCAACATAAAATTGGTCGACGAGGGGGTCAAGCGGATCTCCCAGATTGTGGAGAACTTCTATGGCGACGACAGCACGGCGTTTGTTTTCACAGCGGACCACGGCATGAGCGATTGGGGTAGCCACGGAGACGGCCATCCGGACAATACGAGAACCCCGCTTGTTGTCTGGGGGTCTGGGGTGGCTGCCCCCAAACATCCCAAGGATGGTGTCCCTTCAGGGCACGAAGACGGGGTTTCATCCGAGTGGAATCTCGGTAGTGTTCAACGGAACGATGTCGCGCAGGCTGATGTCGCAGCTCTCATGGCATACTTGGTTGGACTTGATTTCCCAACTAATTCCGTTGGTCAGCTCCCTCTGGAATATCTTGATGCCAGTCCAAGGGAGAAGGCCCTGGCTGCCTTTGCAAATATGCAGGAGGTTCTGGAGATGTATCGCGTTAAGGAAGAGCACAAGAAAGAAGCCTTGATCAGGTATATACCGTTTGAGCCTCTTGCAGACGGAGGCGAAAACTCCGTGGAACAGCGCCTCACAGCTATCGAAGAACTGATCCGCAGCGGTTCTTATCAGGAGTCGATTGAGAAATCTGCTGCTCTGTTCCTGACTACCTTAGAAGGTCTGCGCTATCTTCAGACGTACGACTGGCTCTTTTTGAGGACTATTGTCACTCTAGGATATCTGGGATGGATTGCATATGCTTTGACCACGGTTATTGACCTTCATGTTTTGCATGGAACTTCCGACTCAAACCGTACAACATCCAGTACCATCTTTTTCTCATCCATTCTTGTGGTTCTATTTTCGGTTTTCTTCTATCAGGGATCATCGTGGAGATACTATTTCTATGGATTCTTCCCCGTTTTTTTCTGGGAAGAAGTCTTTTCCCGGAGAAAAGCCTTGATCGCGGGTCGAGAAATTCTTTTAGGACATGTCCGCTCTGTGAGCGACCACTTCTCCTTCGGATTTCAGTTGTTAATTTTCCTGGGAATATTGGAGGCATTGGTATGTATTATTATACTTATTCAGAAGCTGAAATGATTGCTGACCAAATACTTTAGGTTCACTCTTACTTCCAGCGGGAAATCTACACTGTATGCTTCATTCTAGGCGCCTTCTGGCCCCTGTTCTATGGCTTCGGGTTCCTGAAAAAGCATGCTGCTCTTTCTGCAACTTGGGCTGTTGGCTGTCTTCTTATGAGTACCTTTACCCTCCTGCCCGCGATCAAAGTTGAGGACATCAACACCATGTACGTATATTTTCCATCATATAAGGGTACTTTGGCTGTTTATCTGACGATTCCAGAACATATGGTGCTGTTTTAATGCTCCTCGCCGGCCTCCTATATTTGTTGTTTGAGGATAACATTTTAGGGCCTACGCATCATTCGTTGCAACACTCAACAGCCGTTTCAAGACTCGGTTCACGGACTATTATGGGAATGCAGGTAGGGACATCTCTTCCAAGCCACAGCAGAGTGACAAATCATTTGAACGCCTAGCACACACTAGCGTACTTGAAGTTCATTTACTTTTGCCACTTCGCTACCTGCTGCCTAGCTGTGCTTATGCCACGGCGCATTCATTACATTACGATTTGCTAACGTGCCTCAGCTTGGAATGGTTATACTCGCGTGGATCGTAACAAAGTCAAGCATAGTCTCGCTTCAAGCTAAGCAGGGCCTTCCTTTCGGCAATCAGGTAGTTGGATGGTCTGTTTTAGGTAAGCGACTGATCAGCAATACCTCTTTAATCAAACTCTCTATGCTCCAGGCTACCCAGGTAATATTGTTGTTGGCCCACCGACCCGCCGGGAGCAGGGATTGCATGCCTTCAAAGCGGTACATTAGATATCAGGTGTTGGGAGTGTTTGACGTGGATGCCCCCCTGTAGAGGCAGGTGATGGATCCTGCAGGCATTACACTACTATGCAATATCTCAACGGGTTTAGAAAGGCATTCCAAGGCGCTGATATCTATGAACATGCCTGGGAATGTACCTTGTCTCCCCCCGCCCCCCGCACTATCATAAGATGGCAGGACCACTCCAACAATATTACCTGGGGCAAGCTGAGTAGTAATCGCTCATGAGTACGGCTCTAGAAGCTAACATGCTCTAGTTGCGTCTCTTCTACTACCATTCTTGCATCGACTATATCCGAATAGTCACTACCTGCATCGCTTAATAGTGCTCTTCCTAACATTCTCGCCCACCTTCATCATCCTTACTATTTCGTACGAAGGGCTGTTTTACTTCGTATTCTGCATGACCCTAATCACCTGGGTCAGGTTAGAGCATGCCACATACATCCATACTACCGCCACACCTCTCAAGCGAAAGAATGGTACGGTCCCAACAAACTCGGTGGCGTCCAAGGGCATGAGCACGGGCGCCACCGCGATTGTGGAAGGCGAAACGTACCAATTCCGGACGCTCAGTGTTTCAGATGCCCGTGTCGCCTTGTTCTTTTTCTTCCTTCTCCAATCCGCGTTTTTCAGCACGGGGAATATCGCTTCTATATCCTCGTTTTCGCTCGACAGTGTTTACCGGCTCATTCCCGTATTCAATCCGTTCAGCCAAGGTGCGTTGCTGGTTTTCAAGATCCTCATTCCGTTTGCGATCATCAGCGCGAATCTGGGGATCCTCAATCGCCGCCTCGAGGTTGCGCCCAGTGCATTATTCATGGTCGTCATGTCCATCTCGGACGTGATGACGCTGAACTTTTTCTACATGGTCCGCGACGAGGGCTCCTGGCTCGACATTGGCACTACAATCAGTCACTTCTGCATTGCTAGCGGCTTGTGTACTTTTGTCGCTGGGCTTGAATTCCTCAGCGAAGTGTTCATCGGCGGAGTCGATTTTGGACCCCGTGCTGGCGCAATTACGGCTACCATCGCCGGCACTATAGATGGCGTGGTGTCGGAAGGCCTCGAGCAGATTCCGGATAGAGTTGGGGACGAGAGAGACTGAGTTTCGTAGACGTGTATCTCACCAAGGTGACGGTCCACAGAGTTTCTTTTTTCTTTTTTTTTTTTTTGGATGACATGTACATGCATGGTAATAACCCTTCAAGTAATATAGTTATTTTATTATTATTATTATGAGGTTCTTGCGTGGACGTTGCGACGATTGGGCCTTGATCCTGATAGCTTATGTATATTATGGGTAGGATAAGGTCCATGCTCTTGTTTTCCTTCCTTTCTTTTCTTTTTTTGCCGAGGTATCACAGGGACCCAGCAAACGACACTTAATTTTAATCCCAGGCAGCGAGCGACTACGTCTTCCTTGCGTGTCGTGTCTACAGTATACTTCTCAGAGGCAGTGTTGGATTGCGAACTAGGCTCGGATCGGCTTGAGTCGCGAGTCTAGCGTTCGTTGGGATTCTTCAGACGCAGAAGGAAACTATCTTGGTTCCTCCATATAGTTACTCCGTACACCGTACGGTATCCTATCCCCCTAAATCAATAAAAGCATCAACTGACTCAAGCTCAAGCCTGAATATGGAAGGGATTGCGAGCGTCCAGTCTTGCAGGTGGATGATAACAGATCACTAACTGCAGATCCGCCTCAGTTCATTAATCGCGCATCTCATCTCATCTGCTACCTGTCAGCGTAGTATAGCATCCTTGAACAAGGTATACGTTCCTTTTCAATATCAGATATCCTTTCATGCATCTGGCACGAGTACTAGTTGCTAATCGAGTCTTTAGCATTTACCCCGGAGAGAACCCTGACGCATAGACCACCACACTTTCCAGTGATAGATCCAGTAACTATACGTCTATTCCAAACACAGGAGAGATCTCGTTTGTTTCATACGTTTCTCTTTTCCATCAACCGGGGCTGATGTCGTCGATAGAGCCTGCCTGACACTCTAATTTTGGAGCCCTGGTGTGTTTCAACGTGGTCTGCTGCAGATCCTGGAGCCGTTGTTTGAGATATCAATGGGCAGACAGACCTGTGATTTAGAATGGGATTTCTGCTTTCTAGAACGGGATTTATTGGACCAGAATAGAATTCAAGAATCAACCTATCAGCGCTATCTTTTATTACCTGGTATTCTCCTCCTTTCGAATTCTCTTCCATTTGTGCCGTAACCTATAAGAACGCATTTTCAAAAGAGGTTCCTTGTAACCGGTTTCTTTATTTCGATTTTCCCCCTCTCCTCCCACCCCCCCCCCCCCCCAATATTATTATTATTATTTTTTTAACCTGGTCTTCCATCGGTTCTTCTCTTTCTCTCATCACCCTCCGCCTAATCCTCACTCACCATCCCCAACCTAACGCCTACACCTCTCCTCTATCCTATCTCCTAAACACATCTTCCGTCGCCGGTTCTCCCCTGGATGGATCCTTTTTGACCATGAGCACAGTAGGAGAAAAGCTCACCGATTCAGCACCTTCCAGACCGAGTCCGACTCCCAGTACAGCGGGCTCGACGGGAACTTCAGGAATAGCGGTACATGCTAGTTCAAACGGACAAATGAGTTTCAGAAGGTAGGCACCGTTGTTTTTAGAAAGATCTTGGTTCTGAGCGCGGGGTTGGAGTGAGGATGAAGCGCACAAAAAGGAGTTGCGCAGACCAACCCACCCAAATTGAACCCCAGGGTAAAAGGAGGAGAGAAGAAAAAAAAAAAGAGGAAACCCTCGAGATATTGATCTATTTTATCTAACGTTTTTCAAACAGACAACGTGCATCGCGTGCGTGTGAGGTTGGTTTTCTCCTTGTCGAGTTGACGCGACGCTTTTGCAGCCTCGGTACCTCGGCCCATCGCAGCTTTGCTTTTGCTACAGCTTTGCGGCCGTCAACCATCGAGTGCTGAAGAGATCCACCCTCCCAACCCTGATGATTTCCTTCATGGATGTTGACTAACCCTTACTTGGTTTGCTCCCTGGTGAAGACTTGCCATGCTCGAAAAGTGAGTCTCGCCTCTTCCCGCGCTGCGCTGCGCCCGCGACCACCCCCCTGCAAGAAGACCCTAGCTAATCTCGCCTCCCATCTCAACGACTAGGTCCGCTGCGATGCTGCCAGCCTAGGTGTACCATGCACCAACTGCGTGGCCTTTTCGATCGAATGCCGGATTCCGACACCGAAACGCAAGAAGAATCAGACCAAGTCGTCAAAGGACGCTGTCGAGTAGGTTGCCACCTTGGCTCCCCACTTCTTTCTCGACCTTTACTCACTCACTTTCTTTTCCAATAGTAGCGAAGAGACCGACGAAAAACCACAGAGCGACGAAAAACAAGAGGGGTCGGTATCCGAGGGGGGGAAGGATGCGTTTGGTTACCAGAACAATCGAATGGCCGTCGATGGGATGCCAGTTACTTCGCTTACAGAAACCCAGGCCGCCCACCAGGCATCCCAAAACGGAACCTATGCCCAATTCATGAAGCCTAAATTTGCGCGGGCCCCAATAAAGGAGGCCGGAAGGGTGGCATATCTGGGCGAGTCTTCGAATCTGTCCCTCTTGGTTCAGGACCGGCATGGGACTACAGATGTCGTACATTACCCTTTGCCACCTAACATCCGAGGGTCGCGTGCGAGACTCACGGATCTAGATAATCTTGAACTGGATATCCTTCACCAACGCGGCGCTTTCCTTCTACCCCCGAAGCCGCTATGCGATGAATTGGTTGACGCCTATTTCAAGTGGGTAGCCCCCGTGGTGCCCATCGTTAACCGCAGCCGCTTTATGCGTCAATACCGCGATCCCAAGAATCCTCCCTCCCTGCTTCTATTACAAGCCATACTCCTTGCTGGCTCAAGGGTCTGTACAAACCCACAGCTTATGGATGCAAACGGCTCAACCACGCCGGCCGCCATGACATTCTATAAGCGTGCAAAGGCATTGTATGATGCCAATTACGAAGACGACCGAATCACGATTGTCCAGGCATTAGTACTCCTGGGCTGGTACTGGGAAGGACCTGAAGGTGCGTCCTTGCTCTGCGTTCATTTTTGCGCCCGGAGATACTGAACTTTGTAGATGTGACCAAGAACGTGTTTTACTGGACCAGGGTGGCAATAGTCGTGGCACAAGGGTCGGGTATACATCGCAGGTAAGGATCAAATTCGGTCAGTTGTTCAGCTTTTGGATCCTTTTTATGTTAATGCATCATTAGCGTGGAAACTTCACAACTTAGCAAGCCCGACAAGAGGCTATGGAAGCGAATTTGGTGGACTCTTTTCACCCGAGACCGGTCCGTAGCAGTCGCGCTAGGACGCCCGATTGGAATCAGCACGGACGATTCGGACGTTGGGATGCTGACGGAAGACGACTTCGTCGAAGACGAGGTTGATATTGCTGCCGAGTACCCCCCAGACTCAGTCCATGTGCAATTTTTCCTGCAATACGTCAAGCTATGTGAAATCATGGGTTTGGTGTTATCCCAACAGTACTCGGTTGCCTCTAAATCCAGGCGTATGAATGCCATGGATCTGACCCACTCCGATATGGCCCTTGCCGATTGGCTTCAGAATTGTCCCAAGGAAGTATGTTGGCAACGACAACGACATCACTTCTGGGCGGCGCTCCTTCACGCTAATTACTAGTAAGTGGAATGGGTCGGGTTTACTAGATTGCTCTAATCTGAGATTATAGCACTACCCTCTGTCTCTTGCATCGAGCACATATGCCGCCCGCATCGTCGGTTCCCAGCAGCTACCGTGTTGAGGAGATGGCATATCCATCACGCACCATTGCATTCCAGGCTGCGGGGATGATTACCTCCATCATCGAGAATCTTCAGGCTCACAAGGAAATTCGATACACGCCCGCATTCATGTATGTTCAGTTTTCTTTTTTTTTTTCTTCTTCTTCTTCTTCTTCTTCTTTAACGTACAAATGCAACCCTTCAGATGCTAAGTCATGATGAACAGTGTCTATAGTTTATTCTCCGCTTTGATCATGCACGTTTACCAAATGCGGTCCTCTGTGCCTTCGGTTGTTGCTACGTGCCAAGAAAGGATTAATATCTGTACGCAGGCACTCAAAGATGTCTCCAAAGTGTGGCTTGTGGCCAAGATGGTCCATACCTTGTTCGAGTCCATTCTGGGCAACAAAGTTCTCGAGGAACGTCTACAGAAAGCCGCGGGAAAGAGGCATCAGCGGACGAAACACGATCACAACCAGCACGCCTCTACGAGAAGGCCAGATCCACCCAAGCGCAAGTTCGATGAGATGGATATCAACCTACCCAACGGTGGCCCTACGCCTCCGGTGTCGTACGAGCGGTCTCGTCCACAGACGCCCGCCCCTACTCCCGCAAGGGAGATGCCGCAGCCTGGCTTAACCGTCCCTCAAGGTTCTCCCCCGGTAGCTAGGGAAGGTCTCTCCGGAACAGGCCACTCTCGCGCAAACACGCGCCCCACAACCCCTTTCAACAATCAGTTCTCTCTTCCTGCAACACCTCCAGACCTGTTCCTGGTTACACGTACCTCGCCAAACCTCTCCCCCTCGCTTTGGGAGAATTTTCAGCCTGATCAATTGTTCCCTGATGGCACCGCTATCTTCCCAGAGCTGACCTCTCCCCAGAGTGCGGCGGTTGATCCACAGCTACAGATGCAAACGCCAATCCAACCTCACGGACTCGACCAACGATCGATGCTGCCGCAGCAGATTCCACCGCGAACTCTGGCTGGCACTCAAGCAAGCCCAGAGCTTCTATCAACCATGCCTCCAGGTATTGGCCTCCCAGGACAACCACCCCAGCAGATGTTTGGAATGGAATCCCAACCAGCATGGCCCATGCCCGGACTGGAGGGCCATGTAGCAGCGGCGGCGATGGACAATGCGAGCCAAGATGACAACTGGAGCAGCAGCTCTCGGAGTGGCCCAACGGCCCCAACGACTCTCAATGTGGAAGACTGGTATGTCGACTCCCTTATATCCCGAGCATTGGCCATTACTCACCGAATCCTTTTTTTTTTCCCCTTAGGTTCCAATTCTTCGGCATTAACGGTAGCTTTGGTGAAATGACAGCTTGAGCTGGACTATAGCTGTATAACATGATTAATTTTGATTTGAATCCCCTCTTGCTTACCGCGGGCAAGTTAATATTTCTGTTGACTTTTTGCTCTATTTTCTCGAGCTGGCTGATTCTGTTTTGTTGGTACCAATGGGCTTTATTCTGTCACACACTGGATTTGTTTGATCTGGTCGCTAGTGTACTTTGTTTTGGGACGAGGGAGCCGTGGACAAAAGGCGTACGACCAAGGAGTACAGCAATGGGGGTATTGGTTAACGTTATGTGCATTATGAAACGTGATAGCAGATTCAGAATGGGGAAACTGAATCCTTAAGGGCTACTTTCTGTATATAGAAGGAAAAGGTATCTGTCCTGCCTAAGGTGTATATCTCCTAATTGGGCGCTAGTGGATGACGACATCGCTCTCTGCGCCCGGTAGCCAATCACAGGCCACGCTCGTGATCTGACTAAGAATCCCAGTCCCGGGTTTTAAAGGATGACTCTTGGAAGCAAAATATCAATGAATCATTTCTCTCCTGGTTCTCTGATCTTCTTTCCAGACGAGTATTCGAATCCTGACCATTGCTCTCGAAACAATATCCATTGTCCTCTCTCTTTCGCTTCTTTGCTTTCTCTTGCCCTTGCGCGTTCTTGTGCTCTTCTTCTTATCCTCTATATCCCCCCTCCGCTGTCACATCCCCGCAGCGATGTCGGCCTCCGACGCCAGCGCTCTGAAAAAGGCATACCCTCATGTTGACGCCGAGGGCCACAATCTGCCTCCTTCTCCAGCTCCCTCCAGTCCTCATGGAGGCAGACGCTACAACATTGCCACAGAACTTGTCTACACAGAGGGCAGCGACCAGTACAATGCCAGCAGCGTGCCCATCTACCAGGTTAGCGATCAAAATTATGATGCGACTGGACCTTGCAGGTGTCAGAAAAGCTAATTGACCTATCTTTGCTAGAGCGCAACCTTCAAACAGACGTCCTATGAGGGAGGGGGAGAGTATGACTACACCCGGTCGGGCAACCCGACCAGAACACACCTCGAGCGACACTTAGCAAAGATCATGTCGGCCCAGCGTGCTCTTGTGGTATCGTCCGGCATGGCTGCTCTAGATGTGATCACCCGCCTCCTCCGTCCTGGTGACGAGGTAGTAACTGGTGATGACCTGTACGGCGGATCGCATCGTCTTCTCAAATACTTGTCGACCAACGGCGGTATCACTGTACACCACGTCGACACCACCAATCCCGCCAAGGTGGCCGAGGTTCTCAACAGCAAGACGGCCATGGTGCTTTTGGAAACCCCCACAAACCCTCTTATCAAGGTTGTCGATATTCCTACAATCGCGGCGGCGACTCACGAAGCCAGCCCCAGTGCTCTGGTCTGTGTGGACAACACCATGATGTCCCCATTGCTCCTCAACCCTCTCGAGCTAGGTGCCGATATTGTCTACGAGAGTGGAACGAAATATTTATCTGGCCACCACGATGTGATGGCTGGAGTGATCGCGGTCAACGACCTGGCCTTGGGCGACAGACTCTATTTCCCTATCAACGCCTCTGGCTGTGGATTGTCACCGTTTGACTCCTGGCTGTTGATGCGTGGTGTGAAGACCCTCAAGGTCCGAATGGACCAGCAGCAGGCCAACGCCCAGCGTATCGCAGAGTTCCTGGAGTCTCACGGGTTTCGGGTGCGATACCCCGGATTGCGGTCACACCCTCAATATGAGCTCCATCACTCAATGGCGCGCGGATCTGGAGCGGTGCTTTCATTTGAAACCGGCGATGTGGCCACCAGTGAGCGCATCGTTGAAAACGCAAAGCTGTGGGCCATCAGTGTCAGCTTTGGCTGTGTGAACAGTTTAATCAGTCTGCCTTGCCGGATGAGTCACGCCAGTATCGACGCAAAGACGCGAAAGGAGCGAGCCATGCCGGAGGACTTGATTCGGTTGTGCGTTGGTATCGAAGATGTGGATGATCTGATTGATGATTTGAGGAGAGCAGTAAGTTGTTTTTCTTTGCGTTCCTGAGGTCATTGCATCTAATTCGATTTTGTAGCTGGTACAAGCGGGCGCTGTGAATGTTACCCTTGATGGTATTGAAGCAACCGCACCCCAGACTGCGTCGACATAGCGAGGTATTTTTGGTCCAGTTGCCAGCCAGTTAATAAATGCTCGAGCCTGAGGGATTTATGTTATCAGGGTAGTATCCCGAGATCTATCATTTCCATCCATTTCCAAAGCGGCGTTGGGCGTAACGCGGTCATAAAAGGGGCCTTTATAATGAACATCTATTTCCATCATATCATCATATCTTCGCCTGCTGGAACTTGTATGAGGCCGGCATCGGAGCGTACCCAGTCGGATCAATCTCGTCCGGCCCATTGCTTTTGCCGAGTGAACGAATCACAACGACTTTAATTAATGCCTCATCTTACTCCATACACTTGTTTCTTACCTTGATAAGTATGGTCATGGAGCTGTAACTGTAGCCCAAGTCCTTTTTTTCTTGATTTTCTTTTTTGTGGCCTTCCAAAAGCGTCGCGGCTGTCGAGTTGTCTTCATTATCGCATGACGTCGATTCTGGCTACGTTTCCCGAGCCGGTCTTATCTTCTTCCACCCGTTCCCCTGCCTCCCAGCATCCACCTCACCAGAGATTATGCCTCAAGATGCCCTCTCACCGGATACGGCGCTATCTATGGCTGCTGTATCACAGCGACCAGGGACGCCCAATAAGACATGGAATACCGATCGTTTAGGGGCGCGATTCGGGGCCGATATTGTCAGCGCGGCCACGGCTGGAGCTTTGACTTGTCCTGTGATTACTGTCATTGATCGGTGAGGGTTGAGAAGACCAAAATAAGGGCGCAAAATTCTAACAAAGGGTTGCCAGTGCTATCATCGAAAAAGCGGCCAAGGGCATTCCCATCCGCCAGACCATCACCTCTTCCTTTCGGTCGATCCTCTCCCACCCAGGCGGATTCTTCCTGGGCACTCCCTTCCTTCTGATTTATACGCTATACACCTCGACATATCTAGCCGCCAATACAATCGACACCGTCACCTCCACCCTGCGCGACAAGCCCTTCTCCACGGTTTTCCCAGGCACCGCCAAATTCATTACCACCACCGCCGTGAACATGGGAATATGCGTATACAAGGATGCCAGGTTCGCGCGGATATTCGGCGCATCTCCTCAATCCTCCTCGTCGTCGTCGTCGTCGTCGTCGTCCTCCTCCTCCTCATCTCCCGTCTCGTGCCATCCTTCCGGCGCCGCCAAAGTCCCCAAAATCTCCTATACCCTCTTCTGTCTCCGCGACAGCATCACCATCTTCGCGTCCTTCAACGTGCCGGCCCTCATCGCGCCTTCGATCCCGGATTCCATCGCCTCAACGCCAGGCATGAAGACCGCCATCGCGCAGTTCTCGTGCCCGGCGCTTATGCAGTTCGCCAGCACCCCGATGCACTTGCTCGGGTTAGATCTGTATAACCGACAGCCACCCGGTGGGTTAGGATGGCGCGAGCGGGTCTCGCGAATCCGACGCGACTACGTGCCGAGTTGTTTTGCGCGCATGGGCAAGATCGTGCCTGCGTATGGCGTTGGCGGGGTGGTGAATGTACGGATGCGCGCCAGTTTGATGCAGTATCTAGAGGGGCAGGCGTAGCCAGTCCCTCGATTTGCCATGTAAGGCGTGTGTGTAAGGCTGTTTGTATTTAATTTCGTGCAGGTTTTTTTTTTTTTTTTTTTTTTTTTTTTTTTTTGGATCCGCACACTCATAGATTGTTTGGGATGGATGGCATTTGATTGAGCGCTGCGCTATAGATCGAGCTTTGGTTTAATTAATGTTACATCATTGAATATCCGAAAACAAAAGTGCCTTTCTCCTCCCCTCCCCGTCTGCAATGAACCACCCATCAACTAGAAGACAAAAGAGTCCCCCATATCCCATGATCCCTGAGCGCCCGATAACACCCCCCTGCCCCCGCAGAAAGCTCGACCCAACCCGGGGCCGTGTCCCCGTTATAGCAAAGGACCAAGACATGCCGGCCCCGCGGAGCGCAGCGAGAGAGGCCCCGCCGCCTTCGTGCGTAAACAGCGTCATCTCGAGCTCCCGGCACTGCGCCTCCAGCACGCACGGGGGCTGGTAGAACTGGGTGAGTAGGACTTTTTTTGGGGGGGGGGGGGGGGGGGGTGTGTTTTCCCAGGTTTCGTCGTAGCGGTGGAGGTCTACGCGGGTGAAGGATCTATATATATCAGTTATCAGATATCGATCAGTATTGCATTGCAGTACCGACACGCCTACCCGGGCCCCCCCCCCCCGGGGGGATATAGGGCTAGAGTCTGGACTGGACTGGACTGGACTGGGCCGCAGACGAGGCCTTCCAGTTGTCGTCGTTCTCGTACATACTGGTTGGGGTTCAGCACGCTGCTGCATCCCAGGGCCATTTCGCCGCGCTCTCTGGAAGCTCTACCAGAGGCAAGGGCGGGTGCGGTGCGCATCGCAGGGCATCTGGGTTGTTGAAGTACACATTATTAAGCGCGTTTCAAGTTGGCCATGATTCAAAGCCGGCCGTAGTCTGAGAAATCGGACCACCTAGATAGAGAGCACTAGTTACTGGCGCACAGGGTCCCTGACACACACACCCCTCTTTGTAGGGCTTCACCCCCTTCTCTTTAGGACTGGGACTATACCTAACCCAGGTCCAGAGCCGCTCATCGATCCAAGATGGATTTCTCGATTCACATCCAGTTGGAGGATACACGCAATGTAGCCTGGGCCAAGTAAGACAGATATGATAGTGAAATCGAAAGAAAAATGAATTACATGAAACCATAACGATTTATGTACAATTTTGTAGTGGCGTGACGAATCTCCAGTAATTTACAATTTGGCCTTGGCTTTTCCCACCAGCTCAACACCTGCACCAGAGATCGCGGGCTTGCCTGTCTCCACAACAGTAGTCTGGAAGACCACCGTGTTGCCCTCCTTCCACATCTCCGTCTTCAGCGTCTGGCCAGGTAGAACGACACCGGCAAAGCGGACCTTGAGGTTCTTGAAGGCGCCAAACTTGCTGAATACGTGCTTCCCAGAGACACCCAGCGAGCAGAGACCATGGAGAATCGGCGTCTTGAACCCACCAACCTTACTGAATTCGGGGTCGATGTGCAGAGGGTTGCGGTCGCCGTTGAGGCGGTACAGGGCCGCCTGGTCCTCCGAGGTCTTCTCCTCGACGACGGCGTCGGGCTTGCGCTGGGGAGGCTTGTAGGCGGCAGTAGCACCCTTGGGACGGGGAGCAGTGGGCTTGGGAGAGCCGCCGAAGCCACCGCTGCCGCGGATGAAGACTGTAGACTCATTGTAGAAGAGTTCCTCGCCGGTGTTGGCGTCCTTGGTGGTGTAGCCGGCGACCACCAGAGCAGCGGCGCCCTTGTCGATGACGTCGATGAGCTTGGGGAAAGTGAGGGTCTGGGCCTCCGTGGGGATGGGGAATTTGCGGATCTCCATGTACTGTTCACCGTGCAGCAGCATCATGGGGGAGAAGTTCGGGACGATGTCATCCATGTTCCAGGGGGTCGCGGTGTTGAACCAGGGGATCACACCAAAGGTGGGAAGGGCCTGGAAATTGTCGCTGTTCTCGTAGACGAGAGGAAGATCGGTGCGCTTGGCCCCCAAGCTCAGGTTGTAAAGGATAACGTCGCGGTCGGTGTAGTCGAAGGGGGTTCCATCGGTGGTGGCCTGTTTGGCTTCCTCGATGGCGCCCAGGATCTTGCTGCCGCTGCCGTCGCTGCGGTTGCCCATGTTAGCCATAACCTTCTCGGCACCGGCTTGGGCATCCTCGGGGTGGTCCGCACGGCGGTCAAAGGTGACGATCTTGCTCCACTCCTGGATGACAGCCTCGGGAGTCAGTGACACATCCACGGGGAATCCGTGGCCGCCAGTGCGCTGCCAGCGGGTACGACCGAACCAGCCGCTGCCGCACTCGAACAGACCCTTGGTGGAGAAGGGCTCAGGAGCGTTCTCAGAACAGAGAAGGACGACCAATGGCGCAACGTAGTCAGGCTTGAATGCCTGGACCATCTCCTCCGGCATGATAGTGCGGGTCATGTTGGTACCAGCGTTGGGAGCAATGGTATTGACCTTGATGTTGTACTTGGCGCCCTCGAGAGCGAGAGTGCGAGAGAAACCAAGGATACCGAGTTTCTGATTCTACCGTTAGCGAAGTTTAGCGGGTAAGTAATTAATTGGGGACACATACAGCGGCAGCATAGTTAGCCTGACCGAAGTTTCCATAAATACCGCTGGTGCTAGCAGTGTTGACAATGCGGCCATACTTCTGTTTAAGCATATAAGGCCAAGCAGCCTTGGTAACCTTGTAAGTTCCGCGAAGGTGAACGTTGATGACAGGATTCCACAGGTCATCGTTCATGTTGTGGAAAGCCTTGTCACGGAGGATCCCGGCGTTGTTGACCAGGATGTCGATACGTCCGAAAGCATCAATAGCAGTCTTGACAACAGCATCGCCATCCTCGCAAGAGGCCTTGTTGCCAACAGCAATTCCACCGAGCTTCTTGATCTCCTGGACAACAGGCTCGGGGTCAACCAGGTCGTTAACGACGACAGAGGCACCCAGCTTGGCGAATAGAAGGCAGTATGCGCGGCCGAGACTAAGATTAGTTAGCACCTCTCTTCTACAATTTTATTATTGATAATGATCACCTACCCGTTGCCGCCTCCAGTGACAAGGGCTACCTTGCCCTTGAAATCAGGCTCCTCTGCAGCGGGAGCCGAGCCGAGCTTCAAGCCATCCTCGAGGAGCTCCATGAAGTTAGCCGGGCCAGTAGGATAACTGGGCTGCGAGAAGTCGTTGACGTCGTTCCACTTCTTAGCAAGGGCACCAGGAGTCAAGGAAGCATCGGGCTTGAGCAGAGCACCCTTGGCACGTTCCCAACGGAGCTTGGCAACATGGCCACCGCCGACTTCAAAGATGGAGCCAGACTCCTTGGTGTTGGAAGGGTGGACCAAGACAGCAACAAGAGGCACCACCCAGTCGGGCTTGAGGTTCTCCAAGACCTCGGGGGGCATCACGGTAGCAGTCATACGGCTAGCGGCTGTTTCAGAATTAGTGACTGCAGTCTGGACGGCCTTCAAGACGTGATTCTCGACCTACCAATGGGAGCAATAACGTTGGCAATAATGTTGTACTTGGCACCCTCCTTTGCAAGGGTCTCAGTAAAACCAACCTGGCCAAGTTTGGCAGCTTGTTTCGTCAGCAACATATTGCTAAAATCTCACCAGGGTCGTGCGACTTACCAGAGTAGTTGGCCTGGCCAAAGCTACCGAAGAGACCGGCTGCAGAAGCAGTGTTGATGACACGACCATACTTTTGTTTCCTAAAATGGGGCCAAGCAGCTCTTGCGCACTACCGAGTAAGCGCCAGATTAGTACATGCAGAGGCAAATCAGATGCGCTAGTTCTCACCTTGTATGCACCATAGGTGTGGACTGTGTTGATCAGATCCCAATCCTGATCTTTCATGTTTTTAAAGCTGACATCCCGAAGGATACCAGCATTGTTAATGAGGACATCGATCCGCCCAAAGGTCTTGATGGCTGTATCAATGATAGCTTCACCGTTCTCGACGCTGTCGTAGTTGGCAACAGCCTTACCGCCAGCAGCCTTGATATCTTCGACAACCAGATCAGCAGCCTAAAGAGTAAAAGCATGCATGTGTCAGTCCTGGTCGAACCCCTCGAAAAGTTGCATGTGATCCATGGCAAAAACGAAACTCACCTTGCTCGATTTGCCCTCGCCCTGGTGAGAACCACCCAGATCATTTACAACCACATTTGCTCCCCTTGAGGCAAAGAACAGAGCATATGCCTTACCCAAACCACCACCAGCTCCTGTGACAACAACAGTCTGATTGTCAAACCGCAGCTCGGACATCTTGTGAACAAATTATGGAGAGTGGGGGAGGGGAATAGATTTGAGGGTCGACAAGAAAGGACAGGAATAGAGAGAGAGAGAGAGGGGGGGGGGAGGAAAAGGGGAGGGAAATAAGAGTTGGAGAATATTGAAAAGAAGAGGAGAGAATGGAGAATCGTCTGGGGAGAGGCCAGTTGAAGAACAATGATGATGATTCCGGGGAAGAGAAAGATGATGTCGGTCGCAGTGTTCGGCAAGCTGGGAAAAGCGAACCTCGGCATGTCTGAGGCATGGAAGCTCGGAGGTTCTGTTGTCAAGCATGGTAATGGTACGGAGTAGATGATTCAACTTCACATGCTGATAGTTACTGGTTACAATTTCAAGCCTTATTTTATCTATTTTATTTTCCTCTTTCTTCTCATCGTCCTTTCATCAACCTCGAATATCCTCCACCATCCTAAGAAATTTCCTCATCTTGTTGTCTTTTCGAGCTTCGTCCCCTTTTGGTTTCATTCCACGCTTTGCCTAATCTGGTAACGTGTCACCCCATGATCTGCTGACTCAGCGGTATCACATGTGATCCCCACCGGCGGATGAGCCACTAAGCCTTTTTTAGAAGTCATGCATATGATCTTAGTCATCCATGACATCCATAAGCGGTAGGCGGTGGTGGGCTGCAGAACGAGCTTCACCGCCTTCCCAAAGCACCGAAACAGAGGAGCCGGGGGGGTCAAGTCCGGTCAGATATCGAGTCTAGGTATAGTTATACAGTATCCGTAGTTAGCTGTAAACCTGTAGAAACAATCCTAGATACTCCGTACTATTGTTCAGAAATTGGAAAAAAAAAAAAAACACCTGACGACTTCAAGATGCCAGAAATCTTCGACGACAAGTCCCAGCATTGCATCCCCTTCCTTCTGGAGCGATTACAAGCCCACCAAGAAAAGTACGGAAAGGACCCAGCAAATACTCCGCCATTCTTCCTTGGTCTCAACGGAGTCCAAGGAGCGGGGAAGACAGTTCTGGTAGGCCATCCATCACTGACTTCTATTCGATTTCTCTTTCTTCGCTGGACTAACGAGTAGGGAACCCGACTCCCAGGTGTCTACCCTCCAATCCACACTGCGCTCCCCGCCATACTCCCTCCCAGTCGTAACCCTCTCCCTTGACGACCTCTACCTCACCCACGAAGACCAACTGACCCTCGCAAAAGCCTTCCCCTCAAACCCTCTTCTCCGGCACCGTGGCCAGCCCGCTACCCATGATCTTCCGTTAGCTGAACAAGTCTTCTCGTCGCTGCGTTCCGGCCGTCCGACTGCGATCCCACAGTACGATAAATCGGCATTCGCAGGCCAGGGCGATCGGGTCCCCCCGTCCCAATGGGAGACAGTCAATGCGGAAGGTCAGCAGAAAATTAAAGTTCTTATCTTTGAAGGATGGAGTGTAGGGTTTCGCGCCTGGGACGACGACGTGCTCCGGGAGAAATGGGAAGCCGCGGTCCAGGAAGAGAAGCAGGGAAATTACAAAGGCCGTCTAGGCTATGTGAAGTTTGAGGATATCAAGATGGTGAATGACGCATTGAGGAAATATGATGTTCTGACTGAGTTTGTTTGCCTCTTTTTTTTTTTTTTCCCCTGGGACTTTGACTTTGCATATTTGTTTCGGTGGCTAATTGCTTCTATAGTCAGTTGGATGCGCTTATCCATATGTATGCGAACCACCCCCCCCCCCCGCCCTCCGGGGCCAAGATACAGCCGTTTTCTTTTGCTTTTTTTCCATGTGGGTTGGAAGATGTGCGCTGACCAGAAACTAGTGACGCTCAGGACAACCACTTTGTCTATGACTGGCGACAAGAGCAAGAAAGATCTCTTCGCGCTGCAAAAGGCACCGGAATGACAGAGGAGCAAGTCAATCGCTTTGTGGACGGATGTGTGTTGAACCCCCGCCCCCACCCAAAGAGCCCCAAGCACAAGTAGACGATCGGAGCTAATGGGCATAGATTATCCCTCCTACGAACTCTACACAGAAACCCTCCGTGAAGGGGCCTTCAAACCGGTTCCGCATTCGACTACAGCATCTGCCTCCCCATCAGGTTGGCAAGGCAGACAGCTTCGGTTGGTCGTCAACAAGAACCGAAAGGTCCAGGAGGTGATCAGGTTGTAATACCGTTCGTGGTTTGCGCGAAAGGTCGGCAGGCTATCTGGACATGAATGCCAATCCCTTCAGATCGACACAATATATACCTACAAGGACCTACTGGACCTACCTACCCTTTCATGGTGAGTCCGATGCAAATAAAACCTACAGGGTATGAAAGAAAAAGATATTAAAATCATCACTTCAATTCATTATGACCAGCATGTAGAATCGACAGTGACGAGGGCGGCCAACTACAAAGGATATTAAACGTGTAAAGTCATCAAGTGCTCAAAGCTTTTGAATTTTTTTCAACTCGGAATTCGGACCATTATACCAACATCCAGTCAGTAGTCCATAACCCGAACAACCCGGTACGAACAATAAACCCGTCCAACGGAAGAAATCTAGTTCATCTGGCGGAGGAGGGCGTTGATGTTCTCCTCACGGTTACCGTAGTCACCACCCTCGATGAAGTGCTTGAACTTGCGGGTGCGGAAGCCACCGTTGGGGTTGGAGAGCTTGAAGGGCCAGAGGAAGTTGTTGGCCTGCTTGAAGTTGGGGCCAACGGTGTAGATCTCGTGGATCAGATCCTCCATACAGACAATGCCGTACTTGCCGAGGTGCTCCTCGATGATCTGGTTGTCGGTGAGGGGAACACGCTGCTTGTTGACCTTTCCGTAACCACGCTTGTAGACGAGCTCACGGACGCTCTTGAGGTTGGGGTAACCGTAGGCAATGTAGGGGTTGATGATGGTCAACATCTCCTGGGTAGCCTTGGTGAGACGAACGAAAGTACCGTTGTTGATCTGGAGCAGACGCAGGAGCTGCAGGATCTTGCGGGGCTGAGGAGCGATCTTGTTGATACTGTCAATCCATTAGCAGATATTCGAAAACATCAAGTACATTTCCAAAACTCACCCCTTGATACGGACAACGAAGACCAGCTTGGGCTCCTCAGGAACGTAGAAGTTACCCTCCTGGCGAGCAACGCGGGCCAGGCGGATCTTCTCGCGCTCAGCATCGCGGTACTCCTTGACGTAGGACTCGGCACGCTTGAAGATAACGGAACGCTTGTTCTTGTTGGCCTATCAACTCTTGTTAGTGACAGAGTCATCACAGTAATCCACAAAATTAAATCATTTGAGACATCAACTCAGCCCCGAAAGATGGTTAACGAAGCGACAGCATTGACTTGGTGGTCTAGTCGCGTGGTGTGTAGGTTGTCATCACCGTTGAAATAAGGTAAAAGGTAGTGAAAAAAAAAAAAGGAAACAAATGCTTATACTGACCTCCTTCTTCTTCTGGGCCTCCTCGCGGGCAACAGCGCGGGCCTGCTCCTGGCTCTTGCGCTTCTTCAGGAGGGTCTCAGGGACCAGCACCTGGTTCTGGGTGGGGACGGTGCTGTTAAGGTCAGTATAGTCTGTCCGCGACAAGTACTTAGAGTACGATTCCGCCGAGTGTAAGAATTGCGGCTACAGTGCCACATTCTCATGCTGAAGGCCAAGAATACATAAAACACCCGACAAGATATATTTAATCGGTGAGGTTTATTTCCATCCGAGAATGCCTTCGACCTTGCTACTAGCCACGCAATTTTCAGCGCGAAGTTCGCCGGTACGATGGAGGGCAACGGAGGCAAGCCTCATCCAACAAGACCCTAAGCATAACGCTCAGGAGTTGGTGTTGACGCTCTTCGTTCTACCATCATGGTTTCTTGCAAGATACCAAAGGTAGGCAAAAACGATAGCTCACAACAATTCTTTTCAAGGAGAAGGCGAGCATGCTTTCAACCTCAATACCCCATTGTCTTTTTCCTCCAACCACTGCATTGCCTCTAACACTTCCTTAGATGCGAATTCATGGCCAGAGAGACGGACGCGGGAAAAATTCGAGCTGGTGCCTCGCGACCATTTCTGGTTGCAGCATCTCCAGCGAGAAGGACGACTATAATCCGAACCCCACAGGCTCGTAGAACGTATCAGTCGGAAAGGGAGAACCAAAAGGGATCATACGTAGCAGTCGAGGCCATTGCGACGGTCCTTTTGAGTTCGCGAGTTGGGCGATTTGGCGAAAGCTGTCGTACTGGGAAAGAATTTCAAGGAGAGAAAAAAGTTCTTAAAAAGCGCAAAAAAAGGTTGTGTGGGTGGATACCACTAGCTCTAGCCTAATACAGCTAGCGTGTTATTATTCAGCGTCACTTCCCATTCGGGACCGTCTTGCCCTTATCTGCTTAGGGCAAGGGCCTGTCACGCGATGTTTACTGATAAGATGATCCATAGCATAGACCTTTTTTAGTCTACAGAGTGGATTCGAAAGAGGGCAAGCTCTCCATATCATCATCACCACGCCCGTGTACCCCGCAATACCGACTCTTCACTACACACCATAACTCCCATCATGGCTTCCCGTCGAGGCGTCGGGCTCGGCGCTTTTGCAAATCGCACTCAAGCTAGCCAGTCGTACGCCAACCATGGCGCAAATCTACGCTCTACACACCTCTCATCGTTACAAACCCAACTATCGGTATTCCAGTCACTACTGCATACCTTCGCCCTAGAACACAGCTCAACTATCAAATCCAATCCCACGTTCCGGGCAGAGTTCGCCCGTATGTGTAACGCTATCGGAGTCGATCCCCTCGCAGCGAGCAATGTCAAGGGCAAAACTGCGCGCAAAGGGCTAGGTGAGGCCGCCAGCTTCTGGACACAGATCATGGGAGGAGATATGAACGACTTTTACTTCGAGGTTGCTGTTCGGGTGGTCGAGCTTTGCCGGGAGACTCGAAGCGAAAATGGGGGGTTAATAGGTGTTGAGGAGTGCCGGAAGCGAGTCAGCAAGGGTAAGGCCATTGGAAGTGGCCTAGCGGTTACAGAGTGAGCCTCCTCCATTTCCATTTTTCTCACACATTGCGCAACGCACCGAATAACACTAAACATTCCAATTTCTAGTGACGATGTACTTCGCGCTGTGAAATCTCTCGAACCACTAGGCTCCGGCTTCTCCGTCATCCTCGTCGGAAGCAAGCAATATATCCGCTCTATCCCGAAAGAGCTCAATACAGATCAAGCTACCGTGCTTGACGCGATCCAAATACTAGGCTACGTGAGCGTATCCATGCTGCAGCTCAATCTGAATTGGGAAAAGGCCCGCGCACAGACTGTCCTCGACGATCTCCTGGCGGACGGGCTTGTCTGGGTGGATCTTCAATGCCCAGAGAAAGAATATTGGTCTCCTCAATGTCTGCTTGGAGATGACGATGAGAGCTGATTCCGAGGCGGCAAATGGTCTATCGCCTTGTCCGACAGTCAATCCTCACGTTCCTCCTTCTGATATTACTGTCTCTACAACGAATACTCCGTATGGAGTGCTTCCGGCTAATCGCCACGGTCTATCGCACCACCCAACCAGCAGCACCGGAGAACCTCGGAGCTTCGGAACTAGAAGTGCATGCACAACTGCTACGGGCTCGGATTTCCGACCTCTGATAAGCGTCAGGCGCTGGGTGCAGGCCTTGCAACCATATACGGAGTATATATATATATATATATATATATATATAGCCATGCCTTATACATGACGGAGCGGATATATTCTATTCGATTCACAGGGGAGCCAGGGCCAGAGCGAAAGGCGAAAGTATATATATAAAGCAACAAGTATTAGATAAATGGTCAATTTAATAAACAGCTTGAGCTAATCATCATTATTCCCCCCTCACTATCATCTACCTATTCTTCATATATCACACGTCGTGTGTGTATGGATGTGTATGTCTTTCAGTAATTCGTTTTATTTTATTTCCCTGATTTATTTATTCGGAACATGAATCTTCATCTGTATGTATAGAGAAAGTACGAAAGATGAGGAGTTTCCCGGTAATTCCTCCGAGGACAATAAAAGTAGACAACCATGATGAAGAAGAGTAAGAACACATGGGAATGGTCATACGGTACGTAGCAAAGAAAATTCCAATCGGGAGAGAGATAGAGAGAGAGAGAGCATTAGAACCATAAAAAATAAAGAAATGCCATTAACTTAACAAAACACGTTTTTTTATGCCTTGATTGCTCCGCCCAATGCACCACCACCGAATTGTTGTCCACCCGGTCGGCGACCCTGCTGACCTCCAGGGATTCTAGGCCCGCCGCGAGGTTGGCCACCACGTCCCTGTCCACGACCACCACGGGCGCCAGCGCCCTGATCGCGCTGGAAGGCATTGGCCATGCCTTGCGTCCGTTGTTCGAGAGTCTTCTCGTTGGCCTCGAGGAGGTTCATGGACTTGTCGGCGAGGGTTACAATCTGGGACTGGAGGCGCGACAGCTCGACACCCTTGCGGAAGACGATGGCGTTGTTGACCTGGTCAAGAGCAGCGGCCAGCTCTTCGTGAGAGATCATGCGGCTGATGATAGCAGCGATCTTCTTCTCGGAAAGCTCGAACATGTTGGCGAGGGTGGAGATGGAAAGGCTGTCGTAGAAGGGAGCATATGTGAAGAGGTATGTGCGCAGACCCTCTTCCTGGATCTGGTGGGAGAGCATCTCCTTAATCTTCTCTGGTTGTGGCATGAGATCCCAAATCTTAATGGAGTTGAGCATCTCGGCGGCCTTCTTCCAGTCACCAGCGGCAAGGAACTTAGCACTCATGATGACACCATCGCGGGTGTTCTCTGCGGGACCAGTGAAGACCTGGCGCTCGTTGTAATCGAGCATGCGTCGGAAGGTCTTGGAGATGACACGGCGCTTCATTTCGGGCGATGAAGAAGTCTGGGCCATCAGAGGAACCTCAAGGAACATGCTGGAGGTGAGGTAAATGCACTCAAGGAGCTCAAGGTTGATGTGCATGTGGAATGGGAGCTGACGCTGACGCTCGAGACGCTCTTGTTCGGGAGAAACAGTAGAGTAGCGCTGGAGGATGATACCCTGAGCAAGCAGCTCTTTTTGGCGTCCGCTGCCGCAGATCTCAGAGAGGGTATTCTGAGCCTCGTAGATAAGGCCGGCGCGGAAAGCACAGAGACCAATCTGGACCAAGGTCCTGTTGAAGAGAATTTGGGAGCTGACGTCGAAGTTGGCAATGTTCTCAGACAGGTGAGACATCAGCATCAGGTCGCGAGAACGGAAGTACTGGTCATGGAGCGCGAGGAAGTAAATCTGGCACAGCATGGAGCGAGCTCTGATAATGCCATCGCTTTCCTTGAACAAATAGTTGCACAGGGTCTGGACAAGAGCGGTGATGTCGCCGGTGTTGCCACGGAGGGTGATGGTGGAGTCCAACTCGGCGGGAAGAGCCTTCCAGGTAGCATCCTCCAAGATTGTAACAACCTGGGAAGGCTTGAAGTAGATGTGTTCCAGCCTCCTCATCACTACTCTGTTCAAGCTGTCCTGGCGAGGGTCGGTCTTCTCCAATTGGATCAGGGCTTCGATGTAGATCTGAGTTCGCACAAGGTTGGTGTAGAGCTGCTTCTCGTCACTCAGGCGGTCAATATATTCAGCGGTGTGGGGGTCGATGTGCTGCAGAGACCTGGTGAGTTCGTCATCCAGCCTCTCGACGTATGAGACAATGCTGCCGGGAATGTAAAGCTTCTCGCCAGCAGCAGCCTGGGGCTGCTTCTCGTCATCCTCCCATTCCTCGGCTCCCTCGGCGACCACGTAGTCGCGGTTGTTCTCCAGAACGGAAAGGAGAGTGGCGAATTCCTGTTCTGCGAGCTTCCATTGATCAACGCCCATGTAGGCGGCAGAAGATGAAGAGGTCAGGTCGAAACGGGTGGAGATAAGAGTAAGGTAAATACGGATGCGTTGGTAGGGATTCTGGGCGACCTCCAAGAGCTTCTCCATAGTCTTGATCTGCTCAAGGCGGTCTGTGTTCTTCTTTCCTCGGGACTCAACAATGACGCGTAGGTGCTTCAAGATGCTCTCCGGAGTGTACTGGAGGGTCTTTCCACCACGGCCTACAGTTGCAAATCCATCATCATCTCCAGCAACAGCAGCAACTGGGGCCTCGACGCGCTCCACCTTGGTCAAACGCGGGGCGGAAACAACCGGCTTTTCCTCCTCATCGTCGCTCTCCATGTAGTCCGCCTTGTTCGCCCTGTACTTCTCGACCTGTGTAGCGTAGTCCTTGTTGTTCTTCTTGACCTTCTGCTTCACGGCGTTGAAACCCTTGGCGCTGCTAGCGTTCATCTTCTTATTGGAGGACTTCTGCTTGGTGACGGTCTCGTTGACGAAATCTTCGAGGTCCGCAATGATCTTAATGTAGATCTTGGGAACAGGGCCGGACTGAAGGACCTTGACGATCTGGCGGTTAAGCTTATCGAACTCTAGAGGAACGAAGTTAGTCCAGAAGTTCCCATATCAAACACTTTCTCCTCTGGTCCCCTCCTCAACATGAGTCGAAGGAGGGGGGGATTGCGGGCATGTCCCAGAAATCCATCCGAAAAAAAAAGGAAAGAAAGAGAAGGGGAAAAAAAAAATTGCAAGAGTTGAACGCACCTGCCGAAATAACAGCCCAGTCGTTGATTCTCTCGGCATTCTCAATCAGCTTGATGGTGCTCTCCAGTTCCTCCAGCCTCTTGTTCTTCGCACTCTTCACGACCTTAACCACATCCTCATCTTCACTTTCTTCGCTCTCCTCCCCGCCCTTAATGAAACGGCTAGCACCGGTTTTTCCAGCACCCTCCTCATCAGAGGACTCTTCCCCCTCGGAATCCTCCTCCTCAGTAGTCTCGTCCTCCTCCTCGGACTGCTCCTCCTCATCGTGCTCATCGCCGTACAGCTCCACCTCAGAGCCACTGCTCTCGCTGTCGCTGTCGCTGTCGCCGTAGAAGAAACGCGACATGGCTGCGGATTTTTGTTTCTTTTTTTGGGAGGGTCAAATAACGGAACCTAGGGACGTCGCGAGGATGGAGATATCGTCTTTCCCGGCGAAAAGGAGGGGGGGGGGGCGTGACGTGAGTAAAGGGATCGATCCTCTTAAGATCACTCGCTCCTTCGCTTGGTAAGAAAATCCCGTTGTGAGGGTTGGAAGCCGTCGATGTTGGGCGGCGCGAGCCACACACGAAATTTAAGCGAGCCGGCGCCTAACTAGATCGGGTAATCAATATGTTCCCCAACTATCAGATCTCGACCTGCCAGCAACTATACCTTTCCTACTTTGACTTCAATGTCCTATTAAACAAGTGCATGGTCGCTCGGAATTTCTTTCTATTCCCGCGGATTTTGGGAGCGTTATGTATGGCTTATGCTAGACCGAAATATATACAATTGGACAACGCTCGATCATGCTCAACGTATGCCACAAGCCATGGCTATAAGTAATCACGACTAATTCACCAGTAAACAGAATAAAAGAGTAATGCAATCATGACTAAGGCACAGATTCATACACGAAGAATCACTCTGGACCACAAGCCAGCCATAAGTTTCAGTGGCATGGACCACTGTATCTCATCAAATCAATGGACCATAAACCTGGAAGAACCAGAAAGAATATGCGAGTGCAAGGAAGAGGCCCTTAAGTAATGGCATTTTCAAACTTGTTATCCAAGCTATAGTAATGCTCCCTTCCGCGGAAAGGGGATGAGGGAGATGAAAAGAAGACGCGGGGCGGGGAAGAGTATATCAGGTAAACAACTGTATCTGCTATGAGAATAACAGGCAAGAATAAAATAAATGTAACACAGCAATGAACATAAAATGCAACCTATCCAAGTACTCCTGGCTATGCCGTGAAGCAGCCAATACATGAATCTGGAGGAGCTGGCTGGGGAAATTGATAGCTAAAGGGGCCATTCAGAAGACCGAAGCGCCCGATCATACAAAAGGAGATCATCAAGGCTTCGGACTCCTGTCAAGCCACTGCTTGTAAAACTGCCAGTCCCATCATAACGAATGGGTGATTGTCACAGTATGATAACCCAGTTTCCTTTCGCTCTGTTGCTCGTCCAACCACGGATCTCATTCTGACCGAAGCCACAACCGAGAATAATAGTACGCGCGCAAAATAATCAGGACAGCGCCACTTTTCCGTGCTGACAGGACCGGCAACCGCTGCCAGTAACAAAGGAAATGGTGAGGGAATCGAGCGAATCCCAATGCCAAGCAAATGTGACCATATTTGGAGCGACTCCGCGTTAAATCGTTGCGACAAACGCACATGGAGCATACTCGTGCTCGATACAAGAGAAATAGCTAATAGTTGATGCTCGTGCAACGCTTGGTTGCTCTCATTTCAAACTCTCAGCTTGCATACTTTTAGTGCCACTGGTTCTGGCCCATGAATCCTTCTCCTAGCACACCATCTTCAAGGGTGCGGATGAAATCCCGGTTACGTGTCGCGCCAGCCCGGCTGCTTCGCCGTCTCTGGTTGGCAGAATTGGGGTCAACATACCCATCCGCGGGTGGAGGATAGTAAGCTGGGCTGGGTTGCAATCGAATAGGCGCATTCGGATCGAGATGGCTTGCAACTCGTTGAATGGTGGGCGGAATTCCCTGAGGGTCCATCGTGGATGCGCGCTGGCGGCCGGCCCGTGTTGTTGCCTGTGCATAGAGACTTTGCGATGGGGCGTATTGTGCCTGGGGCACCTGGCCTGGTATGAGGTTCATTTGATGGCCATAGGCTGGTGGCTGTGTGGGGTATGGCGGAGGTGCAGCTTGTTGATGGCCAGTGAACATCCCATTGTACATAGGCGGAGGGGCTTGGGCATGAGGCGGGGTGTGGTACGGGTTGATTTGCATAGAGTATGCATTCTGTGCGGCGGATTGGGCGTGCACCGCGTGCGCCGCTCTCTGCTTGCTTGCAGCCTCTGCCTGCTGCTGCTGTTGGATGCCAGGAGCAAGCGTCTTATTCAGAGAGGAGTATTTCAAATTCATCGGAGGGACAAAGGGTCCTGTGAATTTCTGCTGTGTTATGAACGGGTGCAGCTTAGCCTGTTGCGGCGACCAGCGCTCAAGAGGGTTAATTGACAGGAGACCGCGCACGAAATCGATGAAGGCAACACGGTTGTTAACTTCTGTAAGTTTCGGTTAGTGGTTGTGGAGGAACTGGGGTGGGGGGAATAAGCAGACGCACCTCTTTCAATCTCTGCTTGCTTCATGTTTTTTCGGGGCATGGGATAGCTGCGGATGATATCCTCCAAGGTTGATGCCTGAAAGTACTTCTTGCTCGGCTGTTCCTTCGTATTGCGCTCGCGCGAGTATTGCTCCAGACTCTTCAAACGATAGCTCTTTCGTCCAAATTCGTCCTGAGTTTTCTCGAAGAACTCACCGGATTGTTTGCCCATTTCCAACATCCAGGTTGGCGGCAAACCGAGCATCTCCACAATTCGACACACCTGGTTGTATTCGGAGGATCCGGGGAATAATGGCAAGCCAAGGAAGAGCTCAACAACGATGCACCCCAGAGACCACATATCGATTGCGGAGGAGTATCTAAAGGGGGGGGTCGATACGATTAATATACGAGTTTCCATCGATGAGTAGCATCGTAACACCCAGAAGGCACCGGAATAGAGGAGTGAAGAGACACCTACGGTAAACCGAGTAACACCTCAGGTGAACGATAGAACCTAGACTGGATGTATGTGTACACTGTTTGCCGTTCGTCGCAAGCCGATCCGAAATCAATCACTTTGATTATGGGGCTTTCGAGGCTTTTGAGGTATTTAACATTAGTGGTGAAGACCTTATGGGGCAAGGGCATTTGAACTCACTTCTTTAGTAAGATATTCTCCGGTTTAAGATCGCAGTGGATCAAGTGTGCCTTGTTCAAGAGGCTCAGGGCATTCAAGAGTTGCTGGGCAAACACCCGCACAAGAGTGGTGCTCAATCCTCGGAATTGGTTTTGTTTGATCAACTCATAAAGGTTAACGCTCAGCAATTCAAATACCAAGCAAAGATGTTGGCGATGGATGAAGGTATCTTTCAATCGGAGGAGGTGATGATCGTCGTTCTTGTCGTATTTGCTGTTGAGCTATTATTCCGATGGTTAGCACGCTAACTGGCAAATTAATAATTTAGAAGCATACCAGATCCAGAACAGAAACCTCCATCATGCTTTGGTTGAAGTAGGCCGTTTTGTTCTTAATAACCTTGACAGCCACCACTTCCTGCGTCTTCAGATTCTGACATTTCACGACTTGCCCAAAGGTTCCTTGCCCCAGAACGTCAAGGATGAGGTAGCGATTCCTAACAGATGATATTAGCAAAGGCGAATTGCGGGATAGACGAGGAAACTGCAAGGGAAAACCAACTTGTGGCCCGCTTCTTCACTGCCCAAGATGTCGTTGACGTATAAGATGTAGTCGCTATCCTCGTTGTCGTAACCATCATTTTTAACGCCCTTGCTGGGTTTGGTAAGAACTCGTCGGGGATTCCGTGACGACTCGTAATTGAAATTGGGGTTACATATGCGGTAAGTCGACGGGAGATGGGTCGTCAACGCTTGAAGTGGCTGGATATACGTTAGAAAGGACCAGCATATCTGCATATATTTCATTCCAAAAACCTTACACTGATAAAACCGCCTTCGGGATTAGCACGTCTGTATTGAGGTTGAGCGTTAATGCGCGGCTGAAGTTCCTGGACCGACTTGAGTTTTTGGAATTTGGGGACTGGTCCTCGACCAGGTTGTTGGCTGATTCCCGAGATAGAGCCTGGGCGTGGAATTCTTCCATCTGGCGCAAATGCTGAATTGAGTTGCGGGGCTGAGGATGGGGGGTGATACTGGTCGGGACTCATGTCGGAGGACTGCATAGGAGGAAGTCTTGGAGCACGCGATGCAGCTACCGAAGCAAACCGAGGTTAGATATATTAAGAATGGCGACAGATTTTCAGAGAGAGAAGGGGGGGGGGGGGGAGAATAGCTCACAAGGAGGTGATTGATACGCCTGAGGAGGCGAAGAGTAATTTGTCGTGCGCGTTGGCGATCGTCGAGACTGGTGTGGGTTTGGTGGGAAAGCGTAGGAATTACCAGACTTCCCGGGACTTGCATTGTAGGGCATTGCCGGTGACAAGACGTTCATAGGAGAGTATCTGCGAGCGGCAGAAGATTCTTCATTGGGGAAGTACTGGGAGGAAGGTCGAGCATGATGGTTGGGCCTTGCAGGGTACTTGGCCCGGTTGTACGGATCCGCATCCTCCATGGTAGTATCCGCATCAGTGACATAATCCCGACTCCGTGGTGTTGCCGAAGGAGACGACGCCATCGAGGCAGACTTGGAGTTGGCAGCGACACCCGGGGTTTGGAAGGTCTCGTATGTGTACCCAACCGGGGGCTGTGATGGGGGTTGTTGTTGTTGTTGTTGTTGTGGCTGGCCCGGGCCATAATTCGAGGGCAGCTGCTGGGGGGTGCCATTATGATTGAACTGCGCAGGCCGCCCCATCAAGGGATCCTTATATGCCTGCCACTGCGAATCCATGTCTCTTCTCCGTTGTTACGATCGCTCGGACAATCTTAGGATGACTTCACGGGGAAAATAGGGCGATCGCCTATCGCTGTCGACAGCGCACATGCACTGCGATCGGGGTAAGATTGCAGCGGGGACGACAGGACGTACGTAGCGCAACGAGGAGGAGACGAGATGGAACACGAGGGAGGCTGATTGTACACTCCGAGGAGTCGAAGCAAAACAAAGGAATTGGTATTAATTCCAGGTTATGCTGTACCTCATTATCCTTGCAAGCAGATCTTCAGCAGGAAGTGTAAGGCGACCACAGGGCATAGGAGGGTTGATGGTGGTGGTGGTGGTGGTGGTGTGTGCGTGGGCAAAGCCTATATATCTTTTGGGGGGAAGTGGGCGGGCGGTCGCAATTCACAATAATCCTGGCGGGCCTAATAATCCTCACGCAGATGAAGGGGCTGAGGAGGGGGAACTTCAAAAGGAAGGGAGAGAGTGTCAACTGCCTGGAACCCCGGAGAAACAGCAAGTCCCAAACAGAAGCACTTGAACAACTAGAATTTGAACTAGCTGACGGTACAGAGGGAAGAAGGAATGGAAGGAGGAAGAAGAAGAGGAGGGGAAAGAAAGAGAGAGAGGAAGGAGAGGGAATTGAAGTGTAGTTAATTAGTTGGTAGTGTGGTGGTTGGTGGTGTTCGTGGAGGAGAGACAGAGCGGCCTCAGGCTGCGGTCTGTTAGGTGGTCGTTGGGCTTTGGAATTTAGAGAGAAAAGAGAAAAAAAAAATAGAAAAAAAGACAGAAAGAGAGAGAGAGAGAGAGAGAGAGAGAGAGAGAAAGTCTTGACTCTTGACTCTTGAGTCTCACTGTCTCTCTCTGTCTTGTGGGCCAACTAAGAAGTAGAAGTCTCGATTATAATAGGCCCTGCTGATCTCACGACTTTGGGTAACTATATCTAAGGAAGTATGGAGGAGTTATGAAGACCAACCAACCCAGGATAATAATAATGATAATAATAATAATAATAATACAAGAGCTGAAATTGGATTTGTTTTCCAGAATTCATTTTTTTTTATATCTAAGATACCAAGGAGAATCCTCTGAATCTCCAGCCTCTTGGACGATCTCACCACTATGGAGGAGATACATACTGTACGTCCCCCCTTGAGTCGTCATCAAATTAATGCTCAATTGGTTTGATTAGTTGGGGACGTATTTTTGTATTATTGTCTACGTAGTACTCCATATATCCATCAACCAAAGACAATGAATTACCATCCCCTAATTTCGTCATGATCAGTACGATGAGGGTGGTGGTGATAGTGTTGCTGATGGTTGCCACAGCAGTCCAAACAACAGCTGCAGGAACAGTTGTTTATCCTGGCTACACTCCATATTATTGTTTTATAATACTTCTTCAAGTCCATCTCTGTGATAATAATAATAAAATATCAAAATTGAGCTATTCTGAAGCTGTGACGTGGGAGGCTGTGTTACCCGTGGAAATGCTGACTGGGTAACATTCTGCCAAGCAAACTCAGGGCGGTGAGTCCCAGTAGTTGGCCAGCAGCTTCGTTTTATTACGACGGACAGATGCCTCCCAAGACGAGACCACGAGAGGAAGCTGGAGGGGTCGAGGTTTTTTTTCTTGCTGTTGTTGTATCGACACGATCCCGACCCCATCTCAGGTTCACCCACCATGTTGATTGACCTGTCTTCAAACCAGTCTGCAGTTGCGCGCCGTGTTCCTATATCATAAACCATCATTCACTGGTTACTCATACTTCACCCGGCTTTTGCCCAAATCTGGAAGCTGGGCAAGCTGGGCAAGTGATTACAGATACCTAGGTAATACTTTACTAGGGCTTCTCAAGAGGCGAATCATTTATTTGACATCGCGTCTAGCTTGGACATCTAAATTACTGCCATCATGGACCCGAAAGTAAAACAAGAGGAGGATATCTCTCTCGAGATATTCGCTCCAGGGAAAGGACCTTCAGAAGCCCCTGATGAGGTTAGTCGGCTGAGGGAGCTCCATGCCGATATCCGTGACCAGGATGATCTTGAGAGGGACATAACGCGCCAGGTAACCCCCCCCCCCCCCGGTATCCACTGGATAGTCAATATCTAACTGCAGCTAGGCAGATAAACTCCTCATGGAACAGGCAGACGAACGAGATAACAAAAGGCTAGAAAAAACAAAGCTAGAAAAAGAGTATGATCTATGGGCTTTCTAGATTCAGCACTCACCACACACACATACTTACTCTATTCATTTTAGGAAACTTGAATCTCAAATTCTGAGGCTACATCAGCGTCTCTCACAGCCAGTTGGCACCTCAGCTCGAGTTCGCTTACAAAATGACTTGGAAAAGCTAGAAGCACGCAATAATGCACTGGCGAATGATCTAACAGAGATTCAACAACGTATCGATGAAAGACGAGAAGAGCAAGAAACTATCTCGGAGGCGGCTGGGACTGGCCGGATGCCCAACGAGTCTCGCAGGGACTATCTCATCAGAACCGGAAAGATAACACCGTTCTCGAAAATGGGAACCGGCCCCAATGAAGGCCCCTTGGCTAGCCTCCATGATGCCCTCATCGATGCCGAGGACGAGCGTGAGGAGGTGGAAGCGTTGAAACAAGTGAAAGCCCAGACGACTGTCTCTCATCGGAATCTTTTGCGCCCAGGATTTGGCTTTGATGAAATAAGAGACTCCAGAATAGTAGAGGAACCCATCACTGATCGTCCCGGAAAGAGGAGAAAAGTAGAAAAGGACGTCAAGCACAATGTAGCGTCTGATGATGGAAAGGGGCTAGACCTCGCAATGGAGACGGTTTCAGAGGGCCAGGTCTCTGACGAAGAGGATGAATCGGAGGGTTATGTCGAACCCGAAGAGCAGCATTCTTCGTCCGAAGATGACTCCAATTTCATTACCGAAGAAGTGGCAACGCGACCCCATGCTAAAGCCAAGAAGGGCGAGGACGAATTGGAAGATTTCAGTGGCCTAGATGATGGAAATGAAAAAGTCTATCAATCCCGGCTTCAGAATTGGGTTCGTCGAAGAAGTGCAGCCCGGAAACGGGCTTCCAAATTAGACAACGAAGGCGCACATGAGGAGGAGGGGGGTGACGACGACGAATGGTTTATGCCGCATCCTACCGAACGAGACCTCGCTTTTGACAACGGATATCGCATACCTGGTGATATCCACCCATTACTCTTTGATTACCAGAAAACAGGAATACAGTGGCTATGGGAATTACAACAGCAACAGGTCGGAGGCATCATTGGTGATGAGATGGGCCTGGGAAAGACAATCCAAGCGATCGGATTCTTAGCGGGCCTTCATTACAGCAAGAAGCTGACAAAGCCCGTTATTGTTGTCTCTCCTGCGACGGTGATGAAACAGTGGGTCAATGAATTCCATCGCTGGTGGCCTCCGTTTCGCGTTTCTATTCTGCACACATCTGGCAGTGGAATGGTCAATATCAGGAGTGAGAGTAGCCGAGAGGATGCGCTCACGTCCGAGAAATGGGGCCATGCTTCTCGTGGCTCCAGCAGTGGTTTAAAGGCCGCCAGAAAGGTGGTGAAAAGGGTGATAGAAGAAGGACATGTTTTAGTGACTACCTACTCGGGGCTACAGAGTTACGCATCGCTGTTGATTCCACTCGAATGGGGATGTGCTGTTTTGGATGAAGGCCACAAGATCCGCAACCCCAATACCTCTATCACTATCCATTGCAAAGAACTTCGGACCCCGCATCGAATCATTCTGTCGGGTACTCCAATGCAAAACAACCTTACTGAACTGTGGTCGTTGTTCGACTTTGTGTTTCCGATGCGTCTTGGGACCTTGGTGAACTTTCGAAATCAGTTTGATTTTCCCATTCGACAAGGAGGTTATGCAAATGCTTCGAATCTGCAGGTGCAAACAGCGGCAAAGTGTGCGGAAACTTTAAAGGATGCTATTAGTCCGTATCTTTTACAGCGATTCAAGATCGACGTAGCCGCGGACCTTCCCAAGAAGAGCGAGCAGGTCCTGTTCTGCAAACTGACCAAGCCACAGCGACAGGCATATACCGCATTTCTAGCATCGGAGGAGATGCAGTCCATCCTACGCGGTCGCCGGCAGGTGCTGTATGGAGTTGACATCCTGCGAAAAATCTGCAACCATCCAGATCTACAGAATCACAAGTTGCAATCTACTCAGGTGACCTACGGCAGTGCCACCCGGTCCGGCAAGATGCAGGTTGTCAAATCGCTGTTGGAGCTGTGGAAAGATACAGGCCATAAGACTTTACTATTTGCACAGCATCGGATCATGCTGGATATACTGGAGAAATTTGTGAGGGCTTTACCGGGCTTTACCTACCGCCGTATGGATGGCACTACGCCCATTCAGCACCGACAAACTCTTGTCGACGAATTCAACAATGATCCCAGCCTTCACGTGTTCCTACTCACTACCAAGGTTGGGGGGCTGGGAGTGAATCTAACAGGTGCAGATCGGGTCATCATTTATGATCCCGATTGGAATCCTTCGACGGATATGCAGGCTCGAGAGCGTGCGTGGAGGCTAGGGCAAAAGCGTGAAGTTACCATCTACCGATTGATGACGGCTGGTACTATCGAGGAAAAGATATACCATCGCCAAATATTCAAGCAGTTTCTTACAAACAAGATCCTCAAAGATCCCAAACAGCGCCAAACCTTCCAGCTTAGCGACCTCCATGATCTCTTTTCCCTTGGAGACGAAAATCAGGGCCCAACGGAGACGAGCAAAATCTTCAAGGATGCCGAGGTTACATACGAAGAGACCGCAGAGAATGCTGCTAACTCGGCGCAACAAACCGACGGCCAACCTGAGCGGCAGGCGGAAAAGAAAGATATCAGCCAAGTACGGGGCGTTGCCTCGATCGAGCAGTTCCAAGGCGAGCCCGACCGATCCGCCCACGAGGACCAAGGCACACCGGGGACCAACTCCGAGTCGCGCATCATGGAAGGCATATTTGCCCGATCGGGGGTCCATTCGGCGCTCGAACACGAGCAGATTGTAAATGGCAGACGCGTCGTCCGTGCAGACCCCAAGATGATCGAAGCGGAAGCTAAGCGGGTCGCTGCCGAAGCGGCCGAAGAGCTACGCCGCGCAGGCGAAACAGCTAGGTCCGTGCCCATAGGGACCCCAACCTGGACAGGCCAGTTTGGTGTCGCCGGGAAGCCCGAGGAATCCGCGGTGAGATCTTTTGGCGGTGGTCGTAGCAGTACAGCCCGACGTGCTCTCGCCGGTCCATCGTCCGCAAGCCTCTTGGCGAACCTTTCTTCTCGCGCCTCGCCGTCTCGCAGCAGCACGAGTAGCCCTGCACCATCACCGAGTCGTCCCAGCGGAAAAGCCTTCATCACGATGATCCGGGACTTTATCATCGCACAGGGTGGGTCGGTGTATACGCAGATGTTGATTGATCATTTCAATCGGTTCTGCACCACTCCACAGCGGTCGGCGGAGTTTAAGGAGATGCTGAAGATGATTGCCGTGTTGGAAAAAGGTGGGAAGAATGGACGCGGGAAGTGGCATCTCAAGCCGGAGTATGCGAAGGCACGGTGATTCCTTTGCTTCTTTCATGACCTACTGACTACCCACTCGCTATATGATTTGAAACAGTAGGGGATCGAGAGTTGACGACATGTCCTCGGTAATGTTACTTACTACTGCTAATACAATACCTATTATCCTATGACCAAATTTTTTTTTTTTTTTCTTTTTTTTTTTTTTCCCTGCGAGGTAGCAGTTCATTGTTTCTGTTGCAGTTGCCCTCCAAGACATGTCCAATGGAAGCAAAGATGATTTCATAACCAAAACAAGTCACTGATGGACAGCACAGTCAGTAATGTTGATTCTCCCGGGGTCTGGGTAACTAACACAGATAAGCCAGGCTTATGCACCCTCTGTGGCCAATCAATAATAGCTCACTCAAGGCTTACGGAGTACCTAGCTCATGGAGATATATGTAGGTAGCTTGGTCTCGCGGGGTAAGCAAGGTGCTTATACATATAAAATAAGGGCAAGTTGTCCTGGAGTAAGAGACAACAACAACAACATGTACGCCTACGAATCATTCAAACACCGAAACCAAAAGTCAAGTTGCATCCACAAAATGCCGGTAAGTTACATATGAACGGTTTGAATACTTTGGGCGTATCTTACTAGAAATCTCATTCCTCCGGCCGTGATGGGTGGTGTTCTATATGAGGCAACAACAGTGTAAATGAAACTTGGCATCTCAAGGCACGGATCTCAGATGTGGAGCCAGTTCATGACATGTTGTAGCTTCCTATAGGAATCGATCTGTATTTGAAGCAGGAGATCTAGATATAGAACATCGTAGGTAACACCAGGACCCCTTTTCCAAACTCGTTGGGGGAGGGGGGGGGGGGGGGTTTCTTTCCCTGAGCAAAGCAGCACTGTTCACTCTCATATACATTCATTCCGCCATTGCAAAACGAAGTCATTATTTTGACTCGCGTGGTCCCGGCCAGATGAGGATGATGAGCAAGACGCCACATTCTTCACACCAAGAGGGGCTATAAATCATGCTTCGAGATTGGGTTATAGTTATTCCGCTCCGGTAACAATCATGCATCACGTCAGCAGGGTTTGATTGGTTGATTGTAGGAATTACCTGGCGGGAATAAAGATGCATGACTGCCGGGGCTCATCACGAGCACAACTAAATCACCTCAATATAACTTTCATGAAAAATGATATGACAAGATACATGTAAAGGAACCAGTAATTCACTGTTACTGCAGAGTACGGAGTAGGAGGAGTACTGTGTGCTGGTTGTAGTCCGGATAATTTGGGAGGGTGGATTAGGTGGGGAAAAAAATAATTCTCCCCGACTGGGAGTCGAACCCAGGTCTCCCGCGCTCGTTTCCTGTTAAGGAATGACAAGCGGAAATCATGACCGTTAGACCATCGAGGAATTGTTGAAACATAGTCTCTTTTTTGGAATCATATGGTAAAATATTATTAAACTAGGTTACCAGATGTATTTGATGATTTTGTTTATAAACTAGTTAACTACAGAAACTACAGATTCATATGTTGGAGTAATTTATTAATTCATTTGTTATCTCTGGAGCTACAAATTTACAGTCAGAGGTTGAGAATGTCTCAACCTCCCTATAGAGTACCTGGGTAACTGTTGGACCTGTTTCTAAAGCACTCCTACTTGATTGGAGTGACTTATTTCTACACTCCGGGTCACTTTTGATTAAGCCTGGACATTCCTCATTCCTCATCCCAGCAACTGGGAAGAATTCCGATTTATTATCATCAAGCAGCTTTACGCTTTACCTCCTGCTGGTGGACCTTCTCTGCTGATCTCCTCTTCGTCAGGTCCCACTAATGTCTGTCTGCCCTGGTCGCATTGGAGTTATAATACGGAGTACCTATAGGTACACTGCTCCCAAGTGGAGGTCGGATCATCCTTTGCCTTGCTATTGTTGTTGTTGTTGTTGTTGCGAGATCATGAGCTGATTTGTGTTTCACTTAAGATTTTTGTCGAATTACGGAGTATACGGAGTGCTCCGTGCATCCAACACATCAAGGTTGCAGCACTGTGATGCTGCTGATATAAATACAAGGTTCACATCATCTGCTTGCCACCGTCCCCTGGCAAGAATCCATCATTCCTCATTCCTCAAGATTCTCTCTCTCCCTCTCTCCCTCTCTCTTCGTCTCCACACACATTCTTTGGATATTCAACTAGTCTTCATTAATTTCCAACATCTTTTCCGCTCTTTTCTTCTGCTGTTTGAAATTTCTTTGTTCCCATTCCGGGTTCCCTCGCTTGCAACATGAAGCTTCTCTCCACACTCTCACTTCTGATCTGCACTGTTGCCGCTCAACCGCTGCTCAGTGCTCGCCAGGACAACAGCACCTTTCGACTAAAGACTGCCGGATCTGATAACCCGGAGCACAACAACCTTTATGTCTTTGGATTCCATACCGGTGCTGGGTTCAACGATGCGGTTCTTACGCCCAGTGTTGACACCGCCTCCAAGGCCTTCTTGAACGGGACCCAAGTTCAGTTCCAATATGGCACTACCTTCCCGTGGGGTCTCCAACCCGTGGGCAACACCAATTACGCTGGTAAGTACCCTTCTCCCCAATGCATCAATGATTTGGTCGAGAAAAGGTGGATGGAATTAATGTGTCTCTTCGTACAGCCTGGGAACCCGTAGAGATCAATGTCGGCTACGGGCAGTCCGGCTTCTTCTTTAACAGTACCGGCCTGCAGTGGTCGGAGCAATTTGGTTTCGGAGGTTGGCTGGGTGAGTGTCTAGATCCAACACAGGCTACCGCACATCTACCCGTATACTAAACGTGCTCCCTAGTTTGCGACTGGTATCACAATGCACCCCAGCTCTTCTACGTCTATCGCTACGAGGTCGCCCATTATCCTGCCTCCTGCAGTGAGGTGAACGTTCTGCCCGAGCCCGTCGCCTGAACCCGATCCCCCGGACTTGCCACCGCTGCGGCGGCGCGAAGTGATGATTCATAACGCCGATGGGACAGGAACTGCAAACGGTGGGGATGATAACCGTATGCTTTACTCGGTGTACCTTGTTATGTGCGATGCGAATTTGGAATGGTTCCTGGGAACTGTGATTGACGAGATATATGTATCGTTTATATTTATATAACTGTGATGTCATTTGGATGGGAGGGATCTGAATCTCTTGAAACGATGTTGGGAGCTTAAATAATTCAACCCCAAATATATATTATCCTCTTCCGGGCGAAATCCGGCGGTTGTGCATCGTCTGTATCGATTATTGGCAATAGTTCTGCGTATACTCCGTAGTGGCGGGTTTAGTCGAGAGAGGTGGGGATTCGATCGCGACCAGCGACCGTGGGGATACGGCCATACAGAACCAGATGAATTCGAATTGAGGGTTAATGAAAGATCAAATCGTCTCTTGTGAATTTATTGCAGAATGAAAATAGAGAAGAAGAGGGAAGCAAAAAAAAGAAAAAAAAAAGAAAGAAAGGAGGAGGGAAGAAAAGGCCTGAGGCGCCAAACCCCAAAAATAGACCGTGTCTCACATGCGCTCCCAAAAGGGTTAGCCACACCTGATCTTCTCTCTCTCTCTCTCTCTCCATCTCTCTCTCCATCTCTTCTTTTCTCCCTCCTTCTGTTGCGAGCCTGTTATCGCTTTCTTCCCCGGTCTCTTTTCTTTGTGTCTGTGATCTGTCGTTTCTTCTGGCACCTGATTTCCTCGTCTCCTCGTCGTTCGTCCAAATCCTCCCAGTCGCTCGCTTGTTTACTCCTCTCAGGCTCCACCGACCACTCTCCTGGACCCCTTGGACCCTCGGACCCTATTAGACGATCTGCGTCTCGCAAACCGATTCGTGTTTTCATTCTCGTCATCTCTCGTCATCGATAGTTTATCACCATCTCGCCCTCGTTAAGTCCCCCGTATACAAACCATCCGGGCTTCCTTCGGGAATCGTCAAACGCTCGTTGCCCAGTGAACACCAATTGTCAGAAAAATCGCGGTTCCTGTTTGCGCAAAGGGGATCAATCGAGACCCCGCTCTATCTACACAAGAAATCAGGTGCGAGCCTGCAGCGACCAGGATGCGTTTCATTTCGCTTTTCCCTCTGGCGTGTCTCCTTTTGCTCGCCGTGCTTTCAACAGCCTGGCAGTTTGATGGGCTGGAAAGGGTCCATGGTCAACTCTTACCCAGAGAAGGTAATTAGTCTGGTCGACTGGCGTTAGGCTGGGGCTTCGTGAGGTGTTGTTCTGACGAAATATTCTTTAGACTCGACAACTTCCACCGAGAGTGCCACCACCGGTGCTTCAGCCAGCGAGGAGACTGCTTCGGCAACGTCTACGAAATCATCCAAGGAGACTTCCACCGAGACTTCCAGCGGAACCTCCAGTGAGACTACCGATTCTGCTTCCACTACTACAACTAGCAAGCACTCCGGACACTCTACGTCATCTAAGAATTCCACCACCACTTCCACCTCCGTCGACGCTCGTCTCCCCGCCGGTGGTATCTCGATGCTGACCCCCTCCGCCATTTCGACAACATACTACAAGATCGATGAGGCCATTACCTTCGTGTGGAACTATACATCCTTGTCCATCACGCCCACTGGGGTGAACGTCGTTGCATCCTGCAGTCTGAACGACGCTACTTATACCATTGCTAGCAACCTGAGCGTTTCGCAGACCCAATCAGTTGTATGGGATACGAAGAAGTACCAGGCCAATGCTACGGTACCTCTGCTTACTGCTTCCTATACCCTTATCGTGTACGATGAGAGCAAGAGCATCAGTGATGTCGCCAGTGCTGGAGAACTGGGCACTGACACTCGTTACTACTTCGCAATGTACGCTACACAGGCCTACACACCGCTTGCTGGTACGTTCACTTCTCACAATCCCATCTGACTTGATGATTCTGACTTGGCCCTAGACTGGGTCTGTGCTACCTGTAGCGGCGCCTTTACCACCGAGGAGCTCCGAGCCATGAAATTCGCCGCAGGAATGGCCGTCATCACCGTTGCATCCTTTACCTGGTTTGCCGGTAGCTCCGGTCTCTTCTTCACATAATACTATGCCACGCTACCGAAGAGAGGGTTCATGAACATTTACATCTACATTTTTATGCATTCGAAAAATGTTGCATTGAGCTGAGCGGTTTCCATTTCAGTAATGATAATAGCGATCTACCAGCAGGGCAGGGTACCGGCGTTTGTGTTTTTCTTTTTTTTTCCTTAAAATATGCAGTGGTAAAAATGGTCTTTTTTTTCTTATTTGCTTCTCTTCTGGCCTTGTTCTTATATGCATTTGTTGATTGTTATTTATTATTATTTTTATTATCTCTTGCTTTCAATACTGGGATTCAGGTATAGTTGCCTCTTTCCCTGTCGATGTTTATAATGAGTGGTACAGCGCATTATGCACTTATTGATTGGTTTGTTGTTTGATATAGGTAGGTGGCAGCATATTATTGTATAGGATCAAGGGGTATTAAGATTGTGAACATAGTAATAATATTCTATACTGGTTATTGTATTGTATGTTCTACTAGGTAGACTTAGCATGTATCCAACTTGGTATATATACATACTGCTAAAACAACACTATCTATAACAGTAATAATAGATAGTATTTCTAGGCTCCTTACTAGAAAGTACATGGCTTGTATATTCTACCCAAGTTAACTATTCTCTTTCTCTTTCTCTTTCTTTGTAATCCGAGACATTGAAGTTGAGTTGTGCTGGTCTGGCTGGCTGATTACTTGCAGTTGAAGACAAAGACATATATATCCATCCATGCATTAGAGTAGGTATGTACATAGATAGGTACATGTTTTGTTCAGAGTGGAGTACACATACACACATTAACACCAAACACAGAGAAGAAAGAAGGAAAAGATAAATAAAAAGGTTGTTTTTTTGTTTTGTTTGCTAGAATAACTAACTACACTGACCTCCTGACAGCTATGATGCAGCAAGTATATAAAGTACGTATAAACCACGCCGGTCGACCTTCTTATCCAGTCCTCCCCCCTTCTTTTTTTCCCTACGGCCAATATTGTATCGGATTGTTTTCGTTTCATTCGTTCCATTCTATCCTATCTATACAGAGTCAAAGTCAAAGTCAAATCGCAACGCAACGCAACGCAACGCATCGCATCTCGACCCGCAGGAATAACCGCAACGAGAATCGGAATGCCCCCCACCGTCGCCTGGATCTGGCCGAAAGACCCTAGACCGGGAAACCCGTCGCGGTGGCCGCGTCGCTGGCGGCTCTTCGATGTGCTTACGAATAAGGGGCCGGATATTTTCGTGGGCAAGATTCATGATGCTTCTTCTGGGGGATATGGAGGGCCCACGCGGAGACAATCGCAAGCGTCGGAGCCGCCATACACGCAGCGAAAGAGACAGGGAGACGGAGATAGAGATGCTCGGGCGTGGGGGTCGTCATGGCAGGAGGATCATCGGGGGTGTCGCTGCGGAGGTCGGGGGCGGAATGCGGAGAGCAAGAGGTCCTTGCCCTGGACAAGACGGGGGTCGGGCGTGCAATACGACTTTCGGACGAGGAAGTATGCGGTCCCGGATCGGGGGACTTGGCGTGGGGTTGAGTATTGTGATGGGGACAACGGCCGCAGTCATGAGATCCCGCTGAGGTATTGGGATTGCTATGGGAGGGAGTACCCGGCGAGTTATTGGCATGATGTGGCTTATGGGGCGCATGGAGACCACCAACGTTGAGGGGGTTGAGTTAGGTGTTGTGTGGTGGCGGCGGTGGTATGAGATTGCTTTTGTTGGGGATGGTGAATGTGGGAGGTTCCTTCAGACGCATGTGGGGTGGTAAGCTTCCCATGTTATTTGCTGAGACAACGATCCGTCAGATGGCTGGGGTGATTTAGGACGACGGAGCGTGGGAAGATTTGCGGCATTGTCTGTCATTTTTCCGCATTTGATACAAGGTGTTTGCTTCATGTTGGCATAGGTCGAGATCATGTCCTGGTGTACTAGTGAGCTTTAAGATAGGAGATTGGGTAGCGAATCGTGACTGACAAGAAGGTAGGGGAGATCCCATTTCCGCGGGCGCGAGTTGAGACAATCAAGCACTGCGGTTTCAAGCTTCGAGGTTGGCTGTGTTGACGTTGTCTTGCTCGATACATTCCAATCTGGTAAGCCGTTTCCTTGCGTTGCACTAGCTGCATTGTAATAATAAACCTTGAACGCTAGCCCGGCCTTCCCCAGAAACACAATAAACGAAAAGTCATTGGTAGTCGGCAAAATGCGCACTCCGGGGATATTCTTCTGGGCAAAGATTTCGACCAGCGCTTTCCAGCCTCCCTCCGTAGATTGGAGCCGGGAGCACTCGAGCTCCTCCTGAGCGCTCTGCTGTTGATCTTTTACGGTCTTCTCGTGCTTCGTCATGCCCTCGAGCAGAACATCATAATCATGTTCCCACATGCCCGTGGGCTGGAGCAAGCGGCCGCCGTTTTCTTTGATTTGCGTGTCGACACGGTCCCAGACCGGTTTCATTTCGGGACTCCGCCACATGGACTGAAACTCCGCGACTTCCGCAACACCACCCCGCGCAGCCTGGGAAAGCTGCTCAAAGATTTTCCGGGGTGAAGCTGGAACAGACTTCCCCGGCGCAGCCCTGGGATTGACGATCGGCGCCAGAGGCTCCAGGAGACGCTCCGGGAGCAGAGTCCGCAGTTGATGAATCTGATTCTGGTGAGCCAATCTTCGAATACCCTGGTAGCATATAAAAGCCGACTCGGGAAAACCCACCATGGCTTCCATTTTCTGCAGCTTAGCTAGAGAAGACACAAGCTCCACTTCCTCTTCGCTGATCTCATGGGGCATTTCAGGCTCCTGGGGGAGACTGGCTTTCTTTTCCTCGGGGGAAAGAGTCGAAGGAACAGAAGCACTAGGCATAGCGGGGCCAACAGAGACAGATTCCATGACAGCGGCCTGCTTGGCCTTTTTCAATTCAGGCGAGCGAACAGAGGGCGGTTGCTCCATCTTCGGAATGACAACCGCTACGGTAGGAAACCTTGCCGTAGGCTCCTGGGAGGAAACCATTTGCCTTTACCGGGTCCTGGATGAAAGGGGCAATTGACGGGTTGCTAGAAAGCAAGGAGAATGAACGGCCGAGGTTGAGAGGTTCGAGTGAAACGACGAACTGCTTTTGTTGTTGCCGAGTCGGTGCTGCGCCACACAAAATCACTAGCCACAAAGGTATGGCTGACCCTTTCCGCTTTGGGATACCCGTTCTATACAAGGATTTCTAGAACTACTCTTATTACATCTAGGGGACGGTTTCTAAGAGGATTGTTATAAAATAGCTCTGCTTCAATCTAGTACAGTCGGATATTAACTCCGCTACCATGAGACATGGTCAGACTCGACTGGATAACAGGGAGCTTTAGTCCAGGGTCACCGTTCTCGACGGTAGAAAAGCGCTGCATAATTCGGACCAGTAGAAGGCCCTATAATGGATGGCATAAAATGAAATACGTTCATTTGGAGCCGGAATCAAGACGAAAACGGAGGCAAAAATGGGGAGATATTACAGTATTAGGGATCGGAGCCCCGGGTAGATCGCAAGACCCCCCGAATTTGTGTTAGACTACTAGTTAACTATGTAGTTAGTTAGTTAGTTAACTAGATCCATGGATATCTGAGTAAGCTCTCCTGAAGAGAATGATTGGATTATGCACCGTCTCGAAGACTAACTAGTTATTATGTACTGGTTGGCGCCGGCCCTGGATGATAGCATAGATACATTGTAGCCTGGGCTCGGCCGGGGCAATGAAATGATATTACAGGATAGTAGGAGGTACTCTTTGGAATCCTTGCGTTACCCTCTGGCACAGCGCGCTACTTTCCGAAGCAAGGTAGCCACTCCTTGAGTGCCTGGATGAAGTATCCGCGCGACTCCTCTCCGACTGCGCTGTCGGTGCGGAAATCAAAGCAGTGAACTGAATTTGCCCCCACAAACCCAAAGACCTTGTCTGCGCCAGGTTGCACTCCACAGGGGGGGATCTGGGTCGTCAACGAGACCCCCTGTGGCGCAAAGTCCTCGTTGGAAAGCAGGGATAGTGTGCGCCATGGGTCAAACTCCCCGGCACTGAAGTAAACATTCGAGGGTCGGATGGTCCAGCCGCCGAATTCCTGGTTCAGCGCGGCGGCCTTTGGTTGCGGGGGCAGGATGCCCTGCTTCGAAGCCTCGGGGAAGATCTCGTTGCACTGGCGCTGCATGAGCTCGAGGGTCTGGTACCGGGAGAGGAGCGAGTGTGCGCCCACGTTGTTGCTCTGATAGAACCCCCACTCGGAGCAGTACTGCCACGTCCAGCTGAGCGTGTCTGCGTCGGTGGGGGGGTTGTTCAGCACGCACGAGCGCGCGGTGGTGCTGTCCAGGCCCTTGCAGTTCGTTTCCATATTGGAGTTGACCACCTCGACGAAAGTCGGCCACGAGGCCCAACGCTCGGCAACGTACTGAGCACCGTAGGCTGGCGCAAGACCGTTCGCCCCGGCCGACTCGTTCGTCCTGGGATCGACCTCCAGATAGCCGCAGAGCGAGCACAATCCTCCCTCGCCGCCGTCAACGCCATGGGACTGAAAGTACCCATAGATACCTGCCAGCGCTGCGCCAAAGTCTTCGTTCGAGTTTTGCTCTGCACCGACGCCGAAAAACAGCTGCTTCATGGTCTTGGCTGTGTCTGGATGCGCGAGCTGATCATCGATGTATTGCAGCGCCGCATGCAAGTCCTTGACGCAGTTTCCCAGTCCCCCGGAGACCATGCCCCGATACACCTGGTCGAAGTAGATGCTCATGTTGATTTGCGCCTGGACCGGAGCGGACGCAGCAAAGGCTGCAAAGATCGTCTCTGGGTATTCCTTTCGCGCAAGCGCGGCTCGGATCCCGGGATATGAGCCCCCAACCATGACCCAAGGCGTGGATGCCGGGGTCAGATCGGTGCGGGGGTAGTCTGGACGAGTGAAGGTCCGCGCGAAATAGGGGATATCCGCCAGGGCTTGTCTGGTCGTCAGATACTTCATCTGCTCGGGGGGTGTCGTGTTGGTAACGGGGTATGGTAGCGATTGTCCGTAATAACTACGATCCGTTAGCTTTTCCGGCCCAGTTACTGGCTTGGGTTTTCTGCTCGAAGAACCCACCGATGCTCCCACAGGATTCCGATGGCATTGAATTCCTGGATCATGCTGTTGAAAAAGGAGGTCTCCGATGTCAGATGAACGAGGCTAGGCTCTGCACTTGATTCTCCCGCATCGTAGAGGAACACGGGGGCGCCCGGAGTATAGTACTGATCGTTCACCCAGAATCGATTCTGGTACTTACCAACATGTGGATCCTCGTGATCAATGGGGATCTGAAAAGGTCAGCCAGTGTTCATAATGATCGAAGTGTTTGGCGCCGGAGAATGGTCCTGCGTACCGGCACGTATTCCGCGGGAATGGTCGACGGCTGTTCAAGCAAGGTATGCAAAACATGGCGGTTCTTGAGTAGAAGATCAGGATCCAAGCCCAACTCAGCGGACAGTTGAAGATCTCTCGTGAAATCCGATCTGAGTCTCAGACCAGCTCCAGGGCTGGAGAGCAGAGCGACGGTCGCGAGAGCCGCCGCGAAGGAACGCATTTTGGGGGGGGGGGGGTTGCGAGAACTTCAATGGCAGCCGATGGAATCCAAAGAAGGTACTACTTTATTATAAACACCGAAACCAAGGGGTGAAGTAACAGGGGAGTGAGTGATAGTAATGGTGATAGTGATAGTAACCGTGGCCGTGACAGTGGTAGGAACAGAGCACAGTGAAGATCAGGGTTCCTGCCCAGGGAGTCAGTCCCCTTCTACGCATGCCATCCACTCGAGACGGTTATAAAGAAACCGACGTCTGCGGCCAGGGCCATCGGTCTCCGCCCATGGCTGGCTGCTGACAGGTAAGTCGTACGACAAAAAGAAAGCAAGACGTGCCAGCTTAGCCCGAGACAGTGTCGTATCGTATGCGGTAGGGTGGATCGGGTTCGGATAGCAAGTCAATGCCTGATGCAGACATAGCGATAGCGATAATGATATGCTTGATGTCTTTGGGATAGTGGAGGATTGCTCCGGTTGAGAACGACATGGCGAGGAATGTCCAGCCTCCAGCAGGAATTCCGTCATACAAGTCAACTCATCCATCCAGGAATATAGAAGAGAAAAGCAATCATCAGGGCTCGAGAGGTAATTGCCAATCGTTAGGGTTCATTCTTTGTAAACCGCTCTGGTCTTGCTCCGCTTGCAGTGGAAGCACAGAACAATATTAGGGTTAGGGCGAGCAAAGAGGAATCGTGATGTGATGGTGGCCGAAAACGATCTGACACATTCTTCCGGCGATGGAATTCTTCACCATCCTGATTTTTGTCTCTCTCCCGCTTACTTTCATGATTGATTACAGCAAGACATGCCAAGTCGAGACGAGAATCCTGGTCATTCAACGGTGGACAGGAGGAAGCCTGGTAAAGCTGCACGACTAAAGAGGTACTCTAGCCCTAAGCCACCACCAAACTGGCAACCCCTCTTGAATGCAAGATTGGAATCCTGCTCATAGGTCAAGTATCTCGTTTGTCTCTACAAGATTGAAAGAAATGATGGGTACTGACATATTGGCTGAACCGCACGCGGATTGGAGGGAGTACATCCTGAATGATCCATCCGGGACGGAGTAACGTCAGTGGCATTTTACAATCTACCATGTCAAGCAGAAAATCTAAAGATAAAGAAATGAAAAAAATCAAAATCTACCTCTCTTCATCACTCCCGAAACAACCGCCACAGCTCCAACTCCAAGCCCAAGCCCAAGCCCAACCGCCCACTTCCAAGGCCACCAGTCCTGAGCAAACCCAAGCCCTTTCTTCTCGTCTGCAGGACCATCCTCCAATGAATGCACTGGTCTCCCGCTCACCCAGACCCGTCTCACATTGCGATCATCCCCCGTCCACACCCACTTGTGGATCTTCTCCGTCCACGATTCGAACCCGAACACGTCCACGACCGTTTCATTCGGCAAGCAGGAGGAGCCCGCAGGCTGTCGCTCCGCAGACTCCACAGAACCGAGTCGAATCAGCTGCGCGTCAAAGAACATTCCCGGGTCGAAGCCGCCCAGGTCGTCGGGCATGGAGACGACGGCCGCGCCGCCGCGGGTGGCCAGGTACAGGACTTCTTCGACCCTGAGCACGTTTCTATTATCGTTGGCGGTTGACTCCGCTTCCGGGGCGGCAGAGTGACGTAAAAGCCGAGAGACAAGACAGGCCTGCCGGACAGCTTCAAGGATACTAGGACTATACCCGCCGCTGACATCGGTGCCTAATCCAACCGTGATGCCGGCATCGAGCAACGAACGAACGGGACAGAGACCCGAGCCCAGGGCGGAGTTGGACGCCGGACAGTGGGAGACCTTCGCGTGCCGGGTGCCGATGAGGGCTTTTTCCTCCGGGGTCAAGTGCACGGCGTGGGCGAGGATCGTGCGCGGGGTGAGCAGGCCGTGGTGGTCGTATACGTCCGCGTACGAGGTGGATTCCGGGAAGAGCGTGTGGACGAGCGCGACCTCGTCTTTGTTTTCGGAGATGTGGGTTTGGATGTGCAGCGGCGGGGAGTGCGAGGCTGCGAGGGCACCGAGGGAGGCGAGCGCGGCGCGGGAACAAGTCGGGGCGAACCGCGGCGTGATGATGGGGTGGATGAGCTTCGCGCTGGGGTCGAGCGCATGGATGTGTGTGATTGTCTCCTTGGTTGAGGCGAGACTGGCCTCCGCGGAACGGTCGCGGTAGTAATCTGGGCAGAAGTCCGGGTTGTCCATGCAGACGCGGCCGATGAGGGCGCGTTGGCCGCGGCGGTGGCATAGAGTCGCGAGGAGGTTGGTGGCGGGGACATGGATGGTTGCAAAGTAGGAAGCGCAGGTGGTGCCGTTGGCGAGCGTGCGGGAGATGACTTGGTTGTAGATGGCGTGGGCTTTGGTCAGGGAGTCGTCCCCGAACGAGCTTTCCAGGGGGAAGGTGTACGTTGAGAGCCAGTCCAGGAGAGTAGAGGAGCCAAAAAGGCCCGAGTTGGGATATTGCGGTGCATGGATATGTGTATCTAACACGGTTTAGTACCGATCACCACCATCACCACCATTCCCCTTCTTCAATAATACATACCAATAAAACCAGGAAAGAAAAACTCATTCTGCTCCTCTCGAGCTCGAAAAATCGCAACGCGACCTTCGCAGGATCCCCCACCAGCACCCAGAACGCAGCCCTGACTCTGAATCAGTGCCTGCAGCTGTTCTTCACCGGACACGCTCCAATCGCAGCCCTGGATTCGGCCCGTAGCCGACGACACCCAGAGCGCGCCATGACGAATCTCCAGCTCATGCTTACCGCCAGACTTGGTCCGGGGCAGATGGACAAACGTCCCATAAAAGAACGTGATTGTGGGAGCCATTTGCACCTCTGATCTCTGCCCCCTGATATTAGCGTGGCTTTCTCTGTCTACCTTAGGTAGGTACCATGGCTTGAGATGACTTACTGCTTACGACAATGGCGTCTTCAACATCTAGAGCAGACTCTATCAATTCTAGACCTGCGGATGGGAGAATCCCAGCAGCATTTCACCTGTAAAGACAAAAAAGTCCCTGCACATGGCGCTCGCGGATTGATATATCATAGCGCTGCCTGAGGCTGGACCGCATGGCGAGCTCCGACCAATCAGAGCGCCGGATATGCTTTCGGACGACGGCTGACTCCGATGCTTACGTCAGACACATCTTGATAGATGACTAAGATAAGATAAGATAAGATAAGATAGATATTGATCTTTGGTATTTCATTTATAGAGGAAAAAGGAAGAAGAAAAGAAGAAATGCTATGCCTATGTTGAATCTAACCTAAACGCCGTCTATCAGAACCATGTTGAATCCCACGGCACTGCCTTCCAGAATCCACTGGGGTGTTGAAAATATGTCGGTATATGTATAGTGAAAACATGGGTATCATCATAACTATTCGGTATCGTCCACCGGTCCGCACGTGCAGAAGAGGTTTTGGTCACCGTATGCTGCAAAGAATTAGAACTTGAACTAAAAAAGAAAAAAAAAAGAATGAATGCTTACCGTCGTCCACACGCGTCACAGAAGGCCAGAACTTCTTCTCGAGAAGGTAAGGAAGAGGGTAGGCGGCGGTTTCGCGAGCGTAGGGACGATCCCATTCGGTGGCGAGGAGATCGCGCTGGGTGTGGGGGGCCATCTTCAGCACGTTGCCGTCGCGCGGCTGCGCACCACTCTCGACAGCGGCAATCTCGTGGCGGATGGAGATCAGGGCGTCGCAGAAGCGGTCGAGCTCGGCCTTGTTCTCCGACTCCGTGGGCTCAATCATCAGAGTGTTGGCCACGGGCCAGGACATGGTCGGGGCGTGGAAGCCGTAGTCTTGCAGACGCTTGGCAATGTCGATGGCCTCGACGCCGCAGGTCTCCTTGAACTTGCGGACGTCCAGGATGAACTCGTGGGCGCAGCGGCCGTTCTCGTTGGTGTAAAGAATCGGGTAGTGTTGCTTCAGACGGGCCAGGATGTAGTTGGCGTTGAGCAGGGTGATCTTGGTCGCGTGGGTGAGGCCCTTGGCGCCCATCATGTTGATGTAGTTGAAGGTGATGGGCAGAATGCTGGCGCTGCCCCAGGGGGCGGCACTGATGGGCGGGGAGGATGACTCGGAGCGCTTGGCTTGGAGGTACTCGCTGGCCGGGTGCGAGGGGAGGAACGGCCGGAGGTGCTCTGCGACTCCGATGGGGCCGACACCAGGCCCACCACCACCGTGGGGGATACAGAACGTCTTGTGCAGGTTCAGATGGCAGACATCGGCTCCGATCTCGCCGGGAGAGCACAGACCGATCTGGGCGTTCATGTTGGCTCCGTCCATGTAAACCTGGCCACCATACTGGTGGACCAGGTTGCAGGCCTGTTTGACGCCCGGCTCGTACACACCAAAGGTGCTGGGGTAGGTGATCATGATGGCCGCCAGCGCCTCCTGGTGCTTCTCGCACTTGGCCGCGAGATCCTCGAGATCGAGATTGCCGGTCTTGGTGTCGCACTTGATGGTGACCACTTTCATGCCGGCCATGGCGGCACTGGCGGGGTTAGTTCCGTGGGCCGAGACGGGGATCAGACAGATGTTGCGCTTGGAGCCGCCGTTGGCTTCCAGGTACTTTTTGATCACACGCAGACCGGCGAATTCGCCCTGCGCGCCGGAATTGGGCTGCACGGTGACCTCGGCCATGCCCGTGATATCGGCCAGCTGCTGCTCGAGGTCATCAATCATGCGAGTGTAACCCTGGGCGACGTCGGCGGGGAGGAAAGGGTGCATCTGGGAGAATTCGGGCCACGAGACGGGGATCATTTCGGTGGTAGCGTTGAGCTTCATGGTGCAAGAACCCAGCGGGATCATCGAGTGGGCCAGGGAAAGATCCTTGGACTCCAGGTGATGGATGTATCGCAGCATTTCCGTCTCGGAGTGATGGGTGTTGAAAACGGGGTGTGTCAGGTAGGCGGAGGACCGCGCGAGGCTGGCGGGGATCGACGCCAGGCCGAGGGGCTCCGTCAGGGCCACCTCGCCCTTGGTAGCATAGGTGGCGAAGACTTGCAGGATGTTCTTCACGTCCTCGCGGCCAGCCGTCTCATCTAGGGAGACACCGACCTTGGTGGCGGACACGCGGCGGAGGAAGATGGATTGCGCGCGAGCCGCCGCCACGAGGGCATCAGCCTCGTCGCGGCTGGATAGTTCCACGACGACGGTGTCGAAGAGGGTGGCGCCGTCCTGCGTGTTGGACTTGATGGGGACGTGGAAGCCCAGCGCCGCCAGCTGGGTTTGCAGGGTTGTGGTCATGGACATGATGCGCTGAGCGATGGCCTTCAGTCCGGCGGGGCCGTGGTAGACGGCGTACATCGCACTCATGTTGGCCAGCAGGGCCTGCGCAGTGCAGATGTTGCTGGTGGCCTTTTCACGGCGGATATGCTGTTCTCTGGTCTGGAGCGCCAATCGCAAGGCACGGTTGCCCAGACGGTCCTTGGACACACCCACCACCCGGCCGGGGACCTTGCGCTTGTACTGGTCGGCACAGGCGAAGAAGGCGGCATGCGGACCACCATAGCCCATGGGGACGCCGAACCGCTGGGCGTTGCCAAAGGCGATATCCGCGCCGAACTCGCCGGGGGCCTTCAGGACGGTCAAGGCCAGCAAATCGGTGGCAACGCTGAAGGTACCGCCCGTCGCGTGGATGGTGTCGCTCAGCCCTTGGTAATCGTAGACACCGCCCTCGGTGTCCGGGTACTGCGCCAGCACGCCAATGAGGTTGTCGCCTTGCTCCTTGACCAGCTGGTGGTCGTTGGCCAGAATATCGCCCACCACCAGGTTGATCCCGAAGCCCTCGGCCCGAGACTGCATGACGGCAATGGTCTGGGGGTGGCACAGATGCGAGACCACATAGGCCTTGCCGGGCCTCTTCTGCTTGGCGGCCGGCAGCGTGGCCAGGGACATGGTCATGGCCTCGGCGGCGGCGGTGCCTTCATCGAGCACGGAGGCATTGGCGAAGGGGAGGCCCGTGAGATCCGCGGTCAGGGTCTGGAAGTTCAGGAGCGATTCCAGACGGCCCTGACTGATCTCGGGCTGGTAGGGGGTGTAGCTGGTGTACCAGGCGGGGTTCTCCAGGATGTTGCGGAGAATGACGGGAGGCACAATGGTCGGGTAGTAACCGGCCCCGATGTAGGTCTTGCCGGAGACATCAATCTGTTTCCGATACTGATCCAACAGCTGCAGCATATCGGTCTCTCCCAGACCACCGTGCACAGAGCTACGGGGCAGACCAGTATCCGCACTCGGGGCGGTCACCGCCAGGTCCTTCTGGGACAGGATATCCGCGGGCAGGACCTGCTTCACGAATTCATCGAGCGTTGCCACGGGGGGGTCGAGAGTGGCGAGCATCTCCTGGGCAGCGTCTGGGGAGGGGCCAATGTGGCGTCTGGGGAACGTGTCCAGGGGCTGGAAGATATCACGGGGGTGTGGAACGCCATGATCCGCTACAGAGCTGGTATAGACGGGTCGTCGGGTGGTGGTGGTGGTGGTGGTGGTGTGCAGGGCACGGGATGCGGGAAGGTATGTCTTGGGAGTCGTCCTCCGCAGAGCAATGGACGGCACAGGGTGTAATCTAGAGCGCAGAGCGAGCTGACGGGAGCCACGCAGGGCGCACCACGAGGCGGCCATTTCAATGAGAAGCACCCCGAAGCACCGGGAGGAGTGGTAGGGAGGAGTCGCTGGAGCTAGAGTATAGAGGAGTCGGGTCCAGCTACAATGCGAACCGCATAGGGATAAAGAGGGGAGAGAGGGAAATGAAATTGATAGAAGATGAGAAGAAGATGAGAAGAAGAAAGGAAAGAAAGGAAGAGAAAGAAGATGGAGTGAGAGTAATCTTAAGAAGCAATTGAGAATCTCCAGACTCCCGATTGGATTCTCCGTAAGAAAACCGCGGACGATACGGGAAACCGCCGATAACGCGCGGCCCGAACCAATCAAAACACCAGATCGGAGCGGACAATACGGTACCGGACGGTATCGGGGTGTTTTCCGCGGGAAAGGGTGGAGTTTGGACGGATTCTTGTAGGATGAGAAGAATTGAATTGGACGAGTTGGTGGAGGATTTAGGGTTGTCTTGGGAGAGCGATTATCATCAGGATAGTTGAATAGTTACACACTTGACGAACTACTAGTAGGTTAAATTGTATATCGGAACTCAGAAGATCCTTCAATCTCCTTCTCTCCCCGATCTGCCTTTTGATTGGAATGCCAGAACCACCAGCTCAACAATCCCACGATCAGCATCAGAAGTAAATTACACCTAATGCCAGTTAGCACAGCATTCAAAATGGGGTAGAAGACATACGCGATCGCAGTATAAATCCCGGGCCGATACCCTGGCTTATCTTGTTCCCGGAAGACCAAACTGGCCGCGATGCCTCCAATCCCTCCGAACCCAACCAGGGTCGCACTGGACAGCGCTCGCGTCCATTGTCCTCGTATATTATTCGCCTGGTACGCCATACAAGCCGGGATGTTTGCGTTGGTTCCCGCAACGGTGAAAAACACCCCGACGTATTGCACGGCGTGACTCTTTGCGAAGCCCATCATCGGCAACCCGATGATGCAGAGGAGGGCGTTGAAGATGAGGATGGGGCCGCGCGTTCGGTATCGATCACCGACCCAGGAGGTCCCGTACATGACTATTCCCGCGAGACCGTAGGGTGGTGCGACTAGACACTGTGCAGCGCCGGTGGAGTATCCCATGCCTTGGGCGAGGATGATGGGGAGGAAGTATGCGATTGCGTAGGTGACGGTGGTGATGCAACTATAATCATAAGTAAATAAAAAAGCAGAATAAAGAAAAAAAAAAAAAAAAAGAGGGAAGATTACAAAAAGATCATGGCGAATCCCCAGATCTTCAGATCCAGAGCTGGCCAGAGGAACCGCTTCAACGTAAACGGTTCGTGGTCTCCGTCGGATCGGTCCCGGTTGATACGTCGGATGATAAACGCACATTCCCGCTCATTGAGAAACCTCCAGGATTTATGGGCTCGATCGGGGAAGTCGACGAGGAGTAAGATGGTGAGGATCCCGATTGCCACGGTGATCTACTAGATTCAGCGTCGTCCGTCCGGCATCAACAACCACCTGGGGTCATGATCATGACCTACCACTCCCTCGAGGATGAAGATCCATCTCCAGCCAGAGAGGCCCTGGGTGCCATTGAGCTGCATCAATCCAAACGCGAGAATTCCGGCCAAGGCGGAGGCCACGCAGCCGATCAGGTAAAAGACGGAGAACCGCTTCTGGACGTCATCTTCTCTCGTTAGTAACTTGTCTCCAAGCTACCTAGTACGGAGAATGACTGCTTACAGCGAGCATACCAACTGGACAGGAGATAGACACAGCCCGGAAAGTACCCTGATATATAGTTAGCCAGTAGTAATGCAGGGGAATGAATGTCTATACCAGCTTCCAAAACCCCCAGAACCACCCGACATCCCACCAGTTGCTGCCAATTCTTGGTAAACCCCATACCCTAGATAATTAGAACAACCCTAAATGAAAAGGGAGGGGGGGGGAAAGTACAATCAAGATCCCCCCCCAGGATATCACAATACTCCCCAAGAAAAAAGTAGGACCAATCTTCCGGGTGATGACCGTCATCGGTGGCTGGAAGATCACATACGGCACGAAGAACAGGAGAACCACAATCGACTATTTCCATCAGAACAGTCCTACCAGAGCAGAGGGTGAGAAATAGGTCCCGGGACGAACATATCGGTATCCAATGTAGAGCTCGAGGTCTTTCACCATACTGCGCAAGTCAGGGCGTGCTCCCGAGACACCAGAAGGTGGTATGGTATGTGTACATACCCCGCGATAGCAGCCATGCTCAGATTCGTCCTATCCATGAGAGAAACACAATATGCCAGACCGGTGATGGTCACCAGCCGCAGGTCAATCCGTCGAATGATCCTGCGCTGCTCGTCGGGCGTGAATTCTTCATCGTAGTCCAACGCGCCCAGGGCAGACTGGTTGGCGACTTCGACTTTCTCTACACTGGGAGGTTTCTCAGGGTTCTCACTGCTGGGGGACATTTTATAGCTTCGAGTAATATTGTCCTGGTTAGTGAAAAAAAGGAAAAGAGGAAAGAGGAAAGAGAGAATCCCCCTAATTATATACGCCTAATTCACCCTCCATCGCTTGAATACTCCATATGGAGAATCAGGCCCATCTCATGGATCCTGCTGGCTTGGAAACTGCCTCGGTCACTACAAGGTAGGAAAGAGGGTGGTTGAATATTCCACCCCAGATACAGAGATGCAATCGTGGAGAACAAAATGCGGGGAATGAAGCCTAACATGGAATACGATACTTGGCGATACTTGGCTGGGTTCGTTTTTCGACTCGTGTACAAGTAGGAGACATATAGATTGGTCTAGATGGGGCAACTGAGAGACCTAGTTACTTGGCTGTCTTGGATTCCAACTGGCTATAGCATAGGAATCTTCAGCTCTCTTTTAACTGGATCTGCTGAGTTCGAATGATTGCCTGTGACAGTCTTGTCCCTCGGAATGTATATCTTAGGTATGTATCTAGATATAGTGGTCATATGATGTTGAGTAGTATACATGAACTCACTAGATAGCCATGATTTTATAGCGTAGTGGTTAGTGTATAGTATGGTATATAGTCGTTCAATCTAATTATCACAGATCTTCTGCTACTAGCCTAAATTATGAGAAGAAAGGCTGTGCAGATAATAGTTCCTGTGACAGATTCCAACTATACGGTTTCGATATATCGTTTGAATTCCCTGGTAGCCAGTCAGTCAATCTGTATCGTGCGGCAGAGATCCGGAAACAAATACCAGTCCGTCACGGCTTCTCGCCACACACGCAGCTCGTGTTCTCGAGTGGCCGTAAAAAAGTCGACGAATTCGGGGTCGAGGATCTCCCGGGCGAGACTCTCGCGCGCGCTGAATCGTCTCGATGCATCCTCGAGCGTGTTCGGCAGCAACGTGGGTCGTTGGTCCCCGGCTTTAAGAGCCGACAGAGGCGGCACCGTGATCTCCCGTTTCTTCTCCACCCCTCGCCATCCAGCAGCGAGGAGAACGCTCAGCGCGTAGTGAGGATGCAGGTCCGCCCCCGGAATGCGCACTTCAAACCGCGTCGCTCCCGGCTTGCAAACGGGTGGGGTAATGATCCGGATGGACGCCATGCGGTCTTCCAGTCCCCAGCTGATATTGACCGGAGCCCAGAAGTTCTCGACCAGCCGCTTGTATGAGTTAATGGTAGGGGCAAAGAGGGGCATGATGTCCGGCAGGGCCTCGAGAAGTCCAGCGAGAAAGTGTCGGCCCAGGTCCGACAGTCCAGCTGCATCCGGCCATTGGGCGTTGGAATCTTCGGATTCGCGAGCAAAGAGGTTTTTCCCTTCCAGATCGCAAAGCGAAATATGGATGTGGCCAGAGCTGCCAGGTTGGCCTTGCATTGGCTTCGCCATGAAACACGGGGTGATGCCATGTTCAATTCCGATTGATTTGGCCAGAAGCCTAACTCATTAGCTGACTCCTCCCAACAAAAGAGGGGGGGGAAAAAAGAGGGGAAACCTACTTGAAAAGGGCTACTTTGTCTGCCATCTCACTCACATGAGATACTTTGAGGGCCTGGTAACATTAACAGTGTCCTGGCCAAGCGACGGGAAAGAAGGAACATACCGCTTCGTATACTCCTGGTCCACCCTCAGTGTGCCACCCCTCAATGTCGCAATTGAACTCCGCGCATGTGTTGAAGATATCGTAAAAGTATTTTTTATACGGCACGGTTCGTGTCGCACTGTACGAGAAGCTACCTCCGGTGATAGGACGCAAAGCGCCCGGCGCGTTGCTCTCGAGGAAGGCAGCCAAATCGAGTGTGGGGGAGCCAGTAGGCCCGTATCCGTCTTGAGAGGGGGTTTGGAAATTCATGAATTCAAGTTCCACTAGATGAGAGAATGAGAATTGAGCGAATAGTTGTAATACATGCATGTTATGTTGCACTCACCACCAGCCATCGCCTGGCAATTTGAGGCCGCCAGCTTATCGCAAAGAGCCTGGAGCATGCTGCGACCATCCGCGCACACGGGTTGGCCATTCTGTACAAAGCGAACGAGGAAGAATGGGATGTGATCCTCCCAAGGAATCCTGCGGAAGGAATTCAGGTCAGGGACAGCAATAAAGTCCACGTAGCCTGATTCCGGAGGTGCAATTTTGGCATCGGTAGTGTAGAGGACATCCTGCATATCCCAGCCAAAGACGGCAGAACTGAATCCAAATCCTTTCTGCACTATCCCCAGGAATTTCTCCTTCGACATGACCTTGCCACGGAGGATACCATCGCAGTCAATGCCGGCGACTTTAACCTTGATATCGTCAGCGAGGAGACGGGGAAGGTCCTCAGCTGTGATTTTGGGGGTAGACATGATTGATGCACGTCAAGAAGCAATTCTATCTCAGAGAATATCTTCAGAGAGAGAGAGAGAGAGAGATGAAAGGCAGATAGACAGGCTTAAAAGGAACCGGATCCGTTTCCCTACAGGAAGCCACGCAGGCAAGCGATGCGACAGAAAACATATTCGCGGACCGCAGAGAAATATCAATTGAGCTCATTGTGAGTTAGCCACATAGACACTGGCAGAAGCAACCCGACATAGAAGAGGAAGAAGCGCGATAGTTGGAGTTGAGAAGGGAAAGTGGCGGACCGCGTGGTGGAGAAAAAGACCGCGCTGGACGGAGTTGAGGTCTCCAATTGTTTCCTGATGATAGCTGGATACTCGTATGTTTTATGTTGATTATGATAATAGAGTCCTCTAGTACTCGGTAGAGTCTCAGTAATTCCTTGTATTCCATATAAAGATGTCAAACCGCGGTCTACACAGCGCTCTACACAGTGCTCTACACAGTGCTCGAATCACAACCACCACAACCCCGCCATTCAAGCCCCTCATATAAGTTGCGATTCTTCCTGACCAACATCCACCACCTCTTCGTCCTTCTATCCTATCCTGAAACCCCGCGGGAATTGCCAAAATGACCAACCGAATCAGGACCCTCTCTCCCTCCACCAACAAAGTCATTTTCGAACATCCCGGTACCTCTCTCGACCAGGTGCGCGGGATCGTCCAGGCCTCGCAAGATGCTTTCCGTACCTTCAAAGAGCTTTGCCTGGAGGAACGTAAGCTTATTGTCGTCAAGGCCTTGGATATAATCGATGCCAATAAGGAAACTCTGGCTCAGGAGCTCAGCCTGCAAATGGGTCGTCCGATTTCCTACACTGCCGGCGAAATCACCACCATGCGCAAGCGTGCCGACTACTTGCTCGGCATTGCAGACGATAGCCTCAAGACTATCCCAGGCCAGCCAGAGGGTGGATTCAAGAGATTTGTCAAAAAGGAGCCCGTTGGTCCGGTGTTGCTTGCCACAGCGTGGAATGTACGCTTCCTGATATTCCCCCGTGAAAGCTAATCTAACCTAACCCACTCTCTCATCAGTACCCCTACTTGATCACGATTAATGCTCTCGTCCCTGCCCTGCTCGCCGGAAACTCTGTCATCCTCCGTCCCTCCCCGCAAACCCCCCTTTTTGGGGAGCGTCTCGTCTCATACTTCAACCAAGCCGGCCTCCCGACCAACGTCCTCCAGCTGATCCACACCGGCTCGCTAGATGTTCTCGATGAGATCGCCAAGCTTCCCCAGATCAAGCTGGTCTCGTTTGTGGGCTCAACCGCTGGAGGGATCCGTCTCCGCCAGGCAACGGCGAGCAGGATAGTTCCCCTGAACCTGGAGCTGGGTGGTAAAGATCCCGCATACGTCCGTGCCGATGCGGATCTGGCATACGTCGCCGCGCAGGTCGTGGACGGAGCCGTCTTCAACTCTGGCCAGAGCTGTTGCTCCATCGAGCGTGTTTATGTGCATGCTGATGTCCACGATGCGTTTGTGGCCGAGGTGCAGAAGGAGCTACAGACGTAAAATCTTTCTTGCTGTAGACGATTGCCGGAACTCTACTGACCGGACATAGTTACAAACTCGGAAACCCCATGGACAGAACCACCACCACCGGCCCCGTGATCTCGCAACAAGCCGTCAAAAATATCCAGGCCCAGATTGCCGACGCCCTTGCCAAGGGTGCTGTCGACGCAACCCCCCACAACGCGACGTTCGACGCCCCCCCGCCGGACGGAAACTACCTGGCCCCGAAAGTCCTGACGAATGTCTCGCACGAGATGCTGGTGATGCGCGAGGAGACTTTCGGCCCTGTCCTTCCCATTATGAAGGTCTCCGGGGACGACGAAGCGGTCGCACGGATGAACAGCAGCGACTACGGACTAACGGCCAGCGTATGGACCAAGGATATCCAGGCGGGCGAGGCATTGATCGAGCGCATCGAGGCGGGGACAGTTTTTATTAACCGCTGTGATTATCCCAGTCCGGTGCGTCCTTTTTCTTCTTTCTCTCTTTTTTTAACCCTCAAGAAGTATACTGACCGTAATAGGACCTTGCGTGGATCGGGTGGAAGAACTCCGGCATGGGCTGTTCATTGGGACCACAGGGATTCGATGCATTTTACAAGTTGAAGAGCTTCCATATCCGAGAGAAGCAGGGTTAGCACATGAATATATATCCCTCTTTCCTTGTGTATAGATTCCTAGCTTTCCTGCCTAATAATAATCCTCAAGGTCCGTCGAACAGAATGGAATATATTACTGTATGTAGAGAAGCGCGCTCCGGAACCGCGGAGGGAATCTTACATATCAATGGAACTCCACCAAATCATGTCAACACAAGGATCCACTGGAACTGGAAATGATTGTATTAGTTAACTATCTTTAATACAGTGATTAATTATTTAAATAGTAATTACTATAGTATGTAGGAGGTAGCTATTGGGAATTTGGCGGTGAGATACATGTACATCACAGTACTGGTGGTGGTGTTATCTACCTATAAAGACTGCCTTCTCTCTGCCCCTCCTCTCTCTCTCTCTCTCTCTCTCTCTCTCCTCGTCACCTTGTTCTTCACCTAGGTACAAATTGTACATTGATATTTCCTCCCTGACTTGAAAACTAATTCCATTATCGGGATTTCTTAATTAATTATTCCCACCACTATCTATCAAACACACGCACAATGGTTGGCCGTCTCGCTGGAAAGAACGCCATCGTCACCGGTGCTGCTGGGTACGTTCCCTTCCCTTACCATATTTGGAAAAAAAAAAACCAATGATAATAAACTAACAAAAAACAGTGGCATCGGCCTCGAAACAACTATCCTCATGCTCCGCGAGGGCGCCTCCGTCCTCATGACCGACATCTCCTCTCCCGGTCTTGAAAAGGCCCTCGCCAAAGTCCACGCCGCTGTCCCCGACCCTACCGGTAAAGTCGAGATCCGCACCGTCGATGTCTCCAAGGAAGCCGAGGTCGAGGCCGCCGTCGCCCACTTGGACGCTTGGGGGGGTGTTGACGTCATGTTCAACAACGCCGGTATTATGCATGCCCAGGACGGGGACTCCGAGGAAACCCCCGAGGCCATCTGGGATCTCACCATGAACATTAATGTCAAGGGCGTGTGGTATGGATCGAAGCATGCCGTGAAGAGCTTGCGCAGGCATGGCAAGAAAAAGGGCAGTGTTATTAATACCGCCAGTATGGTTGCGCTTGTGGGTGCGGCCACCCCGCAGTTGGCATATACTGCTAGTAAGGGAGCTGTTTTGGCAATGACAAGGGAGTTGGCCATTGTACATGCTCGTGAAGGTATTTTTTTTTTCTCTCTTTCTCTTTCTCTTTCTCTTTTCCCTGCTGTTTGGCGTAGGGTGAGAGAAGCTAATTGCGATGATATAGGGTTTCGATTTAACTCGCTCTGCCCGGCTCCTCTTAAGTAAGTTAATTTATTTGTTTGTTTATTTTGATATCTGTTTGGGGCAGTTTTGCTGATAGAGTTGTGTAGCACCCCTCTCCTCCAAGATTGGCTCGGAGACGACAAGGAGAAGCGCTTCCGTCGTGAGGTGCACTTCCCCACGGGCCGTTTCGGTGAGGCTATCGAGCAGGCTCATGCGGTGATCTTCCTGGCAAGCGACGAGAGCAGCTTCGTCAACGCCGCAGACTTTGTGGTCGACGGTGGTCTGACCAAGGCGTATGTCACTCCTCAAGGTCCTGCCACTGAAGCCCCCAAGAACTTGGGCTCGTAAATTTCCCTGATATTTCGGTTCACGATGAGATGAATGGATGAACTTTCTTTTTCTTCCTTTTTTTTTTTTACTGCATAAGCCATGACTGAACAATTGGAAATACTTCCTCACTATGCAAACGAGATCCAGATTTGCTTCTGCTGCATCACGCGGCAGATATTCCACGGCCCGGCCTCCGCAAGAGGCGTCTGCCACATATGCTCCAGTAAAAGTAGAGTTCTCTGCATATTCCCCAGTCCGAATGTATTCACCATCGTGGTCAGCCGAAGCCTCAATTCATTCTGCTGCTGCTCCGAGTCTGCAAGGCAAGACCCCACGACCGCGATCGGCCAACAAAGACCCGAGTTGATGCGCACTGTTGCAGACAGCTGACGCAAATACGACATGGCCTCTACAATGGCCGACTCAATCAACGCTTGGTGCATGCCGTTCGCGGCCCGCGAGAACGACGACCCCAGCGATGTAAACAGATAAAGCAGCATGGCTTGTTGAAAGATCCGCCCCGCGAGAAACACCTCGGGCGTAACGAACGCGTAAGGCTCCCATCGCATAATCTGGCACTGCAACGAACCGTACATGGCAATGTTGTCGGCCGTCGGTCTCCTGGGCTGATGGTGCCCATGCCCATGCTCATGGTCATCGCCATCGCCGTCGCCGTCGTGCATCATGAATTCTCGGCCCAGGTCGAAGATGCAAGGGATGAGTAAGAGAAGCTCGAGCCAGCAGCCGGAGAGGTTGCCCACATACTCCGATGCCAGGAGATGTCGGGCTCGCTGTTCCAGATCGAAGTTTAGTAACAGTTGCGGGCTCACGCGGGCGTCAATGGAGATCATGCTGACTGTTGCAGTGTATGTGTAGTATTCGATGACGAAGTCTTTGAGGTCCTTGGGGACGGCTGTGTCGCTGTGTGAGAGGAGCCGGATTAGAAGGGAGTTTGCCGCGGATAAGTGGTCAAATATCGTGCCGTTCATGTCTCCTTTTGCGGTCTGGGGAGGAAGGGGATCAGCCTGTTTCCAAGTTGCTTTTTGGGGGGGGAGGGAATAGAATGAATGGTATTCTGTATTCTTACCTCTGTAAAGCACATCACGAGCGCTCCAACTGTAAGCATGAGAGGATTGGATTCTTTCCCGTCGATAAAGTCAGTCACGCCTTTGCGGAAGAGTCGCAGCGCTTTCGTGTAATGGCTGTCCGCGACCTCGTCTGCGTCTTTCCGGGCACGAAACGCTCGGTGCGCAGCGCTCTGTGTCAGAACCAGCTGGAGCATCAGATCGCTGGTAAATGCAAGTGGGACAATCTGGACAAGAAATGGATTGATAGGAGTTGATCCATTGGCCATGCAGTCAGCGGTGGTAGCCAGGTAATGGCTCAGGAGTTGGAAAGACTCCGGACTGTATCCCGGGAGCATTGAAAGGCTTCGTGGTATTACATTCCCAATAGCTAGGCAGGTGGTGATTTGGCTATTTTCAAGACCCTGGGAATTGTCCGGGGCCGCTTTCTGGTCCGGAATAGTTGATGTTGATGTTGTTGTTGTTGTTGTTGTTGTTGTTGACGATGATGATGATGAATTACTTTCACTTCTTGGTTCAGCTGATACATTTGAAGGCCAGTGGCAGCTGAGCTTGTTCCGTACACATCCACCACATGCTGGTTTAGCTTCATTGCACTTTTTCTTGCGGCGTCTGCAGGTGTAACAGCCAGTCCTGACCCGGACAATGGGCTCGGTGCGCGGCTGTTTATTAGGCGGCATCGGCCTAGAAAAAGAAGGAATGAAGCTAGTCCTGCTTTGTGACGCTAAATTAGAGACATAGAACACCAGATAGAAAACCAGAGTGGGGGAACTAGAAGAACGAGAGATGGGGAGATGGATGAGGATGATGATGATGATGATGATGGCTGGATTGTGGAGGTGGTGGAGATAGCCTGAGGTGGGTCACGGCATAATGAGGGAGGAGATTTCCCATTACAGTGATCAGTATAACCTCGCGATTTTCGAGTCAACATCCGATTCAAGACGCATTTACTGAATAGGATCATTTTGTTCGCATATGAAGCACTGATTTTATGTCTAGATAGATGACCGTACCTACTCTAAGTTACTCCACATTGAGAGGAAGAACGAAGGATTCCCCCACGGGGGTTTCTTTTGTCCAAGCTACCATATTGGATGACTGGAGGCTCTGAGGCCCCGGGGCGAGGCATGAGACAAGAAATTCGCTATTCGTTGGTGCAGCTGTCGGGTCTTGGTTAAAAAACAAGTGATGCATATGGAAGACATATATATAAAGTTGGATATTTTCTCTATTATTCTAATTGACAGTCCAGCGAGTAGAATAATACAATCATCACCATGGGCGCATACTAAGTAGTGTTCGTACACTGGCCATGAAAACAGGCAGGCATAAGAAAGAAGCAAGAAAGGTCAACGAAAAAAAAGAAAAAGCATCCCATGGCGGTATGCAGTAATAACAACATGATGAAGGTAAATAGAAATGGAGGAAAGAAAGGATATTAAATATGATAGAACGCCATGTGCAGGAAGCGCAGGATGCGGGTGCAGGTCATCTTTTTACAGTCGTTCCACGGGGGTTTACTCGGGCTTGCGTCCAACCATCAGATACATGGGAGTGAAAAGCTTCTTCTCACCTCCGGCCACCAGACAGTCTGCAGCCAGAGCCAGGCTGTCGGCAGTCTTTTGTGTGCCCTTGGGGATAAGACCGACGGTTTCGAGGGAACCGACGAAGCGGTGGACAAAGCCACGGCCCCACCAGGTCATGCGGGCAATTGTGAAGAAATCCCAGGGAGAAGTCATGTGCTTGAAGGATCCAGCAAGAGGATAGTACCAGGGGATGGGATCGGGGCGGTCTGCCAGATCCTCGTTGTGCAGCAGCTCGAACCCAGCATCCTTGATGGCGGTCAGACCCTCGGAGACCTTGACCATGTTGGAGATACCATCTCCCTGTTCAATACCAAGGCGGATCTTGCGGTGCTCAGCGTTGTCGTTATCATATTCATCAGTCATGAGCCATTCATAAACGCCAAAGATACCACCAGGCTTAAGCACACGGAAGATCTCCTTGTAGACACCAACGAGCTCGGGGGCGTGCACGGTGGCCTCAATGGCATAGACAGCGTCGAAGGAGTTGTCAGGGAATTGCATCTGCATGAAGTCACCCTTAACGAAGGTCAACTTGTCGCTGAGACCCTCGCGCTCAGCATAACGGGTCGCACGCTGAATCTGGTAGTCATTGTTGTTGAAGCCAACCACATTGGCATCGGTGAACTTGACAATCTCACGAGCGGGACCACCAACACCGCAGCCAACATCGAGCACCTTCATGCCGGGCTTGATACCCATCTGGTGAGCCAGGTAATGTTCATGGCGAGCAATAGCCTGGTAGAAGGGTTCTCCGTGGGCGAATCGACAGAAGTGGAAGGAGGTTCCCCAACCATATTCATAAAGATCAGTAGCAAGGTTGTAGTAGCTGTGGGATTACTCGTTAGCCAAACAACTGTATTTTTCTTCTTCTTTTTCTCTCCCTTGGGTGGAGGGCATACTGTCTGGTTAACGTGGCATACTCTGCGCGGCGGGCCTATTTTCACAACCGTTAGCAAACTATATACAAAACAAGTAGGGAAATCGAGAGGGGAAAAGTATCTTACAGCACGAGTCTCCTCTGTCTCAGTCTCCGCAGCCTTGTTGTCCCAATGTTTGAAGTACTCGTCGACGGCAGCCTTCTGAGCAGCGGCGTTCTTCTGGCGCATAGCAGCAAAGCCACCCTCAGCCTGAGCAGACTTTCCGTGCATAGCGCGGTTGAACTCAGCATCGCGCTGATGATCTTCCTTCTCAAGATCGGTAGGAGCCATGATGAATGGAATTGGCTTGTGAATTGGCGGGTTACGGAAGAGATACAAGGAAAAGGGGGGAGGGGGCGAGTCGGAGAGACGAGGAGAGTTGGGACGATGGAGAAAGAATTGAGCTGAATACCGAACTCAAGGCAGAAAAGAGACGATTCTTATATGGGATATGTCCAGGCAACAACCACGGCAGATCAAGAAAGCTGGGGAAGAAAAATGAAGGGAATGCAGGGGAGAAAAAAGAGGACAAGGCGAATACGCCGTGAATACGCAGGATGCTAGAAAGGAGGTGAAACGGCGACAGACTTTTGAGGCACTCCAGCCAATCACAGCCCGGCTTCCGCGGCGCCAACGAACCCCCCGGGACTAGTCCGGACTAGGTTTAGTCTGGGGCTCCGATCCAGCCCTTGGCAGCCAAATGGGAACCTGGGAAGCCTCAGGCTGTTTTCCCATTTGCATGTGGCTGCGGTTTCGGATTGTGATGGATCCGACTGACCTGATCGTCACTATCTGAACTGCGTATTGAATACGATGGCGATTAACGCCTGCTATCTAGGTATGATAGTGTATCTACGGAGTACTCCGTAATGTACTCCGTACATAACTACTAAATTTGTTCCCTTGGTAGCCAGGAGGGTCACGTGTGATTGTGCTTATGTAATACACCAGCCACCTATCAGTCAGCCACAACGCCACATGAGCAAAGGTTGCTATCGATAAATCATCCACATTTCTGCTCGAGCACCTCACCTACTAGTCGACTCAGTCTCCAGCCTTCTTGTCGAGAAGGTCAGTCTCGCATCAGAATGCCTCCGCAGATCAAGCAGGACCTCAACCGGTCGGGATGGGAGTCTACGGATTTTCCTTCCGTCTGTGAGACCTGCCTCCCAGACAACCCCTACGTGCAGATGCTCAAGGAAGACTATGGTGCGGAATGCAAGATTGTAAGTCTAGCTGCAGTTTCATCTTACTCTATTGTGAGGGAGTCTATGGTTCTAACTAATGGGGGGGGAAGTGCACGCGTCCTTTTACCGTCTTTCGCTGGAAAGCCGACCGCACAGCGCGCACCAAGCGCACCAATATTTGCCTCACTTGTGCTCGCTTGAAGAACTGTTGCCAGTGTTGCATGCTCGATCTGTCGTTTGGACTGCCGATTGTCGTCCGTGATGCTGCACTTAAAATGGTCGCCCCCGGCCCAGAAAGCTCGATCAACCGTGAATACTACGCCCAAGGCCACGAGAAAGAAATCGAAGAAGGACGAGGTGCGGTGGAGGAATACGAAAAGACAGATGAGAAAGCGCGTGAATTACTTCGAAGACTTGCCAAAAGTGAACCGTACTACCGGAAGCCTCGACAACTGGAGGGGGCGCAGAAGGATGAAGAGGCGGAAGTCACATCTAGCGATGCGCCAGTAGTTCAAAGCCGCTATGGAAATGCCCCGGGGCCCGTCCGCACAAGTGAAAGCAGAAGAGGCACAACTTTGCCTGGCAGGGGAGGTCGAGGTCGTGGTGGTATGCGTGGCGGACGTGCAGGTCGACCATTCCCGGGCACCGCTCAGCTGCCCCCTTCGCAAGAAGATATCCTCCCGCCTGCAGATCCAAACATTACGTCGCTTTTTGTTACCGGTGTTGAGGACGATCTTCCCGAGCATACTCTTCGCTCTTTCTTCAGCCAGTTCGGACAGCTTCGTTCATTGATCTGTTCTCATCGGGCCCACTCTGCGTTCGTCAACTTTGCGACTCGCGAGGGTGCTGAAGAAGCGGCAAAACAGTGTCAAGGGAAAGCGGTCATCCAAGGCTGTCCTCTCCGTATTCGATGGGGAAAGCCAAAGCCACTGGATAACATGGACCGGGAGGAACGGATGAAATACGCTCGTGAGGGCCGCCAGGCCACATCATCACCAAGGAACGCGGGCCAAGGAAGGAAAGCTATAACAGCCGCTGGCGGAGAAATTTCAGCGGAAGAAAGACCCCGCAATATCGTTGCCCCTCCCCCAGGCAGTGGCGAAATCCAGTATTCCAGTTTGTCTGGTGATTAAACACTTCTCGTTTCCCCTAAAGAACTGTTTGGGAAGGAAGACCTTGTATGTATGATTTTGAAAGCGGGCGTTGCTGTATGTATTTCTTGACAAAATTTATCTCAACCTATATAAATACCCCAAAATACGCCGAAGGAGAGAGAAAAAGGTTTGGGTATACTATAATACAATCGATCAAATGCGAGCATTCTGCAGCCATCTACTGCTTCTATCCCATATTATAACACTTCTCGGCCCAGATCCTACGCCGAACATGGCTTGTCCACCTTCACATTCTTCCCAGCAATCTTAATGGAATCGTTATCGCCGCGTTCGATCTGGTCATGAATGTTGAGTTCTAGATCCGCCTGGTTAGCGACCATCTGGGGTATTATGGCAGAAACCAAAACGTACCCCACTTTGAATTCTCATCGGCTGCATCCCGAGTCCCTTGTACGATGTTGTGTCTTAGGATATTGGCGACCTCGATAGCATGGTTGATCTGCATGGGGGTGTCGATGCCTTCGCGACGATGATTGTCGAAATTCTGGCGGGCTTCTTGACGAGCAGCGAGGAAGACCCGGGTGTCATCTTCTCATTGAAGTCAATTTAGCATCAGGAAACCCATTGAATGATACCCTAGATAGGCGAAGGACGACTGACTGGAAAAGGCAACGCGGGTAGCACGGAGAATTTGGCGATAGGCACTTCGTGCCGACACGGCGGTTTGCGAGGCCATGATATGTATTTTACAGAGAGAGAGGGAGGGAGAGGGAGAGTAGATCTTCAGAAGACTAAGATCGGTCTTTTTGAGGGTTCAATGGAATTGCTGGTCTGCTTCGGTTGTAGCGGGTACGGTGATCTGTCCAGGAGGTTAGATTCAGGGTCTCTGCCAACGGCCTTTTTTGTTTATTTTTTAAGGAGCCGATATAGTGGTGATTCTTACCAATAACAAATAAGATGAAGGTGAAAAGGCCTAGATTATAGCAAAGTCAAGGTAATTGAGAGTAAATCTCGTAACCTCACTTCAGCCTCGAAACAGAAGCCGAGTGATTGGCCCATTTATGTATATAGCGGCAACCCGGGGCAGAAAAAAAAAATCATTTTCGATTTTCAGCCCGAATCTCGTCTCGCCCGCACTGTTGATTGATTCTTGTCTTCCACCCCTCATCGTCATTCGGAACATTTACAATGTCCTCTGCGCAGGTTGTTAACGTTACCCTTCCAGCTCTGTCTGGCTGGAGTGCCGACAAGGACTTCAATGCTGTTGGCAAGCTCTCTGCCTCCACTCAGAGAAATCTGGAGCCTGTTGGTCCTCACTTCTTGGCTCACGCTCGCAGAGTATGTATTCCGCCCCTTCTCCCCTCATAAATGAGTCTCTCCTTGTGGTGGGACTAGGACTAGACACAGGCCAGTAAACAAGTGGACTTCATGGCTAACAATTCTACAGAAGCGTCACCAGCGCACCTTCTCCGAGGACGAGCGTATCCAGGCCCAGCAGAACGTCAAGAAGACTGAGGATGATGAGGATGATGATATCTCCGAGGCTGAGGACGCCATGATGCTGTCCCGGGACGCCAAGGACTGGAAGGTGCGCTTTATTGAATCTACTTGGACTGTTCTCCGTATTTGATATATGCTAATTCCCCTCTAGAGTCAAGATCACTACGCCGTTCTTGGTCTGAGCAAGTACCGCTGGCGCGCAACCCCCGAGCAGATCAAGCGTGCTCACCGCAAGAAGGTCCTTCGTCACCATCCTGATAAGAAGGCCGCCCTGGGCGACCGTGACGAGAACGACAACTTCTTCAAGTGCATCCAGAAGGCTACCGAGCTGCTGACCGACCCCGTTAAGCGTCGCCAGTTCGATTCCGTCGACGAGGCTGCCGAGGTCGAACCTCCTACCAAGAAGGAGGCTTCCAAGGGCAATTTCTTCAAGCTCTGGCGCCCCGTCTTCGTCGCGGAGTCTCGTTTCTCTAAGATCCAGCCTGTTCCCCAACTAGGTGATGAAAACAGCACCTTTGAGGAGGTTGATTCCTTCTACAACTTCTGGTACACCTTTGACAGCTGGCGTACTTTCGAGTACCTGGATGAGGATGTCCCCGATGACAACGAGAACCGTGACCAGAAGCGCCACGTGGAGAAGAAGAACGCCAACGCTCGCCGCAAGCGCAAGACCGAGGATACTGCCCGTCTGCGCCACCTCGTCGACGACTGCGCCGCCCAGGACGAGCGTATCAAGAACTTCCGCAAGGCCGCTCGTGCCGGCAAGGACAAGAAGCGTCTGGAGAAGGAGGCGGAAGCCAAGCGTCTGGCTGACGAGAAGGAGAAGGCCCGCCAGGAGGAGGAGCAGCGCAAGAAGGACGCTGAGGAAGCCGCCAAGGCTGAGCGTGAGAAGTCGAAGAAGGCCAAGGAGGCCGCCAAAAACGCCGCCAAGAAGAACAAGCGTGTGCTCAAGGGTTCCGTCAAGGATGTCAACTACTTTGCCGAGTCTGGAGAGCCCTCTGCTGCTCAGGTCGACTCTGTCCTTACCGATGTTGACTTTGTTATCAGCAAGATCGACAGCGAGGAGCTTGCCGCCTTGGCTGAGCGACTCACTGGTGCGGGTAAGGATGCAGCCGCCGTGAAAGGGGTCTATGTGGAGGAGGTGAAGAGACTGGTTGGAGCCGGCAAGGCCAAGGAGGGCGAGGCCAAATTCTTCGCCTAGGTTCCGATTCTTCCGGGCGAGATGGCGCTCTACGCGTCTGCTAGATCTGCGAATTACTATTCTACGAAGAGCCGATGGATAAGCATGCGCCGTGTATAGAAGATAGACTTGGCCGTGCTGCACGAGAGGTGCCATGACAATGATGAACATTTTCAATCATTTTCTTTTTCTTCTTCTTCTTCTTCTTTCTTCGTATTCATTATTCTCTTCTCGTATGGGATACTTTTCCTGTGCGGGCGGGTGCCTGAGGCCGCTCTTTTTATCAAGCCTTGCCAATTCCTCCAGAGACATTGGCACACAATGCTTGACCAAGAGCATTTGATCGACCGTTAATAGTGGTCGCCTGGCACACGTGTACCCACGTGCAAGTGTCCTGCTCTTTGGCTTCATCCAGTCATCTATGATTGACTTGGAACGTGCATCCTGGCTTATTTCCTGCGGCAGCGAGGCGGACTTGGCATTCTTCGAGAAGCCATCCTGAACCAATCGTACGCACTGCATTAGATTAACTATATTGGCATCTCCAGCGGTTGGTCTTGGCATCAACAACGGACATCTCGAAGGGCAGATGGAAGTAAGAGCTGTATCTGGAGCAGGTATAAGTTGCTGATCTTCCCTTCTTTTTCTTTGCCAGGGCACGCGTTTCTCAGCTCTATCTCTCGGGGTTGGCACCATGTTCACCAAAAACTCCCTCGTCGCTCTCCTCGGAGGTCTGTCGCTTGCTCTGGCACAGACTTCCTCTGAGAAGTATCCCTCCGCAGCAGAGATTGAAGCCGCTCAGGCTAGCGTTCTCCCTTACTCCCCTGTCTCCCATGTCAATGGCAAGTCTTTCAACCGCTTCGTCAATATCTGGTTGGAGAACACTGTATGTTCTACCTTGTTGTTGCTGAAGGCTAGGTTAGGCTGACCCAAAACAGGACTTCGAAAAGGCTGCCGCTGATGAGAACCTGGCTAAGCTGGCGAAGAAGGGTCTGACCCTCACCAACTTCTGGGCGGTCACTCACCCTTCGGAGCCCAACTACTGTGCCTCTGCTGGTGGTGACACCTTTGGCATGGACAACGACAACTTCAACCAGATCCCCGCCAATGTCTCCACCATTGCGGACATGTTTGACCACAAGAAGATCGCCTGGGGTGAATACCAGGAGTCCCTCCCCTACGCCGGTTACCAGGGATTTAGATACCCTGAGACCGGTGCGAACAACTATGTTCGCAAGCACAACCCCATGATCCTGTTTGACTCCGTGACCAACGACGCCACCCGTCTCCGTCAGATCAAGAACTTCACCAGCTTCTATGACGACCTGAAGCAGCAGCGTCTCCCCCAGTACATGTTCATCACCCCCAACATGACCAACGATGCCCACGACACCAACGTTACCTTTGCTGGTAAGTGGACCTGGGACTTCCTCTTCGAGCTCCTCGAGGACGAGTACTTCACCAAGGACACCCTGATTCTTCTCACCTTCGACGAGAACTCCACCTACAAGATCGGCAACAACATCTTCAGCTTCCTGGTCGGTGGTGCGGTCCCCGAGAACCTTGTGGGCAAGGAGGACTCCACCTTCTACACCCACTACTCCATCATCGCCTCTCTCTCCGCTAACTGGGGCATTCCTGCCCTGGGCCGCTGGGACTGTGGTGCGAACCTGCTGAGCTTCTTGGCCGAGAAGGTCGGCTACACCAACTGGGAGGTCGACACCACCAACCTGCACCTCAACGCCAGCTACCCCGGCCCCATGTCCAGCAACAGCTACAGCCCGGAGTGGCCTGTTCCTCTCACCAAGGGCAAGTGCTCCGGTGGCCACGGTATCCTTCACGTTGTCAAGGACACCTACAGGCACCTGACTGCCACCAAGAACTACACCAGCCCCATTCCCTATGACTCTGCTTCCGCCAACACCCTGGGCATCAAGTACAAGCGTGTTCTGGTACGTATTTTTCGGTCCTCATCCCCCTCCCCCCCCCAGTGGAGTATTTGATTGACTAACGTGATTTCCAGCGCCACGGTAAGCAATTCCAGATGGAGGAGGGTATTACCGCGTAGATTCTCGGGGGGGGGGGGGGGGGGGGGGGGATATAGCTCCGCTCCATGGGCTGATGTTAGATTGGTAATATTATATTATTCGAGGAAATTATTTTGGAACATGCGCCGTCCGTAATCAAAGAAGGAAAAGTCTAGACGATGACAACATGTGGGATGAAGAATCTCTTCAACGTTCGAGCCCGACGAGCCCTATACAAAGGTTAGAAACCACGTCAGGATCAAGTACAACGGGCTCAGCAAGCCAACAACAACATGGAGATCTCTAAACCTTACCCGTCAACTGTCTTTTCATCATCATTATCATTATTATTGCCGTATATCCGGCGCGTCATCTCTAGGGGTTTTCTGGTTTCTCTCCCCCTTGATTTATACATGGGTTCGGAGTTAATAGTGTCTCGGAGGAATTCTTCATGGCAGGGCTGGAATTGCTTCATATTTCACCCTCGGTGGCCCTTGCTTTCTATTTATTTCTTCATCCCCTCTCTCTTGATGTGGACATCTGATCAGTTTCAACGGAAGCAATGTCGTCGTCGAGTATGTCCGATTCCACGCAAACTGCCAATATGATGGAGAAGGGCAAGAAGGTCGACACGCCTCCTGTTGCCGTCTCATTCTTCGATCCAGCACTCAAGGAGACGCGCAGGAACGTGTTTATTCAATGGGCTCGCACAGGTAAGTGTTCCCCCACGCCCTCTGTTGGCTATGCTGTGGTTCCTAACGGGTGGTGCAGTGTTGATGCTCTGCGTGTTTATTCTTTGCGTCCTCTCCCTCTACTGGGCCGTTCAGTTTCGTGTCGAAGCCAATCTCCCTTCGCTGACTATCTGGGTCGTCGACTTTGACGGCCAGCTCCCGGTCGATGTTTCTCAACGCTCGAACCAATCGATCGTGGGCCCTGCCATCACCAATCTGGCGGATCGGATCGCCAACTCGGATACTCACCACCTCGGGTACACCATCAAGTCTCCGGCCGAGTTCCAGTACAGCCTGGAGGCAGTGCGCCAGGGGATCTACGACGAGCATGCATATGCCGCAATCATCGTCAACCCTAATGCGACAACTCTCCTCCGCCACGCTGTGACCAACGGCAATGATTCGTACGATCCCTCCGACGCGGCGCAATTCGTGGTGATCAGCGCGCGCGACCAATCCACCTACTCGAGCTACATTACCCCAGCCCTAAACGAGTTCGAATTGACGCTGCGCTCTGAATTCGGGCCGCAATGGATCACCTCGCTCGCCCAGCAGGAGTCGGTCAATCTCTCCCGCACCCCACAGGCTGTGAATCCTGCAATTGGATTCAACACCCTCGACCTCCGCCCCTTCGCGCCAGCCGTCGCCACCCCGTCCGTGACAATCGGGCTGATCTATCTGATTATCATCGCGTTCTTCAACTTCCCCTTCCTCATGCCGATCCACGCCCAATTCACCAAGGGCGGCCACGACCATCCCCCGCTCAAAATCCCGCAGTGGCTCCTCTGGCGCATCCTCTCCAACTTCGCCGCATACTTCTTCCTCTCCCTGTTCTACTCCTTTGTGTCCCTCGCGTTCCAGATCCCCTTCTCCAACTCCCCGGCCCCGGATACTGTTTCCGCCGACAGCCCCAACGCCTACGGCAGGGGCTCCTTTGTCGTCTTCTGGATGCTGAACTGGGTCGGCATGAGCGCTTTGGGGTTCCCCTGCGAGAACATGGCCATGATTCTGGGCTTCCCGTGGAGTTCGCTTTTCCTTATTTTCTGGGTGATCACGAATGTTTCGACGGGGTTCTACGCGTTGGATCTCGCGCCGGGTTTCTTTGCCTGGGGATACGCATGGCCGTTGCATAGAAGTATGTCTCTCCTCCCTCTTTCATCCTACCTCAAGCGTGGATTTCTTTCTTTCTTCTTTGTCTAACCTTTTTTTTCTTCTTCAGTTGTTGAAGCCCTTCGCACTATTCTCTTCGGAGCACACTCGCGCATCGGCCTCGACTTTGGCATCTTGTTTGCCTGGATCGGGGTTTCCATTGCGCTCTTCCCGTTCGCCTCGTTGGTCATGAAGTGGAGGATGCAGCGGGGCTTGTAAATGACGCGGGAAGCAATTTTAAAAACATTATTGGAATGAATTTCTTGTATATAGAATAGAGTATAGAGCATAGATTGGTTCTAATTTCGGCCTCCTCCATTTTCTACTCTATTTCTCTAACCCTAATAATACGCAAACCCTGGTTTATCTACTTCTGTACGTTACGTACTCATCTACCCAGATATAACAGGGAACTCGAATGAGTTTTGAGGGATTGAAGCCAGACCACTACTTCAACCAGGAATGCTATGTTTTAGGGTTAATACAGTTACGGTAGTTGATCTAAAGGTGGGCCATTGAGCTACCAAATACATAGTTAAATGCTAATGCACCAATTCCATTATAAAAGATTGGAACGCCAACCCGTAACCTCACATACGTCGATATGATATAGTAGCTTCCTTTAATGGTGGGATTGTATTTCCGAGGATTGTAGGCCTAGAGCCTGCATACATCCCCAACGTGCCAGTTATGCGTAAATTCCGCATCCAGTCCCCAGATATAAGCTTACACTTTTCCACCGTCACATCCACGGTCCAGAGAGAGCAGGTTGGAATAATTGCCTGACGATAATGCACGTGGAGCATGCGAAGGGTTTGCTTGGTGTTAATCGTCGAGAAGAGTGAGTTTCTTTTCCATGGAGAGAGAGAGAGAGAGAGACTTTTTAGCATGGTCCTGCCACTACTAGTAGTTGAACATACATACATATATATATATATATATGTATACATCCCTCCATCGTACTGCCATCTGAATCAAATTCCTCCACCAGGCACACCAAAATCGAAACAACCCTTAAAATGACCACAGAATCATCCCAGGAGAGCACCACCACCACCACCACCACCACCACTCACACTGAAGACGCCCTCGAATCCCGTCGTCGTGCCCTCGCCCGCATCGACAACGCCCCCCTGGGCTGGCGCCATGCCCGTGCAATCCTCGTCGCCGGCGTCGGCTTCTTCACGGACTCCTACGACATCTTCGCCATAAACCTCTGCTCCAGCATGCTGGGGGTTGTCTTCTGGGAGAACTCCGGGTCGTCACGGCCCGGGAAGGTCCCTTATTCCGCTGACACGGCGATCAAGGTCTCGACCTCTGCGGGGACAGTGCTGGGCCAGCTGCTGTTCGGGTGGCTGGCGGACCGGGTGGGGAGGAAGAGGATGTACGGGATTGAGCTGATGATTATTATCGTGGCGACGCTGGGCCAGGCACTTGCGGCGGAGTCGAGGGCCGTTTCGATCACGGGGCAGTTGGCCTTTTGGAGGGTGGTTATGGGGGTGGGGATTGGGGGGGATTATCCGTTGAGTTCGGTGATTACGTCGGAGTATGTTGATTTGTTTCTTTTTTTTTCTTCTTCTTCTTCTTCTTCTTCTTCCTGTTGCTCTGTTGCTGCTCTCGTTCGTATTCACCTGGGGGCGGCGGTTAAGCTAATTAGATAGATAGGTTCGCTACAACCAAGCGACGAGGCGCTATGATGGCGGCAGTCTTTGCCATGCAGGGGTTCGGCCAGTTCGCTGCGGCTCTCGTCGCCTTGATTGTGACTGTGGGCTTCAAGGCGTCTCTGAGATCGGCCACCTCGGTGAGTACCTGCACTGGCGTGTGCCAGCTCGCGGTTGACAAGATGTGGAGGGTTGTCATTGGCTTCGGGGCTGTGCCGGCGTGTGTCGCTTTGTATTATCGGTTGACGATTCCTGAGACTCCGCGGTATACATTCGATGTTGCCCGGGATATCCTCCAGGGAGACGCGGATGCCCTGGCGTTCCTGGAAGGAGGCAGTGAAGGGCATCCCGATGCAATCAAACGCGCAGCGGTTCTGCAGAGTGTCACTGTCAGGGAGGGGCTGCCAGAGGCAAGTTGGCTAGATTTCTGGAGCTGGTATTCGAAGTGGAAGCATGCAAAAGTTTTGCTGGGCACCGCTGCGTCGTGGTTCTTTTTGGATGTTGGTATGCTTCTCTTCGCATGGACGATGTCAGGATCGGAAGAAAGCTAAAAAAAAAAAAAAAAAAATGTGGCAGCATTCTATGGCCTCGGGCTTAACAATTCGATCATCCTCAGTGCCATTGGCTGGAGCGGAGGAAGCACAGTCTATGAGTATTTCTATCGCAATGCCGTGGGCAACCTCATCTTGATCTGCGCTGGCGCGATCCCTGGGTACTGGACGACAGTCGGGCTGGTCGACATCCTAGGTCGGAAACCCATTCAAATCGGCGGGTTTATCATTCTCACCATCACTTTTCTTATCATCGGGTTCGCCTATCATGCCCTGGAAAACTCCGACAATGGGTTGCTAGCCCTCTATGTGGTTTCGCAGTTCTTCTTCAACTTCGGACCTAATGCCACCACGTTTATCGTTCCCGGAGAATGCTTTCCCACTCGGTATCGGTCGACCTCTCATGGCATCAGCGCTGCATCGGGGAAGATCGGTGCTATCATCGCCCAGTGTGTGTTTGGGCCTCTGGCGCACCGGGGGGCGAGCGGAGGGTTAAACTCACAGGATACGCCTTGGTTGAACCACGTCATGCAGATATTTGCGCTGTTTATGCTCTGTGGCGTTTTTACCTCGCTGTTGATCCCAGAGACGAAGGGCAAGACGCTGGAAGTTTTGGCTGGCGAGGATCTGGTGAGTGCTGCGTCTGATTCCAGTCTGTCCACTCCGCGAGATGAAGGGAGACAAAATAAGAGCAGTGAGTCCGAGACCTGAAGCTGTGAAGTCATGTTTCAAGTATCACTGGTGCTGTGACGAGTTTGATAAGTCATGTTGGAGTGCTGCACTCAGTGAATGCAACCAGCACCACCATAAAGCAGCATCACCATAAAGAAGAAGATAGCAACACATGACTACCCAGTGTATTTAAGCTACTATTTCCTTCTAGATCTCCATGCTTCTTCCAAGCATCTTCTTTATCTCTCTATCTCCTAGTTAGACCCAATTTGAACCCATTTCAGTCAACTTTCTACTGTCATAGTTTAATGACCTCTTATTAGGTTATAAGCCCTCCTTAAGGTTCTATTTTATACTTCATAGACCTCTGAAAAACTCTTATTATACTTTTATACCCCTATATAGAGATCTGCTACCTAATTAGATAGAGATCCTGGCAGAAATATTACCTACTACTATTATATTACTCTACCTGGGTAATAGTATGTGGAAAATCTTTATAATTTAATTAAAATAATAACTAAACCTACCCCTAGTAGATATCCTAACATCCCTAACTTATTATACCTATCTTTAATAGCTACTACCCTATTTACTAATAGCTAAAATTAAGTAATAAAGCTAAAGAATAGTATATTTAACTTAAGCCTGATAATAGTATTAAAAAATAATTTAAAATTTAAAATTTAGGCTTTATTTATATAAATAAAATTAAAGTTTTATAAGATAGATAAGCTTCTTAAAAGTAATATTTCTAGATTATAATTTAATAATCTTAAATATAAATTATAAGAACTTCTTTTATAAATAGTAACTAGTTAAATACTATATTTAATAAATAAAAAACTAGTAAAAAAATTATTAATAAATATTATTTTATATATCTTTATAAATAATTTTATATAAAAATTATAAAGAATAATTATTAATAATAATTAAAGATATATATACTAGATATAGAAAAAAATTATTAAGATTAAATATAAGAATTATATAATTATTAATAAATTTATATTAAACTTTATCTAGAAAATAAATATTTTTAATAAATTAAAAATAATTATTATACTTTATTAAGTAATTATTATAATATTTTAAAAATTTAAAAAAAATAATATAAATTTTATAAATTTAATCTTAAATAATTTAAATAATAATTTTATTAAAATAATTATATAAAAGTATTTTTATACTATATATAATATAGTAAAGGATAAGATTTAAGAGAATTTATTATTTAATATTATATTTAATATTATAATACTAGCTATAAATATACTAAATTCTTAACTAATAATAAATAATAGAAAAAAGTAGTAATAATAGTAAAAATATATATTATTATAGAATATAATAATTACTAATTATATTAATTATTAATTAAAATAATTTAAAAAACCTAGAATATTATACTTATTTTATAAGGAGGAAAAATATAATATTAAGGACTATTTATATTTAGTAATTAATAAGTAGAAGGAAAGATAGAGACTAATTTTAATATTTTAGTACTTTAAGCTATATAAATTAAAAAATAAGAATAATTTAATTTAAAATTAAGCTATTACCCTAACTATATAAACTAATACTATTCTAGATACTAATAATTTTATACTATCTAGAGTTAATATACTAATAACTTTAATATTAATTATTTTTAGGAATAGGTAGCTATATAACTCTAGAGTAGGCTATATAATATATAATAATTATAATTTCTTTAATAACCTAATTAAAGATTTAAATAGCTTTAAGAATTATAGCTTTATTACCTCTAATAATAAGATAGTATATTCCCAAGGTTATAGAAAAGTAATAATTTAATTTAAATTAAATAATAGTACTTTAATATTATACTAAATAGAATATTTTTAGAATCTAAATATATTATATAACCTAATATTAATAGAAAGAATAAAAATAGAATTAGAAATTTATTTTAATTTAAAAAATTAATATATTTATAAGATAGTAATAGATAAGGTAATTAAATATACTATCTTAGATAATAATATCTTATTTTTAGTTCTAAATAAGATAGTAATTATACCTACTATACTAATAAATTTATTATATTAATAATTAGATTATCTATCTATTAAATAATTAAAGTATAATAAGATAATACTTTATAATAAAAGTAATAACTTAGCTACTAATAACTTGCCTGCTACTAATTAGAATACTAAGCTATATTATAAAGTATATTAATTATTAAAATTAAAGAAAAGGATATCCTAAAAACTATAATTATATATAATAAAATTATTATAATTTATATATATAGATTTCTAAGAAATTAAACTAATTAAAAAAGATAATATTAGATATATCCTACTAGTTCTAGATAATTATTCTAGATACCTTTTTATATAATATTTAAAGGTAAAAAATAAATCTTTAAAGATATTAAAGAAAATATATAATAATTAGCTAAATATAACTAATATCTATATTAGAAGGATTAGATTTAACTCTACTTTTAAATTTAATAAGTATACTAGATAGAGTAAGGATTTTAATACTATATATAAACTAATATTACCATAAATCCTTAAAGAAAATAATACTATTAAATAGTTTAGTAATTATATAATCTAGACTACCTATATAATATATATATAAGTAAAAATAAAGCTAATTATATAGTTATATAATATAAATATAGTAGTTTATATTTTTGTAAGTGTCTCACTGGTGAGGTACTTGGGTATGGATAGTGTTAGTAAAGGAAGTAAAGCTACATAGAGTATAAGGATAGTAGGAAGATATTAGAAATAATAAAATAAAATACTTGCCTTTTAATATTTTAAGAATTATTATATTATTATTTATATTATCTAATTAAGTTACTAATATAATATAAGTAATTTAAATATTATTATTTTTTTAATTATTTTTAATTATTAAATATATAATTTAATATATAGTTTAATATATAGTTATATATTATATAATTATTATAATAATTATCTCTTCTTTTCTTAGTAGCATATCCATATACTATATATATTATACTTAATCTAGTTTAATACTTTATTAAAGAGAAGCTAGTCCTAATTAGTATAATATAATCTACTTTTTTATTTAATACTAGAAATAATAATAATATATATAATATTATTTTTATTAATTATATTTTATTAAATAGAATATAAATAATATTATATTTTATTTTAAATAAAATAATAAATAAGAATAAATAATTTATTAGATATATTAATAATAAATAAAAATATTATTATAGTATAAATATTATAAGAGAATATTTTTTTATATATATCTTTTCTAGCCTAATTTATATTTTAAAAAGTTCTTTTTAATAAGTTAATATATTATACTAGATAAGTTATTATTATTTAAATATTATAATAATAACTAACTATATTATAAATCTTATAGCTCCCTTAAAGTATCTTTTATTAAGTATTATACTAGCTATATCTCTATAAAAGAGAGCTTATTTAGCTACTATTATTTCTTTCTTTATAAGTACTTTTATTCTAGTAATATAGATTTATTATATTAATTATTTATAGACTTTTATAGTAAATCTCTTTATACTTATATTAATTATAATACTTATAATTTTTATTACTATTAATATATTTTTTATAATTTTTATTATTATTATTTTATTATCTACTAGAATTATATCTTTCTTATTTTTTATAACTATTTCTAATATTATAGTAACTCTTACTATCTCTTTTTCTACTTCTTTTATTATAGTAACTCTAGTTACTCCTATTATTATTATTATACTAGCTCTTATTATTATACTAGCTCCTATTATTATACTAGCTCCTATTATTTTTACTATTACTATAGCCCTAATTATTCTAATTATTCTAATTATCTTTACTAGCTTAACTACTATTATATAGATACTATATTACCTATATTATACTAAGTTTTAGTAATATATAAATAATAGTCTTATAAAAGCTTATTTCTATATATACTTAAATCTAAGATAATAATATACTTAATATACTTACTTATATAAAAAATACTTCTCTATTATTTTATTTATATAAGTTAGTCTTGGAAAAATTTAAATAATATCTAGTAAAATAGTAGGTATAGTAGCCTGTATCTAATAAGCTTATATTACTAAGATTTTTATTTATTATTTTAAGACTAAGGACTAGATAGAGAGATTATTTTAATTTATTAATTATAATATATTTTACTTACTTAATATATAGTATATTAGGGGTAGTATAATAAAATTAAAGAATAATAATAAGAAGGTTTAAAATAATTATAATAATTAGAAATTTACTAATATTATAGTATAAATACTTTATTATTTTTATTTTTATATAATAAAATTAAGTTATTTTTTTAAAATTTCTTAATATCTATAATATGCTCCTGTTAAATCTTAAAATCTAGTAAGAAAAAAAGAAAGAATAATACTATTAATATATTTTTATAATTTTTTTAATTCTTTAATTTTATTAATTTATTATTTTTATATTTTATTATTTTATAATATTTTACTAGTACCTTACCTATATCTTATTTATATAATAGAATTTATTTAAGATATCTTATATATTTTTTAAATCTTCTATTAATTATTAAATATTCTTATATATTAGCTATCTTTTTTATTTAATTAAATATTAATCTTTATTATATAGCTTTTATTATATAATAATCTATTCTATCTCTTATTCTTTCTTATTATTAATAATAATTAACTAGAATAATACTAGTAAATTACTATTTTTTATATTTTATTTCTTAAGAAATAATATATAAAAGATTAGGTAGATTTTCTTATATAATCTAGATAATTATAGATAGTATATTTATTAGCCTATTATTTTAATTATTTTAAATAGTCCTTTATATTTAGTATCTAGCTTCTTACTAAGCCTTTATATATAAATATTTTTTATAAATAGTAGTACTTATTAACTTATATAATATTTAATTAGGTAGTATCTTTTATTATAGCTTCTTACTTATTATTTAGTAATATAATATAGGCTCTTTTCTAGTTAATAATATTTTATTTATAGTTA